GGAAGGAAGGAAGGAAGGAGGGAGGGAGGGAGGGAGGAAGGAAGGAAGGAAGGAAGGAAGGAAGGAAGGAAGGAAGGAAGGAAGTTGTGTTGGTGCTTAAAGGGGGGGGGGACCCACCAAAATCTACAAATAGGCAATAAAGGCATTAGGAGCAACCCAAATACGGAAAGGGGGAGTGCAAGCTCTTGAGCTCCAGAACTCACCTGAAATTTTACACCAAGTGCAGGGTGTGAGGAGGTAAATAAATTATATCATGGCTGGATCCTGTAGCCCCAGGGTCTGCATTTAGACTCAGCCTAAAGATGGAGGCCACAGAGTGAGGCCGCCTCTGGTACTTGCAGGCATCAGCAGGTTCCACCTAGAACGACGAAGCAACAGCTAATCCCTGTTGTTGAAAACACAAAGCCTGGCGGTTACACAAAGCGCACACGAGACCTTATTAGAGCTTGTGAACAATTGGTCCTAATGAACATGTGGAAGGGAAAAAATAACAACAAATTGCGTCCACTTCTACATACACGTTAAAGTCCATGAGCCTTTTGACCCTGCGCCCTTTGACACTTGAATGTGTGTCTTCAGGACCCGCCCTATTTCCTGATGTCAACTGATTTTAATACTGAGTTTTAATTTCTTGTAAGCCACCCTGGGGCCTGCTTGTAAAGGGCGAGTAATAATGAGCTTTGCATCAAAATGCCCCAGGCACAAACTGGCGCCACGCTTCATTGCATTTTTTTCTCTGTGTATTTGTATACACCCAGAGACACACACATCTTGTAACTGAGAACGACACTTCCTGTATCTGAGGACTTGTGACTCTCATAACTTAATATGCAAAGTGGCTTCCAGTTGGGGAAAACTGGCTAGTATCAACAATGAAAGCCAACAAAACAGGGTACATTAGCAACATGAGGTGGGCTTTATGCTAGGAAAGCTGTTTCTACAATAGATGAAATAATATTTAAGGTGCTTCAAGATCAGGGGTCCCCAAACAAAGGTCTGCGGGCTGGATAAGGCCTGAGAGACTCGTTTATCCGGCCCGCGGTGACCCCCGCTGCTACTGCCCACTCTTACCGGCGCTGCACTGCGTGGCTGCCCACTTCCGGGTCAGAAATAGCTTGTGCACATGTGCGTTATTTCCGGTGCACATCCTGGTCGGAGGCAGCCCGTACACATGCACACAAGCTATTTCCGGTGCTCCTCTGACCTCAAAGTGCACCAGAAATAGCATGTGCACACACGTATGGGCACAGGCTCCCCCACCCTCTGGCCCACTGCGCGATAGGCGCTGGAGACACCGGCGCGAGGCGCTGTAAGCTTGCTGCCCCCTGTTCCAGATGATGTAGTACCTCCCTTTTTTACCTAAGCCCAGTGGGAACCTGAGAGCTGGTGGCCAGATGTGACCCCCCCAGTCCTCTCTATCTGGCCCCTAAAACTCTCCCTGAGCCACCCCGCCACCCAGCGCTGCTCCACCCCCTCGAGTGTTTTTGCCTGGCTGGAAAGGGTCCTTGTACTCCAGTAATTGCCAGGATTGGGGAGGGGCACGGAGGGTCTCTCTCTCTCTCTCTCTCTCTCTCTCTCTCTCTCTCTCTGTGTGTGTGTGTGTGTGTGTGTGTAGAAAGTTAAACTAGCCTATTATACAAAGTAGGGATGCAGGTGGTGCTGTGGGTTAAACCACAGAGCCTAGGGCTTGCTGATCAGAAGGTTGGCAGTTCGAATCCCCGCAACGGGGTGAGCTCCTGTTGCTCTGTCCCTGCTCCTGCCAACCTAGCAATTTGAAAGCACGTCAAAGTGCAAGTAGATAAATAGATACCGCTCCGGCGGGAAGGTAAACGGTGTTTCCGTGTGCTGCTCTGGTTCGCCAGAAGTGGCTTAGTCATGCTGGCCACATGACCCAGAAGCTGTACACCGGCTCCCTCGGCCAATAAAGCGAGATGAGTGCCGCAACCCCAGAGTCGGCCACAACTTCATCTAATTGTCAGGGGTCCCTTTACCTTTATTATACAAAGTTAAATTTTACATTTGTTGCTCTCCCCACTTTTGCCTCCGGCCAGTCCCCGCCCCCCCATGGCATGAGATCACCAAGCGGCTGCCCAATAGGGAATGTGAACCTTAAGAGTCTATTGACCCGTAAGAGAAAAAAATAGAACAAAAGATTCTCATTAGGGCCACACCTTTACTAGGCCAACAAAAAGGCTGCACAATGGTGTGGAAGTTTTTAGGTTCTACAGAGCTCTTCAGCAGGTCAGGTGGGCGAGTAAGAGGGTGGGGGGGAACACATTGCTCTTCGATGTGGATTTTGGAATTTTTTTGTGGGCAAACATGGCTACCTTTGATTCTCAGGCAAAGGAAGAAAACCTTTGGTCAGAGGGCCATCTAGTGGCGAAAGATTGCAGACAGCTATGTGGGTCCATTAGAAAAAGGGACTATTAAAACAGTCCAAAAATGCACAAAAGCACATTTCCTGATAAAGGTTTCATTTTCCTTGTATATTGTTGAGGAATTTCGCTCTTTTCCTGAAACGTTCAGCAAAATTGGTCCTCCTTCCAGTCTTTTCCTTTGTTCCATCACCCACTTACAGACATGAACGAAAGTGTTTTGTTTAACATTAAGTGAGCTGAAATTTCTCGGAAGAGTTTTCTAAGAAATGTTTGAGAACACTCATTTTTCTCTCCTCATCCAAACGGGTGAAGGAAACTACATGCTGTGCCATTGCATTATTTTCAGTAAATGGACCAAAGTGAAAATTAAAATTGAATTCGGATTCTTGTTATTTCTAGACAAAGCTGTATAGTGTTGGATATTGCATTTTGAGATCAGGTGAAATGATTTGGGGAGCAGAACATTATAACATTGTCTCCAAGGATGTAGCGCAGGTTGTTTGCAAGAGGAAGTGGCCTGATTCAAGAGCATACGGCTATCAAAAGTATCTAGTGGGCCACTCCATCCAAATGCTTGTTGATACTCTCAAAGAATCCTGAAAGCAAAGTTACACAGGACATATCCTTGCAGAAGCCATGCTGGTTTCTCTCCAGCAATGCTTGTTCTTCTCTCTGCTTGGTAAGTCTATCTTTAATCATGCTTTCCAGAAGTTTTCCCAGAGGAGACTTCAGCTAATTAGCCAGTAACTTCCTAGATTCCCTGGATCTCCATTTCAAAAACAGAGTTGCATTGGCCATCTTCAGGTATGGAGAGTGATCTTAGGGACTAGCTATTCTGTTCAAAGGCCGCAGCAGGCCTCTCGGGTCGGTGCCTCCGAACAAGAGTAGAGATGTGAAAGATGCACTGTCCTGGTGCACTCACTGTTTTCCTCTTGCCCACGTGCCCCTGTGAAAGTGCTTCCAGGTGATGCCTCCACACATGGAACCTGAGAAATTTGACAATGCAAACATCCGTAGCCCCCAAAGCTGCAGTTATTATGGGAGGGAGCCTGAAGCAGGAGACAACAGAGGTTTTTATTGCCAAGATCTATCAATAAGGATAAGGATAAGGATAAGGATAAGGATAAGGATAATAATAATAATAATAATAATAATAATAATAATTTATTATTTATACCCCGCCCATCTGGCTGGGCCTCCCCAGCCACTCTGGGCGGCTTCCATAGAAACCAAAAATACAGTAAAATATCACACGTTAAAAACTTCCCTGAACAGGGCTGCCTTAAGATGTCTTCTGAATGTCAGGTAGTTGTTTATCGCTTTGACATCTGCTGGAAGGCGTTCCACAGGGCAGGCGCCACTACCGAGAAGGCCCTCTGCCTGGTTCCCTGTAACTTTGCTTCTCGCAATGAGGGAACCGCCAGAAGGCCCTCGGCGCTGGACCTCAGCATCCGGGCAGAACGATGGGGGTGGAGACGGTCTTTCAGGTATACTGGACTGAGGCCGTTTAGGGCTTTAAAGGTCAGCACCAACACTTTGAATTGTGCTTGGAAACGTACTGGGAGCCAATGTAGGTCTTTCAAGACCGGTGTTATGTGGTCTCGGCGGCCGCTCCCAGTCACCAGTCTAGCTGCCGCATTCTGGATTAGTTGTAGTTTCCGGGTCACCTTCAAAGGTAGCCCCACGTAGAGCGCATTGCAGTAGTCCAAGCAGGAGGTAACTAGAGCATGCACCACTCTGGCGAGACAGTCCACGGGCAGGTAGGGTCTCAGCCAGCGTACCTCAAATTTATCAACTCACCATTCACTCACCATTTCAGAAGTCAGCCCATTAGTTGGATTATAATCACACATCCATACAAAGTTTTCTCGGCTGACCAACCACATTAAAAATCCCCTGATGATTGAAAACGTACCCACAATTAATCAGGCATTATTTTTTTTAAAAAAAACTTCCAATATAAGCAGAAATATAAATCTATAATTGTATTAGTGCATTGCAGTCAATCACATGCTGAACAGGAGCCAGCAGCATGATGCAGCTGTAGGAATGCCAACTTGACCCCATGACTGTGGGAGCCCAAGGCTGTGGCCGCCATGCAGTGTTCGTGGCCCTGCCACTGAAATTTGTGGGTTCCCGATTCCTTTATGGGGAATTTTGTGGGTGCTCAGGCACCCAGGGAGTCGGCACCTATGTGCCGCTGGGTGAAGCTGTAGTGTTGCATCACTGATTGCGGGCAGAGCCACAAACAAGAGTGGGTGGTGGTTGTAGTGCTATATAGTCCCTCCCCCCGTGCCACCCCATTTTCTGTGTGCCCCCCCCATGAGGTTCACAGGCTCCTCAACGCAGGCCGGCCATTTGGAGCAGAAGTCTCCAATCTTTCAAGGCTCAGGACTCACCTGTTACCTGCAAATGCATGTGGGAACCCATTTCTTAATTCTTTTGCCCTACATTTCCATGGTGGTGGTGCCTTGGAGGACCCACTCGGGGGTCTTGACCTACCAGTCAAAGTCCAGTGGATTTGGAGCCCTGTCATTTCTAACCAGGCAGCCCAGCCTCCTCCTCAAAACCACCCCCTGGTGCTTACAGACACAGGGAAAAGATGAGAACCAAGGCAGGAGCTCATACGTGTTCATATGGAATGATCTTTATTACAGTTTAATCTCACAGTTGGCAGCATTATATGAGCATAAAGCACTAGACAGGACTGGAAAAAGGCCTCTGGAGACAGCATGCAAACACTGTTTTTAAGCAAAGAAAACCCAAAAAACCCAACAGCCGTCCTTGGTGGCTTTGCGGTTTTAAACTTGCCCTGCCTTCATTTGGTTGGGGGTGGGGGGTGAGTTTGCTAAATTTCAGAGCGTGTTCTGTTTTCTTTTCTTCTTTTTTTTTAACTTTTTTTTATTATTACTTTAAAAAATAAGATTTGCAACTTTAGTAAAACCCAGCAAAACGGCTGATTTTCCGGTGCAGTTTGAAATAACATTAAAAGGAACAAAAAATAAAAATAAAAACTGAACAAAAATCTTTTTTTTTTAATAAAAAAAAGGTGTGTTGTGGGCAGCGGGGGTGGGGTAAAAGATGCTGGATTGGTAATTTGGGTATTTCCAGCAGTCACAGAAATACTGGGAGGGGAAGGGAAATCCCTCTGTCTCCCCCACCTCATGGGGGCTCCCTCCCTCCCCCCCCATCTTCCCATTGTTTTGGTGCTATCTGAATGTCTTACATCTCCCCATGAAAATGGGAGGCATGGAGGTCTGGTTCTGGGGAGAAAGTCAAAGGGGGGAAGGAAGGAGGCGTGGCGGGGAGAGGCGCTTCTGTGAGGAGGGGGTCAAATGGGGGGGGAGTGTGGGGTACATGCTACAAACGAACAGTCAGGGTCTCTCCCCGCTATAAGAGAACCGGGATTCCTACAGGACCAGGAGAAGATGTTGGGGGTCTCCCATATTTTCTCTCTCCCTCGTGCGTCTACTGGTGACCCCACTGAAAAAGATATGGGGGAGCCTTTTCCACGGAGGAGGAGGAGGGAGGAGCCGCTGGACCCCCACCCCACCCCCCCACCAGCTGGGGCACGGGGGTGGGGGGTAAATATGCACACAGTCCAATATGTTTCTCTAAATACAGTCCCTTGAGTGGAGGAATTCTGCATTCCTGCAGGGGTGGGGAAGAACCGCTCCCTCAGCCCCCTCGCCCGTTATCCCCAACCCCCAGACGCATGGGCGTGGGAGGCGGGTCGCAGGAAGTGGTGGAGGAAGAGGCGTGTCCAAGGGAAACCCCACCCTCCCGTCCACCTCACAGGTAAAGCTCGCTGGCTTTGATATGCTCTAGCTGTTCCCGTAGTTGGTGGAAGGCGGGCCGGTGTGCGGGGTCCAAGGTCCAGCACTTCTTCATCACCTCGTAGACGATCTGAGGGCAGCCGTCGGGGGACTCCATTTTGTACCCCTTCTCCACACGAGGGACTACATCCTTCAGAGGCTGCAAGGGGTGGGAGGAGAGGGAAACAAACACAAAGGGACTATGTCAACTGGAAGCAATACTGCGCTGGGTTCAGGACTGGGGTCAAAGCTCGCTGGTGGGTCTGGGGCCAGGTCACAAACTCTTGGCTTAGCCTACCTTGCAGGGGTGTTGAGAGTAAAAGGGGGGAGTGGAGGACCGTGAGTGCTGCCGTATGGAGGAAAGGTAAGATACAAGTGTTATAATACTGTGGAAGGTGGATAAGGATCTCCGGGGGCTATAAAACTGGCAAGCTTAAAATGCAAGGGAGGGGTTGGGGGGAGGACCCCAAGGGGAAAACAGCAGTGTGGAAAGGAGGAGCCAGTGAAATGGGAAGGGCCCCCCAAAAATTCACTTTGCTAAATATTTTAATTTCATGAATATAGACATTTGCACATGGCCTACAATTTCTAAACAAAAAGCTATGAGAATAGCACACAAAGCAATGCATCTTGTTATATAAACCTTTCAATGTGGCACTTGGCTCCTGTGCAAAGCAGGCACCCCCATGCCAGCACCTCCAGAGCAGCCCATGCCAGTGCTCCTCTCTGTGAGCGTTGGTTCCTCTGGTGCCAGGAGAGGGGTGCCAGCATGGGGGCTGGACCCTGGGCCACGGCCCCTCTGTCCCCCCACGCTATGCCCCTGTAAGAAGGGCATGTATAAGATATGGGAAATCATGGAGGAAGACTATACACAAGTATCCAACAGTTGCAGGGAGAAGGTCAGACAGGCCAAAGCTCAGAATGAACTCAGGCTTGCAAGAGAGGTTAAAAATAATTTTAAAAAGTCTTCTTTGGCTATGCTCAAAGCAAAACTAAAAACTAAAAACAAGTAAATAGTAGGTCCTCTACATGGAGAAGATGGAGAAATGTTATTGGGGGATAGAGAGAAGGCGGAACTCCTCAACATCTACTTTGCCTCTGTCTTCACCCAAAAGGAAAGTGATGCCCAACCAGGTGATAACGTAAAAAATTATTTAAGGAGGGAGCTTGGGCCCAAATTAATGGTTTTAAGTTACAAGAAAGGAGATTCTGACTAGACATCAGGAAAAGCTTTCTGACAGTAAAAGCTGTTTTACAGGAGAACTGACTCTCCTTCCTTGGAGGTTTTTAAGCAAGAGGCTGGATGGCCACCTCTCATGGACACTTTAGTTGAGATTCCTGCATTTCAGGGGGTTGGACTAGATGACCCTCGGGGTCCCTTCCAGCTCTACAATTCTATGGTTCTATGATTTTATGAAACGAGGGGAGCATTTTGGCTGGACCCCATCCCAGTAGTGAAAAATCCTTCAGACTCATTTCAGACATGCTCTCTTCAGACCCTTCTGATCAGGAGCACAGGAAGACTGCCTTATAGTGAGTCAGCCTACTGGCTCCAGCACCGTCCATCCCGAGTGGCAACAGCTTCTGTAAGGGCTTCCGGTCAGGGTCTTTTCCAGCCCTATCTAGAGAGGTCAGGGATTGAGCCTGGGATGTTACTGGGCTGTGGTGGCACCTCCCCATAAGAAACAGCCTTATAGCCGGGCCAGACAGCTCGTCCACCTAGCTCACTATTGTCCACCCTGACTCGTAAGGACATCAAAAGAGCTGCTGGATCCGACCAATGGCCATCTAGCCCAGCATCCTCTTCTCAAGAGGCCAACCAGATTGCTCAATGGGAAGCCTGCAAGTGAAACATGTCCACAACACAGCCATCCTGTGGCTTCCGGCAACTGGCGTTCAGAAGGACTGTTGCCTTCAACTTTGGAGGGCTGAGCAAAGCCAACGTGGCCAGGAGCCATCGACAGTCCTCTCCTACATGAATTCGTCCACTCCTCTTGTAAAGCCATCTAGGCTGGTGACTCACAGTGGCTCTCAAGGGTCTTAGGCAGCGGTCTCTCTCCCAGCCCCACCTGGAGATGCCACTGTGGATTGCACCTGGAACCTTCTGCATGCAAAGCAGGAGCTCTGCCATGGACTCACAGCCCTTCCTGAAGCAGGCACCTCAGCCAGGACAGCCTGCTGGGCAGCTGCTGTTCCCACCACTTTCCCATAGGCAGTGATGGCCCTCCAGCTGTTTTGGGACTACAACTCCCATCATCCCTAGCAAACAGGACCAGTGGTCAGGGATGATGGGAACTGTAGTCCCAAAACAGCTGGAGGGCCAAGTTTGGCCATCACTGCCCTAAGGCTATGAAAAGAGAAGGCAGAGCAAAAACGCAGTTGCTCCAAGAGTTGGCTGCAAAAAAGGGGAAGGGAGGGGCAGGGTCCCTGTCGAAACATCAAAAGCCGCCCAAGCTGAGCTTCCGTCACTTACAATTCTCGGATAAGGCACTCGCCCAAAGGAGTAGATTTCCCAGAGGAGGATCCCAAAGCTCCAGACGTCGGACTTGGTGGAAAATTTCTGCTAAGAGAAAGGAAGTCCATCGTTGAGGGAAACGGTTCCTGTGGGTGGCGAGATACTCCCCAAGCCTGGAGATCATCACACAGCCTCTCGCCACAGCGGCGGATTTGGGCTCTCAAGTTTCAGCAGCAGCACCCTCTGCCTCTTGCGCTCTGCTCCATAGCACTGTTTGGGTGCCCCCCCCCCCACAGCACAGCAGCCAGCGCAACTGAACCAGTCATGCCGTGTCCTAAAACCACCTCTGCTCACCACCCTCTTTTTAGGGAACTGGGTTTTAGCCCTTTCCCAAAGCCACCAATTGCACCCCGAACTACACCCAGCCTCCTCTGCATAATATGAACTATCATAGCTCATGACTGATCAAGTCCATTTTGCAAATCAAGCTCATGCCGGCCAGCAGCGGGTGGGGCCTGGGAAGGGGCACACCCGCCCCCCGAGAGTCAGTCCCAAGGGCTGAAGAGAGGGGGAAGGAGGGCGCCGCTTGCCCCCCAGGTTGAGGTTCCTCACGCTGGACAGACGGTCATGCCTGTGTCTGTGATGGCTCAGGGCCCCCCCCAGGTCACCCCCGTGTTGTGCCACACCTTTTCTCTAAGTGCTTCCGGCGCCGTCCATTTCACTGGCAGCTTGCCCGTGTCCTGGGTTGACGAGGCTTCTTTCGTCAGCCCGAAGTCACTGACTTTGGCAATGTTGTCTTCCGAGACCAGGACGTTCCGTGCTGCCAAGTCCCGATGGACGAAGTTGTTTGCCTCCAGGTACGCCATGGCTTCACAGACGTCTCTGTGTGGGGAGAACAGGCAGGCAAGACTCAGGAAAGGGAGCTGTTGCTCCAGGAGATGCTGCCAGCGCACAGCTGTCTCCTTGCACGAGCCTCTTGGCAGACAAGACCTGCGAGTGAGGCTCTGCTCTAAATTGCAACTTGCAGCGCAGCTTGGATTGCAAAGCAGGGCCTGTTTCTGTGGTGGCCCCCAGGATTTGGAATACCCTGGCCACATTCTCTTTCTTTGTATGTAGGACCAAAATACCCTTTACCTGGTTCTGCTGCTGTTGTATTCTGCACTGATTATTTGTGTTAATTAGTGCTTGCATCTGTTAAACCGTTGCATAATCCTATTTATTTTATTTTTTACATGAAAAGTAGTGAAGGCATTTTAAGACTGAATGATTGAAACGTTATCATTAAAGGCCGTAGTTTTGACACTGTGATGAAAGGCCCATCAATCACCTGACATTCAAATCCTTCCCAGCATCTCCTTATCCATTTTCTCTGTTTTAAGCTCCCATGAACACACGCTATCACCCCCAAGCAGATTCTCCTGTGCTTATAGATGTGTCCTCCAAATGATTAGCTGGGGAGATAGAAAGCTGCCTTATACCAAAACAACAACAGTTGTTTATTTCTAACAACAACAGTTATAAGGTTGAAGCGACCTCTGCTTCTTTTTTTAAAATAATTTTTATTAACAGGCCAATCAAATCACATTAATTCCAAATCACATTAATTCCAAATTACACAGCCAAATTTTAAAATTTTTGTTGGGGGTACCCATTCTTCGAGCTCTGAATGGGATCCAAACATCTCTCTTGCTGCTGCTTTAGTATACACAGTTCTGTCCAAATAGTATTCACAGTTCTATTCCATCTTCTCTTTGTTGTTTTCCTCATCTTCCTCTGCTTCAGAGTATCTGATGAGGTGTGTATTACACAAGAAAGCTCATACCTTGAAAACTTATATTTAGTTGATCTTTAAGGTGCCACTGGAATTATTTATTTTTTCATCTTTCATCTTGTTATTTCTTATACCAGAACAGTCCATTACTTCATCTAGGTTAGTTCTGTCTACACTGATTGGCAGCAGCTATGCAGAGTTCCAGGCAGGAGTCTCTCCCAGCTGCCATTGGGACTGAACCTGGTGGCTCTCTGCATGGAATACATGGAATGCATGTGGCTCTTCCCTGTAATTTTAAAACCAGTGTCTGGCATTGTATAATGCTGTGGGCAATTGATTAAAATGCATGGATTTAAGCCTCAACAGGTATTCAAGGTGGGCCACAGAATGCAATAAGAGAATGCAGAGCTGCAAAAAAGGCAAAACATTATCTGAAAAGTATACTAACAATTTTTTCTGGCTGGCCAGATGCCAAAAATGTACAACAGGGATGAGGAACAATCAGCCCACAAGCTAAAACTGGCCTGGCCAGGGTTCTTATTAGGCTGGCAAGGCTGTTTCCACCAAACCACGCTCACATCTGACATTGTACACGGTGCCCAAGAAGCACTCAGCTGTCAGGTGCTTAGGGAAGTGTTGCTCAAGGGGCACTGGTGGGTGGACATGTCAACCCACCTGCCAACCATGTGATGTTATGAGGGCTCCATGTGACTGACAGGCGGGCTGCCCCATCCACCCATCAAAGTTGTCCCATTGGGGTGGGGCTAGGTAATGACCCAGCTGCCAAGGTCACAAAACAGTTTTCTTGAGGGTGTGGTTGAACATGCCTCCTCCAGCCGAGTTTTAAGGGGGGTCTCATTCCAAAATCATGCATGTCCATGTGAAGACAGTAATGCTGACACATGGTTTTATGCGCTGCCGATCTGCCCTCTGTGCAGACATTTATATAACCAATCCACCACCAACATCTCAGCCAGAATGTGACTTTTCTCCTTGCGGATCAAGACAAACTGGTGACTGAAAAGACAGCAACAGTTCAACAACTGCCAATAGAATAAAACGGTTGACCCACAACGATCCTCTCTTGATTTTTAAACTGTGTGACTTTACATTTAGCTTTTGGCAACTTTATCTGCTTAGTGATGTTTGCATATGTTTGTACTTGGCACCCAAATTGCAAAGGCTGGTGGCTGTTGCAAACATCTCTCTGTCTCTGTCTATTGATCCATCTGTCTACACACAAACAAGTTCTGATTGTTGTTTTGTGCAGGCACAGATCCTGCCAGTTGGGTGTGTGGCCTTGTCTTGCCCGCGCCATACTTACAAGGAGAACTTCAGCAGACATTCTCCCCCTAGCACAGACCTCCCTCGGGAGCGAAGGTAATCGACTAAACTTCCCTGCAGACAAAGAGAAGTGGAAAGAGAAGAGTTAATGTCACAAACAGGTTCGGGGGTCTAGTATGGAGCGCAACTCTCAGCCCATTACAAGTCTGGTCAGGGGTGTTTTTTTCCAGCTAAGCAGAGGTGTGCAAGGCACATCCTGGCCTCACCAGCCAGGGCGCTCTCTCTCTCTCTTTCCTTAGTCACCAAGGCCTCTTTTGTTACACAAATTTTAAGGTGCATACATAGGAGACCCCCCCCCCAAAAAAACCCCAATCCTTCACCCTTCAAAATTAGGAAATATTCCCTGAAAAAAGACACTTTATCTGAGTACACAGAACCATCCCAAAACCATCTTGGCCTTCTTAACAGCCCCGGATATTTTCTTTGCAGAAGAAGGAAGCATCTTGGGAAACCCTTCCCAATAGTTCTTTTCACTTGCAAATCCTTTCCAATCCTGTAAACAGACAAACCTCTTGGAATGAATGGGCTACCCCACTGCAAAACTGTTATGGCAAGTATCTGTCACAAAGATCATCTTCTGAGTATGAATGGGGTCGGCCTTTATGGCATAAAGGTAAAGGTACCCCTGCCCGTACGGGCCAGTCGTGTCCAACTCTAGGGTTGTGCGCTCATCTCACTTAAGAGGCCGAGGGCCAGCACTGTCTGGAGACACTTCCGGGTCACGTGGCCAGCGTGACGAAGCTGCTCTGGCGAGCCAGCACCAGCGCAGCACACGGAAACGCCGTTTACCTTCCCGCTATAAAGCGGTCCCTATTTATCTACTTGCACTTAAGAGTGCTTTCGAACTGCTAGGTGGGCAGGAGCTGGGACCGAAAGACGGGAATTCACCCCGCCGCGGGGATTCGAACCGCCGACCATACGATCGGCAAGTCCTAGGCACTGAGGTTTTACCCACAGCGCCACCCGCGTCCCCTTTATGGCATATAACATTTCAAAAGAATGGCCCAGACTGCCAAACACAATCAGGTATATTGACAGACAGGAAACAAGCCACACTCTCAACTTTCTGTTGCAGACAGCCTCTTTCTGTGACCTGGTATGATACTTTTGGGTGGTCTTTGGCTAAGGAGTTGGGCAATCTCTAAAGCCTTTAAAAGTTGTTACACACTCGGTATTATAGGCGAGGATATAAATAGGCAAGATGTTAAATCGTTTTTTTATATGCAACAACTGCGGCAAGAGTATTGATAGCCCAGAAATGGAGACAAGAAGAAATTCTGATGAAAGGAGAATGGCAGACAAAATTAATGGACTATGCAGAATTAGACAAAATGACAGGAAGGACTCGAAACCTGCGGGACCAGAGATTTACAGAAGATTGGAAGAAATATACGAACTATTTGAAGAGCAACTGTAATCAACAAATTACGCTAGTAGGACGACAAGAAGCTTTGTAAGGAGATATGTATGAAGCATTGCAAAGTAGAGAAAGAATAGATATATTAGTTATGAATTAAATGTGGAAGTTAGAAATGTATATTTAGTGAATAGATTGGAAAATTTTCAGATGTGATTGATGGAAGTAAAAAAAAATGGTATAATATATGAAAGTATGTTTAATTACTGTTGAAAATGATATGTTGAAAAACTAATAAAAATTATTTTAAAAAATAAAAAATAAAAATTCAGTTCACCATGTTTTTATACAGCAGTCGTTCCCCCCCCCCCTTTGATCAGGCCACGGTCTGGCCGTGGGTCCTGCCCAGCTGCTGAAAACTGCCTGGTAGGGTGGCTCAGCCTTTTGAGCACCCCTGGCCAGCAGCACCAGGAAGCCCCCAGGGCAGCACCAGCCCCTTACCTTTGCCATGTACTCTGTGACGAGGTAGAGGCCACCCTTCTCCTCCACAATCACCCCCAGCATCTGAACCAGGTTGCTGTGCCGGAGCTGCCTGCAATGAGATTGGCCGGGGAGGGAGGGAAGAGAAGGTGTCATCCACAAGGCACTGGCTGGTATCCGAGGCAGCGCAGCGTAGTTGTACGAGTGTCAGTCTAGGAGCCCTTCAGACCAGGGTTCAAATCCCCACCCCGCTCAGCCACGAAGCTTACTCGGTGGCCTTGGCCCAGTCACCACCGTTTGAGGAACACTCTCCCCAGGGAGGTTTGACTGGCACCTCCATCACACACCTTAAGGCACCAGGTGAAAATGTTCCTCTTCAACCAGGCCTTTGGCTGGTTGTTATTCTAACAGCCTTTTAAATGTGTTTGTGGCAGGGGGTTTATTGTTTTGTTTTATTTATTTTGTGCTTTTATCCTGTATTTTTGTCTTGTGAATCGCCCCAAGATCCTCAGATGAAGGGTGACATAGAAATTTAATAACTACCGTATTTTTTGCTCTATAAGACACACTTTCCCCCTCCTAAAAAGTAAGGGGAAATGTGTGTGATTCTTATGGAGTGAATGCAGGCTGCGCAGCTATCCCGGAAGCCAGGAGAGCAAGAGGGATTGGTGCACATTGATCCCTCTTGCTCTCCTGGCTTCTGGGATAGCCACCCGAAGCCTCTTCAGGGCAACGGGAGGAACGCTCCCCCTGCCCTGAAGAGGCTTGGCACGGCTATCCCAGAAGCCAGAAAAGCAAGAAAGATCGCTGCTTTCGCTGCGCAGCATCCCTCTTGCTTTGCTGGAGAGGCGCTGCGCAGAGAGGGAAAGAATTTTTTTTTTCTTGTTCTCCTCCTCTAAAACTAGGTGCGTCTTATGGTCGGATGTGTCTTATAGAGTGAAAAATATGGTAAGTAGATGACTGGTGGCACAGCAGGGACACTGCTGACATGCAAGGGCCCAAGGGAGGCTGTGGCCCCCACTCCTTTGCGGATCCTGCTCCCAAGTGTTGGGGGGGCCTTGGATACCCCAGGGAGGCCTCCCTACACTCATCTCTCAGAAGAATGTCAGGGAGGACACAGGATGCTGCCCTAGACCAGAGTTGGACCCCTGGTCCATCTAGCTCAGAGCTCCCAACAAGGCCTGGCGGCAGTTCCCCGGGGGCTTCAGGTGCGAGTCTTTCCCATCTCTACTTGGAGATGCCGTCGTGGACTGAACTTGGGATCTTCTCTGGGCAAAGCAGGTGCTGAGCTGTGGCCCCGGTTCAGGGTCTAAGTCATGCAGAAGTCAGTCTGGAAACCTGAAGCCCAACCCGTCACGATGCCCAGCACCCTTCTCCCAACTCTTAAGCAACCCGGGTGCTTACTCTGGGAGAAATCCCATGCGGACCTACTGACGGGCTTTTGCCTCCATCCTCAGTGCTATCAATCTCACTTCCTTGGGCAAACCTCCGTGTCAAGCTGGCGCCCTGCAGATGTTGTTGGACTCTAACTCCCATTCATAGAATCCTAGAAACGCAGAGCTGGAAGGGACCCCAAGGGTCATCCAGCCCAACCCCAGGAATCAGAGCTGGAGAATCCTCAACAGATGGCCAGCCAAGCTCTGCTTAAACTCAGCCAGCATGACCAATGGCCAGGGAGGAATAGTTGTTCCCAGCACCATGCCAGCCTCTCTTGGATGTTTCTGTCCTTCACCTGATGATTCGGCCCTGACTGTTTTTTAAAGAGACGGACAGAGACAGGGAGAGGCTGGACCAGAGGCAAAGGCACCCTCATCTCTGAAGCCAGCTGCCTCAAGGGAGAGAGACAGTGTGGTGCAGTGGTTGGAGAGACCCTGCTCAGCCGTGAAGCTCCCTGGGCGACTTTGGAGCCAGTACTCTTGCCTGCCCCCCTAGCCTACCTCACAGGTTTGTTGTGAGGGTAAAATGCGGAGAGAACTATGTGCTACCATCCCGATCTCCTTGGAGGAAAGACGGTATGGTGTAAATGTGATATATAAATAAACAGATCATCCCCAGTCATCTCAGGCTCACCTGGGCAAGGCTACACCAGGAGGATATTCTGTGATGGCGGCCCTCAAAGAACTCCCTGCAGTCCACCCCCGCACCTCCGCTTCCTTCGGGAGGCCTCTGACCCCCCAAAAGTTACATATTTTTCAGGACCCACCCTATACCCATGAGTGCAATTTGTTTTTAACGCTGGGTTTTTTAAATAGTAACACCCTAGAGGTCCCGGGTCCTAAGGAAGTCAGATTAGCCTCAACCAGAGCCAGGGCCTTTTCAACACTGGCTCCGGCCTGGTGGAACGCTCTGCCTCATGAGACCAGGGCCCTGCAGGATCTGATTTCTTTCCACAGGGCCTGTAAGACAGAGTTGTTCCGCCTGGCCTTTGGCTTGGAATCAACTTGATCCCCTCCTCCTCTTCCTTTCTCCTTCTGTGATGGAACTCCTATCTGGGGACTTCCCTGGCTTTTTTCTGGCCCACGTAGGACCAGTCTGGATAGTTGGCCTTGGTGAAGACTTGACGTTTTCATATCCAAAAAAGGTTTTTGATTTGAGTTCCTACTGAAATGAGGCTGCATTTTAATGTTGTATTTTTTTCTTGTTTTTAAGTTGTATTTCAATCAATTATTTTTATACTGGTGTTAGCCGCTCTGAGCCCGGTCTTGGCTGGGGAGGGCGGGGTATAAATAAAATTTAATAATAATAATAATAATAATAATAATATTAATAGGCTGTCACCAGCCCTGGGACCTTAAGGCGAAATAAAACAAATCAATAAAAATTATCCCTTAAGCTTCTGCCATCATCAGCGTGCCTTTGCTCTCATGCTGGGCTCCCCCTGCCCCACCCCTGCCGGCACTCACGTCATCACCGAGGCCTCAGCCAGGAAGGCCTGGGCGGTGGCGTCGTTCTTGATGCACTTCACGGCCACCTTGTTCCCATGGTAGTCGCCCAGCATCACATCTGGAAAGGAGAAGGGCAATCTGAAGGGGGGTGCAGGGCTAGGAGACGCGAGCACAGGTCAAGGTCCCTTGAACCCAGCCCCCTGCTTCCAGGGAACAGCAGCCAGCAGCCCCCGGGGAGGCTCACAAATCAGGCCATTAAGCTGCCCTCTCTTCTACCTGAAGCTGAGGTCTGGGCAGAGAAAAGGGCTTCTTTGCGCAGCACAGAGTTAAACAGTGGAACTCCCTCCCACATGAGTCCCACTAGATGACTTTAAAAGGGAATTGGACAAACTCTTGGTGGAGGAGAAGGCTGTCAATGGCTCCTGGCCAGGATGGCTATGATGTGCCCTCCACACTCAGAAGTACTAAATGCTTCTGAATAGCAGTTGCTGGAAGCTACAGAAGGGGGAGGACCATTGGCTGTCACATAGCTTATGTCCAGGGAGAGAACACCAGTCCAGAGCCCTTTTCATTAAGGGAGGAACATAGGAAGGGTGCCTCACACGGAGTCAAATCACCTTGGCTCAAGGTGGTTTTACCCTGACTAGGTAGATAGCTAATTTATTACGGTCAAAGACCAGCTCACGTAACATAACACAATAAAAACAGCGTTCATAAAGATAAAATATACAATCGGAGCGGATTGCAGCAATAGCTCATGAGTTAAAATTGAGATATATACAGTGGTACCTCGGGTTAAGTACTTAATTTGTTCCGGAGGTCTGTTCTTAACCTGAAACTGTTCTTAACCTGAAGCACCACTTTAGCTAATGGGGCCTCCCGCTGCCGCCACGCCGTCAGAGCACAATTTCTGTTCTCATCCTGAAGCAAAGTTCTTCACCTGAGGTACTATTTCTGGGTTAGCGGAGTCTGTATCCTGAAGCGTATGTAACCTGAAGCGTATGTAACCCGAGGTACCACTGTACACCCGTATAACTGAGATTTGGGCTACCATAAAAAAAAAAAATGGACCCTGAGGTGCCCCAAAGGGCGACTTCAGCATTTCCCTTGTGAGGTATTTTATTCTAGAGGTTGATCTGTGCCTACAGATCTGGGCGCAGAATCTGGCTACCAGCCAGGTCGTCTTGTGATCTTTGCCTAAGAGGAGAGAATTAAGTTTAGACTTGTCTGAAAGATTGGCGAGCCTCTTCAGCAAAGGATCAATGGTGGCTCTACGGATCTCAACATAAAAAGGATATCTAAATAATATAAGTTTGGGGCTTCCTATTTCCCCTAATGGGCAAGCGCAAAGTCTCTGTGTGTACAGGACTCTTCTATAGGAGCCTTCCAGAACTGGTGAGGGCCAGGGCAAGCTTCTAGCAAGAGTATTTATCCTGACTAGAAGCAAGGGGCCCTGCCCACCTGGAGATGCTAGTGTGGACGCCTTTTGCGTCTGAAGTGGGCCCTCATGAGCTTCCGAGGTTCTTAGCTGAGCCTGGCTCAGGAGAACAACCGGCTGGATCAGGCCAATGGCCCATGTAGTCCAGCGTCATCTTCTCACAGTGGCCAACCAGATGCCTGCGGAAGATCAGCAAGCGGGATTCGAACACAAGCCCTCTTCTCCCCTGTGGCTTCCAGCAACTGGGATCCAGGAGCACTGCTGCCTCTGGCCGTAGAGGCAGAGCACAGACATCATGGCTAGCAGCCATCAATAGCCCTCTCCCCCATGAAATCTGCCTAATCTTTTAAAGCCACCTGTAGGTTGTTGGCCATCACTGCCTCGTGCAGAAAGGAGTTTGGTAATTTAACTATGTGCTGCATAAAGAAGTCCTTTCTTTTATCTGCCCCAACTCCTTGAGCATTCAGCTTCATAGGATATCCATAAACTTTGACCATGACCCTTAACAGAGCCATATGGGGGGGGCAGCCCTGACTTCCCCAGCTGCCAGGAGAAGAAAGATCTCCCTGCGCCATCACTTGCCATCACTGCCCGACTCACCTCCGAACTCCCCTTTCCCGATGATCTGCAGCAGTTTCAAGTCCTTCATGTTGAGGGACCACCCGCCTGGAAGAGGGCAGAGATACAGAAAGGGAGAGGAAGTCAAATAATAATAATAATAATAATAATAATAATAATATTTATTTATACCCCGCCCTCCCCAGCCAAGACCAGGCTCAGGGCGGCTAACAACCAATAATAAAAACAAATAAGCCACGCGCCAACTCCCACGGGAGCCCAGCCCAACCAAAGGGCCTGCCCAGTCCTGGCGCCATGCTCACCGCGTGAGAACTCGTCCTGAGCAGCCACTGTGCCCTCCATGACCTTTGGCTTGATGAGGCGAGTGCAGAGCCCGTCAGGATCTGAGGTGTAGTGCTGCCAAGTGGAAGGGGGGGTGGACAGGGGGAAGAGAACGTCAGATCAAACCAGAGTCCAGCACCCGGATGCCCCTTCCCCACCCAGAGGAGCAGGCTGGCTTGGGTGCTGCTGCTCAAAGGCACCCTGAACGCCTTTTCACGGGGCATCCACCAGGCCTTACTAAGCACCAGCCCTGAGCACCTCTGCAAAGGAGGACTGGCCCCCTTGACATGCTCGCCAGCAGGTGGGGTTGGACTCGCCGTGGCGAACGGAACTGCTGAAACTCGGGAAAGTGCCGCTCTGACTTTCTGAAAAGCACATGCTCCAGAATAAGACTAAGAGCACATATTGATATAGGAATGGATTAGATAATATGTAAAGAAATATACAGGTACGCGGGTGGCGCTGTGGGTTAAACCACAGAGCCTAGGACTTGCCGATCAGAAGGTCGGCGGTTCAAATCCCCACGACGGGGTGAGCTCCCGTTGCTCGGTCCCTGCTCCTGCCAACTTAGCAGGTCGTAAACACGTCAAAGTGCAAGTAGATAAATAGGTACCACTCTGGCAGGAAGGTAAACAGCATTTCCGTGCGCTGCTCTGGTTCGCCAGAAGTGGCTTAGTCATGCTGGCCACATGACCCGGAAGCTGTACGCTGGCTCCCTCGGCCAATAAAGCGAGATGAGCGCTGCAACCCCATAGTCGGCCACGACTGGACCTAATGGTCGGGGGTTCCTTTACTTTTACCCTTACCTAAAGAAATATACAATAATAAGAGTACATTCATTTGTAAAAAATGAATATACAACAGGAAAGACAGGAAGTCTAGTGTGTTGGTATTTATATGATCTTGGGGGGAGGAATTGTTTTGCTTTTTCTCTTTGTTCTTTCTTTTTTTTCATATTCTTTCTAGGTATATAAAATTTGTATATAATTTATGTATACATGTTGGAAATTATATTATAGTAAGTCCTGTAACGTAATATGACAACGCTTACCGATGTAATATAAGAATGTTAACAAATAAATAAAACGCAAATTCAAAAAGAAAAAAGAAAAAGAAAAGAAAAGCACATGCTAAACCACCCGGCTGCAGCCCCTTCGTGCAACCTCCTATCACAACTGCAGAGCTGCCACATCAGAGTCGAGTGACTCCTGGCCCAGAAAATAACCGCCAGAGCAGTGGAGGCTGGCACTTGAGGGCAAGCGGGCAGCAGCAGCAGCACCAACCTGAAGGAGCGTCTCCACCCCCATCGTTCTGCCCGGACACTGAGGTCCAGCGCCGAGGGCCTTCTGGCGGTTCCCTCACTGCGAGAAGCCAAGTTACAGGGAACCAGGCAGAGGGCCTTCTCGGTGGTGGCGCCCGCCCTGTGGAATGCCCTCCCACCAGATGTCAAAGAGAATAACAACTACCAGACTTTTAGAAGACATCTGAAGGCAGCCCTGTTTAGGGAAGCTTTTAATGTTTAATAGGTTATTGTATTTTAGTGTTCTGTTGGAAGCCACCCAGAGTGGATGGAAAACTCAGCCAGATGGCGGGGTATAAATAATAAATTATTATTATTATTATTATTATTATTATTATCATCATCTCTGCTGCCCCCACTTGCCTTCTCACCTGAAGTCAGCGGTCCCTGCCTGTTGGCTGCCCTCCCCCCCTTTTGCAGAACTCACCCAGGAGGCGGAGGAGGGTGGCAAAACTAGAACTGGCAGCTTGCCATTGTCCATTCCCCTGCTTTGCAACAGCCACCACAGTCCCAAAGGGACACTCTGCAAGTTGCATGCAGGAAAATCAGCAAGCAATCTTGTGGTCAGATTTCTTGTGCTGGAAGACTCTGAAGCAAACGCTGCCCTGGACGGGTTAGTCTTCCAGAGAGGCGTCGCAAGGTTTTTTGGGATAGGAAAAGCGGGGGGAGGGGGGAGATAAGGAAGAGGAGAAGCCCAAAGGCAAAAACCTGGAAGCTGGGCAAGGTGGGAAGGAGTTTGGGGTAGAATCTCTGTCCTTGGAACTCCCTCCTAGAGAAGCCAGACTGGCTCCCTTCTTGCTGTGCTTCTGACATCAGCTGAAGAATCCCTTGTTCCAACAGGCTTTTGGGAACTGACTGTCTGTCTGGAAAAGGCTGGTGCGGGGATGTTTTTATTATAGTTATCTGAATGTTTTAATACATCATATGATAAGAGTGTTTTAATTCTATTGTTTTTTAATGACTGGTGCCCCTGTTTTAAGCTGATTCTATTTTATCTGTAAACTGCTTTGAGTACATGTCTGGGAAAACGGTGGGATATAAATAATAATAATGGGGAAAAGATGTAGGCGCTGGCTCTCCTCCAGTTCCTTGAGGGCTGGGAGTTTTGAGGCCTGTCAGAATCCCTTTGAGACAGGGCTGTAGCTCAGCAGAGGAGCATTGCTTTGTGTGCAGAAAGAGACAGGAGTTACTCTCCTCCAGCATTTCCATGGAGAAAGATGCCTTCTTGGTCTTTTTATTTATTAACATTTATACACCGCTTGATTGTAAAACAAAACAAAACAAAACCCTCAAAGAGTTTTGCAAAAAGATTAAAAAAAAAGAAAATCAAGGGGGAAAAATAAATATACAAAAGGTTAAAATACAAAAACAGATTAAAATTCACACCAGCATTTCTAAGCTCATCTAAACAAGAATGTTTTCAGCAGGAGCCGAAAAAGAGTCTGGGGAAGGCGCCTGCTTGATCTCAAGAGGCAGGGAGTTCCAGAGTCTGGGTCCTGCCACACAAAACAACTGACTCTGTGCAAAGGCAGAGTAGGCATCACACGGCCTTGAGCATCTTTTGTGCTGATTCTACTGGTATTCTGCTTTATTACGACTTACATTGCTGTAGTTTTATTATTGAAAGTTGATGTTACTTGTGCTTTACAGTTACCCTAACAGTGGGCCCTGATAATAAAAATAATTAAGTCTATTCTATTTGAGGGAGGCTGAATGGAATACACACACACACACACACACACAGAGTGGTACCTTGGTTTACAAACTTAATCCATTCTGGAAGTCCGTTCTTAAACCAAAACTGTTCTTAAACCGAGGTGCGCTTTCCCTAATGTGGCCTCCCGCCGCCGGCGCCCTTCCACCGTTCGGATTCCATTCTTAGACCGAGGTAAAGTTCTCAAACCAAGACACTATTTCCGTTTTGTGGAGTTTGTAAACCAAATCATTCCTAAACCAGACTGTTCTTAAACCGAGGTACCACTGTATCCCAGCCAGATGGGTGGGGTAATAATAATAATAATAATAATAATATTCTTCAAAGGTCTGTTGCACATCTCGCCTGGTTGCAGTGGCGGCATTCCCTCACAAGGGGGCAGTAGGAGGTCGACAGTGGCCCACCGCCCTACATTCTGTGGGTTCTGCAGTATTCTTACCCCAGGAGAGCAGCTTGTGGGGGTGTCCTCCTCTGTTGTGTGAGAGGGGGAAGAGGCGTTTCACATGGGCTCACCTATTTGGAAGGAGGGCCCCTGACTCCTCTGCTTCTTCCCCCCATCCCAGTAAGCACATGGTCCTCTCCATACACCCACACCCTGGCTGCGCCCCACACCTGCTCTGCAAGTAGGGCACTTTCGGAATTGCTCAGAGCATCTTCCTGCCTCTGCAAGAAACAGGAAACCCTCCACAAGTCTGAGCTTTGCAGGCTGTGACCGCTGAGCAACCCTAGGTGGAGGGCAGGGGCCCCCGCTGATCTGGCAACGCATCTAGCAACAGCCCAGCTCCCTCGCGCTGGCACAAAGGGTGGCAGCTCAGGGGCACAGCACTCTTGATTTTATTATTATTATTTTTTAGATTTTATTGACACCATTCACATTAACACACCATACAGAAAAAGAAAATAAAAATTCCATCACCGCCAAAGCAAAAAGAAGAGAATTAATACATCAACTAATAACCTTCAAAACATAAAATAAGAGAGGTTTTTTTCTATCAACCAGACTTCCCGTCTATTCCTTATGACAGATTCTGTATTATTTGTTCCCTGCCACTGCATAACTACGGTAGTAAAGGTAAAGGGACCCCTGACCATTAGGTCCAGTCGTGGCCTACTCTGGGGTTGCGGCGCTCATCTCGCTTTACTGGCCGAGGGAGCCGGCGTACAGCTTCCGGGTCATGACTAAGCCGCTTCTGGCGAACCAGAGCAGCGCACAGAAACGCCGTTTACCTTCCCACCACAGTGCACTTTGACGTGCTTGCATAATGGCTGAATAAATGATCAGAATGGCAGCAACCCCCTCTGGCCCACCTTTGGACCACGAGGCCGCTCTGAGGCAGGGCGGAAGCACACAGGCGGCAGGGCAGAACTGGCTCCACCGGTGCGTTTGCTGCCTGAACCTCGCTGTTGCCCCGTTCCAAAGGGACGCCGGCACCGGGAAAGCGATTCTGCAGCTCTGCCCGACTTGGCCCTGCTCCTGCTGCCCCCCTTGCTGAAGCCTCACCTCCACCAGCTGCATGAGGTTCTCAAAGTAGACTTCCTCGTCGATGCTGAGCTTGCTGGAGGAGTAGATGATCCGGTAGTGCTCCACTTTCCCCTCGCAGCTGACGCAGAGCGTGTAGTCCCCGGGGTAGTTGGTGCTCTCACGCACCAGGAAGAGGCCCGTCTCCGGAGGGTAGAGGAGCCTCTCTGCCTGCTCCCGCGTGATTTTCCCATGGAACCAGCTGGGGGTAGGAAAGGAGGAGGGAAAGAGAGATGGAGAGAGAGGGAAGGAAGAAAGAGTGACCACGGCAGTCTCCACGAAGCCCACATAGTAATAATAATAATAATAATAATAATAATAATAATAATAATAATGATAATTTATTATTTGTACCCCGCCCATCTGGCTGGGTTTCTCCAGCCACTCTAGGCAGCTTCCAACAAAGATTAAAAATACATTAAAATGTCACACATTAAAAGCTTCCCTAAACAGGGCTGCCTTCAATTGTCTTCTAAATGTTAGGTAGTTGTTTATCTCTTGGACATCTGGTGGGAGGGCGTTACACAGGGCGGGTGCCACTACCGAGAAGGCCCTCTGCCTGGTTCCCTGTAGCTTTGCTTCTCGCAGTGAGGGAACCGCCAGAAGGCCCTCAGAGCTGGACCTCGTAACCACAGGACCATAGATAGCACTGTAGGTCTGGAAGGGACCCAAAGGGCCACTCAGTCTAACCCCTCCCCCCACCGGACAACACAGGAAACATGGCCAACCATTTTTCTAACACTTCCATGGGACAGCCTAGAGATTTAAAGCCGGTTGATTTATCTGTACACCCAGCCCAGGCTTGTTTGTTTATATTTACTATTTCTTTATTGCATTTACATCCCTGCTTCTCCAAGGAGCTTAATAATAATAATAATAATAATAATAATAATAATAATAATTTATTATTTGCACCCCGCCCATCTGGCTGGGTTTCCCCAGCCACTCTGGGCGGCTTCCATAGAAACAAAAAATACAGTAAAATATCACAGATTAAAAGCTTCCCTGAACAGGGCTGCCTTAAGATGTCTTCTAAATGTCAGGTAGTTATTTATCGCTTTGACATCTGATGGGAGGGCATTCCACAGGGCGGGCGCCACTACCGAGAAGGCCCTCTGCCTGGTTCCCTGTAGATTTGCTTCTCGCAATGAGGGAACCGCCAGAAGGCCCTCGGCGCTGGACCTCAAGCGGTGCACATGGCTCTTCTCCCTGCTCCTTGTGGAATCCCCACAACAACCCTGTGAGGTAGGTTAGGCTGAGAGGCAGCGACTGGGCCAAGCTTGCCCAGGTGAGCTTCATGGCTGGGCGGGGGGATTCGAACCCTGGTCTCTCCCACGCCCTAGTCCTACACTCTAACCACTGGCTCTCCGGGCTCAAAGTTCCCACCACTGTGCTAGCACCATTAGGAAGATGCAATGCCTTCTTGTCTGTAATGCCCACACTGAAGGAAGGAAGGTTGCATCATACAGCCTCCAACAACTAGGAACTGATCCCCAAGCTAATACATTGTCATATCTGTAACTACATCTGTATCTGTATAGTTCTATTTATTGGCCTGCTGATTCTGCACATGTGCAGAGAGCCTTCACTGAGAAAGAAGCAGGTCTGTTGTGTGCCAGCACCCCTGGGAGTCTTCCTGTCGTTTGTCACAGATCAGGTCTTGCATGTCATAAGAACATAGAATCATAGAGTTGGAAGAGACCACAAGGGCCATCGAGTCCAACCCCCTGCCAAGCAGGAAACACCATCAGAGCACTCCTGACATATGGTTGTCAAGCCTCTGCTTAAAGACCTCCAAAGAAGGAGACTCCACCACACTCCTTGGCAGCAAATTCCACTGTCGAACAGCTCTTACTGTCAGGAAGTTCTTCCTAATGTTTAGGTGGAATCTTCTTTCTTGTAGTTTGGATGCATTGCTCCATGTCCTCTTCTCTGGAGCAGCAGAAAACAACCTTTCTCCCTCCTCTATGTGACATCCTTTTATATATTTGAACATGGCTATCATATCACCCCTTAACCTCCTCTTCTCCAGGCTAAACATGCCCAGCTCTCTTAGCCGTTCCTCATAAGGCATCGTTTCCAGGCCTTTGACCATTTTGGTTGCCCTCCTCTGGACACGTTCCAGTTTGTCAGTGTCCTTCTTGAACTGTGGTGCCCAGAACTGGACACAGTACTCCAGGTGAGGTCTGACCAGAGCAGAATACAGTGGCACTATTACTTCCCTTGATCTAGATGCTATACTCCTATTGATGCAGCCCAGAATTGCATTGGCTTTTTAGCTGCCGCGTCACACTGTTGGCTCATGTCAAGTTTGTGGTCAACCAAGACTCCTAGATCCTTTTCACATGTACTGCTCTCAAGCCAGGTGTCACCCATCTTGTATTTGTGCCTCTCATTTTTTTGCCCAAGTGCAATACTTTACATTTCTCCCTGTTAAAATTCATCTTGTTTGTTTTGGCCCAGTTCTCTAATCTGTCAAGGTCGTTTTGAAGTGTGATCCTGTCCTCTGGGGTGTTAGCCACCCCTCCCAATTTGGTGTCATCTGCAAATTTGATCAGGATGCCCTTGAGTCCATGCAAAGCACCTGCTGGATCAGGCCATTAGCTCACCTAGCCCAGCATCCTGTTCTCACAGAAGCCACCCAGAAGCAGGACCCGAGTGCAAAAGCATTCTCCAAATGTTGTTCCCCATTATCTGGTATTCAGGGATAGACTGTCCCTGGGCATGGAGGCTCTGCTATCACAAGAGGCCTCCATAAGAAGAGCCCTACTGCATCAGGCCAAAGGCCCACCTAGTCCAGCATCTTGTTCTCACAGCGGCCACACAGATGCCCCAAGGGAAAGCCCACAGGCGGGACCCGGTCTCAGACCTCTGAAGAATACGCTGTTCTGCTAATTGGAATCCTGGAAAACGGCAGCCTTTCCCTTATTGCGGAATGCACTGATCTGTGGTCGACCTCAAGGGTGTCCATGGCCTGCACAACTCAACCCTAAGGGCTGCACCCCCCCAGGCCATGGCATTTCTCCTGCAAGCACAGACCGCAGGATCTCCTGCACTGACTGGCAGCGACTCTGCAGAGTTTCAGGCAGGATTCTCCCCCAGCCCCACCTAGAGAAGTCACTGAGGATCGAACCTGAGCTATGGGGAGCATGGGCGAAAGAGGCAGGAAGTGTGGGGGTGCTTACTGAGGGGAGCTAAGGGCTGGCACGGCGCCACAGACTGAGACAGAGAACTATACTAGTATACAGTGGTGCCCCGCAAGACGAATGCCTCGCAAGACGGAAAACCCGCTAGACGAAAGGGTTTTCCGTTTTGGAGGTGCTTCGCAAAACGAATTTCCTATGTGCTTGCTTCGCAAGACGAAAATGTCTTGCGAGTTCCTGCGGGGTTCCCCCCCCCCTTTTTCCCAAGCCGCTAAACCGCTTATCAGCTGATGGCTAAGCCGCTTATCAGCTGATCTTTAAGCCGCTTAACTGCTGATGCTAAGCCGCTTATCAGCTGATCGTTAAGCCGCTTATCAGCTGATCTTTAAGCCGGCTAAGCCGCTAATACTGTAGCGCTAAGCCGCTAAACCTCTAATGGGCTTGCTTCGCAAGACGAAAAAACCCGCAAGACGAAGAGACTCGCGGAGCGGATTCTTTTTGTCTTGCGAGGCACCACTGTATCTGCATTCAGACGCCCACTCAAGTCATGCTGCCCTCTGGGTGGGCTTTTCTCAGCACAGCCTAACTTGCAAAGCAGCTGTGAGGATAACAGGGAAGGAAGAGGAATCTGCATGTACTGAACGGGTGCTGGCTGGCACACCTTTCCCCAAAGGCCCTTGTGTTCATCTAGGCCAGGCCTATCCAACCGGGCGCTCTCCTGGACTGCTGCTCCCGTGATGCCTGTCTACTGGCCACACTGGCTGGAGCTGGTGGGAATTGGAGTCCCAGTTGAGGCCAGATGCCCCAATCTAGAACCCCTCCCCAAATATCCCGGTGCTCTCAAGATGTTGCTAGATTATAACTCCCATGACGCTGATGGGACTGGTGGGAGCTGGGAGTCCACAACACCTGGAGGGCACCAGGTTGGGAAAGGCTGATCCAGCCGTCTGCCCATGCCCTCCTCTCACAGCTGTGCGCAAAGCTCAGCTCAGCAGGCGTCTCCCATCTGCCCGGACTCACGGCATCAGGCTGAGCTTGGTTCCGGCTTTCACCCCTTCCCGCTTCTGCACGTAGTTGGCTGGGATGATCCCCTCGCGGCCCACTTTGTTCTTCGCTTTGTACCAGTTGGGATCCTGGCAAGAGAAAGCAATTGTGAGCGTAGAAAATCGTGGAGTTGGCAGGGACCACCAAAGGTCATCTAGACCAACCCCCTGAAAAGCAGCAATCACAGCAATCCTAGCGACTTTCCAACACCCCCAAAGGTGGACTCCTCCATCGTCTCCTCAGATGGATGCATGCAATGAATACATCCAGCGCTTTTTTTCTGGAAATAAAGGTGCCGGTACTGTGTATCCTTGAGCACCTCCAGAAAAAGGCACTGAATATATCTATATGCTGTTGTTCATTTAAAAGAAGACAGCAACTTATACATAATACAATTAAAACCATATAAAAATCTATGACCAGAAATCAGTCCTGTTTTTGTGGATCCCCTTTTGTGCTTCACTTGTGGAAAATGCACAGTATATAAACATACAGAATCTCTTTCCTCCATCGTGGGCTGTAACGGATGATTTACAGTCTCGGCTTCTGCCCCTGATGGGCTTCACGTCCCCCTCTCTGTCCTCTCAAAATTCACAGCCACCAGGCAGCTCGACACTCTGCCAATGTTTAGCCTCTTCTCACAAATACGGTGGCTGAGTCTGCAAATCCTCTCCCTGGGACTTGACCAAGTGGCTTACTCTTGAAGAACTTTAAATAACGCTCACATCAATTAAAACATATTGCTTTCCCTGTCCCTTTTCAGGTCGCTAGGGAGGGAAGGAAGATCACAGCTGCAGAAGGAAATGCCTGGATCTTGCGGATAGTAGCACATTAGCATCATGTGAAGAGCTCTCTTGGAGCCAAACAAATACCTCCATCTCGTCCAGGATCTGGTTGTGACAGGGTCCAACCAGACACACATGAGAAGCCCACAAGCAAGATATGAGGGCAGCAACGCTCTCCACCTGTGATTCCCCGGGCACTGGCACTCAGAGACATATTGCCTCCGACACTGGAAGCAATTTGTAGTGCCCATGAGCAGGGAGAGGCAATATCAGTTTTTCAACAACGTGATGTATCACCAGCCAAACACCGTGATATAGCGATACATTGCAAGGTTGAAAAGCAGAGGGAGGAACAAGCTATATTGGCCTTGGCGCCTTGTGGCTCATTCCTCCCTCGGTTTGAGGACCAGAGCACAGTGAGTCAGGAGCAGCAGCAGTTTCACCTGCGATATACTGCTCCATCATGCTCTGGCCCTCAAACCAATCCTGGGTGGATGTATTGATGCATCGCCCAAGCCTAAGTTTTATTGCTAGTGGGTAGCTAGTCGGTCAAAGACTTTCCATTTGGGCTCTCCTCTGCCCCATCCTTAGAAGGGGCCCATCCAGTCCAGAATTCTGTTGCCACGGTGGCCACGCCCCAAGGGGGAGCCCACAAGCAGGACCCGAGAGCAGGGGTAGGCAACCTATGGCCCATGGGCCACAAGCGGCCCACAGGCGTTGTTTACCTGAACACGAGCCACCCACTCAGCAAGTCCCCGTGCACTGTGCTAAACTGGCGCGGCGCAGGGACTCACTTCCGCAGCGTCGGAAATCACATGATGCCGGAAATTGCGTCTGCGCAGACACCAATGCTGGAAATCGCAGGCTCTCATGGGCGAGCGCAACCCAGCCCACGGAGGGATCTCTGCTGGAGTGAACTGGCCCAGGCGAGGTAAACCTTGTGGACCCCTGCCCTAGAGCAACAGCCAACTCTCCCCACTTGTGATTCCCAGCAACCCATTTTCAGAGGTCTACTGCCTCCAATAAAGGAAATAGTCAGCTTTGCTGATGGGCAAGAAAAATGAGCCCCCCCACTCCCCAACTTCTGATTTCTCCCTGGTACCCGAGACGGGTGGGTTACCTTGGTGACAGAGATAATGGTGAGGACATCCCCTTTGCTGAACGGGAGGTCCTGATCTGCCGTGCCATGGAAGTTGTACTTAGCAATACATTCCGTACCAGATGGCCAGACGGCCTGTGGGAGAGAAGAGGGACACGGCTGACTCAACAGGGTCTTGGCACTTCACAGAATCGTAGAACTGGAAGGAGGGACCCCAAAGGCCATCTAGTCCAACCCCCTGCAATGCAGGAATATCAAATAAAGCATCCCAGAGAAGTCTAACTATCGATCCATCTTCACAGGGATTTCTGGGAATTGTAGCTCTGAGAAAGGGAAGAGGCAACCTTGCCAAACTACAGGTCCCATAATTATTTGAATGCTTTTGACTATTTAATGTGATATCATGGTGGTTTAAATGCATGGTGTGAATTTGGCCTTTGTGATTATGTACAATTGTTTCCGAGAAACAAATCTGATTGACAGACAGACACTGGTCATCTAATTCTCTTTTGGAGGACTGAGGGGGGGAACCTAAGAGACCGAGGAATTAGGAGAAGAGGAGGACTTCAGAGCACAGCTATCGCCTGGTAAAAGAAATCCGAGTCTATTAAAATCAAATGGGTTTTGATTGTCTTTTTTTCTGAAACATAGCTGCAAAAGGATTGAAAGGATAGTTTTGAATGGAAAACATGCTTGCTTTTTTTTTTTAAGGGAAAAAAATACCAGGATGGAGATCCAGGGGCCCCCTAGATACTGTCAGACTACAATTCCCTGCACCTCCGACTGCTGGGCTTTGGGCCAACTGAAATGTGTCCTTGAACTTTGGCAACGACCCCACCTCATCCACCCAAAGCAGCAACATACCAGCCTATGGAAGGCACCCCTTCCCACCTAACCAGCTAATTAAATGTTGCAGCCCAGATTCACATTAGGGACGGCAGAGAGGGCAGGGGAGTTACACCTTTGGGCTCTTGCACACGCCGCGTTCAAGAAGCCACACGCCCTGCTCTCAAAAACGATGCATCTGCAAAAGCTGAAGACTTCTGTAGATTCAGGATGTTGTGCAAAATTCAGAACCTCTCAACCAGAGAAGGGGGTGGGGAGGAAGAGCGCAAGTGCTCCCACCTTTGCACAGCACTGAAACCAAGAGGTGCGCACACCCTGCCCCGGTTCTCTAGAGGAGCAGACCAGCGTCTGGGTGCGTCTCAAAATCGTGCTTATTACAAATGCACCCAATGGTTTGATTCCTTACTTAGAGGGGTGCTAGCAAATCTCACAGCATTTGCCCTGCTGAGCGCCTGGGAAGCTCTACTAGGAAATTGTTATTTGAGATCAAGAAAACCACACAGATCCGCAGGGCTTGAAAACTTTTTTTTAAAAATGAGCTTTCTGGGTGGGAAGGGGAGATCGCTTGCTGGTGTACTGTGACACCCCAGTAATTATTCCAGGAATGGATCACAAGCCCACCCACTTTTGTACTTTGAAATCTTGCCCCGGTCCCCCACTATTCACTTGTCCCAATACAGTCCCCATGTAAAAGATGGGGGGGCTCTTAAGCACCAGGAAGCTGCCTTGTTTCGTCAGAGCATTGGTGCAACTGGTCCAGTGCTGTTGACTTTGACCGGCAGCAGCTGCCCAGAGTCTCAAGCAGAGAACATCTCCCCATCCCTTGTGAACTGACCCCTTAACCAGAGATGTTGCTTTGGGGTGGGGCCCCAGACCTCATGTGCCCATCTCCTCCTCAGTGTCATTTTTAAACACACAGCCAAAGCTACTGCTACTCAGAGCAGACTCATTGAAATTAATGAATGTGGCTACCTCCAGTTCATTCATGTCAATGGGCCTGCTCTGAGTAGGACTAGCATTCGCTATAACTCATTGTAACTTGTTCTGGGAGACTTCTAACAGCAATAATTGTAGTAAAAGAACAACTTCTCCTAAAATCAACGCGTCTATGATTCTATATGGAGAGCCTTTTCTCGCCTTACCTGCATTCCTGACATTTTCTCAGGGGGTTCTGGGGACTGGATCTCACAAGAAGGACACGTCACTTGGTACCATGAGACCTGGGCAAGAAAGAAGAAACCTGAAGTCACGCTCCACTTCCTGTGAGCAGAGAGCATTCATGCGCACAGACATGCACCACCACCTTCTCTCCTCTGAGAGGAGAGAGACCCATGGAAGCTGGGAAACCAGGACAGCTCTTTCCCCCTACAGCATCATTCTCTCATTCAAATCATCTTTCTCTCTCCACATAATACTAAAAACATTGTGACATCAAAACAGCAGTGGTTTGAAACAATGCAGAACATCACACATAAAAAAGCAACACTCAACACAATACAAGTTTTCAGGGTTCATTTTAAAGCCAATAAAGTAAAATTCCTATGTACCTCCCTAGGAAAGCAAATTCCACAGGTATGGAGCCACCATCAAAAAGGCCCTGTCTCCTGTGCCTGCCAGTGTGATGGATCTCAACAGCCATTCTTAAAGCCCAGGGCAGGTTCAGGTGGGTTTACAGTCCTTCAAATAACCTGGTTCCAAAAAGTCTAGGGCTTTAAGAAGCCATTACCAGCACTTGAAATTGGGTTTGGCATCTTATCATTTGTGGTTGTGATATAGAAGTCTCCTGACAGCCTGCATGTGTGTCAGACATCCGGACTTCAAATCCCTCCTCAAGCAAAATCAAGCCACACCCCTCACAAGAACTAAGAAGAGCTGCCTGGATCCAGCCAGTCGCCCCTTTAGACTCACAGCGGCCGGCCAGGTGCCCCAAAGGGAAGAAGTCTGGATCCAAGCACAAGAGCAACTCTCCCATCTTGCGCTTTCCAGCAACTGGAATTCAGGAGAATTGCAGTGGAGGTACTGCGTCGCCATCGTGGCAAGAAGAAGAGAAGAAGAAGAGTTTGGATTTGATATCCCGCCTTTCACTCCCTTTAAGGAGTCTCAAAGCGGCTAACATTCTCCTTTCCCTTCCTCCCCCACAACAAACACTCTGTGAGGTGAGTGGGGCTGAGAGACTTCAGAGAAGTGTGACTGGCCCAAGGTCACCCAGCAGCTGCATGTGGAGGAGCAGAGACGCGAACCCGGTTCCCCAGATTACGAGACTACAGCTCTTAACCACTACACCACACTGGCTCTCAGTGTGGCAAGGAGTCACAGACTTCATTCTCCCCTTGAATATTTATCAATCATTGAAAACAATTGATGCTACATGAGCAATGAAGCTCTGTAACATTGAAACTAGCAATATCACATCATATCATTTATTACCTGCGCTTTACCCAGGGCAGGTTACACCATTAAAAACAATTAAAAACAACTTTAAAACTAAATAGCTCTCGCTGCTACAGAACACATATAAACATAACACTCTTTTCCCAGCTGAACAGCCAGCCCTGCACCCAAGTAAGATGAAGAAGCTACAGGCTCTCTGCAGTGGGAAAGGTTTTACCTGCCCCAGGAACCCCAGGAGAGGCTCATGGGGACAGATCAGTGCAAGCAGCTGCCCCATTTTGGCTCTTTCCTTCAGCTATTCCTCACACCCCACACAGCAGCCTCCCACAGGGTAGACCCAAGACCTGCCAGTTACTTAAGAGAGAAAGACAAAACTCCAAATCTTTCATGGTTTCTTCCTCCCTGTCTCTGTGACTGGTGTCCCTTGACATACGGTTAGTTCTACAGCGCCCAGAGAGGTTTGGCAGATGACCATCTTCAGAAAATGCCGAGGATCCATTAGAACACCACTGATTGTGAGGGGAAAGCTTGTCAAGAATAGTGAGCGAGGGGAGAGCACTGTTTGGGGGGGTATCTAAGGAGGTGTGAATTATCAGTCTGCAAAAAGGGGCGAGGACCCGCAAACCCATCTTTTGCTCCAAAAGCAAGGGAGCCAAGAAGCTCTGGACCTTCAAAGGCGGCTGAGCTCCAGCTCCTCTCAACCTCAGCCAGGGAAACTGGAATTCACCCGCCCCTGGAGGCCTACAGGGTGCCCACCTCTGCTTTGAAGTGCGAGGCTGGGTTTGCACAAACGGTCCACATACCTTGAGAGCCACCTTTCCTTTTCTTCTTGCCATGCCCAGGCCCCATCCCCTCCTCCAGAGGGAGGCAAAAGAACCTTCAGAAATGTCCCTGAACTTGAAATCCAGCCTACGATGCATTCAAGTGAAAGTGCAGAAAAACCGCAAGTGCCCAGCGCAGTCTTCTAGGAGAAATGTCACCTAGAAGTGTGAAATAAATTGAAGTGCTCTCCCTTTCTGCATCCTAACCCAAAGTCACAGAATCCCTAAATATTCTGGAAGATGCAGCTGCCCAGCTTTATGTAATTTTGTTATCCAAGTTGCTCACAGCACTTGAAATGATACAAGCTGATGGGCTTTTAAAAAATTTATGCATTGCTCCATCATCACATTCACTCTCTGAGCATTTGCCCCCTTCAGTTGTCTAAAGCGGGGGGGGGGGGAGGAGAGAGCTGAAACCCCGCAGAGTTGCTGCATTAGAGCTACCCCGCAACCACTAGCCTTGCTGGCTGGGGCTGGTAGGAGTTGGAGTCAGCCACATTTGTGTTAAAATAAAGTGCTTTAAACAAAAAACAACCCATAAACCCTTTACTCAACAGCCTTCCTTTCTTCGAAGTTTTAATTTGTTTGCCTCCCACACAAAATTGAAGTAATTTCCACCTTCCAGCTGAAATCAGCAAAAGAGTTTCAAGTGAAAGCTTGGGAATAGCTCTATTCTTTTCTAAAAGGTGTGTCGTCCACTTTCCTTCGCGAGGATGTGCTCCATGCTTGTAAAGCACCATGACCGCAGCATGCTATTAAAAACACAGGAAAACATACCCTGTCTGACGGCAAAAAAAGGGCTGTTTATGCCCCAGTCACTCTAAGCTGCTTCCAACATAGTATAAAAGCACAGCTGTACATCAACGATTGAAAACTTCCCGATACCTTGAAGGAGACAGCTCAAATATGAAGTCCATAACATTTGTCAAAATAAAAATGTGCTCATAATTTTTATTAGTAAAATTCAGAACCTGGTGGGCTTCCATTGCAAAGTATTTTCCCAGCTGCTGAGCACCCTTACTGCGCACCTGCGGCAGGAGCTCCTACAAGTCCTTTGCACGTTCCTCACAGGTGAGCATTTTCAGGGGCAAACCCTTTGCTTTAAGATGCAATTGCAAATAATGATTGCAACTTCCCTCAGCTCTGACCATTGGCCATGCTGGCTGCAGCTGATGGGACCTGGAATCCAAAACAGTCCGAATAAGATGCTCAAGACGCTCACAAGCACTTTCTTGTTTTCCTCTGAGCCCTGTATCTTTCCTGCACTGCGTTTTGCCTAAGCCTGAGGTGCTTACTCTTTTTTTTTTAATGATATTTATTGAAAATTTTTTAGAATTACAAAAAAGAACAAAGCAGAAAAAGAAAAAGAAGAAAAAAACAAAGAAAAAACAAACCACATCAAACAATACATATTCAAAAAACAAAAATACACAGCAAACACACAAAAACAAATCCATCATTCTCGAATCCTCAACTTTCATTACCTTCTTTCTTTGACCTCCTCCTCCTCCCTTTTTTTGTATCCTAGTTGTTAATTGTCGCAGCAAATCCTTTCCATATTTCATAATATTCTGTCATTACATTACCTTAATCTATTTTCATCTTATCTTATAAAGAACCTTAAAGCTTAAAACTTGAATCTTATTTTTACCAACTTCTCGTAACCATAATATTCTTACCTAATTCTTTAAACATTTTTGCTAAAGCCAAGTAATTTCATTCCAACATTTTTCTAACATTCATCAATTTTATAAAACAATCCTAATAATAAAAAAAAGAAGTAAAAACAATCCAATCTTCATCCAGCGTCCCTTCCTCCTGGTCACGGGTTTTGTCAGTCCTTTTTATCCCATTAATCTAGCGCATTAACCTGGTAACCTTATATCCGAGGCCCTTAAGTCCCTTCCATGTCCCTTCCGCGGCTCTTCTTCATATTCTCCTTTCACTCGTGGGAACTCCAGCTTGGCAATGTTTTTGACCCTTTTCAACAAATCAGCCCCTTTTCCATAGTCCAGACTAAACTCCATGTGGTATTTAAAAACATGTTTCAGAATCCCTCCAAAATTAAGAGCCCCCACAGCCTCAAACACCTCACGGCCCATTGCCAGACTTGAAAAGTCCAAACATCCCTGCATAGGGGGGTCTATCCAACCCCCCATTTCCAAACCAAACCAAACTTTATCTTTCCAAATCTGGCTTTTTCCAACTTCATCCACCTGTGATTTTTGAAAGGGTCCCCGCTTCACCGTAGCGGAAAAGACCCGTTTCGCGTGGAGCTAGTCCCTCCAGATCAGAGGGAGTCCGCCATTGCCGATGGCGCCACCCCGGAAGTCCAGCCTGAGGTGCTTACTCATTTAATGTTAGATTTTTAATCAACTAAAATGGTAGCCCCTTTCATTCACCCCAAAAGGTGACAAATCACCGAATCACAGAACTGTAGAGTTGGAAGGGACCGCAAGAGTCATCTCATCTTGGCTGTGAGTCCTGGAAAACCTGCTCCCTGCCTTGCAGGTCCTTGGTGGTTTGATAAAGTTATGGTGCTCTTTCTGCAATGCTCAACCCTGGCCACCACCTCTTTTGTCCTGCCGAATTTAGAAGTCAGCTTGCCTTTCCTCTCCTGCTCCACAGCTGCATGTGAGAAATCTCTCCCCCCCCCCTCCCTGGGCCACACACCTGTTTGCTGCAGCGCCTGCTATATTTAGGATCTCACTGTTCCACTCTCCAAGGGAAGCCCCCCTCAAGACCAGCAGCTGTTATTCATAGCAGCCAGTGCTCCAATGCATCTGCTTTGACAGCTGTGTGGCAGCACACTTGCCCAAGGGCTGAAGACGGTGCCCAGAGGCAGGCTGGCAAAGATGCCTGCAAGGAAGGGGCAGCAGCCCTCGGGAGGACAAGGCAGACCGCAAGACGTCCAGAGGGAGCTTCTCAGCAGCTGAACTACATCAGCAGCTGGGACTCCGGGGCAACCACTGTGTGGACCAGGATGCCTTTCTGTTTGCCACCTGCCAGACTGAGCTTCACAAGTAGGCACCAATGCAGGCTGGCAGAGGATTAAAAGGGACCTCATGGACCATCAAGTCACACCGCCTGCCAGCAGGAAGAAGCCTAAACTGTCACTAACCTTATTTTTATGCTGGTTTCTATAGACCTGGCCAGTGGCATGCTAATGTAAAGCAACTGCTGGATCCGGCCCATCCAGTCCAGTCCAGCATCCTGTTCTCACAGTGGCCAACCAGAAGCATCTATTGCAACAGCACTCTGTCCCTTTGTGATACCCAGCAGCTCGTATTCAGAAGCATTTACAGTGGTACCTTGGGTTACATACGCTTCAGGTTACAGACTCCGCTAACCCAGAAATAGTACCTTGGGTTAAGAACTTTGTTTCAGGATGAGAACAGAAATTGTGCTCCGGCAGCACGGCAGCAGCAGGAGGCCCCATTAGCTAAAGTGGTGCTTCAGGTTAAGAACAGTTTCAGGTTAAGAACGGACCTCCGAAACGAATTAAGTTCTTAACCCGAGGTACCACTGTACTGCCTCTGACAGTGGAGGTGGAACATAACCATCACGGTTAGCAGTTACCAAAATCCACAAACTCCACTCAACTGTTCCATCTATTGCTGATGTCCAGGTTGCATGTGCTCAGCAGGAAATCCTCACTTAAGATCTATACATACAACAAGTGGTACCTGCAACAAAATGCTGTCGTGTGGGGTGCTCCTGTTTGGGATTCAAGCAGACCACGCCCTTTCCCTGAATATCCCCCCTCTTCCATTCTTTCCTGCCCTTCACTACCCCAAAAAACCATCTGGCACCATTCCATGCTAACTGAGAAAACTCACTGGGCTGCTTTATCTTTTTTTGTGGGGGGAATATTCCCTCTTAAATATTCTTCTTTATTTCTGCAAAAAACCCAAACCTGCTAATTTCCCCCACGCACACACTTTGCACACAATGCAAGGACCTAGGCTTGGAGACTGAACATGCTAATAGTACTAGGATTCGGTCCACAAAGGTAACACCCAGACATGATTAACTGGGAGGCCCTTAAAACTCAGCCTTCGCAAGGGGAAGTGAGCAGCAGAGGCAGGCCAGCCGGGCTTGACAGACCCACCAGCTGGGTTACAGGCTCCTCCGAACAAACCCCACTTTGTCTGAAGCGCCTTGAGCCATGCGGAAGGATGAGATCACTGGCAAGAGGCGTCCATCAGACAAGGGACCTTCTCACTCCCCTCCACCTCCTTCTGAGATGGAGAAAGGCGTAGGTAGGTGATGAGGGAAGACGGGTTGAGCGCTGGCCGGTGCCCAGGATTTGTGCAGGAGAGAAGCACTTGCTCCAGGGGGCAGTCACAGAATCGTAGAGTTGGAAGGGATCCCAAGGGTTGCAGGAATCTCAACTGAAGCATCCGTGACAGAGGGCCATCCAACCTCTGCTTAAAAACCTCCAAGGAAGGAGAGCCCACAACCTCAACTGTTCCGCTGCCAATCAGCTCTTACTATCAGAAAGTTCTTCCTGATGTTTAGTCAGCAGCAGCAGAAAACAAACTTGCTCCATCTTCCATGGGACAGTCCTTGAGACATCTGAAGGTGGCTATTGTATCTACTCTCAGCCTCCTCTTCTCCAGGCTAAACATACTCAGCTCCCTCAACTGTTCCTCATAATCCTTGGTTTCCACTACCCTGATCATCTTTCTTACCCTTGTCTGCACACGTTCCAGCTTGTCAACATCCTCCTTAAATTGTGGCGCCCAGAACTGGACACAGTGTTCCAGGTGGGGTCTGACCAAGGTGGAATAGAGTGGTACTATTACTGGCCAAGAAAAAAACCTGTTTGATGGATCTCTTCACACTGAGGCCTCATCCACACTTTGGGTGGGATTCAGCTAGGCTGCTGCATGTGTGGAATGAGGTCTATTCACACAAGGGCATGTGCCCACTCTCTCCTCCCTTCCACAGCCCCTAAACGTGCTCCAGAGAGGTAGGGAAACCTATGGAAAAGGATAAGGTGCAAAGCATAAGGAGGGCAGGAGGGAGGCCTGCTGTGCAAAGGCCTCATTTTTGCCCCCATACCTACTTAGTGGCACGTTGAACTCCACCCTGCCCATTTAAAACCACTTTGGCTTCTGCCGAAGAGTTGTTAGGAGACCTCCGCTCACAAAGAAACTTCTCAGAGGGGTTCAACCTCCAATCCCCCTCCCCAGAGAACTCTAGGAATTGTAGCTCTGGGTGAGCCAGAGGGGTCTCCTAGCAACTCTCAGCACCCTTTTCAGACTACTGTTTCCAGGATTCCCTGGGTGAAGAAGCCACGACTGTTCCAAGTGGTATGATGCAGATTGAACTGTAGGGTGAACACAGAGCCCAGATCCACTCTGGGCTTTGGAAAAGGGGTGTTTAGTCAAAAGCAACAGTTTTAACTTTCCATTCTCCCTCAAAAAACCCCCCATCTATCTGAACAACCCCTCCCCAAAGTCCTCTGGAATGAGGAGGCAGGAGGATGTCTGTGTTGTTGGCTCTCTTTGCCTTGTACCATGAGAGCAGGCTTGGGGAACCTCAGGCCCAAGGGCAGAATGCAGCTCTCTGAGCCTCTCTGCACAGAACTTGGGGTCCTTCCAAGGTCACCCCCTCAGTCTCCAGACCACACACCCCAACGATCATGTTCTGCACCCTCTTTAGAAGGTCATTGATAATGCCTCTTGCTTGCCCAGATGGAGGGCAGAGAGACAAATTGCAGGTGCATGTAGAAACCCCTTGACTTTTACCGCAGAATCATAGAATCAGAGCTGGAAGCAGTGCTTGAAACTGCGCAGGCATTTTGCCAGGCGCTGGTCCAATTGCAACCACGTAGAGATCTCTGGATGCCAGGATGGCAACCGTGCAGCGCTGCAACAAATGCTGCACATCTTGTGCTTCTGTGCTGTTGCGCGAGTCAGCTGGCTCACATGGCAGCAATCCTAGGCGCACTTTCTTCATGGTAAGAGAGTCTTATCTCATGCCCCTTTGGGACACTTCCCCTTGCCCCACACGGGATGCTTTTTAGGAATAAGGGGAGGGTGCCCTCTGCCCTCCTTCAAACGGCCTCTGCACCTTCTGCCCACCATGTAAGCCCCAAAACTGTCTGTGTCTTCTGGGGACTCAAAGAAAGAAGATGAGAGAGTTGCCCAGGTAGAAATGAGAAGTGCTTATTCACTTACAGTAGCACAGAGCAAACAGCTCCTGTTGGCTTCTTTTTGGTTCAAGAGGCTAAAAATAGCAGGAAAGAGGAACAGAGATAAGGTAGAATCACGGGGCCAGCAGAACAAAAAGCGAGAGAGAAACCATATATTTAAAGTGGTACGGCACCAAACAGGCATGGCTTCGCCCTCCCAAAGAATCCTGGCTCTGGTTTGTTAAGGGTTCTGGGTGCTGTTGGGAGACCCCCTTCTTCCCCTGCACAGAACTACAATTCCCAGAGGGGTTAAACCATAAATCCCTCTTCACCATTTGTTAACCATACCTGTTTACCTTATTTTTCGCCCTATAGGACGCACCGGCCCATAGGACGCACCTAGATTTGGGGGGGGGGGGGAAATAAAGGGGGGGAAATTATCCCCAGCCCCCTCCCAGGCGCGGGGCTGGGGAAGCCCAAGCTTCCCCCGACCCCAGCCCCGAGAACGGGTCCCAGAGCGATGCCGAAGCTGAGCTCAGCTTCAGCATCGCTCTGGGAGCTTGCGCAACCTTTGGGAGCCTGGCGCGGCTTCGCGCCGGGCTCCGGGGGGTTGCGCGGAGCTGCGCCGATCCTGGGAGTGCATAGCCAGCATGACTATGCCGCTTCTGGCGAGCCAGAGCAGTGCACGGAAACGCCGTTTACCTTCCCGCCGGAGCGGTACCTATTTATCTACTTGCACTTTGACGTGCTTTCAAACTTCTAGGTTGGCAGGAGCAGGGACCGAGCAACGAGAGCTCACCCCGTCGCGGGGATTCGAACCGCCGACCTTCTGATCAGCAAGTCCTAGGCTCTGTGGTTTAGCCCACAGCACCACCCGCGTCCCAAATAATAATAATTATTATTATTATTATTATTATTATTATTACTACTATTTACTAAATTTGTATACTGCCCTATACCTACAGGTCTCAGGGCGGTTCACAAGATAAAATCACAATATAAAAACACAGAATACACAATCAAAATAAAAACAAGAACAACTCAATAACTCACCCCAACATAATTTAAAAGGGCATTGAATGTCAGTCAACCAAAGGCCTGGTTAAAGAGGAACTTTTTTGCCTGGCACCCAAAGGTATATAATGAAGGTGCCAGTGACTGGCCCAAGGTCACCCAGCTTCGTGGCTGAGAAGGGATTTGAACTCTGGTCTCTCTCAGGTCTTAATCTGACCCTCTAACCACTACACCACCTGAGAGAGTCAGCTTGCTGCTGCTAAAAAATACAATAACGCTCAATAGGTTTTTAAAAGGGAACTGGGCAAATGCATGGAAGGCAGGTCTATCAATGACACCGCTAAATGAAACCTCCGTGTTCATAGGCAGTTTATCTCTGAAAAGCAACTGCCAAGCAGCGAGGGAGGAATGCCACCTTCATGGCCTGTTCCTCATAGGCATGTCATTGGCTCCTCTGAGAAAGAGAAACTGAAAGATTGGTGGCCTGACCCAGCCGGGCTTCCTTTTACATTCTCTCTCTTTTTTTAAAAAAATATTTTGCATTCATTTTACATTCTCGTGAATATTCACATTAGTAAGTCACCTGGTTCTGCACTCTGCGGTGAAGAGCAGGTGAGCTGGGCAGGAAAAAGGATGGGGGAGGGGGCAGCAGAGCTCAGACCCCCAAGGATCTGTGTTTTGATTTTAAAAATTAAAAACAAGAGTGAAGTTGTCAGTGGCCTTTGGCAACACGATCACAGCCAAGCAGGTTCCTAGACTAGGTGTCCACGTCAACGGCCAAAGTCCAGACTCTCTACCTTTGGCTCTGGGGAAAGAGATGGATTCATGCTGGAGTAGAAGACGTAGAGAAAGCTCTCACTGCAGGATTTCAGTAAAGGTAAAGGTAAAGGTACCCCTGACCATTAGGTCCAGTTGCGGACGACTCTGGGGTTGCACACTCATCTCACTTTACTGGCCAAGGGAGCTGGCGTTTGTCCACAGACAGCTTCCGGGTCATGTGGCCAGCATGACTAAGCCACTTCTGGCAGCACACGGAAACGCCATTTACCTTCCCGCCAGAGTGGTACCTATTTATCTACTTGCACTTTGACGTGCTTTCAAACTGCTAGGTGGGCAGGAGCAGGGACAGAGCAACGGGAGCTCGCCCCTTTGCAGAGATTCGAACCGCCGACCTTCTGATCGGCAAGTCCTAGGCTCTGTGGTTTAGACCACAGCGCCACCCATGTCCCCTGCAAGATTTCATTACAAGCCCCCAAAGGCTTGCTGGCAACCAAGGGAGAGGCTTGAAGGCTTGCACACCCCATTCATTCAAAGCACGCCCACACCCATTCAAAAATATTCCTGGGAACTACAATACCCAGCACCCTCAACTGTACATATAAGGCACAGAGCACCCAGCGTCCCCCAAATAATTCTGAGAGCTACAGTTTGCTAAGGGTGCTGGGAATTGCAGCTCCATTGAGGCAAACAAACCCTCCCAGGATCCTGTGTGTTTTCAGTGTGCTTTAAACACAAGGTGCAGTTGTGACCCCAGCAAGAGGGAAGAGCATGCTTTCACAACACAGTTTTTGAATGTGGTTGCCAGCCTGAACTCCTATACCAGGAAATGCAAAAACGTCCCCATGGTAGCCGCCCGGGAGTGACGGCAGCTCAGAAAGCACCGTTTGTTCGGAATTAATCCCGGGCTTGTCAGGCTTGTCTTCTTCTTTGTCCAGTGGTTGATTTGTTTAAGAAATGCAGTTCAGTTTCACAAATTCAACACCACTTTTTTTTTTAAAAAAAAGTATTTTTTTTACCCTCACCCCGCTCAAATTCCTGCTTGCCCTCTGGAAGCCCAGGTTCCCTGTCCCTTGCACAATGTGGCCCCCAGGCTGTGGGACTGAAACTGGTTTCCAAACCCAGGTTTAAGGACACTCTTAACCAGCTAGTGCTACATGCACCAAACCATGGTTAAAGGGGAATGGGAGACAGGCTGCAACCAGTGTTTGAAATTAGCCAGGCATCAAGCGCATTTTGCACCTTGTTTTCGATCATTTGCGACCAGCTGAAGGTGCCTGGGTGCCAGGATGGAGCCTGACATCTTCACCATCTGGGGATCATAGTATCTGGACTGTTTTCACACACTAATTGCCCATATTGTAGAATTCTATCAGTTGTATTTTATCTGCACAATCGGAATGAATTTCTGGAACCAAATTGCTATCCCTGTGCAACCTGAGCAGGAGCAGTCACCCTTAAGAGAGAGTTCAGAATAGCCCAATATATATGTGGTCTGTCCTTGGATCAAGTGACTTTTCTTTAAGTTCTCAAACCTAACTCAAGATTGTCATCTGAACTGGCCAGATGTTTAACTGAGAATCAATGACAGTCCGTCCATCATTTGAAAAATAAGACTTTAGAGCCGTCTTACCCAAAATTGGCAACTAGACATTCCGTTTTGGCGACTGCAATCTTGATTTGGAGCCATTTGACGCCTAGCTTAAATATCTGAGTTTTGAACACTGGCTGCATCATGGCTGCAGACCCGAAAGCATCGCTTCTTTGCTGGCCCACAGAGAAGGCATTCCTTATTCGGAAGGACAGTGGTTAGAACACATGTTTGGTATGTAGAAGGTCAAAGGTTTGATCCCCAGCAACTCTAGATAGGGCACTTTAAGCAATCCTGGCTTCCCCCAAAGAATTCTGGGAGCTATAGTTCATTATGGCCCCTATTACCCACAAATAGCTACAATTCCCAGAGTGGCTTAACAATCAGTTCCTCCTCCCAGGGAATTCTGGGAATTGCAGCTCTGGGAGGTGAATAGGAGCCTCTTAACAAACTCTCAGTGCCAATAACAAACTACAGCTCCCAGAATTCTTTGGGGGAAAGTGGTACTGTTTAGAGTGGTATCCTAGCACTTTGAATGCATGGTGCTGATGAGGCCAGTATTTAAAATGCTGGGAAACTACAGCCACTTGATATAGAGAAGACAACACTGAATGAGGCGGAACAATGGCCTGACTCTGAAGTGGACAGCTGTTTCGTGGTTCTGCTGGGTCTCTCAGCAGCTTTTGATACCATCAACCATGGTATCTTTCTGGGCCCTCTAGGAGGGCTGGGAGTTGGGGACACTGTTATGCAGTGGTTCCACTCCTTTTTTCTGGGTCAAGTCCAGAAAGTAGTGTGGGGTGTTTGGACCCCTGGGCGCTGACTTGTGGGGTGCCTCTCCCCCATGCTTTTCAACATCCATATGAAGCCACTGGGAGAGATCATCAGGGGGTTTGGGCTGGGTGTTCATCAATATGCAGTTCCACCTCTCATTTAAATCGGAACCAGTGAAGGCAGTGATGGTCCTGTGTGGGTGTCTAGAGGCTGTTGGAGGGTGGATGGCAGTCAACAGATTGAAGTTGAATCCTGACAAGACAAAAGTACTATTTGGGCAGGCAGGGTACGGGGACTGTCTAGATCTGAATGGGGTAACTGTACCCTTCGACCAGGTGCGCAGCCTGGGAGTCATTTTGGACTCACAGTTGTCCATGGAGGCACAGGTTAATTCTGTGTCCAGGGCAACTGTCTACCATCTCCATCTGGTACGCAGGCTGAGACCCTACCTGCCCGCGGACTGTCTCACCAGAGTGGGCATGCTCTGATTCTCCTGCTTTGAATACTACAACGCACTCTACGTGGAGCTGCCTTTGAAGGTGACCTGGAAACTACAACTAATCCAGAATGCGGCAGCTTGACTGGTAACCAGGAACAGCCGCCAGGACGATATAACACTGGTCCTGAAAGATCTTCATTGGCTCCCAGTATGTTTCCGAGCACAATTCAAAGTGTTGGTGCTGACCTTTAAAGACCTAAAAGGCCTCGGACCAGTATACCTGAAGGAGCATCTTCACCCCCATTGTTCAGCCTGGACACTGAGGTCCAGCTCCGAGGGCCTTCTGGCAGTTCCCTCCCTGCGAGAAGCCAAGTTACAGGGAACCAGGCAGAGGGCCTTTTCAGCAGTGGCACCTTCCCTGTGGAACGCCTTCCCTTCAGATGTCAAGGAGATAAATAACTATACAACTTTTAGAAGACATCTGAAGGCAGCCCTGTTTGGGGACGCTTATAATGCATGACATTCTGGTGTGCTATTGTTGTATTTTTGTATACCCTGTTGACAGATTGGCACTAATAATAATAATAATAATAATAATAATAATAATAATAATTATTCCAAGAATTCTTGGCAGGAGGCCACCTGACCTCTGCTTAGAAACCTCCAGGGAAGGAGAGTCCACCACCATCTGCTATTTCAAGCAGAGGTCAATACCCCAGTAGAGATGAGGTTAACACCGGGCAGAGCTAGATCCTGCAGTCCAGGCCTGAGGGCCCCACCCTTGACAGCTGCTCTCAAAAATAGAGAACCGTGCAGACTCATGAAATTGTTGGAGTTTGGTTCACCCCCCCCCCCCGAAGTGCACTGCAAGTTTGGGGGCAGTGCAGAGAGGGGGGTGAGAATAATCCTCCTGCCTTAGCGAACGAAAACTCTCCGTCTGCTAGGGATTAGGATAAACTCTTCCAAGCGAATGTGATTATTTCACATCTGGCTCCCAGGGAAGCCTTACGTTTTCTGCCTGGGCATCTGGCAGAGCCTGGAGTGGGAGGCTGAGAGGATGGGAGCTGTGCAAGGGGGGCACCTGACCAGCGGTGCTGGGAAGAGCCCGTGAATGAAGGCAGGAGAATGTCTGGTAACACGCTGGACCAATGGGCCATCCATGCCAGTGTTGCTACACTGACTGGCAGCAGCTCTCCAGATTTCAGATGAGGGTCTCTCTCAACCCTTCCAGGAGGAGCCAGGGACTGAACCTGGGACCTTCTGTATGCAAAGCAGATGCTCCACTGCTGAGCTATGGCCTTTTCCTCATGGAGACGGCCTGGCCCTTTAAAAAAAAAAAATCTAGGCCACAGAGTGCTTGTTTATAAATTTATATTCCGTTCTTCCTCTCAGGGAGCCCAGGGAAGCAAACACAAACGTGACAAAACAATGCAATTAAAAATAAGATAAAAACATATTTTAAACCAATTTTTAACATCTAAAAAACATGTAAAACAGTAACAAGTCATTTAAAGACATATAGGGCAACAGTCTTTTAAAAATATATAAAGATACAACTAAAGGTGTTAATCAGGAATCTAGTGCGGTGCTTTAAAAAGCCCCCTATTGTAGCCTACTGTAGAAAAGTGAGGGGGGATTCTTATTATGCTATTTTTATTATTTACGGCCCTGGCCCTAAGGTCCAGGAAGAGGTTACACAAATTTAAAATGCAACATAAAAAACTGTTTTTAAAAAACCCCTTACAATCACAAGAAATGCAGTAATAGAAAACAGGGGGGCTCCAATTTACCTCCCTTGTTCTGTTCACCTTTGCCCTGCCCTCCCTTTGACCTGCATCCCACTGGCCCCCCTCCAACCAGGAAGGGGTTAGGGTCCTCGTGGTGGAAAAGGCCCCCCAACCCTGCCCTAGCCTCTAGGAGTTCGCTTTTTTAAATTTTCTCTTCCACTTTTCATAACTGCTCTTCCTTCCTTTGCCAGATCTATTTTTAGGCCCTGCAAGACAGTCAAAGATTCTCTGAGCAGAGAGGGCAGCAGATGGAGCCCCAAAGCCCAGGATCAGCACAGCAGAGGGTGGCCGGAATGAGGGACATGTCTGAACTGCGCCACCTCGGACCAGGGAACAGCCCTTACATCCCAATATAGCATTCTTGTTCCGAAACACAGCCTCCCTCCCTCCCCACAGGACAAAAACCAGGCCCTGTAGCCACAAAATGAACACATTTCCTCCCTGTCTCCAAGTACTCTAACTCTGGACCATCTCATGAAGTTGAGAGACTCAGGACAGACAAGACCTGCAGCTGGTGAGAGTCCCAATACACCACTCCAACCTTTGCAATCCTGCTATCCTCCAGCTGCTCCAAGCGATGACAACTCTCAGCTCCAGCCCCAAACGGCCAGGCTGACAGGGGCGGATGTGAGTAGCAGTCCCAAGCACCCAGCGGGCACCAGACTGGTGGCCAAGAAAAGTAGGCTTCTTGCCAGTCAAACTGCTGGCCCACATCACGCCATAGTTCTCCCCACTGACCAGCTGCAATGGCTCTCCAGGATTTCAGGCAAGGGGCTCCCCCAGCTCCCCCTGGAGTTGCCACTGGGGATCAGGCATAGGGCCTTCTGCATGCCACGTAGCTGCTCCACCACTGAGCCATAGCCCAACAGAGCATCTTATCGAAACAGGAGCAGGACTTGTGTGACTCAGGGAGGCCAGCCAGCTTTTGAAAGCATCTTAAATCAGGGGTAGGCAACCTGAGGCCCAGGGGCCGGATGCGGCCCAATTGCCTTCTAAATCCGGCCTGCGGACGGTCCGGGAATCAGCATGTTTTTACATGACTAGAATGTGTGCTTTTATTTAAAATGCATCTCTGGGTTATTTGGGGGGCATAGGAATTCGTTCATAAAGCTAAAGACAGAGGGAGAGAGAAATGGGCATAATCTGTGCTGACAAACTCTCTCTGCCTTTGAGGAAGGGTATCTGGTTCAGACTTGATCCTTCAACTCCTTTCTGATTCTCCCCTGCTATGCCAAGTGGCCTACGGGACAGGGAGAAATCCTGATAGGAGAGAGAGGGGTGCCTGGGGGGAGGAGGGTAAATGCAAGAATGACTCATGGTCTTGGGAGCAAGGATGGAGGCAATCGCTATTGCGGAGAGGGATTCCATCCTATGCTGGCACAACAAGTTGTGCAGTTCAACTTGGTGCTGAGACCCTTGTGCAACAAACATGCTTCCCCCGCCCCGTCAGACTTTTTGCAATAAAGGAAATTTACAGGGAGACACACTGGATAACCCTTGTTTTGATGTAACGGAATCTAACTCCCCAGCAAACAATTTGGAAAGAATGTGCAATAAAGTGTCCAGAATCTTCCTAACAACACAATCACTCAATTCTGCATTGCACCCTCTTCCCTTTAAGGAGCAAATCTGGGCACGTTGTTTTGGAAGGAGCATCTAGAGAGCTTCTTCCCATGTGGCACAGCAGACAGTACCTGGAGACCTTGGCCCAAATCCCCACTCGGCCACAAAGCTCATCGGGCAACCTTGCGACCCTCAAGCCTACCTTACAGGCTTGTTGAGAGGAGGGGAAAGGAGTGCAATTGGGCTCCTTGGAGGAAGGTAAAATGTAAAAGGGGGAAATAATAAATGCTGCCTGTGAAATACAGTGCTTAAGAGCAGACTCTGCTCCTGGAACAGCAAGAAGCAACTGAGATGAGAGCATGTGCAGAGTGTTCACCCCTGAACAACAGCTGGCTCCCTAATACCGGAGATTAGAATACCTTCCAGGAAAATAAGGGCTGCCCCCCCCCACAAGCACCTCTTACATACAAATGTACAAATAATGAAGTGTATACAGCTGGATGAGAAGCTGGCACACAGCCAAGCTCCTTATTCGAGGTCAGGCTGTTTGGTCCACCTAGCCCAGTACAGTCTGCTCTGAATGGTAGCAGCTCTCCAGGGTTTCATGCACAGACCTTTCTGATCACCTGCTACCAAAGCATTTTAAGTTAGAGGTTGAGAGTCACTGGCCTGTGTGTGGCCCTTTGGGCCTCTTCACCTGGCCCTCAGGACTCTTCCTAAGCCTGACCAGCCCTCCCTCACAATCTCTGCAAGTGTTGTTGCCCAGCAGGAATTTGCCCCCGAACTCTGAGAATGCCTATGACTTGCCTGGAGGGAGGAGCATGTGTGTGCAGATGTCAAGGCAATAAACAACTATTTTACTTTTTAAAGACAACTGAAGGCGGCCCTGTTTAGAGAAGTTTTTAATGTCTGATGCTGTATTGTTTTTAATATTCGGTTGGAAGCCGCCCAGAGTGTCTGGGGAAACCCAGCCAGATAGGCGGGGTATAAATAACACAGTCATACCTCGGGTTGAATATGCTTCAGGATGAGCACTTTCGGGTTGCGCTCCGCGGAAGTAACGGAGCGTGTTACTTCTGGGTTTCGCTCAAAATTACGTCACGCACATGCGCGGAAACAGAATCACAACCCGCACACATGCAGTCGCGGGTTGCGTTTTCTTCAGGATGTGAAATGGGCTCCGGAACAGATCCCATTCTCATCCTGAGGTACTACTGTAATAAAAAATTATTATTATTATTATTATTTGCAAAGCAAGCCTATCGTCCAAAAAGGTAAGGTTACATAGAATTGTAAAGTTGAAAGGGACTCCCAAGGGCCATCAAGTCCAACCCCCTGAAATGCAGGAATCACAACTAAAGCATCCGAACTCTGACATCCAACCAATGTCTGTCACGACACTCACCTCTGCCCCTGGTTGGGCCCACCGCTATCAGCATATGGCCCCTGGGTGGCCGCCCATCAATCAATGTGGGGAGGAGGTACCCCACCCCTGTCAGAATGGGAGATGCCAGCAGGGATCAAAGTGGGGCCCCTTTGCATGCCAAGCAGGTGTTCTCTACCCACTACCATCCCTCCGACATGGCCCTGGCCCTGCCCAACCCCACTCCCTCCCTCCGCTGCTGTTGCTGCTCTCTTCCAATTACCTGTCAAGGCGGACATGACCAGCTGGGAAGGAAAAGTCTCACCTGCCACCACTCCCCATCGCCCTCCAGGCTGCGCCTGCCCTTCTGCACAAGCCTCGAAGCCCCACGCAGCCGGCCTCCTCTCCCACTTTCTGCCGATTCAGAACCTCCCCGTTTGGTAGCGCCCAGCATTCACTGGGTCCATGTGGCGATGGTGGAGGAGGAGGAGCGCTGCGTCGTGGGACTCAGCTAGCAGCTTCTCGGTCAACTTGAATTACAGATGAATTTTTAAAAGAAGAAAGAGGGAAAGGAGGTGGGCTGGGAAGAGGAGCAGCAGCAGCAGCAGCAGGGATGGATCTTGCAAAAAAGGGGAGAAAAAGGAAGGTGCACTTACAAGACCAGAACAGAAGCTGAGAAGCATCTTGTGTTATATAACAAGTGGAGCAAGGAACCAACGATACATGACAACTGTCGGGGTGCACTTGGAAGACGGCTCCACTTCAGACACACACACAAACACACACACACTCACATCCTCTTCTCTCTTGCGGCTCTGGGGAAGAGGGAAGGTGGGGGAAGGGAGAGCAGGCGAGAAGCAGCAGAGAGCCTGCCTGCCTGCAGCAGCCGCGGCAGAAAAGCTGAAACTGCGGTAACCCAGGATTCTCACGCCGCCCGCCAGTTCTCCGGAAACGCCACAGGGACCAGCTCCACGGCAACTGCCCACGTCCGCCAGGGGTGGTTTCAAAGAGCCGTTTGCCGCCGCCACAAGCATGCACACACCAGGATGGTAGAGTTGGAAGGGACCTCCAAAGGCCATCCAGCCCAACCCCCTGCAATGCAGGAATCAGAGCTAAAGAATCCCTGGCAGAGGACTGCTTAAAAGCATTCCAAGGAAGGTTCCTGCCCTCAGGAGCAGCAGAATGCAAGCTGGCTCAACCTTCAGCCCTACAGACAATGGAAAGTGGTTCCCGTATCTCACTCTCTCTCACACACACATTCTTCCATGTTGCAAGAGGCCAGCTCACGCAGGCTGGGCTCCCACCCCCCAGGCCCAGTCCAAAGAGAGGCTCTTCCTCAATATGGTGGGGAGGGGAGAATAGAATAAGGGCAATTTCACCTGCAAGCCTTTGGTTCTTTTTTCCAAAGCTGCAGCAGGATCCAACATCCGTTGAAGCTTGCCAAATTGCTAAGGATTAAGAGTGAATCAAATCTGCAATTTTATTTTATTTTTTGTGGTGGTGGGGGAGCCAGGATAGGGGAGGGGGGAATGGAAGGAAGAATACAGAGCACTAAAAGGGAAGAGAAACGACGGCTTTTGCATAAAACAACAACAGCCCAGTGTACTTTCCTTGATTCCAAAGGGGAAAAAATATGCATGGCTTGGCAGGAATTATTGTTCTTATTGTATTTCCTCAGTGCCGCAGCAAAAGGGGTCCATGCGATAAGCTAAAAGGAGGGATTTTATTGTCCTGGAGGAGTGACTGAAGACCCCAAGCAGGCAGAGGTTTGGAAAATGAACTCTGGCCGTGATAATAAAGGTGCATAAACTCCTTGGGAAGGTCAAATGGGGAGAACTGTTAGCCCAGAGGCAGAGTTGCTGCTTGGAATGCAGAAGAACCCGGGTTCAAGCCATGGCTGCATCTCCAGATGGGGCTGACGGAAACACTGAGCCCCTGAAGAACTGCTGCCTGTCAGTGTGGACAATATGGAGATTAAGGGGCCAGTGGCTGGCCTTGGCCAAAGTCAGCTGAGCAATGACTTGAACCCAGCTCTCCCTGACCCTGACTGCCCACTAAGGAAGAGGCTTTTGCCACTAGGGACTGCTACTGCCCCCATCCTGACACTTAGTTTTCATTTTTATTGATGGCATTTACTGCACAGTTTAACCAGGTCTTTGGCTGATGAACATCCTAACACCTTTTAAATGTGGTGGTTTTTGTTGTTGTTTTGTTTCGATTTGGTTTTATATTCGTATATATATATGTATTTTGTGTTTTTATATTGTATTTTTTACCTTGTGAACCACCTTGAGATCAACGGATGAAGGGTGGTATATAAATTTAATAAATAAATAAAATACAAATTTATATCCCACCTTCCCTACAAGGAGCTCAAATAAAATGCAGCGAACGTGTGACTGCTAGGGGAATCCAGGAGAGTGGGGTGTGGTGGAAGGGTCCAATCCTTCCCACCCCCAAACATACTTTTTATGTGCTAAATTGTCTTGAACCCTGTGAGCTCTGTTTCAGAAACTGCAAGCACAGATCAGGACTTTTGGGATATTTTGTTCGAAATTTCCTGATGTCAGTAACAAGCTCTAAGTCATTTGCTGGTCTTAATAAGAAAATATCCATGTTTGGATGTATGGCATTCACACAGAGATCTGCATGTGGTTCTGTTTAGAGCATGGGTAGGCAAACTAAGGCCTGCGGGCCAGATCAGGCCCAATTGCATTCTGGATCCAACCCGTGGACGGTCCAGGAATCACCGCTGGATCGCCAGCTCACATGTTCCTTCCCTCTCCCTCCCTCGGCGGCGACGCCACCTCCTCCTTCCCTCCCTCCTCTTGGCTTCTCCCTGCCCTGCCTAGAGGAGGAAGGGGGCTGGGCTTTGTTGGTAACAGCAACAGCAGCACTCCAGTGGCTGCCATTTTAAGCAGCCCCTCTCCAGAGCTTCATGTGCCACTCATCGCCCCCCGCCACCGCCGCCAGCTCCTGCTGCTCACAAGAAACAGGTAAGCAGCCACCGGGACTCATGGTGCTCTTGCATCATCCCCCCAATATAGTCCTGCCCCCCACAAGGTCTGAGGGACAGTGGACCGGCCCCCTGTTGAAATAGTTTGCTGACCCCTGGTTTAGAGTACCGTATATCTGGAATGCTGTTAATGTGTACATTTGGCATGTGCTCCTCGCAGAGGTGAACCGGGTGCCCACTCAGGTGTCTTCCCCGATGCCAAGAAGAGGGCCTTTCCTTCCCATTTCCCCGGGTTTCCTCTCCTTTTAAATGTCAAGTCTTGCTTTATTCTGTCTTGTGTATTTAATGCTACTTTCACCAATTTGCTATTTTAAGCTTATTTTCACATATTACTCTCATCTGCTTTCTAATGGACGGTTTGCCAACATGGGGGTGACGTTCATGTCTTTCCCCTGGTGCCCACAAAGTCTCTGAACCTTCTCTTTTTCACTGCCCCCTCGGTATGAGTGGTTACCCTTTCTTCCTTTGAGAAAAACCATGGAACTGAAGGAGGAAGTTAGAGCGGTGACCCTGTCCTCTCCCACTTCCCTCTTCCAGCTCTATGCACTTTCCAAGGCTTCAATTAACTCTACTCCACCACCCAGAGGGCATGGCACCTACTCAAAAATCCAAATGGGCCTGAAAAGGTAGACAATTCCTGTTTATCATAAGCTACTGAGATAAATTCACTGAAGGGAAAAGTCTCAGTAATATAACTTGATGGAAGGGCAAAGTTAAAGTCTGAATAATAAATAACATTTATTTAATAAAATTATTTAACAGATATTTATTGTGCCTTTCTTCCTCAGTATGAGTCACTCAAGGTTTCTTGCAACAACATCCAGCACTTTTTTTTAACAGAAGCACTTGTCAACATTTTGGGTGTCATTGATCCCATGCTCTGGAACACTATTCCAGCAAAGATTCGGCAGACATCCTCGCTTTTGTCTTGGGAACCGACAAGCCTTTGCAGCTGTTTATGCTTTTAGTTTTGGTTAGGCAGTCATCTTAATGATAATCTGCATTTTTATTTTTTAAATGGTGTTTCACATTTTAAATTTGCACACTGCCCTTATATTTTATGGTATGGCAAAACAGTAATATTTATAAACACACACACAGTCAAAACCCAACAGATCATACCAATCAAAGTACCAAACAGGGAACAAGAAAATGTCAGGAAAAATATAATAAACTGGAGCTTTTGTTTTATTTTAATTTAGCAAAGCCCTTGTTTTTAAGTAAACAATTTAAGACTGTAAAAAAGAGCATGAGAAGCAACATTCCTTATGGCACAACTAGACTTATATTTTGTTTTGCAAAAAAGATGGTGCCTGCAACAGAATGTTGCAGTGGGGAGTGTTCCCGTCCAGGGCCAACCATGCCCTTTACCAAGGAACTCCATTCCATCCTCCCATCCAAGTTTCCTGCTGTGGTTTTCCCCCTCCTAACCAACAATCAGTATTCCAAGCATGCACAGTTCTAAGGGGAGGGGAGGGGCTTCCCCTCCTCAAGGGGCTTCCCCCTCCTCAAATATTTCCTTAAATATTTTGCATTTCTGTAAACCTTGGGATTCCCCTCACCGAAGTCTGTTGACACCTCCCTTCTTGAGCATGGATGGCCCAGCTTTGTCTATATAAGCACATGTATGGATGAGGTAAAGGGACCCCTGACTGTTAAGTCCAGTCGCGAACGACTCTGGGGTTGCTGTGCTCATCTCGCTTTATGGGCCGAGGCAGCTGGCGTACAGCTTCCAGATCATGACCAGTGAACCAGAGCAGCGCACGGAAACGCCGTTTACCTTCCCACCGGAGCGGTACCAATTTATCTACTTGCACTTTGACGTGCTTTTAAACTGCTAGGTGGGCAGGAGCTGGGACTGAGCAACGGGAGCTCACCCCGTTGTGAGGATTCAAACCGCCGACCTTCTGATCAGCAAGCCCTAGGCTCTGTGGTTTAGACCACAGCGCCACCCGCGTTCCCTATTTTAAGTGTGAGTTCACTATTAAATAAGCTAACAGGATGTTGTTTTTCTCAAGGGCAGATTTGCCAGTCCAGAAAACCTACAATGCCGGCTCTGTGCACCTGGTAGCCTCCAGCCAACAACAAGGTTGATGCTTTTGTTTCTGTGGCTGCTTTTACACAGCCCAGCAACTTGCAAAGGGAGCAGCATGCATTTGGTCCTCGTATCTCTGAGCCATTTCAAAATTTAATTTTGACTCAGTCTAATTGGCAAGTAATTTAATTGCCTATAAACAAAAATACAGAAAACTCACCCTCTAGTCAAGGAATAGAGTGCTCCTGACGCTGAGTAGGAGACAGCCTATTCTTTCACATAAAATTAGTGCTTGGATGCTTATCTCACATGCAGTAAAGGACCCAGGTTTTACTACGCCACAAGTGTCTAGACCATAATCTAACAATCTGCCAACTCTCAATCTCATGGCGCTGCAGGCTTCCTAGCACTGGCAGGACTCAAACGAGCATTAATCTCGTTCTGTCCTCCCTACTACTTAGTCAAATGTTCCAAGAGAACATAGAATTGTGGAGTTTGAAGGGACTCCATCTAGTCCAATCCCCTGCAATGCAGAAATCACAACTAAAAAATCCCTGACAGATGGCCATCTAACCTCCACTGTTGAATGGTTCTTACCCTCAGAACGCTCTTCCTAGAGTTTAGTCAGAATAACTCCCTTTCTTGGAATGTGAACCCTCCAGGAACAGGAGAAAGCAAGCTTGCTCCCTCTTCCATGTGACAGCCCTTAAGATACTTAAAGATGGCTATCTTATCTCCTCTCAGTCTCCTCTTCTCCAGGCTAAACATACCCAACTCTTTCCACTGTTCCTCATCAGGCTAGGTTTCCAGACCCTTGATCACCCAGCTGGTCAATATCCTCTGTAAATTGTGGTGCCCAGACCTGGACACAGGACTCCAAGAGGGATATGAACAAGGCAGAATAGGGTGGTACTGTGGTTTCTCTTAATCTGGACACTATACTTTTATTGATGCAGCTTAGAATTGCATTAGCTTTTTTTTTATTTTTGCTGATGCATCACACTGCTGACTCATGTGCTAAGCTTGTGGTCACCTAAGACCCCAAGATCCTTCCTAAACATCAGTGAAAGTTTGAAGCGCTCGCCCTTAAAAGCAGGAATTGTCTCATTTTGCAATTTCCTCAATGCCTTTCGGTCGTCTTGACTTCATGCTTCAACTTTGCCCATAGGAGAGGGGGAAGTTATCACTGGATACAAGTGCGGAAAACAAAAAATAAGGAAACAGGTAAAGACCAGTATTTTCACAGAAAGTTTTGCAACTATCCCAAGAAGCCAACAAGAATTTCTGCATTCTGTCTGCATGGATCACGGCGTAAGAATTTAGACTGCAACTTGTTTTGTTTTAAAAAGCAGCCGACATCACAACCTGTCCCAGCATTCTTCAATAAACTGGAGCATGTGTCATCATTTGGTGCCGGAAATGACCATCTGACCTTCTGCAAGAACAGCCTCAGCTGTCCTGTTCTGTGCCTCCTTCATACCCATTGGCTGTAATTTCTCCCTATTTTGCTCTCAACCTGTGAAAAAGAGACCTCAGATCCCACCCATGCTAACACTGGAACGCAGGATTGGGCTGCATTACCCCAATATGCTCTATGTGGGGCTTCTGCAGTGAGTGCAGAATGCTGCAGCACGATTGCTGACAGGAGGCCTTGTCAGCATATAATACCTGGGCTCAGAGATCTCCACTGGTTACTGATTTGCTCCTGGGGCAGGTGCTACTAAAAGCCCTTAGCAGCTTGGGACCAGTGTACCAACAAGATCACCTTACCCCCATATGTGCCCACACATAATACCTGTTCCATATTTGTAAGAACTCGATATTCTAGCACCGACTCCAGGAAGCTACTTTCCCTGTACTCCTTTCGGCGCCTGCTAAAAATATTCCTGTTTAGAGAAGCCTCCCCAGATGTTTAGAAAATTGATGTGAGTTCTAATTTGTTTTTAATCTATTGTTACTTTAACTTTTTGAAAGGTGTAAAACACTCTTGGAGGTCGTTTGACCGGCCCACTAGCCGCCCCCGAACTGAGCTGCCCGCTTGCGTGCTGTGCTAAACCAGCACAGCACAATGTGGGGACTCACTTCTGCAGCACCAAAAATCGCATCTATGCATGCGCAGACACTGAAAATCGTGGGGGGGGGGGCACATGATCCGGCCCACAGAGAGATCTCGGCGGGACTAATCCAGCCCAGGCAAGATAAACCTTGCTGACCCCTGCTCTAGGGTTACAGGCAAGCAGTGACAGGGTAAGATCCTGTCCGCTGAATCATGTGGAACCTACTGTGTGAACCACACTGCAATTTACATCCCAAGGCACCTTCACACACACCGTGCAGCAGTTATGCTTGATGCAATTGATACGTCAGGTATTAGAGGCATCTGCACTACCTTTGGCTCCCTGCACCTTGCCCATGAGATACCCCAAAGTGCTTAGAAACTCGGATCTCTCCATTTTCCAATTTACAGATTTAACCACAGCAGGCCCCAGGGGAAACACGGTAAAACATAACCAGCAAATTAAAGTGCAAAAAGGCTCTTGTTGCTGACTTATTTAGAAGATTCAGAAATTAACTATTGCCCAATGAATATTCAACAAGACAGGCAGGGTTTTTTTATGCCTGGTTGCAAGCAATTAAAAGCGTCACTGCTGGGAGATTCTCTGAATGGCTGGCCTAAAAAAATGTTTCCATTTTTAGCACCTACGACTTCCTTCCTTCACGGAGGCAGACTTGAGGGCTGAATGAGTCCGCCTGCAAGAGCCGCTGGGTCACAACACCCTAGAGCTGTGAGCCAAGAGGAGAGTTGCATGCCTATCAGCTGGCTTGCCCTGCCTGCTGAGAGGGCTGCTTCCCCTTTTCAGCTATTTTAGATACTTCCCCCTTTAAAGAGCTGGGCTGGACTTCTGACTGCCATGTGGAGTTTTTTTTGCTGCTGACAAAATACTAGGAAAGAGAGGAGGAACAAAGCCTATCTTGAAATGCAGCTTCCCTCTTGGGTCGCAGTTGCACTGGGTGTTTAAAATTACTCTTATTCCACTTCAAGAACCATGGAGAATCCTGGGAACCATAATCTGTGAAGGGCGCTGGCCTCGCACAACTACAAATCCCAGCACCTTCCACAAACTAGTTTTCAGGATTCTCCTTGGCAAGCGCTTTCCACAAAGAAGGCCTGAGACCCGGTCCCCAGTCTCTGTAGGAAGATTTCCCTGCCTGAATGCCTGGGCAGTAGCTGCCAGTCAGTGTAGGTAGACAATAGTGAGCTAGATGAACCAGTAGCCTGAGTCAATATAAGGCAGCTTCCTAATTAACTCAGCTCTCTTGTGCCAGCAGACCCATAGATTTGCAGTATTAGAAAGGACCCGAAGAGTTTGAAGATTAATTTGCACACTACAAATTTAACCGATGGCTGCGTTTGTGTTTATAGACGATCCCTCCAAGCAGGGACCGTGTAAAATCAAGTGCAGGGATCCCTCCATCAGGGACCAAGTGTAAAATCAATCTTTTGAGCCACCTTGTGATGGCCTAACACACTCTACTGCCCCAGCAAAAAATAACGTCACAAGTGACAACACAAGGTGTAGTGATCTGAAGGGATGGAACCACAACTTCAGGCAGCAAGCAGCTCCAGTTGTCTTCAGTAGCCGAGCTTAAATAGATGAAGGAACTGCACATGCTAAGGCAATACATAAACTCATGATGGCAAACATGGAAATCAGTGGCAAATTAAGTAACTCCTCCTCTCACTCTTTCCACTACACTAACCTTTGAAATGCAGGTCTGGTGGATCATCTCTTGCCTTTTAACACACCTGCCAACACAATTTCATTCTCTTCCGGCATTAAAGCAGGGGCTGGGGGAATGACAGCACCCCCAATTTTGGGGAAACGCATCAGGCCTATAGTCATTATCAATCTTTGCTCCCTCTCACCGGGTGTTAATGCCAGCAGAATAATCTCTTTCTCTCCCAGTATTAAACCCGAGAGGAGGGGGAAGAGGACCAAGCACACCACCTTCAGCACCTCGGAGGAAAGGTGGGATATAAATGCCATGAACTAAAAATAACATCACATACAACCGCTGGGAAAAGGCAGCAGTGCTATGGGCACTACCAATCTCCATTCTTCATGTTAATGCGAGCAGGGGGAAGCAAGACAAAGCAATCGCAGAGGCCCTGCAAAACTCTGTGATGCCTTCCCATCTGGCAAACCACAGTGCGGCTGCTAGGGCTGGATGATAACCGGTTTTCAATATCGCGTTAAAGATTGCAATATATCGATATATCACAATATCTGAAATAAGGAAGGAACTACGCAGAGGCGAACGGGACAATGTCCTGGCAACTGCTACCTAAGGGTCTAAAACTGATAAATGATGATATTATCAATCACCTCATGGTCACTTTCAGTAGCAGGCAAGCCAAGATGAATCCAAATGAGACTTTTGGCTTTGGGCTTGACTACCAAATGGTGGTATTCAGAACAATCCAAAGTACGGTGTTGAGTCATAGTGAATACAAATAATCTGAGACTGCCAGACTGCCAGCAGGCCTGCTAGGTGGCAGATATGGCAGCAGCCTGCAAGGCCTTGTCGTGGTGGCAGCAGCAGATGGTGGCAGAAGCAGAGGTAGCCTGCAAGGCCTCAGTGAGGCAGGCTGCCCCAGCTTCTGCCACCATCTCCCACTACCACCAGGAGGACTTGCAGGCTGCCACCGCTTCTTCCCACCATGGTGAGGCCTTGGAAATCCCACTGCTTGTGTCACCATGAAGCCTTGCAGCCTGCCACTATTGCCACCATCTCCTGTCACTGCCAGAAGGCCTCACAGGATGCCGCTACTGCAGTCACCTCCTGCCACTGCTGCGTGTCACCTCAGGCCTCTGCTGTGAGGACTCGCAGGCCACTGCCGCTTCTGCTTCCAAATCCTGTCGCCACTGCAAGGCCTCGCAGGCCAATGCCGTTACTGCTGCCATTTCTTGTCACTGCCACAAGGCCTCGCAGTCCGCTGCCACCTCTCCCTGTCACAGCCATGAGGCCTCATAGGTCACAGCCGCTACTGCTGCCACCTCCTGTCACTGCTGTGAGTCCTTGCAGGCCGCCATTGCTACTGCTGCTGCCTCCCATCGCTGTCGTGAGGCCTCGCAGGCCGCTGCTGCAGATGTCACCTCCCATCACCTCAGATAAAATAGCCATGGTCAAAATGATCATTCTCCCAAAATTAACCTACTTATTCCAAACCTTTCCAATCTGGATTCCGTCAATCCAATTCTGTAAATGGCAGGAAAAAATACAGTCATTCATTTTCCCAAACAAAAAGTCAAGAATAAGCCCCAAAAATAAGCCCCAAGGGGGTTGGGGAATTCCCAACATTACATCGCTAATCAAGTGTGCCACAAAATCCAATATATTTTGGAAGAAGAGACCATACGATGGGTACGCTTGGAGATGCACACATTGGAAAACATTCCCACTACTGCATTCCCATTCCTCCAACACGAGCTGAGAAAACTCCCCTCAACAATCAATAGATTCACACTATCCATGCTTAAGACCTAGACCATCCCCACTAATCCCTTTGGCTCATCACCCGTTATTCCGTCATGCAGCTCAAAACTTTCACATAGAAACACGGCAAACCAAAGACCTATACAGTTTAGCAGATTTTTACATAAACAATAAACCCATATCAACATAGGAAATACAGGATAAATTAGGGTACATTCAAGTACCCTGACTAACACACCATCAACTACATGCTTTCCTAAATATCCCAACAGTAAAAGCGGCGGCCACTAGGCTCTTGACCGCCTTTGAAAGGCTTCTTTTGTTGGCAGATGGACATGGTAGAGGGATGGTATCTGCAATATAAAAATATCGCTTCACAACCCTGCAATCTTACTCGACACAATTAAAAAACAATGGGAACATGACATAGGTTACAAAATAAATTCTACCCAATGGACTACAATGTGGTCCAAACATCCCTTTAAATACATCTCAGTCAAAAGAAGGGATCTCACTTTGAAACTTATCTATTGATTGCATCTGACATTGAGGAAATTGGCATCAATACATCCAGGAACCTTACCAAAATGCTGGAAAGGCTGTACTTCTACAGGCACATACCTCCACATGTGGTGGAAATGTCCCTGAATCCAACCCTTTCAGACAGCAGTCCTACAAAAAATATATAACGTATATAAGCAGATATTGGAACCCACCCCAGAATTGGCCCTATTAAATATTTTCCAAGACAATAACGCTCACTTGCACCACAAAGAGCTTATGACTCACCTACTCTCAGTGGCCAGAAACGTAATAGTTAGACACTGGAGAGACTTGTCCGGAGTAAGTATGGACCATTGGTACCAAATTGTATGGGAAATGGCCTTATTAGAAAAGTTAACCAACAAACTAAAACTGACACGAGGACACCTTCATCCCAGTATAGCTCCCTTTTATTACACACAGAGCGCAAACTGACAACAATGATAGCAGGGATCTACCACCAGCATACAGATCAATATGGCTAACTTGACCCAATATTCCATACCCCCCTTCCACAAACACAAACAAATCTCACTACAGTTCATTAAAGGCAAATAAACATGCCCTGCCTCCCTAATCTTCTCTCATCGCCAATACTGTATAAACCAACAAATTTACAGAAAGAAAACCTACTCAATAGACACTGTCATGAAATATCAAGTTGACAAAACAACAAGATAGTGTGTAAGTTCACTACCCACCCTCTGCCCTCTTCCCCTACCTTTGAAATCATTGTTTTACATTTTGCATTGAACGTAATCAAAAGACTTTATACTGTACAGTGGTACCTCTGGATGCAAACGGGATCCGGAGCCCCGTTCACATCCTGAAGTGAACACAACCCGCATCTGCGCGGGTCGCGATTCGCCGCTTCTGCACATGCATGTGACGTCATTCTGACCGTCTGCGCATGTGCGGGCGGCGAAACCCGGAAGTAACGCATTCCGTTACTTCCGGGTCGCCGCAGAGTGCAACCCGAAAACGCTCAACCTGAAGCAACTTTAACCCGAGGTATGACTATAATCTGATCAAAAGAGAGAAAGACATTGCACGTTCTTTGTAGATCATGAAAATCTCTAATAAAAATCATTTCAAGAAAGAAAGAAAGAAGGCAAAGAAAGAAGGCAGGGAACAGACACCAGCACAGCAGCTCTTTCCTGTGCTTTCACAAGATCCCGAAGGTGAAGCTACCTTCCAAGTCGGTAAGGTAAAGGGACCCCTGACCATTAAGTCCAGTCACGGACCACTCTGGGGTTGCGGCGCTCATCTTGCTTTACTGGCCAAGGGAGCCGGCGTACCAGAGCAGCGCACAGAAACGCCATTTACCTTTCTGCCAGAGCAGTACCTATTTATCTACTTGCACTTTGACATGCTTTCGAACTGTTAGGTTGGCAGGAGTCCAAGTCGGTGGCTCACGCCTGAGAGGAACTTTCCAGTAACTGCACTCAGGCTCTCAAGGGACCAAGGCTGAGTATCCGAGCCTGCACTTTCCACGCAAGGGGACTCCGCTTCAATCCCCAGCGCCTCCAGAGGGGCACTGTAGAGCAGCATGGGTCAAGCTGGGAGGGGTAAGGCCCAGGCTCAGTGGCAGTGCCTGCTCTGCATGCCCAAGGTCGCAGGTTCAATCCCCAATGGCATCGCCAGGAAGAGGCAGAGAAGACTCTTGTTTGAAACCGTACAAAGGCAACTGCCTGGCAGTAGAGGCATCCCAGGAGCCAAACGTCTGGCAGTGCACAAGGCAGCTCTTGGTGGAACTATCTCCCCCAGGACCTGCAGCTGCCCTCCTTTCTCTTCTGTCCTCCAGCAGATGGATGGCAAAGATCCTTCAACTTCAAGAAGACTTTGCGGGGGGGGGGCAGACGTCAAACATCTGCTGATCAGGATATTTATTATGTGCTTGCTGCTATTGATCGATTGCTCCCACATCACCATGCTGCTGCTTTTAACACTATTTTGAGGCTATATTGTGGTGATTTAAAACAATTAACTGACTGGGTATCCTAGAGTGTTCCAATTAGGTGAGGCAACGATTTAGATATTTTATATAAAAAAGTGGGATAAAATCCTTTTAATAAATCAAACTATTAAAATGAATCGCTCAGCAGGATTTTTATGTTCATCCTATTCTCACAGCTAGGCAACTGCAAAAGTGTGCACTTCCTCTAGCAAGAGACTGCGTGTCACATACCCTTGAAAGGTTGGTTCCCAAGAGTGTTTATCAGAGTCAGTTCCAGGAATCACAGGAAGATGGGGTTTTATCCCAGGAAGTTTTACCCAGAGTGGACACATACAAATTAATGGACCTGGGTTGGTCTGGGTTGAACCTGAGACCGTCAGCATCCAAAGCAGCTGCTCTGCCATTGAGCTACAACCCTTTCCTTCTCAGAAAAATTACTTCCAGTCTAGAAAGCAGACTAAGAACTTTGATATATTCTCCCAGGACTTAACCACATGATCCTCCTCCTGCAGAGAGGGAGAGGGAGGAGAGGGGAGGTACTTATGGACACAGCATGTGGAAAACTGTATTCCTAGATGGCTGTATCCCATGTTCTATGTTCACGGGTGCAAGCTGCAATTCTGACCTGCTGAAAATTGCCAAGGGAATTAATTTGATCAGCACTGGTCATTTGTTCTGTGTTTTAGGATTTTATAATTTAATTATTGTACTAAACACCTTGCCAACAAAGGTCCGTATAGTTAAAGCTATGGTTTTCCCAGTAGTGATGTATGGAACTGACAGCTGGACCATAAAGAAGGCTGATTGCCGAAGAATTGATGCTTTTGAATTCTGGTGCTGGAGGAGACTCTTGAGAGTCCCATGGACTGCAAGAAAATCAAACCTCTCAATTCTGAAGGAAATCAGCCCTGAGTGCTCACTGGAAGGACAGATCGTGAAGCTGAGGCTCCAAGACTTTGGCCACCTCATGAGAAGAGAAGACTCCCTGGAAAAGACCCTGATGTTGGGAAAGATGGAGGGCACAAGGAGAAGGGGACGACAGAGAATGAGATGGTTGGACAATGTTCTCGTAACTACCAACATGAATTTGACGAAACTGTGGGAGGCAGTGGAGGCAGTGGAAGACAGGAGTGCCTGGCGTGCTCTGGTCCATGGGGTCACGAAAAGTCGGACACGACTAAACAAGCCTTTTTATTAGGTATTGTAGGAGAAGATACCAAAAGACCAGAAAAAATTGTTTATGTATACTATGACGGCCACCCAGATGCTGTTAGCCCAAAGATGGAAAGAGGAAGCAGTCTTGACCAAAGAAGATTGGCAAACCAAGTTAATGGACTATGCTGAAATGGTGAAACTAACTGGAAAGCTCAGGAATCAAGATGATAAGAAATTTTTAAAAGAATGGGAAATATTTATTACCGTATTTTTTGCCCCATAGGACACACCTAGATTTTGGGGGGGGGAAATAAAGAAAAAAAATTATTTCCCCCCCCCCAGGCGCGGGGCTGGCGCGGGGGAAGTCCGAGCTTCCCCCGACCCCAGCCCCCAGAACAGGCTGCTGCCTGCAAGCCTTGCAAGCCCAGCGGGACCTCCCGCCGGACGCGCAAGGCTTGCGGACATCTGCCCAAAGCACGGGGCGTGCTCCACAGCGCGCCCCGTGCTTTGGGCTGCCACCCCAAGCCTTGCGTGCCCGGTGGGACCTCCCGCCGGGCGCGCGAGCCTGCGGATAGCTTCCTGAAACCTGGAGAGCGAGAGGGGTCGGTGCGCACCTACGCCTCTTGCTCTCCAGGCTTCAGCGAAAGCCTGCATTCGCCCCATAAGACGCACACACATTTCCCCTTCATTTTTGGAAGGGGAAAAGTGCGTCCTATAGGGCGAAAAATACGGTATGTATTTGCAAAAGTATTGTAAACAGGTTAATATACTGGCAGGATTTTAAGAACACTTGTAATTTTAGAATAAATATAGGAAATTTGAGGTAGAAAAAATAATTTGGAGTAGAAATGACATGCAGTTGAAAAGGGAATTTAAAGAACGGAGGGAGGAAGTCATGGGATTCAAAGAATCCCATTTTATGGTTTTGATATCGTTGTCATGTATAATTTTCTATGTTTGTTGTTGTTTATTTTTTGTTGAAAATTTAGTAAAAATATTATAAAACAAAAACAAATGTTGGACCCCCAACTTCCATCAGCTCCAGACAGCATGACCAATGGCCAAGCATGATGGAAGCTGGGAGTACAAAATATCAGGAAGTTACTTTAGGTCACGCTGAAAGTGTATTTATGCTCCCTTTTTGTTTTGTTTTTAACTTTATTAGCCATGCATTTTCTGCTGTTTATCTTGTTAGGAACACAGAATCATAGAATTGTACAGCTGTGAGGAACTGAAAGGGTGATAGTCCAACGCTTGCAACGCAGGAATCATAGTTAAATGAAGCAACCAGTCTGGCCATTTCCGAGTGGCAAAAACTCTCCTGCCTCTCAGACAGCGCTCTGTCTCTCATCGACTCTTCCTTTTAAAACCTGGAAGCGCTTGTGGAGGCTTGCAGGATAGATATTTAACAGGCAAATCCAGGCGTGAACAGAATGCTCCTGAACAGATTCAGCAGAACCACCCTGTGTGCGTTCGCACTATTTCCAATAGATGCAGCATTTGACGCCCAAATCTGTGAAGGTGCTACAACGCCACCCCTTTACTAAACAGTTTACCTTTGGGTACACCCTTGTTAAATGCCCCCTGCTGCCGCTGCCGTAAATTCTCCAACTCCCTGCTGCTTTTCTCTCAGTGATAAACCCAGCTTCATTTAGGGCTGCAATGATTCATTGGCTAATCAGCAACACCGATCAGCTAGAAGGCTGCAAACAACTTTTTAAAAGTGTCCTGATTAAACTGCAGATTTAAAAAAATATTGCATGACTTTAAAGTAACTGCGGGTGATGGGCACCATACCAGAATATTCTCTCTCTCTCTCTCTCTCTCTCTCTCCCCTCTCTCTCTCTCTCTCTCTCTCTCTCTCTCTCTCTCTCTCACACACACACACACACACACACAAACTTATGCATTGCAATGCTCTTTCTTTCTTCTTTGAAATAATTGTTACTGGTTTGGCAATGCCTCTTTCAAGATGGTGTCCCACCGCAGCATATGTCTGCATCATCTAAAAACTAATAAAGCCCAAGCGGAAACAGCAACACAATGTTGCAGCGTGGTGTTCTCTAGTTCAAAACTCCAGCCAGCCATGCTGTCTTTCAGAATGCTCAATTTCATTCTAGTTTTTTGTTATTTCTCCCATCACCAGTTGGTCAGTATTCTGCAGCTGCTGAGCATGCTCAAGTCTCATTGGGTCGTTTTACCCCCAAACTTAGGAGTTTATCTCTTTCTCTCTCATTGGCACTTTTGCAAACCCTGAAGTGCCCCCAGGCCTGGAGGTAACTTCTCCGAATTGGTGCCAATTGGGCCACATAAGGACCCATGCTTAGAGAAGAGTTTGCTATTCATTTACAGCAGGCATGGGGAACCTGCCAACCTCCAAATGTTGTGGGACTACAACTTCCATCAGTCCCAGCCAGTGAAACGGTCAGGGGTGATGGGAACTGTAGCCCAACAACATCTAGATGGCCCCATGTCCCTGGTATATGGGGTGCTTTCACTTTTCAGTAGTGTTGTTTTCATCTTATGTACATTTATGAATCTTTTAACTGATCAATTGCCTAAGGTTTATTTGACCATGTGACAGCCCTGATTTAAAGTACCTCCAAAAAGTGGTCCTATTGTTTTTATATGCAACAACAGCGGCAAAAGTATTGTTGGCTCAGAAATGGAAGCAAGAAGAAATACCAATGAAAGAAGAATGGCAGACAAAATTAATGGACTACGCAGAATTGGATAAAATGACAGGCAGGATTCAAAACCTGCGGGACCAGAGATTTACAGAAGATTGGAAGAAATATACAAATTATTTGAAGAGCAACTGTAATCAACAAATTACGCTAGCAGGACTACAAGAAGTTTTGTAAGGAGAAATATATGAAATATTGCAAAGAAGAGAAAGATATTAGTTATGAGATTTAAATGTAATAGTGAAAATAAGAACTGTAAATTAAGTAAATAGATTGGAAAATTTTCAGATGTGACTGATGGAAGTCAAAAAATTGTATAAGATGTAAAAGTATGTTTAATTATTGTTGAAAATGATACGTTGAAAAACTAATAATTTTTTTTATAAAAAACAAAAACAAAAAGTGGTCCTGAGCATCACAGTGAAGCAGGGAAATTACAGCCCTCTGGCCACTTTTGGCCCATGGGATCTTTTCATTCATTCATTCAGCCTTGAGAAGCTCAAAAACCCTGGCCCTCTTCTTAGCAGACAAGTGAGTCCATCTGCCTCCTCCACGGCCTCCCTTTCTCCCTGTAAGGCAAGCCTGACAATTTGCAGGGGGTGGGGAGAAATCTCATAGAATCTTAAGAGTTGTGGAGTTGAAAGGAACTCAGGGGTCCTAGCCCAACCCCCTGCAGTGTAGGGATCACAGCACCCCTGACAGATGGCCACCTGACCCCTGCTTAGAAACCTCCAACAAAGGCGAGTCCATCACCCTCCAAGGAAGTTCATTCCACTGTTAAACAGCTCTTACCCTCAGAAAGTTCTTCCCAAGGTTGAGTCAGAATCTCCGTCCCTGTAATTTGAATCCATTAATTCCCCCTAGAGCAGCAGAAAACAAGTTTGCTCCCTCTTCCATGTGACAGCCCTTCAGATATTTGAAAGTGGCTAAGAGATCTCCTCTCAGTCTTCTTTTCTCTAGGCTAAACATCCCCATCTTACCTTGGGACTCATCACAACTCCATCATCTTGACAAAGCAGGCATGAGAAGCAGAGATCATGGAGGACACCACTACTGCAGACTCAACCAGTTATGGATAGGCCATTGGTCCACCTAGCTCAGTCTTGTCTACACAGACTGCCAGTTGCTCCTCAGGAACTCAGAGCAGGTTCTCTCCTAGTCCTACCTGGAGATACTACTGGGGATTGAATTTGGGACCCTCTGCATGCCACTGTCAAAATGAGCTGGAAGAAGGAATAAAATGGGAAATAATTGCCATGGAAATTATGGTCGTTGGCGCATTTAAGCCTTGTCACGTAGGCTTCTAAGCCAGGATTCGGCCACCCCCGCCAGCCAGAACAATTAGCCTGCTCCCAGTAGAGAACAGGGTGCAATGGCCTCTATTAATTTGGCGGCTAGCAATCCAAACAGAAGAACAAAGCCCGTCTCTTCCACTAACTCAGCAGGGCACAAACAAAAAGGCTTCCCACCAACAGCACAAAACAAACACCACAAGTGTGAAGCACCAAAGTGCTGTTTTAACAGAAATTGCTCTGTGGTTGCTTAGTTGCAGACAGCCTGGCTTGCATTTGCTACTAGCAATGTGCTTTATCGAGCCTTGATTACATGGAGAGTAACTGCAGCACTCACTCACAGCACCAGCAAATCATATAGACACTGGCTTCATCTCAGGAATAACATGGGGGCAGCTATCCCTAACGGGAGGTGGGCAAACACCAATGAACTCTTAGCTAGGCAAGGGTCACAACATCACAAAACAGTCACATGAACATCATTTAAGGAGCACTACCAGGAGGGACGCGGGTGGCGCTGTGGTCTAAACCACAGAGCCTAGGGCTCGCCGATCAGAAGGTCGGCGGTTCGAATCCCCACGACGGGGTGAGCTCCTGTTGCTCAGTCCCTGCTCCTGCCAACCTAGCAGTTTGAAAGCACGTCAAAGTGCAAGTAGATAAATAGGTATCACTCCGGCGGGAAGGAAACAGCGTTTCCATGCGCTGCTCTGGTTCTCCAGAAGCGGCTTAGTCATGCTGGCCACATGACCCGGAAGCTGTATGCCGGCTCCCTCGGCCAGTAAAGTGAGATGAGCGCCGCAACCCTAGAGTCGGTCACGACTAGACCTAATAGTCAGGGGTCCCTTTACCTTTACCTTACCAGGAGGCTCAGCTTCCATCAGGAATAGGGAACCTCCAAATGTTGCTGGACTACAACTCCCAACATCCTTGACGGTTGTGCACACGAGCAGGAGCTGATGGGATTCAGGAATCCAGCAGCACCTGGAGGGTTGCAGGTTTCCCTGGTTTCCAGAGAGAGAGAGAACATCTCAGGCCACAGCAAAGTGCCCTATGATCTCATTGCTGGACAAGGAAGTACTGCACACAATCAAAGTAAAGATGGCTAATTGAGGAAATAGACTGCACACAACCTGGTTCAGTTGGGGTGTACAATGTAAGGACTGATACAGGCCAGTGATAGATAGATGATAGACAGATAGACAGACAGACAGACAGATAGATAATCCCTATCCTCATTCAAGTTTAACATCTTAACAGACAGCGCATATACTACAATACAGACTCAACAGAACACCTCTAAGCAGCTTGACAATCTAAAATGTCAATTAAAATAAACCAAGATGAACAAGCATTTTAAAAAAAAAGTTTATGCAAAAATATTAGCCAAAATAAAAATAAAACCAGGAATTTTAATAAACTTACGCACAATAAAATTACGTGGTAATTTCATGGGTATGCATGCTGGCAGTGGGGGGAGGGTAGAGGCACCCAAAATAATGTGACGACACCACCTGGCAGAACAAACCTAACAAATTTCCTCACACTATCAGAACAGCAACCCATCTGGACCAGCACTCTGCCTTCAACAGTGGACAGGTGTCTAGCTGTTTGCCATAATACTGAAATAATTGTTTTAGGATAATGTTGGGGGGAAATTTAGAAATCATTTGGTTGATTTAGCATTCCTATTTTTCTTTAGATATTTTAGGATTTTGATGTTTAGTTGTTTATTTTTATGCATATATTTACTTACTATATTTCAAAATGTTTAATTTTTATATATTAAGAGCTGCTAACACAGCTAACACAACTGAATGCAAACTGTTTAAAATTATGAAAATAGTATTCATATTAGACCACATGAGAAACAGGAAGCAGGGTTTTTTTACCAAAAAAAGAGAGAACACATCAGCAGATCAACCATCTATAGATCAATAGATATGGAAAGGGATGAGGCTCAGTGGTGCATCTGCTTTGAATACCAAAGATCTGAGTCCACGCTCTGATTCTCCCGTGGGGCCAGGAGAGACCACTGTCTGAAACACTGGACAGCCACTGCTAGTCAGTGTAAGACAGTCCTGAGCTAGATGGCGTGACTTGGCATGCTATATATGAGCCTATAGAGCTGTCAACCAGAACTCAAATGCCTGCTAAAATGAATGCAAGGTGCAAGCAACAACTGAGCCAGCCAGTTCTTCTCCTAGGAGGGGACTGTCAAATCTAGGTGGGATGAAATGCCACGTTGTGCTGTTCTCAGATACTGTTTATTGCATTCAAAGCTGGGCACAAACTGCACAATGAACCTTATTTCTTTTAAATCAGAGCCAGGGAATCTGTCTCCAACTCCCATCAGTCCCAGCCAGCCTGGTCAATGATCAGGGATGATGGCAGTTGGAGTCCAATAACATCTGGAGGGCCACATTCCCCCCCCCATTTTAATTACAAGGGGCAGCATCCAACAAACATCTCGTCAGAGCAAGGATTTCCAGTGCTTGCTGCTGCTGTTATTGGGAGTTGCTTTAGGTATTTTTAATGAACGGCACATGTTTTCCAGATATGTGTTATAATATAAAATATCTTACATATCATATAGAATATTTTAAAAGGTTCCAAATTCTTTTGAGGTGTTTTGTGTAACAAGCGACTAACAAATTCAATAAATTAACAATTTGTTCCTTGTAACTAAAACCTTTAAAAGTTACAATCCAAATAATACTAGATCACTCAACATGTTTTCCCCTGAATAATTTTCAAGTGACTTCCTCTTAATCTGTTGAGCATCACATTTTTATTCAGATTCAGGGACCTGCAAAAGAAGGCTCCTCAAACACCGTGTGGTGACTAACGTCTTGCAAAATGTCAAAACGATAATGCCTACATAATTTTGTGGCCACGATCCTGCCACTGAAAAGTACAGCTAGTACTTCGGTAACCCAGAAGTGCACGCAGGTGTCTTGAAAAACACTCCTGATCTTATGTGGCTTTGTGTGAATCCACATCGGATTGTGGTTGCAGGTGAAGGTGGTTCCAGCCCAGAAGCTATTAAGAACATAAGAAGAGTCTGCAGGATCAGGCCAAGGGCCCATCTAGTCCAGCATCCTCTTCTCGCAGGGGCCAACCAGATGCCCTAATGAGAAACTCAAAAGCAGGATTCAACCACAAGAGCAAACCTCTCTCCTTCTTGGCTTCCAGCGAAAGCTTTGTTGCCTACTGACCATGGAGGCAGAAAATAAGCCGTTGAGGCTAGAAGCCATTGATAGCCTTGTCTTCCTCCATGAATTTATTTCTCTTTTAAAGCCATCTAGGTTGGTAGCTATCACTGCCTCCTGCAGGAGTGAGTTCCACAGTTTAATTATGCATAATAATAATAATAATAAATTTTATTTATATCCCACCCTCCCCAGGCTCAGGGCAGCTAACACCAACAAAATCACAGTAAAAACGTAATAGGAGAAAAAGGGGGGGGGACCAATTTAAAATACAGGTTAAAATGCAATTTAAAATGCAGCCTCATTTTAAAGTAGCTGATAAATCAAGACCATAAGGGGAGGGAAACATAAGGGTCAGACCTAGTCCAAACCAAAGGCCAGGCGGAACAGCTCTGTCTTGCAGGCCCTGCTGAAAGATGTTCTGAAAAGGCCCTGGCCCTAGTTGAAACCAATCTAATCTCCTTGAGACCTCCAAAGTGTTGTTATTTATGGACCTTAAGGTCCTCCGCGGGGCATACCAGGAGAAGCGGTCCTGTAGGTACGTGGTACCGTAGGTACTGCATGAAGAAGTACCGTATTTTTCGCTCTATAAGACGCACCAGACCACAAGACCTAGTTTTTGGAGGAGGAAAACAAGAAAAAAAATATTCTGAATCTCAGAAGCCAGAACAGCAAGAGGAATCGCTGCACAGTGAAAGAAGCAATCCCTCTTGCTGTTCTGGCGTCTGTGATAGCTGCGCAGCCTGCATTCGCTCCATAAGACGCACACACATTTCCCCTTACTTTTTAGGAGGGGAAAAAGTGAGTCTTATAGAGCAAAAAATATGGTACTTCCTTCTCTCTGTCCCGAATCTTTCAACATTCAACTTCACAGGATGTTCGAGAGTTCTAGTGTTGGGAGGGATGGAGAAACTTTCCTCTTTAAATTACTTAATCCAGCCTTTGCCCAGCTGGTGCCCTCCAGATGTTGTGGACTACAATTCCCATCAGCCAGCACAGCCATGGAGGGCACCAGCTTGGCACTGACTGGATTAATCTGAAACAGATATCCAATATCTCAGTCAGTCACTCCCTCTCTAATCTATCTCCATTTGAATGAGGCAAGACAAGCCTTTGGCAAACAGACTTGAAAACGAAAATACGGTACATGGCAGAGACTCGCAAGGCAAAACCCAACAGATCTAAGCCACGGAGTGTTCTTGACTTTGCTCTCTCAAAAGTTAGCTGTCTTCTGCCGCAGCCTAAGAACTATGAGGCCACGTGCAGACAAAGACAGGCAAATCAGCTGCACTTTCACTTTTCTTGCCTTTATGCATTCACCCTCCAAGAGCCCCGTAATTCTTCCTTCTCACATACACACGCACAACAACCCTGTAGGGTAGGCTAAGCTGAGAAAATGTAATTGGCCCACAATTATTCCAGGAGCTCCCCAAGCGCACAGAGATTTCAACCAGCAAGGGCTAATGGTTATGGCGCTGAGCTATGATTTGGGAGGTCCAGGTTCAACTCCCTACTCAGCTATAAACCTGATATGGATGACCCTGCGTCAATCATGCCCAACCAACCTCACAGGGGAGCTGCCAGGCTGAACTGAGAGGGTGAGAGAACAGTGCAGGGTTTGGTAGAGGAATTAAGTAAAAAGAAAAACCTAACAGTAGGATTCAACTTTGTGCAAGAAAACCTTTGTTCCTGCATTGCAGGGGGTTGGACTCTGTTCTCCTTGAGGTCGCTCCCTACTCTACACTTCTATGATTATTCTGGAAACAAAACACACACATGGATCTCTCCATGCAGGTATTTAAAGCGCTGACTAAGGGCTGACTTTGGATTTTAATCCACTGCTGTATTGTTTAATGGTTGAATTGTTTTGAGCCCCACTTGATTTCATATGTGTGTGTTACAGTTTCTTGGACACTGCCCTGAGATTCTGTAGGAGGAAGGGCAATATAGAAAAATAGCAAAGAAACAAACTTTTCAGCCCACAATCCAACATGCATTTACATGGAAGAAAGTGCCACTGAACAGAACGAGCATTCTTTCTGAGTAAACTTACTTTTGTGCTCTGAAAATGTCATACACACACCACAGAGTACACTTTCATAAACTAAAACCACAAATGATGAATTGTATGTAGTTAAACAGGTAAAATAAGCTAAGGCTTGATTGGGAAAGTCTTACACATATTTCAATTCTTCCTAAAATCTCTATTGCTCCCTTCCCCCTCCAGGGTGGCAAGAAACAGGCTTTTCTCAGGGGGGGCATCAGGATTTATGGAAATTCTACACCCCCATTTTGAACAGGAATAGCAGAGAACAACTTGCAGGAGATAGTCATAAAGGGCTTTGCATTATTTAAAGTGCAATGGAGTAAGTAAGTAAGTCGTACTTCCTGATGCTCAGGGCATCTGAAAAACAGGAAGAATCTAACCTGGCCTCCTACCTCCAGCAATGCGGAGCTAGCGGGGACCAGATCTTTGCCCTTCCTTTAATTTCTATGCACCTTTCTCAATCTGCAGACAAAAACAACTGCTGCCTGGAAAACATGTATGTATGCAAACATGCATGAAGAAGCCGCTCTCTGCCCTCAGCAGCACGCCACTAATCCTGAGCGCCCAGCACCACTGAGCCCTCACAGGGGCAGCTTTAATCAGCTGTTGCCAGACCTTTAAATTAGCTGCGGTAACAATAAGCTCCCACCCACCTGTCCCTGAGCCTTTTAAACCCCTTATCCCATCAAATGCCTATTGGAGGCGGGGGGGGGGTTAGCTTTGCTGCATTATGCCCCTGCCTGCCCCCAGGCCTGCTGGTGTGACAATGGCTGTTGTAAGGACGGCAGCACAGATCCCTCCCCGCTGGCCGGACAAGCCACTCCACACACAATATGACTCACTGATGGTGACAATGTGCGTCTGCAAAGGCCCAGCTGGGGAGGACTGTAGCAGCACTGTCCGTGGGGATGGACGGCAGCCATACAAAGGCAACGTGGATCTCCAAGCCGCCAGCCATTCTTCACACCCGTGCAGGCTCCGGCTCTGTGAGGCGCCAAAAGAACCCCACAAGCGGCGTTTCTGCTGCCACACACACCTCGGAAGAAAAGTTCATTGAGAACCCCCGGGGAAGTTAAGAGGGAGCTCTGCGCAAGCAACTCCATGGGGCACGGAGGGAAGGGTCTGCCAGATGTGGGCAGAAAAGGGAGGGGTAACCAAGGGGTCAGACAATAAGCGACAGGGAAGAAATGGGTGATCAGCATTCCAGGAAGCATCTACAGTATTTGTTTCATTATGTTTTGCTGCTGCTGCTGCTGCTTATGGGCCCCCATTGTTTCTGTGTATCGACTTGGGCTCCAGGAAATGTTCAGTTACCAAGAACCACTGAAGGGAAATTTCATTTATTCTAGGAAAGAGGGGAGGGCGAAACCATCCAAAAGACGGCCTTTCCCCATGGCATTGATTCTCGCCTTCTACACCGCTGAGGTCCCTCCAGGAAGACCAGGCCACTTTCTAAGGTGTGATCTGAAAATATCCCTCCGCCGCTGGTCCTGCATCAGGTCATCACGAAGCCGGACATCAACATTCAAGGCACACACAGGGAGGATGCAGATCCAAAGACACCTCAGCAGCCCGACGGATCTCGCCCACCCGCGAGACCCCGACGGGTCTTGCACCCAGAGAAAGGGAAGCAGCAACGGGGCCGAAGGGAAGTGGCAGGCCTCGTCCAAGTCGAAGGGAGAGCGACTCTCCCCGAGGCAGCGACGCGAGCCAGGAGCACGCCCCGCCGCCGCCTCGCACCCTGGGGCGGCTGGGGGAGGCTGATCGGCCAGCCGGCCGGCTTGCCAGCCACTTCCCTTCGGCTTCTTTTCGGAAGCCTTACGTGGGAAAGCGCGCTTTGGTGGGTGTGATGCACCCCCGCCCCCCGCCACGGCTCTTCCCCAGGGACTAGTCACTTGAGTGGAATATCCCCCGAGTTCCCACCCGCCTACAAAGCGCCAGGAAAAAAGGCGTGAGGAAGGATGGTTAAGTCGCCCCTCTCCAGGCGGCCTGCGAGGAAGCGGGGGCACGAACCTTTAGATCCCCACAACGCCCCGTGGGGCGGCAAGGAATCCGCGCTGCTCACCTCTCTCCAGGCTCCGTGTTGCCTCGGCGGCCCGGCTGGTCTCGGCGAGCCGCTGTGGGGTTAGTCCATGCAGCGGGAGAGCCCCCGGGGACTCGGGGCCACAGGGCCGGCGGAGAAGGCAGCTCCGAGGGCCGGAGGGGTCCCAGCAGCGGGGGCGGAGATCCGGAGATGCAGCAGGAGGAAGGCGGAGGGCGGGAGGGGCGCTCGGGCAGCAGCGGCGGGACCCGGGGCGGGGGCGGGGAAACAATGTAGCGCCGCCGCCGCCGCTAACGTTCCGATTTCGAACGCCGCCGGCTCCCTTTGGAACGTTGGCGCCGCCGGAGTTCCAGGCGCGTCGCTGCAGCCTCGGAAGCGGCGCGGCGGCTGCGAGGGAAGGAGCGGCGCCGGAGGTCCCCGGCGAGGAAGGCGAGCGTCCTTCGCGTCCCACCACCGCTTGCTCTCGTTCCGCGCCCGCGCCCCAGCTCCGCCGCCGGGAGCCTCGCAGGGCCTGGCTGCACAGAGAGAGAGGGAGACAGAGAGGGAGGAAGCCCCGAGCGGTCCTACGGCGCCTGCGCCGCCCCAGCTCCTTCCTTCCCACCATCGCCCGCCCAGCCCTCTCGGCAGCAGGTCCCTCCCAGCCGCCGGCGGAGGGAGCGCGTCACCTGCCGGCCGATAGGAGAAGCGGAGCTGCCGGGCCGGCGCGCACGGGCTCTCTCCCATTGAGCCGCTACGGTGGTGTAGCCAGGCTCTGGGAACAAGCTTTGCGGCGGGCTGTGCCAAAGTGCGGGGTTGCTACTGGGAATAGAATATTCTGTGTTGCATCCGACTCCGTTGCGCTCAGAGTAGACCCGCCGAAATGAGCGGACATGCATTGGTCATGACCATTCATTTCATTGGGTGCGCTCTGAGTGTGGCTGACTCACGAGACACCTCTTTGTAAGTGACTTGGAAGAAATGGGTGATCAACAAGCCAAGGAGCTTCTATTTATTTCATTAGGCTTTGCTTATTATTTTTATTTATTTCATAAAATTTATACAGTGCTTGATTGTAAAAAAACAAAAACAAAACTCAAAACAGTTTACAAAGACAAAACAATAAAATTATCAGTGAAAAAACCTGTTTAAAACATTCCAAAGATAAAATCGGCAATAAAGTAAACACACACATACATATACACACATTCAATGTTTCTTGTCTAAACAAACATGTTCTTATATCCCATCTTTCCTCCTAGGAGCTCTCCCATTTTACCTTCTCAGCCACTATGCAAAGTAGGTTAAGCTGAGAGAAGCGACTGAGCCAGCGAGTATCCTGGCTGAGTGGAGATTGGAACCCTGGTCTCTCCCAGGTCCCAGTCCAACATCCTGGCTCTCAGTTGGTGGTACATGGATGGGGAACCTTTGTCCCTTCAGATGTTGCTGGATGAGCTCCCCTGACCATTGGTTATGCTGGCTGGGGCTGATGAGAGTTACAGTCCCACGTGGGTTAGAGTCCTTTTGACGATATGAGCAGCACACAACCTTGTTATTACCAACAAGTGTGGCTTTCTCTCGACTGAAGTGCAGAGTGTTTGAGGACTGGGACATTTGCAGGGAAACAAAAATGCTTGTTCACAAAGCTATTGTACTACCAACCTTGTGAAACATAGGTAAAGGTAAAGGGACCCCTGACCATTAGGTCCAGTCGTAACCGACTCTGGGGCTGTGGCGCTCATCTCGCTTTACTGGCCAAGGAGCTGGCGTACAGCTTCCGGGTCATGTGGCCAGCATGACTAAGCCGCTTCTGGCGAACCAGAGTAGCACACGGAAACACCGTTTACCTTCCCGCCGGAGTGGTGCCTATTTATCTACTTGTACTTTGACATGCTTTCGAACGGCTAGGTTGGCAGGAGCAGGGACTGAGCAATGGGAGCTCACCCCATCGTGGGGATTCGAACTGCCGACCTTCTGATCGGCACGTCCTAGGCTCTGTGGTTTAACCCACAGCGCCACCCGCATCCCTTTTGTGAAACATGGACCACTTATAAACGCCATCTCCAACTCCTTGAAAGATTCCATCAACAGTGTCTGCAAAAAAATTTACACATCACTTAGGAAGACAGGCGAACTAATATCAGTGTACTGGAAGAAGCAAAGATCACCACTTTTGAAGCAATGATTCTTCAACATCAACTTCGTTGGAATGGTCACGTTGTGCGGATGTCTGCTGATCGTCTTCCAAAGCAACTACTCTATTCCGAACTTAAAAATGGAAAGCGTAATGCTGGTGGTCAACAAAAGAAGTTTAAAGACTGTCTCAAGGCAAATCTAAAACAATTTAGTATAAACACGGGCAACTAGGAAACACTGGGCTGTGAGCGCTCCAGTTGGAGAACAGCCTTTACCAAAGGTGTCATGGGCTTAGAAGACATTCAAACTTCAAACTTTCAATTGACTAAAATAGTGTGCCCTGATTAATCAATCCAGTGACTCACTCTATCTATCTATCTATCTATCTATCTATCTATCTATCATCTCTCTCTCTCTCTCTATCTATATCTACATACATACAACAAGAGAGTCATGTGGCGCATTAAAGCCTAACATTTATTATGGCATAAGCTTTCATGGACCACACATGAGCAGTGACATTCCACCATGCCATCTACTGCTGTGTCCTGATAAGTAAGCTCCTTTAAGTGACTTGGGTAAGTGCTATATAGGATTGCAGCCTTGGATATATTTAATTTGGTGTCAGGCCTAAGTACAGTATATGTCAAGGTGGGTGCTGTGATGCCTGCATTGCAGGACTGGATTGAACTGGATTGCATTTTGGGTCCTGTGCAGCTCTACAACTCTACTATTCTAAGCCAGATAATGTAATGAACTATATGAAGATGGTGAACATACCTCCAACCTGCTTGCCTGGTTTGCAGGGAATTTTGGCTAAGCAGGTAAGTATGGATTGCCTGATGGATGAATGCCTTTTCTTTCTGTAGGTTGATTATAGTGCATAAGCCAACACGCAAAACAGGATTTTGAAACAGCAGCAGCTCTGTCGGCACCAAGCGCCACTGAGGATCCATGGAGAAATAAACGTTAAAATGTAGATGGGGTTAGGATTTGTATGAGTTTCTCTAAACTTTTTGCAAAAGTAGGTGGTTTCAGAGCTGAATGCTGCTGAGCAGGGCCACATGTTCACCCTTCCTGGGACAGGGAGAGGTGCCCCCAAATGGATCTTTTCAATTTTGTACCATCTGTACCACCCTAAATTCAGTGCTGTAGTTGATGCTGAACTACAACTCCCAACAGTCGGTGTGACATGCCCTGGCCTGCATGAAGGGTGACAGGGTCCAATATCATGTGGCAGGTGACATCTGCAGATTTCCAGATGACGGCGTTGTTCAACACAGAGAAGGCCATGTTGAGCAGGCATGGTGCACCCCGCCCTGTGTTGCTCAGAGACGGGTCCAATATTGCGCTGCAGGCTGTGTTTGCCGTTTGCTGTGCGTATCTCACCATGCCCTGCATGCTGGGTGACAGTGTGCACCGCCCTGCGAACTAGGCAATGGGGTCCCTTGCGTCATGGCAGGCCGCATCTGATGGCTGTGACATGCAAGCTAGGTGACAAGGTCCAATATTGCTCAGCAGGCCGCATTTGATGGTGGAATATGGTTAGAAAAGCCCAAAATGCCACAAAAGGTAAAGAATGGTCAGATAAACCAAAAAGGTGCCAGGGGGGCGGGCACATCTTCAGAAACAAGCACAATTTAATCAGTACTGAAGAATGCTCAGAAAATGTATAAGGTACAAGGAAAAGCAGAACACACTGAGAAACATGCTGAATCCCACAAAAATCAAGAAAGCTTGGGAAAACCATAAAGTCCTAGAAAAGGTGGAAATGGTCTGGAAAAACCCAAATGCCAGAAAAAGCAAGGATAGTCAGAAATTATTTTACTGTTGCTGTATTACTGTATTTTACTGTTGTTAGCTGCTCTGAGTCCGGCTTTGGCTGGGGAGGGCGGGATATAAATAAAATTTTATTATTTTATTATTATTAAAAACCCAAAAGTCCCTGATAAGAGAAACACACTTAGAAATAGGGAAAATCCCACCAGTACTGATGAGTGCTCAGAAGAATTGGGTGCATGAAAAATAATAGCACCCTGAGAAGAACGGAAAACCACAACAACTGGTTTATTTCACCATTTTTCAGGAATGGCGGTGAAGGGCATTTTGAGTCTTTCTGATCACCTTCATTTCTTCTAAGACTCTTCATTATTGGTGGGATTGTGTTTGTTTCTGAATGTGTTCCCCCTTTCTTTGGGGTTTTGGTCCATCAGACCATTCTCCACTTTTCCTGGCATGTTCGGTCTTTCAGCCCATCTTTCAGCCTTTCTGAGAATCTATTGTGATGATTCTTCTTGACAAGTTGTTGCCATTTTACTTGTTTCTCTGTGCTTTTGACCATTCTGCACTTTTTCTGGTATTTTGCATATTTAACTTTTTATGGGTTTCTGTGGTTATTTTGACCATTCTTCAATATATGTTGGATTTTGCACATTTCTGTGGGCGTTTGGTCATTCGTCACTTCTTCTGGCTATTTGCGTTTTTCAGACCACCTTTTATATTTTCTGTGACTTAATAGTTGTTCTGAGCATTCCTCACCATTTGTGGGATTTGGCTTGTTTCTCAGTGTGTTCTGCTTTCTTGGACATTTTGCTTCTCAGCATTCTGCACTGGTCAGAATCTGGGGGTTTCTGAGGGAGTTTCCCTTTTATGTTGTTTTTGTCATTTCAGGCTTTTCTGACCCATCTTTCACCTTTTTTAGGACCTTATGCTCCATCTGAGCACTGATGGGATTTTGCTTGTTTCTGAGTGGTTCTCCCCCTTTTAGGGTGAATTGCCAGAGAACAGCATTTGGGGTACAAAGTGCTCACACCCCATTCTCACTTTCCTGTGTGCAGCTTGAGGTGGTAGATAATTCTCTCTACCTGGGTCCCAGCATAAACAGCAATCTCTCCACCATCACAGAGCTGGACAAGCATATTGGTAAGGCAGCTTTGGCAATCGCCTCTCAAAAAAGGTATGGGAAAATGTGATGCCAACAGCCAATACCAAGATGAAGGTCTATTAGGCTTACGTGTTGAACACGCTGCTTTATGGGAGTCGTGGGCATCTTACAACCGTCATGAGCGATGCCTCAACGCCTTCCACATGCACCGTGTCAGGAGGATTCTGGGTATCACATGGCAGGACAGAAGTCAAAACAAAGATATGCTCTTCTAAACCCACATTCCTAGAATGTTTGCACTCCTGTCTCAACGACTTCTACGCTGGTTTGGTCACGTCCACAGAATGGTAGATGGCAGGATTTCCAAGAAAGTTCTCCACTACAGGCACAAGGCAAATTGGCAGGCCAACTCTGTGCTACAAAGATGTCTGCAACCACGACATGAAGGCTGGCAACATCAACCCTGCAATGTGGGAATCCCTTGCAGATGACCACAGTGTCTAGAGATAGGCAGCCATGTATCCCTAGCAGTGACCAGAGGAGAAATGACCACTGGAGGGAGTAGAGAGACAAAACATCATGGTGTATCTGCAGCAACAGAACTGGGCACTTTCAATTGCCTCATCTGCAACAAAACATGCCTCTCCCAAATTGGTCTCTACAACCTCAGCAGGTACTGCAAACTTCCAACAGCCTGACCTCACCTGCAAAGGCACACCCTGCCACTGTGTCCAGAGACAGATGAATGCCAACAATGCCATGTAATAAGATAAAACTTCTTACATTAATACAGGAGGTCTGGGACAATGGATTCAAAAACTGAAGTATTTTACCATTTCATAAGATGGCTGTCTGTCCAGTATAAGGCAATCAGCAAGCTATCAGGTCACTTAACAGACACCAGACAAGCCACACTCTCAAATTTATGTTGTAGATCACCTCTTTCTGTGACCTGGTTATGATGCTTATAGGTGGTCTTTGGGTTAGCGGTTGGGCAATTTCTAAAGTCTTAAAACAGAGCTTTCCAAATTGTGTGTCGTGACATGTTAGTGTGCCGGCTGCAGGGTGTAAGTGTCATGCAAACACTGAGTAAAACTGAATTACACACACATACATAGCTTTATTGTGGTCCACAGACCTAAAATACACAGTACAGTAATGGTATATATCAAGTTATTATTGAGGTATAAAAACGGGCTTGCTAAGCCAAACAGAGGGGCTTTACCCCGTACATACTTTACTGATTCTTACTGCCTCCCAGAATTCCTGTGTCGCGAAATGGTGCATGACTCAAAAGTGTGTCACCGACAGGGAAAGTTTGGAAAGTTCTGCTTTTAAAGTTCTCACACACCTTTGTTGTGAGTCGGGGGGGGGGGTCTCTGTTAAACAAAAGATCTACTCCGTGGACTATATGGAATTGGCAGAAATGACTGGCAGAATCCGAGACCAGGGGGAAGAGTTGGTGGAAGAAGATTGGAAGAAATTTAAAAGACTATTTACAGAAATATTGTAAAATTAATGAATGATATAATGATGTTGGATAGTAATTAAGCGGTTTCTAGCTGTAATGCTTTAAGAGAATATGAAAAAAAGGGTTACAAATGGGTTATAATCTAATGGTAAGGATTTGCTGAACCAATAAATTGAAGTGGAATACAAAAAAGGGAGGTACGAGGAGGTCAGGGAAACAAGCTAAAGGAAAATAAGTAACTGAAACATGTGTGTTTTTAACTGTTTTTATTTTGTATTTTTCTCTTTTCTTTTTCATTTTTACTGTAATATTTCAAAAAAACCTTAATAAATATCTTATATATATAAACAAAAGATCTACTCCGTCTCCTGTGACCCCTCATGGACTTGGGGTCCTAAGAGGCAACCCTAAATGTTTCCGATAGAACACTCAAGCGGCGAATAAATTTCGTGAGATAAATAAACAAGCAGGTTGCGGCGGACCCCTCAGACGCGCCGCGGAGGGGCGCGGACGAGGGAGCGAGGCAGGCAGCCCGTCGTGGGGGCGACGCGGGCGCTTCCCCGCCTCCCGCCGCGGCTTCTCCTGCCGCCGCGGCCTGCGCTCCCTCAGGCGCCGCCTCCCTTTCTGGAAACTTCTCCGCCTCCTCCGCTCGGCCCGCCCGTCCGAGGGGGCGCTCGAGAGGTGAGCGCGGGCCCGGCTGCCGAGCGGAGAGGCGAGAGGAAGCAGGCCCAGCGCCTCGACGGAGGAGGAGCCCCCGCCGCTGTTGCCGCCAAGCGCCGCCTGGCGAGCCCCGCTGCTGCTCCGGCCGGATCGCCGAGGGAGAGAAGCGGCCCGTGCTTGCCCGCCCGCCGGGGAGGAGCCGCGGAAGCCGCCATGACCGCCGAGGAGGGCAAGGCCGAGGCGATGAGCGCCGCGCCGCCTCAGGAGGGAGAAGCGGCGGCCGTGGACGTCACCCCCGGCCGCGACGGCGGAGTCCTCAAGGTAAGCGCTCCGAGCTCGCGCCCGAGGCCTGCGGCGGGGGAAGCCGGACAACAGCCCCGCGGAGTAGGACAGCCGTGGTGACGCCTCCCGCCGCCCCGCACGTGAGAGCGGGACAGGCCTTGGAAGGATCCCGGGAGGCGAGGCCCAGGGAATTCCCGGGAAGGTGCGCCCTGAGTGTAGGAGAAGGTGGTCTGGAAGGTGCCCGAGGCATGCGGAGGAGGGAGTCGCTGTTCCGTTTGCTCCCGGGAGGGAAGGGTCAGACTCGGGCTTCAAATCCATTTCAGTGTTTAGGCTCAAGAACTTGCGGAGTAGCAGCAGAGTGCCTCTGAGCATGTGCAGAATGCCCTTCTCGCCCCCGATTTGTATCCCGGCAACTTTTCCTGGCCTGCGCTTTTAACAACATGAGAATGAGGGTACGATGTGCGTCTCCCCCGTCCTACGCTGTCACTTCCCTTCCTAAATTTCTGTATTGCCAAGATAGCTGTTCTTACCTGTCACTAAATGGCCACCCTACTAGATACTGTTGATTTTATTCACCCTACATGTATATTCCCCAAGTGATAGATAGATATCTAATCAATCACTTGGGGCAGCTTACAACAAATTGAAATCACAGTATTACCCTGAAACAAAAACATTATGCAGTAAAATACAATGCAGGAAAAGGAGGTGTAACAGATAAAAACCAATTCAGTAAGCAGCCTTGGCAAGATAATGCACCTAGGCAGCAGCCTCACAGGTCACAGGAGTTTGGTCTTTATTTTTTCCTGGAATGCATGGATCACTTCAGACCACTGAGTGTGTATGGATGGATGAGGGGGTAGTGACACCTAAATTAAGACATGACTTGCAAAGGAATGAAGTGCATATTGATGAGGGTTGGTATAATTGCTTCTCTTGGTGGTGCCTTATGTTTCTTTAACATCCACTTAACTGTGTGTTGCACACAGGTAGGCCCTGCCATGACCAACTACAAGTTTCCTACAACACTACTTTCCGGAGGGGTAGTCAGTTACCAGATCACATCATGCAGAAGAGGCTTAATTCTTCTCAGTGGTTACATATCGGCTTCTGTGTTAGAATAAAATAGTGCAGACCACTGTGCAGAATACAGACCCTTGTGAGCAGGCAGGAGAGTTGCATATGCATCAGGTTGCTGAACCACTCTGGGTGGTAGCAAAGGAATATTGTGTTTTGCTTTAGCTTTTATTTAAACTTATATTTTATAGGTTCCTTAAAATTAGTAGAAATCAAAAAACAAAACTTGGATGGACGATTGATGTATTTCTATTTCCAATTATTGCTTGCAAATTAAACCTGCAAAGTATTTTGTATTGTAAGCCGCTCTGTGATCTTCAGATGCAGGGCAGTATAGAAATATCGTCATTATCTTTATTGTAAGAAGCTGTTTATATTACTGTTCTTTAGATAGAAATTGAAGTTGACTCACCCAAAATGTACAGAGGTTGGTATTTGATCTAGTTCAGATCCAAGTCTGATTTGTTCATCAGTGTGCCTCTTGTAGTGATATTATGACACCTGACAAGTATGAACCTTTGTGAATCACAATTTGAAAATGAAACTAAAAGTTAACCACTGCAGTCTTTTGTGGAATGACATAAACTAAGACGCACGTGCCTTAAACTGAAATTATATCCCTTAAAACTGCAGACATCAAAATAAACCCAGAGCTTGAAAGGCTTCCAACAGTTTCTAGGGAATATGGACTGTGCCTTTTTTATTGCAGTTGTTTTAGATTAGTGTGTTAAAGGGCAGCACCAGGAACTGGGGTCAGAAACAGACTAGCAGCCAGTGAAGAGTTGCACAGCCACTTTCTGCACTAGCTGCAGTTTCTGATCTGTCTTCAAGGATAGCTCCATCATACAGTGCATTTCAGTACAGTGGTACCTCGGGTTACAAATACCTCGGGCTACAAACACTTCGGGTTACAGACTCCACTAACCCGGAAGTAGTACCTCAGGTTAAGAACTTTGTCCCAGGATGATTTCAGAAATCACGCGGCAGCGGGAGGCCCCATTAGCTCAAGTGGTACCTCAGGTTAAGAATGGTTTCAGGTTAAGAATGGACCTCTGGAACTAATTAAGTTCGTAACCAGAGGTACCACTGTAGTCTTAACTCAGAAGTTGCCTGAGCGTTGATAACTGTTTGGTCACTCTATCCCTTGATTAAAAGTCACTTTTTTCTGAAAACTGACCAACTCAAGTCAATTGATGAGCCACAGAGACATGAACAGGTAAGAAGGGGCAAGAGAGAAGCTACTAATTAAGGAACAATAGCTCTGAAAAGCCTCTAGCACCAGTCTTCATTATGTAGGCTGGTGCCACAATTGTGTTTTAAGACAAAAATCGCCAAAAATGTTTTTAAAAGGATGGGAAAGTAACATGGGAATCACCAGGATATACAGTGGTACCTCGGGTTACATACGCTTCAGGTTACAGACTCCTCTAACCTAGAAATAGTACCTCGGGTTAAGAACTTTGCTTCAGGATGAGAACAGAAATTGTGTTCCGGCGGCAGCGGGAGGCCCCCTTAGCTAAAGTGGTGCTTCGGGTTAAGAATAGTTTCAGGTTAAGAACGGACCTCCAGAATGAATTAAGTACTTAACCCAAGGTACCACTGTAACACATTGCTGATGTCATCAGAATTTCCTGTAAAAACATAATGATTAAAGGATGTTATTTCAAATTAAATAGCATGGAAGCAGTCTTATTTTGCAAAACTAAATTCTGGATTTCTAAAGATTATACTCCCCAAAAGGGGGTTAGGGAGCAAAAAGTCAAAAAAGGCCTAGGATTTTGTTTTGTGACAACAGAACAGATCAAATGGTAAAGGAATGGGCTGCTATCATAGGAGTTGGAAGGGATCCTAAGGGTCATCTAGTCCAACCCCCGCAATGCAAGAATCTCAACTAAAGCATCCATGACAGCGGGCCATCCAACCCTCTCTTTAAAAACCTCCCAAGGAATAAGAGTTCTACACTTTCCAATACAGTGGTACCTCGGGTTAAGTATTTAATTCGTTTCAGAGGTCCGTTCTTAACCTGAAACTGTTCTTAACCTGAAGCACCACTTTAGCTAATGGGGCCTGCTGCTGCTGCCGTGCCGCCAGAGCACGATTTCTGTTCTCATCCTGCAGCAAAGTTCTTAACCTGAAGCACTACTTCTGGGTTGGCAGAGTCTGTAACCTGAAGCGTATGTAACCTGAAGCATATGTAACCTGAAGTACCACTGTAGTGTCTGTTCCACTGCCACTGTTGGTTCCACCAATTGCAGCAAACGCCCCTCCGTAGACCCCATAACCATCAAAATGTAGCAGATCCCACCTCTCTGTGTAACACCATGCTCAAAAACTTCCACGGGTTATCTAAGGTAAAATTTTGAGACTCAGGCAGAAGTTGAACAAATAAGAAAGATTTGTTTTACAGAACAAAGTTGGCAGAACAAATGATGTGTCAGGAAATGATTAACTTAATAATTATGCTAAATATCGTGGATGCTACAGGGTTCTAAACAAAGTAGTAAATGCACAGCTTTTAAACTTCAGTTGCTTATTTTCAGTTACTACTCTTCAGTTAGGTGTTACAGGTTTCTAGACTAGAAAGTAAATGTTCAACTTATTTCTAGTTAGGTTACTTCAATTTCTTAAAACGTAATGGCATAGGTGTTAAATGCATTTGTTCTTAAACAAGGTCAGTTTTTGTCAGTTTCCCAACCTTCTACCAATCACACTCGTGAGGTACTTCTGGCAGTATAACAAACCCAGGGGGTCACCACACCCCTCTTAACTTCTCCTTCTAGAATATCTCTCTCCTCCTGACTGAAATGAGACTCCTTGTATGGAGGTACAGTGGTACCTTGGTTATCAAACGTAATCCGTTCCAGAAGCCCGTTCCAAAACCAAAGTGTTCCAAAACCAAGGTGCGCTTTCCCATAGAAAGTAATGCAAAACGGATTAATCTCTTCCAGACTTTTAAAGGCAACCCCTAAAAGAGCAATTTAACATGAATTTTACTATCTAACGAGACCATTGATTCATAAAATGAAAGCAATAAACTATGTACTATAAAGTAAATAATGCAGTACTGTAGATGATAAAAATTTAATTTAATTTTTTTTCCCTTACCTGCACTGATGATAGTCATTGTTTGGATGGGGGGGGGGGCTATTATCTATTCCAGCAGTCACACAATCAATCAGTCAGTAGCTGAACTGGGTTCCATACAGGCACAACATCAAATTAACCCAAAAAACCTCAAAAACAAAAACGCAAAATAAATAGCAGAAACAAAAGCACCAAACTTAATCTGTTCCGGAAGTCCGTTTGACTTCCAAAATGTTTGAAAACCAAGACGCAGCTTCTGTTTGGTGCAGGCGCCCAGGAAACTAGCCGACAGCCGCATTGGACATTCGGCTTCTGAAAAGCATTCGAAAACCGGAACACTCACTTCTGGGTTTTCGGCGTTTGGGAACCAAGGTGTTTGAATGCCAAGGCATTTGAGAACCAAGGTCTTTTTTCCACTTTCAGTTTCTTGAGTTGTTTAGTGGCAGGAAACAAACAAACAAAAAAAGGATATAAGAATATAGGAATATATTCTGATGTATTCCGTATATCCCTCCTATATAAGGATATAGGAATTCCTTTCCTACCGTCCATTGTGATCTTTATTGTTTTTTTCCACAACAGACGGTGGTACTCACAGATTTTCAAATTATAGATTTTCTCCATCAGATGGAGGGGGCTGGTCTCCCATTACAGTTTCCTGTCCCTAACATATTTTGAAGGGTTTTAAAAAGAGAGGGTGCAGTTTTTTTCTTTCTTATAAGGTGATTATGTGGTGTTTGGTCATGAGGGCATTCTCCTCGACTTGCAGAAAAATGGCTTTGATCCAAGCCTCTTGAGATCAGTCTTATCTCCAGATTGGTTTAAGAGCCAGGCTATTTGACTATTAGCAATCACCATGTGATTATCTTCTGTCAGTTGGAGCTAGTGGAACAATTTCCAAACCCCTATGCCTCTCTCCCAGAAGCCAGTGTCCCTTTTTGATGGGTGGTTCCCATTTTGGGAGATTGGTAAGTTCTGGATGGGGTTGCACTCCCTCTGAAGGATGCTCCTGGATACATCTTTGTCAACAGAGGCCCAGGTGTCCTCTGTGGCTAGGAAGGCCTTTTACCGGCCTCATCTGGTTTGAGAGCTAGCGCCATTCCTGGACGTGAATAGCCTGGCCGTTGTTGTCCATGCTTTGGCTGGCTATAAAAGGTAAAGGGACCCCTGACAGTTAAGTCCAGTCACAAACGACTCTGGGGTTGCGGCGCTCATCTTGCTTTACTGGCCGAGGGAGCCAACGTTGGTCCACAGACAGTTTTTCTGGGTCATGTGGCCAGAATGACTAAGCCGCTTCTGGCAAAACCAGAGCAGCGCACAGAAACACTGTTTTACCTTCCCACCGGAGCGGTACCTATTTATCTACAGTGGTACCTCAGGTTAAGAATTTAATTCGTTCTGGAGGTCCGTTCTTAACCTGAAACTGTTCTTAACCTGAGTACCACTTTAGCTAATGGGGCCTCCCGCTGCTGCCACCGCCGCGCGATTTCTGTTCTCATCCTGAAGCAAAGTTCTTAACCCGAGGTACTATTTCTGGGTTAGCGGAGTCTGTAACCTGAAGCTTCTGTAACCCGAGGTACCACTGTACTTGCACTTTGACGTGCTTTCGAACTGCTAGGTTGGCAGGAGCTGGGACCAACAACAGCAGCTCACCCCGTCGCAGGGATTCAAACCGCCGACCTTCTGATCGGCAAGCCCAAGAGGCTCAGTGGTTTCGACCACAGCGCCACCTGCGTCCCCCTTGTCTGGGTATAAATGTGCTGTTATGTGGGGCTGCCCTGGGGTCTGGTTTGGAAGCTCCAGCTGGTGCAGAACGTGGTGGTCAGACGGCTGCTGGGAGCTGCTGGTTGGCAACATGTGACACCATTGTTAAAAGAGCTGCCCTGGCTGCCAATCTGCAACTGAGTCAGGTTCAAGGTTCTTGTATTGATTTATAAAGCCCTTTGATTGATATATATGTCAATCATGATACAGTGGCATACAAATACTTTATAAACAAACAAACAAACAAACCCTTCAAGCAATCAAGTGTATTCTCTGTGGGTTATTTATTCCTTACTATATTTTCTTCGCCATAAAACAGATATTTAAAGAGCAGTTGGTTGAGTGAGTCTGAATACCTTAAAACTTCCCAGAAAGTACTACATTTGTAGATACCAGAGTGAATGGCACCTGCTGTTTCCCAAACTTTTACCTGTGTTAATGAATGTGAGCACAAAAACAGAAGAGGGTAAGAGTTCTGCTTTTATTAACATGGATTGTGGAAACAGAACTTAGTATGCTTAGTATAATTGGAAGACAGGGAATTGGAAGCCCTCCCTATTTCTTTTCAGCCTCTTTAATATCTTTCTTACGGTTCCTTTTTCTTTTTCCTCCTCCTTGTTATACTTACGTTTTGTTCTGTAATTTGAAGTTCCCTATCCCAAGATGAAGGGCCCTCTGTGAGGGGCAAGGCAAAGAGAATCTCCCAGAGTGAGAGGCTGGGGGAATAGGGTGAGGCTCCCAGGTGAGAGCCAGGAGGGCTCACTTTTCTGTGTGTGGAATAAGGGTTAAGACTGAATTTTGATAGAGGATTTTGTAAGTTCCTTTTCTTTTTTTCTCCTCCTTTGCTCATCTTCCCCCCCATCTTTTTCTTGTTTAAATTAGTGTGATTTTTATTGTAGCTTATGTGGAAAATTTTCAATAAAAATTGATTTTTTAAAAAAGAACTTATTCTGTGTTCATTCTAATTGATAAATACTAAATTTAAGGAGCACACTGTAAAAATCCAGCAATTTTGGCTGCTGGCACGTCTTTAGTGCTGAAGCTGGTGGTGACAGAGTGCTCCTTTTGTATTCCTTCTCTGTGTGCACACCTGTCAGTTTGGAGAAAAGTCAGTGAAGAATAACTTTTTTTGGAGCTGATGAACCTGTGTAATAGTAATCATGAGTTGCTTAAGTTTGCAAGGGGAGGAATCTGCTGCTGTAGAGTTTGTTTCTTTTTTTGTGGAAATCTTCAACTCATGTCCCAGAACAGCCATGGCTCCCTACGCAGCCTTGAAGCTCACTTGTGGTAGTTAATCTTACCTGTAGTTTAGCCTACTTTGTAAAGTTTTGCAGAAATTAAATTATGCTACCACCACCCCTAGAAAAATAATGTACAAGGCACAAACATTGTACTTTTCTCCCATTTACATGAGATCCAGTTCTTAGTTTGACTATACTGACTGTATAAAGCAGTCATAGCTGAAGAGTCATGCTAGAGGGCTCTACTTGGACAGATGTCCATTTAACAGCTGTGCTGTTCCAAAAACATTTGTAATTCCTGAATAGTTCAAAGGTGGACTAAACATCACTATAAAACTGAGCTGAAGCTCTGACAGTGGAATGATCTAAGTAGAGAATGGAGTGTTGCTAGTTTCTTTAATATGGTTTTGTGTATTTATCATCACAATTTTCTCATGCAGAACTGATCACAAAATCTCATTTTATAGTGAGGGTTTGTGAACTGAAGCCTAGTAACTTAGAGGTGCCGTTAGCTGCAGTCAAGATGCCTTAAATCTTTAACAGCAGGAAATGGAATTTTGCAGTGTTGATTACATTCAAAAACAGTGAAGTACAACCCAACCCTTTAACACTTGTTGAATGAATAAAATAAAATAGTGGTAAAACTAGTATCAGATGGCATTGCCACAGCAATCTGTAAAATCTTTCTTAACAAACTTGGTTTACTTCTCAGGGTAGCATGGCTTCCTAGTAGTTCATATAAATATTGTTTTGTTTCCCCCGCTACAGATTATCAAGAAAGAAGGGACAGGGACCGAATCACCCATGATTGGTGATAAAGTGACTGTTCACTATAGTGGGTGGCTTCTAGATGGCACAAAATTTGACTCAAGCCGGGACAGAAAGGACAAGTTCTCGTTTGACTTCGGCAAAGGTAGTGTGTTCTATGCCTTGTACACAATAACATGATCTCTTCAATAGCATTTTTAAAGAGTGATGCATTGCATATTCCATATTAAATGTTGATCCTCTTCTTAAGTTGCAGTGTAAAATGTTCGTTGTCCTACACTTTTGTATATAATTGTCTTCTCATTATGGGAACAGAATTTAATTGTTATGTGGTTTCATAAATACAGTTGAATAGAAGCCACAATAGCATATGCAGGTTTGCTTTCACAATTGTTGTTTGTCAGGAATGCCACACAGGCTATTTTCACTTGTTGCTCTGTTAAATAGAAATGTATCAAGCTAATACGATGAGTATAAATTGTTAGGCACAACTACAGTTTGCACAAATATAAGTGTAATGAAGTACCGTATTTTTCGCCCTATAGGACGCACTTTTTCCCCTCCAAAAATGAAGGGGAAATCTGGGTGCGTCCTATGGGGCGAATGCAGGCTTTCGCTGAAGCTTGGAGAGCGAAAGGGGTCGGTGTGCACCAACCCCTCTCGCTCTCCAGGCTTCAGGAAGACATCCGCAGCCTGCTTCCCGGAGCGTCGGGCGCCCTGAAAGCAGAGCGCCCGGCGCTTCGGGAACACATCCGCAGCCTAGGCAGCCCTTCGGGAGGTCCCACAGGGCTCCCCACGCTGCAGATAGCAGCCTGCCGCCCGGCGGGCGAGGCGCCCTGAAGCAGAGCGCCCCGCGCGCCGGACAGACATCCACAGCGTGGGGAGCCCTGCAGGAGTTCCCCGCAGGGCTCCCCACGCTGCGGATAGCAGCCTGCCGCCCAGTGGGCTGGGTGCCCTGAAGCAGAGCGCCCCTCGCGCCGGGCAGACATCGGCCAGCCCCACAAGCTCGGGGGACAGCAGGGAGGCACAGCGCCGCCATCCCGCTATTCCTCGACCTGGTTCGGTTTCCCCGACCTGCTTTTGGGGGGGAAATAAAGGGAAACATTTTTTCCTTTATTTCCCCCCCCAAAAAACTAGGTGCGTCCTATGGGACGGAGCGTCCTATGGGACGAAAAATACGGTATAATATGTACAAAAAGCTTTGGCCAGGGACAATTTTGAGCATAGAAGTGATGAGGTTCTTAAGGTGAAGCCAATTATTTCCCCTCAGCAGAGTTCCATTTTTTATGTTTAATGCCTCAAATACATATCTGGAGAGGCAAAATCATCTTGAATGGAGGGTGGTTATTTGGAGCAGGAAAAACAGCTTTCTGGGACAGAGTTAAGTACCTATTCTACCCTGCTGCCATGGACGAGGTTCCATTGATGGAGAAAGGAAGTATCAGCCATACCTCTAGAGATATTTGGGAGAAAGTCCTGTTTCCAGAGAGAAGAAGGTTCTGAAGTCCATATTCTGTTCTAGTCTCTATTACTGTGACAGCAGAACTGAGCTTACAATTTTTGTTGTTTTAAATTACCTGCCACAATTATTGTTCTCTTAAAGCAGGGTTTCCAAAACTTGGGTCTCCTACTGTTTTTGGACTACAATTCCCATCATCCCTAGCTAGCAGAAACAATGATCAGGGATCAGCTTTCCAAAAACAGCTAGAGTTCCAAATTTGGGAAACCCTGTTTTAAAGTATTCCAGTACTTTTAGTAATAATCTGTGAACTTCCTCTTCACTTTTTCTTCTTCAACATTCCTAATATGGATAGACAAGTGTCAAAGAGGTGTCCTGATTCTTTAGTTCAGTTGGAGTTTGTGACCTTCTTTGGGGCTTATCCCTGCAATGTATTTGCTTTTTGCTAGCAGAGAGAATGTGGATAAATGACTACTGATGACAGCAGCTTCTTACAGGTGCTTGCTTTTTAGTAATGTGGCCAAATTCTTCTTTTTAGGTGAAGTCATCAAAGCTTGGGACATCACCGTGGGAACTATGAAACTTGGAGAACTTTGTCAAATAACTTGCAAACCAGAATATGCCTATGGCTCTGCTGGCAGTCCCCCTAAGATACCTCCCAATGCCACACTGATTTTTGAGGTAAGCCAGGGAGGCTGTTCTTTCATCTGTAGCAGAAGCAGGACAACTGCTGTCCAAAGCAGCTGTTCATGTTTGCCAAGGCTAAAAGCTGAACAGCTGGTGCCAAAGGCAGCAGAATCAATGAGTCCCTGTAGATATGGAACTTGGTTGGCGAAAACAGAACAATATTTGAAGAGTACAGGCCCTGTATTACCTTTGTTGTAAGAAATGAAATAACAGATTTATTCATTCAAGTTTACTGCTGTAAGTATAAAACCAAATTCAGAAATAAAACAGAAAAGTTGACCAAGTGATAGAGTAAAAGATCTCAATGTAATTAAAACATAGAATCTTAGAGTCTTCAAAATGTCTTTCCGGTAAAAATGGTTTAGTCAGCCATACAAACTGCAAGAGAAACGGCTGAAAAGAGAGTTCAGTTTGAGGGCTCTGCCTTTTGCCTTCCTGCACCTGCATGTGAAGCAGAACTGATGGTCTTAGCATGTGGTAATGGAAAGGGACTCAATTGGGAAGAGGCATTCTCCTAGGTACCCATTCCAATATTGCATTAGCTGAATACTCCTTTCATAGTTCTGGTCACTGGGCTAGCTTTTCAATAATTCTTTTTTTTTTTTTCCCTTGTTCATTTTTATTTTAACTTCATTTTGTATCATACATGTTCAAATTATCTGTTTCAATTCCCCACCCCCACCCTGGTTTTAAAGTAGGGTTACTTAAAATAATAATAATAATAATAATAATAATAATAATAATAATAATAATAATAATTAATACCTCTTTAGATAATGCTACTTTTCCTCCTACTTTTCTGTGATAAAGTCAACCCTTCACAATTTCACCATGGGCTAAATCTGAATTTGCATTATTTTGTTCATTCCTCTAGATAGAGCTGTTTGAGTTCAAGGGCAAAGACCTCACAGATGATGAAGATGGTGGAATTATCCGAAGAATTCGTAAGAAGGGAGAAGGCTACTCCAAACCCAACGAGGGAGCTATGGTAGAGAGTAAGTAGCAGTAAAAAGATGATGGATGGGGATGTTGAGGCAGGTCCCATAACAGACACTTTTTATGCATTTGGGAGCGTGAATAAGTTTCTAAGTGCATTGACTCCTTAAACCAGAAGTTTTTTGTTCTGTTATCAAAGAACTTCCTTCAAAAAAAGAAAAGAAAATGGCATTATGTTAAAATTAGTATCTGAAGTCCTGCTCTCCTGGTCTCAGCTAACAGGCATCAGAGATGAGCCCTTTTCTATGGTGACCCTGCATTGGAAGACTGTTCCCAGGAAAAGACCTTTCTTTGTTGGCTTTGGCAGAATGGGGAACATGTGGCCCTCCAAAGGTCCCGTCCCCCCAACTACCATCAGTCCCAGCTAGCATAGCTGATGGCTAGGGAACAGAAATTGTATATGGAGATATTTTTCTTCCTGTCCATGTTTGGGTAATTTTATGGTGCTGAGTTTTTATAATTGTTCGGCTTTTACTATTTTTAATGTTGTATTGTTAACTGCTTTAATATTCTGGAATTTTAGTGTACCATTACTTTTTGTTGACTGTGTTGCAAACCATCCTAAAAGGCATGGTTTGACTGTATTAAGTAACTATACCTCTGTCTCCTCTCATACCATGCTGGATAATCATGCTTAGTATTGACATAGTGCTTTAAACTGCTGAGAGAGGATAATATATATAATCCCAGTAATCCCGTCTAAACATGCCATTTTTTGTATCAGTTGAGGTGGAAGGTCGGCATGGAGACAGACTATTTGACAAACGGGAGCTGCGGTTTGAAGTAGGAGAGGGAGAAAACTATGACCTTCCTCCTGGCGTGGACAAAGCACTTCAGAAAATGGATAAGTTGGAAGAGTCCGTGGTGTATCTCAAGCCCAGGTATATACGCCTTGCTTTGAAGCAATCCTGAAACACCACTTTCTTGGGTGCATGAGGCACAAGCTATTGTTGCCACTGCAAATAGACTCAGCTTTGGGGATTGGGTATATCTGTAGGCAGTCTTATGAGGTTGCTTATTTAGAGGTGGGTGATGTGATGCCTTTCGAAGGAGGAAAAACAAGCAGATCTGGATCTTAGAAGCGTCTCATTTCTTTCACAGCTATGGTTTTGGAAGTGCTGGGAAACCAAAATTTCAGATCCCTCCAGATGCAGAACTACAGTATGAAATCAAACTTAAAAGTTTTGAAAAGGTAAGCAAAGGAGGGGTTTCTTCTAATGAAAAGGAGATAGAAAGAGGGTTCACATTAATCCATCCATGATAGGATGTGTGTGGCAAAAGAAATAGAAATGTATTACAATAACTTGCATAAAATGAAGCTACATTATACTTTCCAACTTTTATTATTTTTATTGATTTAAACTTGTTTGTTCCATGTGAAATTACTATTGTTTTTTGTTGTAATATATCTGGAGCAGGTTAGGGTGGGGATGGTTTTAAAAATCCGCTGCTACAACCTTTGGAATCCCTGGTGAAGGGTGGGAATGGCCTCATCCTGTTTGGGGGGTGGGTTTTTGATACCGCCAGCTATGCACACCGTTCCACAATGGAAAGCCACAGCACATCAAAAGGCTTCATGGAGAGCAGCATTGAAAGCGAAGGCCAGAAGCTCAATAGCTTGTGACAGCTTTTGTAGTCAGTCAGGAACTTTTCCCTCACTCTCTCTCACAGTGTGAGATTTCAGTTACAAACTCTGGGACAGGAAATTTCCACTTGGGTGCAAAGGGGGTGCTCTTGGGTTGCAAAATGCAACTGGCACCCAGTTAGTTTTGAACACTGGTTTGATTTCACCCCCAGAGGCACACTCCGTTGTCTTTCGAGAAAGATGGACGCCAGCGACAATTATACTTAATGAATGTATAAAGTTTTCTTTAAAAAATTAATAAATCAAGGTTGCTCTTAATCCCATCTTCCTTTCTGATTGATACCTGAATGCTCTAGAGGAATTTCCACCTAATACTGCTAGTTCCCTGCCAGTCTTAGTCTCACTGTGGAATGGTGGTGTCATGACTCAGTGACCAGGATAAACAAATCAGAAGCATTAGGGTTAATGTCGGAGGAACTAGAGCAGAGGTCTGTTGAACCTAGGAGGCAGGAGGCTGCTGAACCTGTTCCCTCACACCAAAGCCAGGACCCTCACAAGCCCCTTTCCTTGGTCTTCATAAACCAAGTTTCTCCCACACTTACCTCGCCAGCCCAACAGCACAGGGAATGTACCTTAGTAGGAAGCCAGTGAGTAAAGGAGACGCACCACTTTTCAAGCCAGAGCCATGTCTGCTCTCCCCAGGTCACACCAACATGAACCCTGTTATGCATCCTCCTAACTGTTTTCACCAGGGTGAAGTATGTCATTAAACTGTGATCATGCCTCTTGCATGCCTGCATTGGAGAATGGAAGGGTGTGTTTTGCGGGGGGGGGGTTGCTATTGTGTGGCTGGAAGGTATTCTGTACAAAAGACAAGAGTCACATTTCAGCATTTGTCTAAAAACTGGAAGAAAGGGAGATTGGTAGATCTCCCTGGGAAAGGAATTCTACAACTGTCTTATCTATCACACATAAAATTAAATTATATGATATAGCAGTTGTCAAATTTAGGCTGCAATCCTGTAGTTGTATACCTTGGAGCAAGTGCTATTGAACTCAGTAGGACTTCTGAGTAAACATGGATGCAGTTGCACTGTTAAGTAATAAATAATATAACCTTGAAATATTATCACCTCACATTTCAAATCAGTAGTTTCTGATTTGAGCTTTCAATTTCATCTCCATGGATTTCACAGAAAACTGTCTTACATAATTATTAGAAATCATTCGGAGGACATAAAGGGCGGGTAAAACAAAATTTTGAAACCTTGTATTTAGAAACTATTTTACTCAGTATTTTAAAAGAAAATAGTTCATAAAAACCCAATGCCCCCAATTTCTATTTTTTCCATTGGACATAATTGAGAGAAGACCACTGGAAAGATGCTTTGTTGCACTTTGGCTGCGACAGGGAACCACGTTGCAGATAGATCTAGAAGCTATAAAAACAGCATAGCACAATCTGATGTTTTGGGATACTGTATAGGGAGAAGACCCAAAAATAAAGGAAGGGACAGCAAGGCGCTAAATGCTAAATTTCTGCTGTGTGCAGCATCGGCATACGAGACGTACAGACATAGCTCAAGAGATGTATTATTCCTCTGACTTACATTTAACTAGCCCTGAATGTGGTGACCAGGTTACCCTTGCTTGCTGCTTTCATTTTCTTGTGCCACATCGTCAGTTTGTGGTTTATGGCCAGCAGTAGAGGCAGTAAACTGACATGTGTATCTGCTTGCCTGGTGTCTCTCCACTTTACGCTTCTATACAGTTACATGCCATTCTTCCATAGATGCCTTGTCTTCAAAAAAGCACCCCGTTGATTGGTTTCTTTTTTGTCTGGACAGGCTAAGGAGTCGTGGGAGATGAACACCAATGAAAAGCTGGAACAAGGGTCCATTGCAAAGGAAAAGGGCACTCAGTATTTCAAAGTGAGTGTAATAGGGGATTTCAAACACCCCTGGCAGATACTGAAGTAATGTTGAGTGTGCCATATCTTTTGATTTGCATTCCTCTGAAATTGTGGTATGGGTGTATGATTGGAATTTGGATTATTGATGACTAAAAGCACTGTATGTTGGAATGGAAGGAAACTGTTTCCAATGCTGAAACTTGCTTATAGGTACCATAGTCATAAAAGTGAGGCCCATAGTTTCACTAGCTCATTCTAATGCCCCAAAATCTACCTGAGTGTGATGTACAGCAAAGTTTTCAAAGCTTTATTAATCTATATTGTACTCTGCCTACGGCCAGAGCCGTCTTACCCATAGGCGCTAGGGCTGCAGGGTGCCATGCTCTCAGTGGCGCTAGGCCGAGAGTCCGGGGTCTTGACAGGCCAGTCTTGACAGACTCTAGGGTTGTGCGCCCATCTCACTCAAGAGGCCGGGGGCCAGCGCTGTCCGGAGACACTTCCGGGTCACGTGGCCAGCGTGACATCGCTGCTCTGGCGAGCCAGCGCAGCACACGGAACGCCGTTTACCTTCCCGCTAGTAAGCGGTCCCTATTTATCTACTTGCACCCAGGAGTGCTTTCGAACTGCTAGGTTGGCAGGCGCTGGGACCGAACAATGGGAGCGCACCCCGCCGCGGGGATTCGAACCGCCAACCATGCGATCAGCAAGCCCTAGGCGCTGAGGCTTTTACCCACAGCGCCACCCGCGTCCCATGAGCTGAGGTAGAATTCACGTTCTGCCCAACTAACCATGCACGGCTACCTGCAACTAAAGCTACATTAGAATTTTTGCCCTATTCTAGCTTCAGCTGAACATAATGGTGACATTATGTCAGCCTGCCTGCTGATCTGCTGGGTAGGGAATATGGCCCTCTAATCCATTTGAGTCTGATGCCATACTGATTGCATTCCAGGAGGGAAAATACAAACGGGCAGCATCACAATACAAGAAGATAGTGTCATGGCTGGAACATGAAACAGGACTCTCGGATGCAGAGGAAGCAAAGGCCGAGAGCTTGAGACTTGCTGCCCATCTGAACCTGGCCATGTGCCATCTGAAGCTGAAGGAGTATTCCCAGGCCTTGGAGAACTGCAACAAAGTAAGCAGCACTTTAGATATCCAGGAATGCAGGCAGGAGTGTCAGCCAGTAATAACAAGCTTCCCGGGCCGTGCTGTGATTGAAGATGTGCAAAGGATACCCAAATGGTACCCTTTATTGGACTGGTGATATAGTGTGTATGTGGGTTTAAAATAATAAAATCCTTTTATTTGTGAAGCTGTTTTCAGACCAGTTGGTTTTCCAGCTAACACAGCAGCTGCTGCACTCCTGTGACATGAAAAACTGAGTTGCAAAAGCTGAAAATGGGAATACTATTCCATAAAACTTTAATTAATTGTATATTCATGGCCTGTGCCAAGTAGGGGAACTTGAGAAGAACTCACTAGCTTATCTCCTTTCTCTTCTCTTATTGTATCCCCAGTATGTGCAAATACCTCCCTGCTGATATAGAAGAGGATAAACAAACTAGTGTCATATGTGAACAGCTTTCCAAAGCTGGATTGCGCCCCTAAAACTGCCCTAACCCCACTAGTTACAGAATGGATGCCCAGGCAGATTGTGTGCTGTCTGACTCAGAACACCCCTTCCCCCAACATATTCCCACTCCCCAACTGCTGTAAAACTAAATGAAGGGGAGGCGGGAAGCTAAGAACAGCCTTTGTAATCTGGGCATTTGTGTGGGGAAATGGCTGAAAGTCGCTCAGTGAATACCTTTCCAACCCGACCTATTTTGAGTCGGAAAGGGTGGTGAGCTGAAAAACAGTCAGAGATGGAAAGTTAAGCAGCCATTTTCTCCCCCAAACTCTTGTTTTGGCCGTTCAATTCTCAACATCCAAAAGCTGCTTTTAAATCTGCTTTTGCTTTAAAATGGTTTGGGAGAAGATGCTTACACCGTACCCAGTTTAGGCCCTTGCCTCCCATTAGCCACTGATAAACCACTTCTCCATGAATTTGACTAATCTTTTTTACCTTGAATCTATCTAAGCTATTGGCCATCGCACCTTGTGAGTGAGTTGTGAATAGCGTAGATGGAGTCAAATAATGAGAAGGCAGATTGACAGAGGAGAGGTCTATCCATCCATACGAACTATAATGGCAGAACCTATACTTTGGAAGACCAAGGAGCAAATAGAAGCAGCAGGGGAAGAGATTCATGCTGATCATCTGGCTGGTCACTGCTGAGAACAGAATGCTAAAATAGCCTCATGCAGCAGAGCAGTTCTTTTTCTGTATCAATACTTTTCTTCCCAGTCCCCCAAGCAAGCACATGCTTCCTCTTTTCTCTTTGCTGCTGCTCCCTCCCTCCCTCCTTCTTTGGATAAGTGAGGCTGCTGCTGTATCTCATCCCCTCCCTCTCTAAGGCTGCTGAGCTGTATCTGTCACACATAAACCTTTAAGATGTTTTAGGTCTCTTACTGGAGGTCTTCACCACATTTTGAGAGCCTAGGTTATAACAAGTACATTATACTCCATTTTGTGTTGAAACACAACATTTCCTTTAAGTGCATGCTTCAAAAGCACCAGAGATGTCTAGCTGTATGTTCTCACGATGATGTTTGGATATTTTTCCTAATATTTTTCCTTTACCTTGTCTCACCTGCCTGCCAGGCTCTGGAGCTAGACAGCAGCAACGAGAAAGGCCTTTTCCGCCGTGGGGAGGCTGAGTTGGCTGTCAATGACTATGAACTAGCCAGAGCAGATTTCCAGAAGGTGCTGCAGCTCTACCCAAGCAACAAAGCAGCCAAAGCGCAGCTAATAATTTGTCAGCAAAAGATCCGTGAGCAGCATGAGAGAGAAAAAAAGATGTATGCCAACATGTTTCAAAGACTTGCAGGCAAGGAAGCAAAGGTAAGCAGGAGTGTTCTGCAGAATCACACCTACATTTTCACCAGTAAACAAAATAGTCTTGTCTTCACCCAAACTTGTATACTATAAGAGGGCGATTTCATTTTTCTCTATGGATTGTCAGTGTTTCAGCAGTTTTCCTAAAATACATTCCTCTTGGAACATATTTAGGTGCTCCCAAGCCATTCCTTACTTTTAAACCGTCTTAAGTCCCCAGCTCCCTGGGTGGTCATGAGATGAGGGTGGTTACTTTTTCCTCTCTTGAAAAAGTACCTTAAGCTACAGGAAGAATTTGGAAGAGGGACACTCTTTCCCATTCCATCTTTCAGCTCTACGTGCTGAACATCTACTGGATCCAACTTCTATCCAGATCCCTTAAAAGTGAAGTGTGTGACCCACTTTCTCCTTTTGGGTGGGGGAGCTGATCCAGGGGAGCGGGGGGGAAGTGATCATAGGAGATGGTACTTGCAGCACTTGCTCAAAAATTAAAATGTGCTCTCAGGCCTCAGAAGGTTGACAGCTCCCGATGTAAGCCCTCTGTTAGTTGTTTCATAACTCTTCAATTTGGATTATATTCCTTTGGTTTAGAAGATTACTGTATTAAAAACTGGGGAACCCTGCTTTAATAACACTCATGCAACTTAAGAGGTGAGATTCCTTCTTACCGTATTTTCCTCTGCCATATCTTTTCCGTAGGTGGAAGCTGATGCAGTCTGCAGAGAAGAGACAGAAATGAAAGATGACAAACAGAATGGAGTTGAAGAAAAAGCAGATGATGTAGAAGCTTGAAGCTGAAATGCAGTTCTGTTAGTTTTGTAAAACTGAAGAATTTCCAGTGAACTAGACCTTTATTTTTCTATCTGATTGAATAAGAGGCAGGGGCTGGGGCTATGGTGCTGCTTTATGTCTGTCTGCATAGGAAATGTGAGTGGCAGAGCAGACCTGGAGTAATCTTAGGGACGTTATTTATTCAATCATGCATTCTGACTTGGTTGCTCTTGATCTTGGGAATTCTATCAGGATCATTTCCTCCTTAGTTCCATTTTGTTTTTTCACTGACATCTCTCTTGGGTTCCACTTTAATCTAATCCCAAATCCCACTCTTCACTTTGTTTCTTTGGCCTTTTTTTAAAGTTCTTACCCACAATAAGGTAATTGTATGGGAGACTTATGAACAAACAAAACCACTATGTCCCTTCTACTATAGCCTCATCCTGTCTTATTTCCTCTGTCAACACAAGCATCCTTCTCCCATGGGCAAGTGTTGTCACCTTTCTTGTAATGCCTCCCCTTTTGCACATTGCTGAAGATTAAGACTGTGAGGTCCAAAGCTTGAGCAATAAAGTACCAAAAAAAAAGAAGGAAGTGTTGAGTAGATGCCATGTTCTGTGAAACTTTGAATTAAACTACCACGAGGCGTTCACACAGCATCCATAAAAACAGTGCTGAAACACACCAGCCAGAGAGCAACACCTGCATTCTAGCCGTGAATGGAAAGATGCAATCCATGCACATCAGGAGCAGCCAATGCCCACCCCCAGTGTCCTTGGAAAGAATGGTAAATTGCGATACAGTGCCCTTTGGAGGCATTTGCTGGGCAATGGCTGCAAACCAGGCTAGGAACTCCACCAGTCCCTGTGGCAGTAGTATTAAAAACAAACAAAACAAAACAAAACAAAACGAACTGAGGAAGGAAACCTGTGTTGCCAACCCCACCCTACATAATTATACTGGTTATCCCTTAAAAAATGTTTTAAAAATAATTACACTTATGCAGCTGTGTAATGGGACTGTGAGGCACCATACTGGAGTATATGGTGGTGTGCCATAATTTACTGCAGAATCGATGAAATATTGGGGTCCATTCGGTTTTGAGTGGAGAAAATGGGATGTCGGGGGGGCGGGGGAGAATCTCCCCTGGGTTAAATTGGAGTATGTTGATTTATACTAGCTCCTCTTTCATCTTTGCCAGAGGTAGGAGCAACATCTGAGGAAGATTATTTCTCACTTGTTCCCCATGTGTATTAGGTCTGGCCTAATACACATGAGTCTAGCACACATTTTCAGGCAAACAGGTCTGCCATCCTGTTTTAACACAATAAGCTCAAATTAAATCTTAACATTTATTGAACCCAAGCGTTTAGCATGCACACACCTGAGAAGCAGCAGATGGGAATTCAAGTGCCACCAGGAGGAAGAGGGACATATAATACTCTAACTTCAAAATGTCAGAACAAAAGATAGGGGCTCCTGAAACTTAACTCATATTGTAGCAACCCTGGTCCTGAATGTAACTGTGCCCCTGAAGGACCACAGGTGCGCAGCCTGGGAGCCATTTTGGACTCACAGCTGTCCATGGAGGCACAGGTTGGTCTGTGTCCAGGGCAGCTGGTCTACCTGCTCCATCTGGTACGAGGCTATGACCCCACTGCCCGCAGACTCATCTTGCCACAGTGGTGCATGCCTCAGCTATTCCTACCACTGCAAGGTGCTCTACATGGGGCACCTTTGAAGGCAACTTGAACTGCAATTAACCTGGTAATGCGGCAGCGCCACTGGTGACTGGGGAGGCCACAGGACCAGTGAGTAACACGGGTTCAGAGACCGCCAGCCCACGCTCCGGCACAGACTCCTCTCAAAGTGTTGGTGCTGACTTTGTAAGCCCTAACGCTTCGGTCCTGTATACCTGAAGGAGCGCTCTACCCCATCGTTCAGCCCGGACACTGAGATTCAGCGCCAGGGCCTTCTGCAGTTCCCCATTGTGAGAACTAAGGTTTCAGGGAACCAGACAGAGGGCCTTCTCTGCAGTGGTGCCTGCCCTGTGAAACGCCTCCCAGCAGATGTCAAGGCAATAAACAACTATTTTACTTTTTAAAAGACAACTGAATGTTCTTAGGTAAAGTTTTAATGTCTGATGCTGTACTGTTTTTAATATTCAGTTGGAAGCCGCCCAGCCAGATGGGCAGGGTATAAATAATAAATTATTATTATTATATTACAAGCTCTACAGAAGAGCTCCCTTGCCACCAGCCAGAGCTGCAGACAGGTATCATACATGGAGCATTTGTGAATGCACCCAGCTCCAACACCCAGTTGTCATCACCAGGCACCAAGGGCTGCTTATTTTTTATGTGTAAGGGGTGCCTGGCTCAAATCTAGGGCCAAAGGCCCTTCTGCCTGTTAGGCTAGCCCTGCTGGGTAGCATCCCAGCATAACTCATTGCCCAGATCCCTCCTCATGACTAGACAACAACAAAAGCAGTGCTCACCCCACATCTGCCCCCTAAAAGGCTGGTCCCTGACCATACAGCTCTATACAGCTCATCTGACTGAAGAAAGAAGAGAGGCCTCTGGCCTGAGCCCACTGGGCTGCTGCCTCCTTGCAGCCACGTCCTGGGTTCAGCTGCAGCCACAGTCTATTAGGGCACTGCATGTGGTCCACCATATGTTGTGGGGCTCAAACTCCCATCAGCTCCCCAGGCAGCATGGCCAAAAGGGGATGAGTTGCAGTCCAACAACCTCTGACCGGCTGCTGATTCCCCACCCAACCATATGTCAAGGTGCAGGGGACAACCCCTGTCTATCACTGTCCTACAATAAAGCTTATATTGTGGTGGTGTTTTTTTCAAATTTTATTTTTAAATTTCAAACTCAGATTGAAATTTAGATAGAAGAAGGGGTCGGATATCTGAACTCTTATGTTTTAAGTCCTAGCTTTATAAGTCCCAGTCACAGATGCACCCTTCTTTGGCGATCCCTCGTAGCCAAGTAAGGTTGTCTTCCATGAACACGGTTTTAACAGTGAGTCCGTAAGTGACTGGAGGCTAATTCTGGATCCACACATCCTTCCACAGTAGGTTTCCGGGCAGGAGTTGATCACGGTGAGGGTTTGCCAAACGTGCCTTCCTCTTAGCATGTTTCTCCCTTTCGTCCTGAGTTCGAGCGTCTTGAAAGCCCACAGCACCTTTGGTAAAGGCTGTTCTCCAACTGGAGCGCTCACAGGCCAGTGTTTATACTAGATTTTTTTAGATTTGCCTTGAGACAATCTTTAAACCTCTTTCGTTGACCACCAGCATTATGCTTTCCATTTTTAAGTTCAGAATAGTTGCTTTGGAAGATGATAATCAGGCACCCGCAGAACATGACCAGTTCAACAAAGTTGATGTTGAAGAATCATTGCTTCAACACTGGTGATCTTTGCTTCTTCCAGTACACTGGTATTAATTCGCCAGTCTTCCCAAGTGCTGTGTAAAATATTTTGGAAACACCATTGATGGAATCTTTCGAGGAGTTGGAGATGACATTAATAAGTGGTCCATGTTTCACAAGCATACAGTAAGGTTGGTAGTACAATAGCTTTGTAAACAAGCATTTTGGTTTCCCTGCGAATGTCGCAGTCCTCAAACACTCTGCACTTCAATCGGGAGAAAGCCGCACTTGCAGAGCTCAGGCGATGCTGGATTTCAGCATCACTGTTGACTTGTGGAAAGATAACTGCCTAGGTAGGAGAAGTGATGGACATTTTCCAACGTTACACCATTGAGTTGGATTTGTGGCGCTGCAGAGGGGTTATTTTGTACTTGTTGGTGCAGCACTTCGGTTTTTTGGATGTTGAGCGACAGGCCAAGCTTTTCGTAAGGTTCTGTGAAGATATTTCGGATGGTTTGGGGGTCATCCTCTGAGAGTGCACACACTACGTTGTCATCAGCATACTGAAGCACTATGACGGAAGTTATGGTAACCTTACTCTTTGCTTTCAGCCTGCTCAGATTGAAGACCTTTCTTTCCATCTGTTCGATACATGATTTCTACCCCAGTGGTGAGTTTCCCTTCAACAAAGTGTAGGATCATGGCAATGAAAATAATGAATAGCTTTGGGGCAATAACACAACCCTGTTTAACACCTGATCCCACTGTGAATGGTTCACTTTGAGAGTCATTGTTATCTGCAATTGTTGCTGTCATATTATCATGGAGGAGCCGAATGATGTTCACAAATTTATCTGGACAGCCAATTTTCAGAAGGACAGTCCACAGGGCATTATGATTTGCAGTGTCAAAAGGTCAATAAACACCATATACAGGGGTTGGTTTTGCTCTCTGCCTTTTTCTTGGAGCTGTCAAGCGGTGAAAATCATGTCCATTGTCCCCTAGGTCTAAAACCATTTTGGGATTCAGGAAGGGTAGACTCAGATATTGTTAGGAGACGTTTTGAGAAGATCCTTGCAAGAATTTTGCTGGCTGCAGCTAATAAAGAGATGCCTTGATAGTTTCAGCAATCCGTTCTGTCACCTTTTTAAAAGTGACTGATAATTTTGGCATCCGCAAAGTCTGCTGGGATTGTTAAGTTGTGGGTGAACATATCAGACAACACAGTGATTCTTCAAACAGCTCCTGTTTATTCACAGGCCCAGAACAGAACTGGGCTGAAGGGTTCAGGCAACCAGCTTATATAGAGCTCAACTACAAAGCAACAGTAACAACTTTCTGTAACTATCCAATCACTGAATGTCACTTTCAATTCCTTATTTGCATATGTGGGCCTGAGTGAAAACTATCTACAGTATCCCCCTGATGGCCCAGGGTGAGAACTTCAGTACATAACAGGGATCTACTCTCTATGCCCCAGATTTCATCTATGAGCTTCTGTGAGGCTGCTGCCCTTACACCAATTCCCTGTATTCATGGAAGGGTTTTTATCTGAGGAAGGGCAGAGGCAGCGCTGCGGCAGCACAGCCTTCCGCGAGCCACAAAAATGGTGGAAGGAACCAGGAAGCTCTGCCTTCACGCATGAGTTGGGCGACTCTTCCATCGCCGTATCTCTACGCGCGTTTCTCCGCTCCCTTACTGCGCTCTCGCTTGTCCACCGCGTCCTAGAGCGGCTGCCCCACCACCCACGCCTCCGCTCTGGCCAAAAAGCCTCGGGCCTCTGTGGTGCGGGGCGCGCCATGAGGTCGGTCAGCTACGTGCGGCGGGTGACGCTGGAGTTCGGCGGGAGCCTCTTCCCGCGCGCCGTGTGCCTGGGCGACGCCGACAACGACGCGGTAGGAGCGCGCGCGGGGCAGGCCCAAGCGCCGCCGCCGCCGCCGCCCCTCCTCAGCCCGGAGCCCCGCCAGCTCCAGTCGTGAGCGGCTCCTCAGTCTAAGCGGAGTGACTGAAGTGGGCAGAGAAAGTAAACAGCCGAGCGAGGCGAGAGCGGGGTTGGGAGGGAGCGGAGGAGGAGGCGCGCTGAGGAGCCTCCAGAACGGGCCGAGGGCTTCGTAATGGGACGGGTTCAGACTGACACGCAGAGAAAGGGAAAAGAATAAGAGCGCCTCATCTGAAATCCTAGGGAAAGTTAGATGAGGTATTACTGACACGAATAGGAGTCGCCCAAAATGCACCTGTTATCCGAATGATTAATATACCAACTGAATTTGTAATTAGAAGTGTGTGTGTGTGTGTGTGTATATGTATACATACACACGCACTTTTATATATGTATATATATATATATATATATATATATATACACACATACACACACACACATATATACACACACACACACACATATATATATATATATATATATATATGTATATATATATATATGAGAACCGCAGCAATGTAAGAACTGGACAACAAACAATGATCAAGGAGCGCGGGAAACCACTTTGATTACATTGTATAAATTTGGAATTATTTTGATTTTAAGTGGTATCTACAATTGGCAAAAAATGTGGTAATATTGGGTAAACGTTGGGAAACGAATAAAAAAGTATTTTCAAAAAAGAAAGTAAACAGCCCCTCAGAGCGGCTTGTCCCAGAGTTTGAGGGATGCCAATGCTTTGCGTTTTCTTGTAAAACCTAAGGTATCCTCCCTCAGGCTTCCTTCAGCCTGCAATGCTAACAGCAGATTAGTTGTGCTGCAGGACTTACATAAACTCAGTGCCTGCAACTGGCAGTATGAGAATAGTCTTGAGGAGAGTACTTATTATTATTACTGTATAATTAATTAGATTTATATACTGCCCTTCATCACAAGATCTCAGGGCGGTCCACAGGATAAAAATACAAGGTGAAACCACCAGTAAATTGTTAAAACAAAAAAAATACCCTTCCACAAACACATTTAAAAGGCTGCAGAATATTAATCAGCCGTATTAAAAGAAAGAAATACAAACACAAATACAATATACAAATTAACATATAACACTAACAAACAATTTAAAACACTCCCACCAATAAACAACCTGCACCCAAGTTAAAACCCATTCCTTTAAAACTATAATTTGATTACAAGGGTGCTGGCCCACACCCTCATTCCACTCCCAAAGTGCCACCCCTAAAAGGACCATTCTCTTTGCTGTTGCCGTTTCTTGGCAGCCCCACCAGGGCAGGCAGTTTCAGTAAACCTCAGACAGACCAGACTTAGGAATACTGGCACCTAGTTTCTGCTTCTGCTGTTTATTAGAAAGTGGTCATGAAGTGGGGTCATCCTATGGAGATCATTTTGATCACAAAATTGGCTTGCAGGGAAAGGGTTCATCGCCTTCTATTTCAGCCCCATTGTTCTTGTTTATGTTATAAAATGCAATAAAACTATATTAAAAACCAAAGGAGGGAAATGCCTTCTTGTTAATATCAGTTCTTTTTCTTTCCAGCTAAATGAGCTAGTGGTGGGAGACACTAGTGGAAAACTATTCATATACAAGAGCGATGAAAGCAAGCCTTGGAATGTGCGCTTATGTCAAGGAATGGTAAGGAGAAATAGAAGTTTATAGTCCTCTGAATTCTTCTACCTCTGGTGACCTTTGTGCAGTTTCTAAGTACCGTATTTTTCGCTCTATAGGACGCACTTTTACCCCTTCAAAAATGAAGGGGAAATGTGTGTGAGTCCTATGGAGCGAAGAAGCCGTAGCCCCGCGACCCTCTCCCGGCTGGAGAGGTGACGCGCGGCTATGGCAGGAGCCTCTTTAGCCGCACACCACATCTCCAGCCGGGAGAGCGCGCGCGCGGCTAAAGCAGCCCCCCGTGACCCTCTCCCGGCTGGAGAGGTGACGCGCGACTATGGCAGGAGCCTCTTTAGCCGCTCGTCACCTCTCCAGCCGGGAGAGCGCGCGCACGGCTAAAGCAGCCCCCCGCGACCCTCTCCCAACTGGAGAGGTGACGCGCGACTATGGCAGGAGCCTCTTTAGCCGCGCACCACCTCTCCAGCCGGGAGAGCGCGCGCATGGCCAAAGCAGCCCCCCGCGACCCTCTCCCGGCTGGAGAGGTGACGCGCGACTATGGCAGGAGCCTCTCCGCTGCGCGCCTTTCCCTGCTCCCCGACTTGCTCTTTGGGCCTGGTGGTGGGCTTCCCCCTGCCAGCCCCAAAGAGCGGGTCGAAAGGAACCTGAAGCCTGGAGAGCGAGAGGGGTCGGTGTGCGCCTGAAGGCGACTGAACGCACCTTAAACGGCACCTTGTTTTAGAGGGGGAAAACGAGGGGGACAATTCTCCCCCTCTCTGCGCAGCGCCTCCTGCCGCTTCGCTGAAGGGGCGCTGGGCAGAGAGGGGGAGATTTTTTTTTTCTTGTTTTCCCCCCTCTAAAACAAGGTGCGTCCTATTGTCCGGTGCGTCCTATAGAGCGAAAAATACGGTAGATGCCATACATAGGCTGATAGATAGAATCAAAGAATTTTTGAGAGTTGCAAGGGACCCTAAGGATCATCTAGTCCAGCCTCCTGCAATGCAGGAATCATAGCTAAACAATCCCTTGCAGATGGTCATCTAACCTGTTTAAAATCCTCTAATGAAAGAGAGTCCACCACACTTGAGGCAGTCCACAGACACCAACAAACTCAAGTCCAGCTTTTTTCAGATTAAAGTTCTGAATTACCACAACAGTTTATAGCGATTTTATCTAACTCCTTTTTCCTGGTTCCCCCCCCTCTCGCTAGTTCATAGGGCATGTTACAAAGCTATTATCGTCACTCAAAAGAAACCAAACAATTTCTGCCAAGGTTGTGTGAATAAAGGTTTCAGAAAGTCATCTCTTGGATTTCTATATAAGGGGCAGGCTAACAGATAATGTGTGATGTCTCCCTCCTGAAATTGACCACAAATACAATGACTGACTGCATATGGTGGGCATGACTTGGAGACACAGCCCAAAAATAGCATTTTTAAAGGAAACTGGTGAGAGTTTGGTCACATAACTAGTCCCAAAATGCTTTGTTCTCAAGAGTGGATACCAAGGGAAACATTTGGTGTTTCTAATTAGTGTTAGATCCCTTCCGGATCCTATTCAGAACAGTCAGTCTCTTAGTTGACACTTATTCAAGATAAAAGCAGGGCTCAGCTCTGGAAAATAATAGTTCAAAACATATTTCCAGAGTAGGCATAGGCATTGATGCTGCCTCTCTACTCATAATTAGACAGGTATTTACACCGTAAACCATTTCCTAAATCTAGAGAAGCTCCTAAAATGGTTTGAATTCCTGCTTGCCGTTCAGATTCTGTTTTCATTATTCCACTGGGTTTCTTCACTGCCCAGTTATGAATGACCACCTGTAGAACAACTGGGGACCTCTTTCTAGAAGAGTCATCATAGGAATTTGGACTTTCCCTCTCATTCACTACCTTTCCAAGTGTTTTTTATTAATCCATCATTTGCTGCCTTTCCCTCTCATCTGCGCTGTAGAGCAGGAAACTTGGAGTGCCAAACTGAAGCCTCCAGAGTCCATTGAAAGACATGAGATTGGGGCTTGAATGATTAGATTAGGTGATGGGCCGAGAACAATTCATTGGAAGGTAGCAAGTGATTTATCAGCATATTTATCCACCATCAGTAGCCGTGGGTCTGAAGGGGTTAAGTTGAGTATGGAAAGTGACTCCTCCAAGGCCATCTCTTGAGCATTCATATTGGTGTAAAAACAGGTTTCTCAGTTCAAGTTTCAATCTTGATAGATGCCATTTAATTGTTTTGTTACTGGATCTGATAGGGACTTAGCAAACTCCAGCCTGTCTCCATTTTGATGTACCTTCAGACCATCCCTAACTTGAGTTTAGGAAGGTTTTTGACAAAGTCCCCCTTGATATTCTTGCAGAGAAATGCTGGTTAGACAGTGTTACCATTAGGTGGATTTGTAGCTGATTGACTGACTGTCCCAAAGAGGATTTCCAGGTAAAAATGGCAGAGAGTAAGGCCGCTTGTCCTTGAGCTCCATTAGAATTTAGTGCTTATAGTTTTATTTATTTGCATTTATTATCTGTCTTTACCCCCTTTCCCTTCTTGTTAGTTAAGGATTTTTAAACTGAAAAGTGTTATACTTATTTTTTAAAAATTCTTTCTTTCTTCCAGCTTACTTGTGTTGGTGTTGGGGATGTATGTAATAAAGGAAAGGTAAAAAAATATTCACAGCTTGTATTTATGTGCTATTTCTTTGCTGATATACTACTAAATAACCTCAAACTCTTCCTGCAATTCTGGGAGAGAAGAAGGATAATGAGTTCCTCAACATTGGGCTCAAACATTGAACAAGTCGGCCTCTGTCAAATGGCAAGAAAAGTGATATATTTCATATTGTTGTGAAAATGTTGGGAATAAACACTGAAATCTTATGTACATTTCCATAGAAATACAGTATTGGGAATTACTTCCCCATAACAATGCTGAACCTTAGAATGAGACTGAAATAAGGGTTGCATATTGATGATAATTAATTTATAGCCCACCTTTTTCCCTGACAGGGACTCAAGGTGACACAGAAAATAAGAACAGCTAAAAGCAAAGAAAAATCCCAACCATTAAAACACACACACACACACACACACACACACACAGCCATGAGATTTGTTAAAAACATAATTACAATAAGAACAGCACAGCAACAACCTCTTCATTAAAAACAATCAGTTCTGTTGGGGATTTGATATAAGATACACACACAGTGGAAGTGTTCACAGTACCAGTCACCACACAAAAACAGAGCAAGGTTCAAATCTTTTACTATTGTAGAAGTACCGTATTTTTCGCTCTATAGGACGCACTCTTTCGCCTCCAAAAATTAAAGGGAAATGTGTGTGCGTCCTATGTAGTGAATGCAGGATCCTTGGCTTCAGCAATAGCAAAGCACTGAGGGAGCGCTCCCTTCACGCTCCGCAGGCTTCGGGTTCCTTTTGCTGAAGCTGGGAGAGCGCAGCGCGAGTTCCCGCTACGCTTCGCAGGCTTTGGGTTCCTTTCGCTGAAGCCGGGAGAGTCTTGCTCTCCTGGCTTCAGCAAAAGGAACCCGAAGCCTGCAGAGCACAGCGGGAACTCGTGCTGCGCTCCACAGGCTTCAGGGATAGCCAGACTCTCCTGGCTTCAGCAGAGAGGGAGAGCTGCGCAGCGCCCCTTCAGCCAAGCAGGAGGAGAAATGGAAGGGGCTCCCTTTCTCCTGCCACTTTGCTGAAAGGGCGCTGAGCAGAGAGGGGGAGAATTTATTTTTTCTTGTTCTCCCCCTCTAAAACAAGGTGTGTCCTATGGTCCGGTGCGTCCTATAGAGCGAAAAATACGGTAATATGTTCAGCAAATAGCTCTGGACAAAGCTATACATGGAAAAGTTGGAGGCTTTTCAGATACAGATATTTACTGATACATACAGATATAGAATATCACTGTTGCTCTAACCCACACCCACTAAACAAGACAGACTGAACAGTACAACTAGATGACATACATCAGTCACAGATAAAGTCAGGGCTCTGAGCCGTTACTACAGCAACTGGCTCATTTGACCTTGCATCTATGATTACCTCACCCAAAGGGTGATTTATTCTCATGAAAGGGATTAGCTCCTTCCAACGTCCAGCTACTCACAACAGTTCTCAGAAGGCTGTTGGAATAAGAAGGTCTTCAGTTGGCCTTCGGTTGAAGGCCAACAAGAAGGGAGCCAATTAACTTCTCTAGGGAGGGAGTTCTAAGGTCTGGGAGCAGCCAAAGCAGATACGGCATTATATAAATAACAAGGCACTTTAGAAGATGAGTGCCGTTCTTGAGGGTCTTATAATTTAGAAAATAGACACAAAGGAGTTGGCCCAGAAAGGGGGGAGAAATGTAGGCAGGGTAGAAAAAGGGGAAAAGGCAATTATGTCAGTTAAATTAATTGCAGTAGGGAATGGGGATGAGGAAGCTGTTCCAGTGGTGGAGTTAGAGGGGGAACTTGGAGGAAGTGAGAGGTGAGGCAGTTTGAAGCATAGGGAAGAAAGGATGGGGTGGTGGTGCGGGAGCAGGAGAGCTTTGGATGACTGAGTGTGTTGGAGCAGAATGAGCAGCCCTGTGGTTTTAAGGGCAGATTATAATTTTTTTATGAAACAAGAGACTACTAAAGCATAGGCAAAATTCTATACATGCTTTGTCACTGATAAACTTGGAAGGGAATTGTGTATAGTAAATATGCAATAAATATTTTCCGCTTTAATGATGACTGTTTTATGTTTTCATTTTGTGTCTTTTTATATTGCTGTTTTACTGGTTCTAGGTTGTGTTTTTGTTATTTTTAGACTGTACACTTCTTGGAGATACTTAAAATATTAAGTGGTATGTTAATGCCTGTGAATGAATACATAAATAAGCACTATTACCTGGAAGGTTGAAACTTAAAGCCTGTCCACAATTAGGTCTTGCTGTTGCTCTGCCGCCTAATTTGATGTTGCCTTTTTATTTTTTGATTGTATTTTAACATTTTTATTGTAAGCAGTCCAGAGAACTCCAGTTATGGGGTGTCATTAAAAATTATTAATAAATTTGTTCTCTGTCACTGTCAGTGGGGTTGCCCAATCCCTTTTTAATGCATGGAGCTTATCGTTATGAGTGTCAGTTGCCTCATTGCTCATGCTATCCTCTCTTTCTTACCACCTCTTACTTATCCATACATTTCTCTGTCAGAATGTGGTTGTTGCTGTGAGTGCTGAAGGGTGGTTTCATCTCTTTGATCTCACTCCGTCCACCAAGCACCTTGATGCCTCAGGCCACCATGAACTCCCAACAGCAGAAGACCAGAAGCTTGGATTCAAGCAGCACATTCCTGCCAACACCAAAGTTATGCTGATTAGTGACATTGGTGAGCAATGGCAACATGCAGTACAAGGGCTTCATAGAGCATAGGAAATTCAGTGTGAGTGGGTGGGAAAAGTGACACAAGCCAATGAGGAAGCAGAAGAAAAACCCCCAAAGAACTTCTCTGTCTTTCTGAAGTCGTGAGTGTTCTTCTGCAACTTGAGACAGAGAAAGAACATAAGACCAAATCTCAGCCAGCAGAAATAATAATGCAAATTAAGCACTTGTACTAGGGGTTTTTAAGGAAAGATTTATTTTATTTTTAGTTGAAATGGCAGTGAGGGCTCCCCCCCCCCACCAGTGTTGCAGTCATGATCAGACCATCCCTTAAAACTAGAAAAGTTTGACTGTGGCTCCCCAGTGTTTTAAACTGTTAGAGAGGTCCTTCAGCTCATTTATGAGTAAATCATAGATAGCTAAGATGCTATGGTTTAGGCCTGTAAGATTTAAGGAGCAGATTTCATGAAAGTGGCTGGTATTCAGCAGCTGAGTGAGAGCTATCCACCTACTGGTGAGTTGTTGGTGTCTACCCTTTAAAAGGTACCAAAGGAGAAAACAGCAGGATCTCATTTCCCACTCCCACCTTTTATTTTCTCGGTCTCTCTCCACCCCACCCCCCTTATCCACATATGCACATTGCGGCGTTCTGCCAACACACAAACCTTAAGCTGTATTTTGCTTTCTGCAGATGGAGATGGGAAGAGTGAATTGGTGGTGGGATATACAGACCGTGTGGTGCGAGCCTTTCGCTGGGAAGACACATCTGAGAGTTCAGAGAATATCACGGGACAGTTGGTGCTACTCAAAAAGTGGTTGCTGGAGGGACAGGTAGGCTTTTGAAAATCAGTTTTATCCAAGAGTGCCTTTGCCCAGGAAGGGGCCATTTACAATTGGCCTATAGTTCAAGTCTTTAGGATCTAATGAGGCTTTCTTAAGGAATGGGCTCCTGCCTCTTTCAGACACCTTGGGACCATCCTTTTAGAAAAGCATTCATTACCTCCTTGGTCCAGTGCTGTGGAGGGAGTAGAAACCAGACTGGACAGGACTGGAGGAGAGAGAGTTGAGAGAGCAGGTGTGAGCAGCATGCTGCAGGAGTTGGAAGCTGAAAGGTAGCAAGAAGGGAAATGGGGTGGTACTTGGAGAAGAAAGATGGGTTATGGGGTGGCTTTTTTGAAAATAGGGGAGACAGTGACATGTTTAAATGCATGGTAGTCAGCTCATTCAGCAAAGGCAAGTGGTGGTTTAACCAGTTACTTGGGTTCCATTTCCTCTCTCTTGGCTAAAATAGGTGGATAGCCTATCTGTAAATCCAGGCTCAGACTGTTCTCCTGAGATGATGGTGTCCCAGCCTGGGTGTGGTTATGCAGTCTTACTGTGTACTTGGAAAACAGAGCAGCAGTCTCCGACAGAGAGGATAGACAGTTCAGCAGCTAGCAGGTGAGACTACTGGAATCCAATGGGGCAGAGCAAGACAGTCTAACCATCTCTATTTATATTATGGAGCTGCAGGAACACCTTCATGATTAAAATGGCTTGGAGCAGTATCCAGCTAAACAGTTCTGCTAATGCAAGCACTTTGGACTGCACAGGGGAACTTCCTCTCCCCTGCTCTCCCCACATTTCCCCTCAGTTATGTTCTGGATTCCTCCCAACTTTCTGGAACAGATCGGGGAAGGCATGCAGGGAGAGGAGGGGGCGGGAAGTTGTGTAGTGCATATTTTTTTAAAAAAATATATGCTTGAGCTAACAGAACTGTTTAGCTGAATGCCTCCTTTGGGTTTATTTAGTGTTCTGTTACAAAGCCTGAACATTTTTTTTGCCATCAAAATCATGACTATATGGCTATGTATTATTCAGTCAGTTAGAAGTTTGATAGGAATATCTACTTCTGGGGATTCCCCTGTTTCACTTTTTACGAGTGTTTGCCAAACTAAATAAACTTTCCATATTGCTGTGTTTTAAATTTAAGCATGGGACCCAGGTGCGAGAATTTTGGAAGCGGAAGGAATAAAATGGTAGGCAACGTTAGGCCCAGACAGACATCAGTTGGCCATAATTACTGGCATAGTTACTGATAGCACCCACCATGCTAGGAGAGACATACATAGGACCATGTCTCCTTATAGCATACCAGGAGGTGAGGTTAGCCAGGGAGCGAGGTACTGTGCCTCCAACGTTATTCATGTCCATCTTCATTCCATGGAGCCATGAAGCTACAAGTGAATCCTCGCAGGAAACACCAGGCAGCTTGGTATTCCAGAAGGAGCATTTCTGTGCGGTGGCAATGAACGAGGAGGTGTTTTATTCCTGCTTGGCCAGCCAGTCTGGAGAGTGGAAGATGACAATTCTCCCGACAAGGATCTACATGTGACCCTGCACGTCCAGTCAGAGGAGAGGAGGCATCCCAGTGTTAAGGCTGTCCTCCAGGAGACTGGGAATAGAAATTCACAATACAGTGGTACCTCGGGTTACATACGCTTCAGGTTACAGACGCTTCAGGTTACAGACTCCGCTAACCCAGAAATAGTACCTCAGGTTAAGAACTTTGCTTCAGGATGAGAACAGAAATCATGCGGCGGCGGCACGGCGGCAGCAGGAGGCCCCATTAGCTAAAGTGGTGCTTCAGGTTAAGTTTCAGGTTAAGAACGGACCTCCGGAACGAATTAAGTACTTAACCTGAGGTACCACTTTAAGAATTTCCTTTCATTCCAGGATGATGAGGAACCATTTGTGAGCACTCATTGGGTTTGGTCAGTCAACTAGCTACAAATCCACCTAACAGTTACTTCGTCTAACCCACATTTTACCAGCTTCTTCGCAAGAAGATCATGGGGGACTTTGTCAAAAGCCTTACTGAAATCAAGATACTCTAAATCCACAGCATTCCTCGGATCCACCAAGCTTGTAACTCTGTCAAAAAAAGAAAAGAAAGGAGATTCATCTGACATAACTTGTTTTTGAGAAACCCATGCTGGGTCTTAGTAATCACAGCATCCTTTTCTAAGTTCTCACAGACTGACTGTTTAATTATCTGTTCTAGGACCTTTCCTGGTATCAATGTCAGGCTGACTGGTTGGTAGTTATCTGGGTCTTCTTTTTCCCCTTTTTGAAGAAGGGGACAACATTTGCCTGCTTCCAGTCTGCAGGAACGCCACCATTTCTCCAAGAATTCTCAAAGATTATAGACAGAGACTTTGAGATTACATCCATAAGCTCCATTAGTACCTTGGGTTAACAAAGATATAAGCATCAGAACAGGTGGCATAATGTTTTAGGGGTCTTCGCCTGCTGATGCAGTGAAGAAGTAGAGGGCAGCTTGGAGCTGCTTATTCTCAATGCTTTTTCAAAGCTCAGTGATAGATGAACATCAGCACAAAAGTTTGCTAACCTAGCACTTATATTTTGGGGATTTGGTAGAAAGAAGGTTATCATACCTGTAACCCAGGGAAAGAATTCTGTGTCTCTGCTAAGACTTGCCACTCATCCACTTTAAATGTTATTTCTGTTTACCCAACTACCCCTTTACAGATATGCAGGAGATCCACATTTTGACAAGAGTCACTTAACAACATCAAATCTAGTTAAGAGTATGAGACTCCAAGATGTTACTGCTATCACAACCAGATATCCCTTCAGGCTTTGCTTTATTCTAGGGAAGCTCCAGTTCGGGATGTCATTCTCCATCAGACATCAGGTAGAATTCACAACAAGAATGTTTCCACTCACCTCATTGGCAGCATTGGCAGAGGTAAGTGGAAGAAATTCTGGCCTTGGTAAAAATGAGGAAATAGAGTGGATTTGTGTGGAGAAGAGTTCAAGGCTGCATGGTCTAGTTAGGTTCCATCTTTGCACCTAAGGCAGGTTGCTCACCTAGAACTTTTCTGTGCAGCTGCTGTTCCTCTATCCAAACCTGCTCTCACACAGACATACTTTTGTTCTACTGGATTCTCATTCTAACCCCTGCACAGTTGCAGCCTCATTCCTCCTGTGACTAGCACTCCTTCTCCTCTCAACTTTGGCCCAGTGAAGTCAGCATGTCACAGGGTGAAAACGGATTGTAGAGAGGCTGACTTAAAATTTACATAGCACTCTTGAAATGTTCAGAGCACTTCACTTACAGTATTTTGCTTCCACCACATCTTTTACTCAATCTAAACAACTAATGTAGCACCTTCCTCAATTAGTTTTCATAAGTGGGTAGAAAGAGGCTCCTGTTTCCTCAGAGATGGGGTAGAGTGGGGGATTTTCCAGGCTTTCGACTCAGTAAAAATACAAGAGTTCTATCATACATTTTCTGCTTTGTAATTTTGAGGGATGAAAACACTTAGAGAGGCAGTAATCGAAACAAAATGCTTCACTCGAAGGTCTGGCTCTGCTGCTTTCCCAACTTGGGTTCTGTCTTTGCAGGGACTTCCAAGAAGCACGCTGGCTCAGGTCTGTTTGCACTCTGCACCTTGGATGGTAAGCGCTCTTGCTTTCCTAGAAAGGAATCTCTACAAAGGATTTGGGACCTGAGCTGAAATAGCTTTCATGGTTAAGAAACTTCAAATTAGCAATCAACCCCAAAACAGAAACTGTCTCAAAACATTTTAATTCTGGAGACTACTTAAGGTACTTCCAGATTATCACTATTTTGCAGGAGAGTACATGCCAGAAATCTTGATTTGCACAATTTAAGTAGGTTAAAGGGCTCTGTTGCCCTAATGCAACAAATTAATTAAAAAGAACAGGAAAGTGATGGAGAAATGCATTGGAAAGTGTGGAATAAACAAATGATTAACAAGAAGACATGTAAATATCCCACAAACAAAACAGAATGATTTCTCATTGTTGTGCAAGCACCCCATAAACAAATTGGAACGAACGTTCAATAAAGACTGGAGATAGTCTAACCACTATATAAGCTTCATACAAGCAAATCAGAGTGAAAGCCAGATAAATAGCTTGTCTGAAGGAGCCCTTAGAAATATTTCCTCTAGTGCAGGGGTCAGCAAACCTTTTCAGCAGGAGGCCAGTCCACTGTCCCTCAGACCTTGTGGGGGGCCAGGCTGTATTTTGAAAATAATAATCATGAATGAATTCCTATGCCCCACAAATAACCCAGAGATCCATTTTAAATAAAAGGACACATTCTACTCATGTAAAAACACCCTGATTCCCAGACCATCCGTGGGCTGGATTTAGAAGGCGATTGGGCCAGATCCGGCCCCCGGGCCTTAGTTTGCCTACCCATGCTCTAGTGCAACCATCACATCCAGGAATATTAGAAGGAATATAGACTGAAAAACTTAACATCCCAGTTTGGAAGACAGCATTTAATTTCTATCTAGCGTTTTAATTTATTTTGTCAAAGCTATCTTGCACATGCCATACCGCTTAGAATGATTCTATTGTGTGCATTTTGAAAACTGTCATCTTGGCTCACTGTTACTCTGAAATAACAGCTATGTTACTAAGGAAGGTTGAAGTCAATTTGCTTCAATTGTTTCATCATTCACATGTCACAGTTATCCTGCTTGAAGATGAAGGAAAGAGAATGGATACAATCTTGAGGCAACTGAAGAATGCTCTGGAAATAAAAGGCAATGCCTATGTAGCATTATTGCCTCATTCTAGGTCAGGGGTGAGGAACCTTTTTCAGCCTGAAAGCTGCATTGCCTCATCAATAATCTAGGGGCCAGAGGCAAAAGCAGGTGGCGTGACAGGTGTTGTTATAGGAACAAAAGTCCAAAACGCTGTCCCTCCCCGGCCAATGACGAGGGACAAAGGGTAGAAAGGTAGAAAAGTTTATTTCTAAGCAAAGGATGCGCAAAACTTTTATACAATTGTAGCAAACACACAAACCACAGAAATGTGTGATCTCTTACATTACTATTGGCTTGGAAAGTGCATGGACAAAGCATGCTTAAGTCAGGTATTTTTCTTCTTGGCTACAGGACAGTTTATTATTGACCCTTGATTGATCTCAGACCAGGCTAGGCATAGCTGACCTTGCAGTTGCAACTGTAGGCAGATCTTGTTGTCTAAGCAACTGTGGAACTGAGGAACTTTGTTTCTTTATACTCACAGAGGTGGTAGCTTAGGCACTCTGAACAGTGATGCTTAATGAATGTCTTAACACTTCAGCCCCTCCTGATCTTCCCCTCAGGTAGACTGAACCTTGTCTATCTAGGCAGTCCCTAACTGACAGCCACTTCACAATCTGTTCACTCTAACAGAGAGCCACTATCTAGATTGCTCAGACAGAAAGTCCCTAGTTTAACCTAGGTCCTTGTCTAACCCACAGACAATCCCTGGCTCCCCTCTCTGAGACAGCCCTTACTCATCACTATCTGACTGTTAACTGTCAGCTTTCAACTTAAATTCCACCCTCTCTTTCTCTCATGATTAGCTGATCTGCTCGCCAACCCCCACGGGTTGTTAGATCACAAGGAGGCAGACCGAAGGCCTGTCCCTCATAGACTGCTGTAGTTGTGGTATCTAAATCAGAATGGATGTGAGTGTTCTTATCAGAAAAATGTATTGCAGATTGGTCACAGTGATCTACTGAAGGTTTACCTGGGCCAGATTATAAAAGGCCACTCATCGCTTTGGAAAGCTGGCTGACATTGTGCAGAAGTACACTTTGTATAGAATAGGTGTTCTGTCATGAGCTCAACACCTGTGATTGGTTGAAGGCATCACAAGTCTTCTACAACCTGTGTTCTAGCCTTTTACCCAACTGTTTCCTTGCCTCTATAGATGAATGATTTCTATGTTTTGGGTGAGGGTGCCCAGGTGATCTTCCATTTTCAGAGAGAGACAGAGGCCCAACAAGACCACCAGCCGTATTGGGGAGGGGGGGAGGACATCCATTTGAGACTTAAGTAAATCATAATGATCTCCAAGGCAAACTAAACATGAAATCAAGTTCATGTCAAGCCAAATATACTGAAAGACATTGGAATGGGAATCTACTGCACCCAAAATAATGTTTCTAATATAAACTCTGTGGCACAGCATAGGGATGGAAGGAAATTGTTGTCTTTTATGCTAGTTTAGAACTCTGCTTAACTTTCTCTTTCCCCTGTAGGGACACTGAAACTGATGGAGGGAGCTGACAAGCTACTGTGGTCAGTACAGGTTGACCACCAACTTTTTGCTCTAGAAAAACTGGATGTTACTGTGAGTTCTGTTCTAGCTTGCAATAACCAGGTCATTTGCTTTTAGTAGTACAAAGTCAGACAAATTCTCCAGGTTCACACTATTGGCATACCTCCTTTGGAGGAGAGATTGCCACCACCCCTGCCAACGTAGGAAGAGCTTATTTGATCAGGTCAATGTCCCATCTGCTCCAACACCCTGTTCTCACAGGGGGACACCTGCAAGCAGGACCTGAGCACAAGAGGACTCTCCCCTCTTGTGGTTTCCAGCAACTGGGATTCAGAAGCACTGCTGCCTCTGACTGTGGGACAGAGCACTGCCTCCATCATGTCTAGTAGCCATTGATAGACCTCCTCCATGATTTGTCTAATCCTCTTTTAAAGCCATCATCGCATCCTGTGGGAGAGAGTTTCATACTTGAACTATGAACTGTGTGAAGAAGTACTTTCTTTTATTTATGCTAAATCTTTCAATATTGAATTTCATTATATGTCCACAGGTTCTAGTGTGATGAGAGAGAGAAACTTTATCTGCTTTATCTACTGCTGTTCATAATTTTATAAACCTCTGTCATGTCACCTCCTACTTGTCTTTTCTCTAAACTAAAAAGTCCCAAATGCTGCAACTTTTCCTCATAGGGGACTTGGTCCATCCTCTTCATCACCACTAGATGAGGTCCATGAGTGGTACTATGAAATTAATATCTTTTTGTCCTGACATGAATCATTTTGCACATTTTGTAGTGATTTGACTTCCTTTGTTTTACTAATCCCAGTTTGTTTGACAACACCTACAACTCACCCAGATTCCTGGGCACCACTCAAGATTTAAGTTCAGGGTTTCTGCACCTCTGGTTGATTCTATGACACAATCACTTAGGTATCTAATAAATGTGCCTCTTTTTCATGACTGGAACTCATATGTCTATGTGAGAGTAGCTGAAGTCATCCATTACTACAATTCCTCTTTTGGATGCTTCCTTGAATTCGTTCTTCCTCTCAGTATGTCCTTGAGCAATTTGATCAGGGCAACAACAGAATGTCCTCAGTACTAAATTATTTTTTGGGCCCAATATCACACCTGTGGAGGGGTCTGCATTTTGTGGGATTTCTAGCTTGTTGGACTCAATGCCCTCTTTGACGTGCAGAGTGACACCACCTCTGGTAGGTCCTTCTATGTCCTTCCTATAAAGTTTATATCCAGAGAGATAACTCTGTCCCACTGGTTCTCTTTGTTCCACCAGGTTTGTGTCAAGCCCACTATATCTATGCTGTCCCCTAAGACCAAGCACCCCAGTTCTCCCATCTTGGCTCAGAGGCTTCTGGCATTAAACACATGTATACAGTCTCTCTCTTCAAGTGTCTTTGGCAGTTTTGTTTTGACTTGTGGTGTTTTGGCCTCTCTGACTTACTATCCTGTGCCCCTGTGCTCATGTCTAGATCTAAGCCCTTTTAAATTTTCACCGATTTCATAATTTTAACCCCAGAGGTGGGATTTGTTGCAAATTGGACCCACTCAGCTGCCAGCTTTCTGGCTCCCACTTCGTTTTTCTTGCTACATTCAGGGGAGAAGGAAGCAAGATTGTTATTAGGTGAATGAGCATCAGAGGCAGTTGTATTGTTCTAAAGAAGATGGTGCAAAGGAAGGTTGAAAGGAGGTATTTTAGCAACTTGTACCTGGAGAACTTGTCTGAACAAGTAATGCTTACAGGAAACAGAGATTTCTGTTATTCTGATGGCTTGTGAGAAGACGAATGTCTAAACTGAGATTCTATATTCATTTGTTTATGAATCTTACGTACCAATTTTCCTTCAGAAAGTTCAGAGCATCTTCATAAAGCTCCAAGGAATGACTCATACACTCACTGAACAAGCTGAGTTACTTAGTTTTAACACTGTTAACAGCACAGTGTACTTCTGAATCCATTCCTTGGGCTCCTGTAAACTTTAGCCAGCAAAAGAGCTGGTTACATGAATATCTGGTGTTGACCCAGGGAGCTATAAAGTTGACTGTTCTATTTCCACTCCCCATAATGTTTTGCGGCCACTATATCCTTTGGGAATCTATTTTTCTCTCATGAACAACCCTGAGATCTTATGATGAAGGGCGGTATATAAGCCTAATATATAAAAAAACCAGGAATCTAGACTGGCTATATTCATTAGGCTAGTTTCTTGTCTTGTTGCATCAACCTCCTTTATCTAATGTTAGTGACAAGCTGGGGCCAGATGAAAACATGTATGAGCATTGCTCACAGAGGTTGATGGGATTTCTACCTACCACAGGGAACTTCTGCTAATCAGAAAATTTTGAACCCTTAGGGAAATGGCCATGAGGAGGTGATTGCCTGCGCTTGGGATGGACAGACGTACATCATAGACCACGGCCGCACTGTAGCTAGGTTCCAAGTAGATGAAAATGTGAGTGCCTTCTGTGCAGGTGAGCTGCTTTCCTATCAGCAGATCCACAGGCGTGGGAAATTACTGATTATCGTATGTGATAAAGTGTTCCTACCCCATTGGTAGAGCACTTTTTTCCTACAGAAGGTCCCAGCTTCATTCCCTATCATCTCCAGTGAAGGGGTCTCAGGTAGTAGGACTTGGAAAGACCACTAAGACTTTGGGGAGTCACTGCAAGGTAGAGTAGACATTACTGGGCTAGATGAATCAATAGCCTGACTCGCTATTAGGCAGCTTCGTATTTTCATGAGAAAAGCTTTCTGCTGGACTCTTCTACTTTCAGTCAGGTAGACATAGCTCAGTGATAGAGTTTCACATCCAGCTTTCATAAGAACATAAGAAGAGCCCCTTTGGATCAGACTAAAAGCCTATCTAGTCCAGCACTGGCTTCTCTCAGTGGCCAACCAGATACCTATGGGGAGCCCACTACAGGAGCTCAGCAGCACTCTCCCTAGTTCAGCCTCTCGTATTCCTTGTTAAAAAGGATCTCCAGAGTTAGGAGGACTGAAAAGACACCTTCCAAGACCTTTGAGAGCTACTGCCAGTGAAAATAGACAGTTGTAGGCTAGATGAATGCAAACTTCCATCTATGTGCCCATTAGGCCTGGCAGAGCATCCTAATTTGTCCTGTGAGGCTTTTCCCCTTGCACTCTTTTTCTTCTTGTAGTTGTTAGACTGCTCCATTTAGCATAGCCAAGGGTCAGGCATGACAGAAACTGTAGTCTAGCAAGGTCTCAGGACCTAAGGTTGGGAAAGACTGCTATAGATGAAAGGAAGGGAATTTATCTAGGGGTCTTAGTAGACCACAAGCTTAACAAGAGTCATCCATGTGATACAGCAGCAAAAAAATACAATGCTATTCTAGGCTACATCAACAGAAGTATGGTGTCCAGATCAAGGGAGGTAATGGTCCCACTCTATTCTGCCTTGGTCAGACCACACCTGGAATACCGTGTCCAATTCTGGGCACCACAATTTAAGAAGGATGTTGACAAGCTGGAACGTGTGCAGAGGAAGGGAACCAAGATGACCCAGGGTCTGGAAACCAAGCCTAACAAGGAACGATTGAGGGAGTTGGGTATGTTTAGCCTGGAAAAGAGGAGACTGAGAGGAGATAGGAATAGCCATCTTCAAATATCTAAAGGGCTGTCCCATGAAAAATGGGCAAGCTTGTTTTCTTGTGCTCCAGAGGGTAGGGCCCAAAGCAATGGATTCATGTTACAAGAAAGGAAGTTGGGATGGAGAGGATTTCATTATCTAAGAAGTGATGCTCTAGATTAGATCTGCTGGAGATATGGAATATGCAAAAGGCTCTTCTGTATCTCCTGCAGATCTACCATGAAGCCAGAGCCAAGGTGAATACATTGCTGGCAAGGCATTTTTCAGCCAGACTGACACCAAATAATATGATCCTTCAACTCACAAGGAGAATAATCAAATAATGAAACACTGCTAAATAAGTTTATGAACACTCTACACATCAAACACAGGCATTTTGCTGTCTGCTATTCAAGACTTAATTAGGGAGTGTGGTGCAGTGGCAGGGTTTAAAATAAATTGTGGTAAATCTGAACCAAATAATTAACTTTAATGGAAATCAACATATTAAGGCATTGTAGAGGTTTAAATCTGTGAAGTGCTTTTAGAGGCATGTGGACATGCACTTCACTGCATCTCACACAAACCTCCTTAATGAGAATTATGGGGAATTGTTTGACTCAGTAAAAAGAGCTCTTAAGGTTTGGAGAGTGCTGAATCTTAGCTGGGTGGTGCCTCATCTCACTAATGCGCTTCTGGAGTTCCCTCTCCTTTGATGGCTCCTTTCACTTCTCTAGGTCTCTATGCCTGCAAAGGAGGCTGCAATAGCCCTTGTCTGGTATACGTCAGTTTCAACCAAAAGATCTACATCTATTGGGATGTGCAGTTGGAGAGAATGGAATCTACCAGTTTGCTGAAGATACTAGAGAGTAACTCTGAATACAAAGATCTCCTACTCCAGCTGGGTGTGGGTATGTCCCAAGCCTCATATAACTTGAAGATGGTGAAAGTGTTCCTTGTAATAAATAGGACAGAAAGAGATGAAAGAAAGGGAAAAGAACCAATAGCAGCAAATTTAGAATTGTACCCTAAAATTACAAAATTCTATGATTATATTTATTCAAAGCATTTAAAACACGTATTAGTAACTCCCCCCCCTCCTGCTGTTTACAGACATTTCAGTATTTTTCAAAACCAGGCTAGTGGGCTAAATTAACAAAGCAGACTGCATATGTATTATTAGTTCCCTGGTTGAATATTGAGCCATCTACATATGGGTTATGTTCCACTAGTCACCCAAGGCAGGGACAAATGACTATTAGGGTTAATTAGGCTTCCTCATTCCAATTTTGGTCCCTGTCTTCATCCGTTGTAGACATGTCTCTTCCTCTATCCTCCATTCTGCCTTGGGCTCAGGGTGTTATGTGTAGGTACAGATTCAGAAGTTCTAGAGATGGACATGGATTTGGAGAAGAGCCATAGCACTGTGGTAGAACATGCTTTGCATGCAGAATGTCCCTAATTCAGTCCCTGGCATCTCCAGGTGGGACTGGGAATGGCCACTATCTGAAGCACTGGAGAGCTGCTGCCAATCAGTGCAGACATTACTGGTCTGACTCTAGGCAGCTTCCTAGGTTTCGTCCCCTGAAAACAGGAACGCCTCTTTCTTCTAAACTGAGGACAGGTGTTGTCTGTACACTTAAAAACATTTCTCTGCAGCTGAAATAAATGAAGCACAATAATTGCCTTGCTGGGAGCTCAGCAGTCTTTTTGTGATACCAGTGAGCCAGATGCCTCTAGGAATTGATGAAGCAGGGCACAAGGAAATAGCTTTCCCCTGCTTTTTGTTCCAAACATCTGGTTATTCAGAGAACGTTGCCTCTGTGCACAGATTTCATGGGCAGCAATCTATGAAATACCAATTTTCCATGAAGCTTTTAGAAATGGATGCCAAGACTGTTACTGAGCACACGGTGACCATCATATCATAGAACCAATATTGTGAATAGATTGAGCATGCATTTGGATGTCCAGCAAAGATCAGTGCTTGAATTTGTTCACAAAATAAATTCTAGATCAGTTGGCTGCAAAAAAGCCAGCTCTTGGATGCAAGATAATCTTGTGAATACAGCCTGAGATTCCCACAAACCAATGCCATACTTCTGAAGGGCAGAATATGAATTACAAGAGGTAATTCCTACATTCATTTTTATATGTTATTATGTTGATAGGAGAACCAGTCACATACTGATTCTTAAGTACCTTGCTAAGCCTCCAGTACTTCTCATCAGTATGTCTCTCTCTTTCTCTTTCTTTCATAGCTGGAGATGATGTTTCTGCAGTCAAAGATTTGATTCGCAAGACACTCTACTTTCCAGAGGAGCAGCTAAATAGCCCTTCTCAGTTCATACCCACAGCTAGATCCTCTTCCAGGTGCTATCCTATTTCCCAAGAAACCTTATGAGCTGATGACATATACTCACACAGTGAACAGCTCTTCTTCTCATTCTGCTACCCCTCATTTGTGCAAATTAAGCACTGTTAAGAACCAGGACTCTGAATGAAGGGGTTGGAGTAGCAGAATGAATCTTCAAGTGAAGCTGCTGACTGAAGTCAGCATAATAGGAAATGCCCTTTTCAATTTGTCTCAAGGTCCTCATTTCTGTTGTTACTTTCTCATCAGTCACTTTATCTGCTGAAAACTTTAATAAAGGTAATTTTAAAAGATCCAGGGGAAAACAGATGTGTCTGTTCATGTGTCTAGTTTGGATCGGTATTTGGATTGTCGGAATGAGCAATCTTTTGCCTTTTTTTAAAAAAAAGTCCCACCAGTTAGATCTTCATATGTTAACAGAGATGTGCAGGAGCTCATCACAGATAGCCATGCCTCCGCTGTGGCTATGAGAAACAAAAAAGGCATTTCTCTAAAAAAGACACACACCCCCAATCTATGAAATTCTAGGAATTCTGTGTAAAAGAGAGTGTGGGTGGCCCTAGCTACTTCTTCACTTGGTCCTGCCCACTGCTGTCATGCGGCCCCTAGAAGGCTAGCATCAAAGTAATGTGGTCCTTGGACTGAAAAATGTAAACCCACTAATCAGTTCTAGGTACAGGAACACCAGCAAAGAGCAAGGCAAAAGTTGGTAGTAACAACTGATTGCTGCTTATACAGCTTCTTTAAAATAATTTTTTGATAAGCCACAGTTGCCCTCTATTCTAAGACGGAGTGGTGTTTCTCTTGCATTGCTTATCTCTGCTTCTTTTCCCTTGTAAAGGCAACGCAATTCATTTCTGTAGAATCACCTTCCCAGCCCTATGGAAACTCCCCTCTTGCTCCGACGGATACTCTCCTTCTCTGAGACCCTCCTTCATGAAAACAGAAAAAATGTCACCCTGGCAGTGAGAAATCTTTATCAGCGCTCATCTTCTCAAGGTCAGGACATCAAATTTGTAGCCTGACATGCAGAACCTCATTACACTGAACACCCACATACAGTTCTGTCTAGCGGGTAAATCGTCATACATGTGACACTATGTATAATACAAAAATTAGCCCCCACACCCCTGTTTTGGCCAATTGTGATCATTATGCAACAATTGTTTTGCCTCCATTTAGATTTTAGAAAGATTGTTTTACTGATAGCAGGATTTGAACTTCCAACATACGGTAACTCTTCAGTAGCCCTGTGAATTTCAGGCTTCACCCCCTTCCATTTATTCAGTGACAGGTGTACATGGCCTTATTTTACTCCCAGAAAGAGCCAGTTCCTGATATTTTTCTACCACCTCTGGGTAGATGGGGCTGCTGTTCTTCAGGGCAAACTTGACAGCTGCCTCCTGGTAATGGGGTTGGAGGTTTGGACAAGGGTGATCCCAGCAGTCCCTAGAAGCAGGTGTGACAGGCCGCAGTTGGACACAAAGCGAGGCTGGGCTTTTCCCTGGAAGCAGGCGCTTGTATCTGTACAAAATTAAGAAACCAACAGAAATGATAATGCTTATGTGGAAGATTTTGAGGACTTGAAATGTATAAACAGTGCATGATTTCACTTTGATGATGGGCATTGAAGCTCAAAAAAAAAAAAAAGAAGACCCTAGGGTGGGTCTACACACTGGGGGGGGGGGAAAGCTATTAATAAGTCAGAAATCATTATAACGAAAGGAGGGGGACGCTATGGAAAATTGCATTGAATTTTTTAAAACTCTCCAGCGCCATCTGGTGTTGCATGTTTGTAACACATTCATAACGCTCTTACTTGACTATATAGCTGAGTCCCTTGTGTGTTTGAGGGGAGATTTGAATTGGGGATTTCCCATTAAGTAGAAGGTCATATTCCTGTTATTTCTAGGGGTCTTTTCCTGCTTAGCTAGTTTTACAGAAATGTGTGGATTTTGTGAGACTGCAGCTTAGTTGGGGATGGGAAAAAAAGAAAGATGATACCATGCGGGTGTTCTGGGAGTTGCTTGCCGGTGGGGGCAAAGCCACAGCAATAGCCCTCTGGCAGTGGTGCCTCTGCCACTAACCAGGATGGACATGGGCTTGGGGCTCTGTGGGAGCACAGGATTGGCTCCATTTGTGCATCATAGCATAATTCAAAATTATTCTGAGTGTCATCGAGTCCAAGCCCCTGCAATGCAGGAATCTCAACGAAAACATCCATGGCAGATGCCCACCCAATCTCTGCTTGAAAACCTCCAAGGAAGGGGAGTCCACCACTTTCCGGGGGGAATCAGTACCTCGCAAAACAATAAGTGAACTAAATGGCAGCTATCCTTTGAACTTTGCACTTTCCAAGTTCTGCAGTGCTGTTCTCTAATTTAAAAAAAATGTATACAGCAATATATTTTAGGAAATGTACATAAAAAGGTACTTGTGTGAAAATAACATACAAAAATGCACATTATGCCTGTCCCAATATGTATATTAGGAGAAATGTGCCCTAAAACACTCACACTATATATATAATTTTTATTAAACATTTCCTTGTTTATAAAAGCTCTTTCTTCAGGTTGTGTTTTCTACAGATCAGTTACATTTGTTGTGAGACATTGGTCTTATATGCAGCATAGGGTTGGGAAGAAAAGGGGGGGACAGGAGAGAGGGGGTGGTGTGAAGCTTATATTCTTTTACTTAGTATATGGGGGGGGTTGTGTCAGCGTCACTTGGGTAGGTTCTCTTTCTATTCGCTTGTTAGGTTTCCTTGGTGAGAGAGGTTGGGGTGGCCTAGGGTGTAGGGTCTTTGGTTGGCTGCAGTGAGATTTGTTTGTGCATGGGGAGGGGTTGTTGGGTCAAGTTAGCCATAATGAATCGTATGCTGTCGGTGGGTTCATGTTGTTGTCTTGTTGGGCTGTGTATCTGATAAAGGGGAGCCATACCAGAGTGAAGGCGTCCTATTTCTCCCCATGTCAGTTTCAGTCTATAGGTTAGTAAGGCTGTTCCCCATACTACTTGATACCAGTGTTCCATGTTTATCCCTCCAGTGTCTAGCTATGAGGATTCTGGCTACTGAGAGTAGGTGGGTTATGAGCTCCAGGTCCCAGAGCTTTGTTGGGGTGCTTTCGGTCCTGGTGGGATCGAGATCATCGGACGGCGGTGGTGGGGGCTCCAAGTGGTCTCTTTGCTTGTCATTTTGGACTCCCCTTTGATGGTGGCGGTGATGGCAGCGCGGGCACCAGCCAGGCAACTTGGTTGGTTCTGGTGGTCCCTAGGAGTTTGGTGTGGCCGTTGTGCTCGCCATCTTGCCTCGCCCAAGGCAGCATCACTCACAATTTTAAAAAAATAAATCTTTTTAAAATTGTAAACTGATGTGGAAATGTGGCAAATTGAATTTAAAATTGGAAAAAACTGAAACTGGTGGTTTTGCCTATCTGGGTGGAGCTGTAGGTTAAACCACAGAGCCTAGGACTTGCTGATCAGAAGGTCGGTGGTTTGAATCCCTGCGACGGGGTGAGCTCCCGTTGCTCGGTCCCTGCTCCTGCCAACCTAGCAGTTCGAAAGCACGTCAAAGTGCAAGTAGATAAATAGGTACCACTCCGGTGGGAAGGTAAACAGTTTTTCCGTGCGCTGCTCTGGTTTGCCAGAAGCGGCTTAGTCATGCTGCCCACATGACCCGGAAGCTGTACGCCGGCTCCCTCGGCCAATAAAGCGAGATGAGTGCCGCAACCCCAGAGTCGGCCACGACTGGACCTAATGGTCAGGGGTCCCTTTACCTTTACCTTTACCCCGTTACCTTTATCCATAGGGATAGTGGTTTTGCCTATCCCACCTGAGGAGGGATACCTTGCCTCTTCCTAATTATATGGGGAAAGACCCATAGAATCACCCCCATCCATATTATAGTATTATCGCAGCACCTAGCCGTATAGGATCCAGTCAAGGAAAAGCTGCTCTCATGTGGTTGGGGGTTCATCTAAAGGGCACTTGCAACAGTTGGTAGAACAAAGTGTTGAGGAGTATATCTTACCGAATGAAACCTTTCGGAGGCATAATATTTCCTTCAACGTCCAAAGGAGGAGCTCGGCACTCACTCCTCAGTTTGAGTTGATCACACCGTTTCATTTCATTCTTTGTTCGGGTCCGAACTCTCTCTTTATGTCTCTGATCCACAAACAGTGCGTCCCCTTCAATGAACTTAATGTAGGTGTTCCCATCCAACTGCGAAGGAGGTGGGACTGGTGGCACAGCCATGAATCCTTTCCTGGGAGCTGTGATCCATCGCCATGTGTTGCTATCAAAAGGCTTATCCGGTCTTGGGCGATAGATTGCTGGCAACCTCCCTACATCCAGCCATGTATGGTATCCCCAGACGTGCCATAGGCTATCCTCTTCCACTGGGCAACGTATTTTGTGGCTGACACTTATTTTGGCATCTGTGTGGGGTGGTCTTTCAACAGCCAGTTTATGGTAGGGTCTTGGAGAAAACCCTGGCCATGACACATATTTGTCTGTACAGAGGAAGTGCCTCTCTTTCCATGTGGTCATCTTGAACAGGAATTCAGATTAACCCTAGGCAGGGGGAAAGAAGGGCGTTCAGAGACATCAGAAGCCCCAGTATTGGCCTACAAGATGATGCCCTACTGCAATACCCAGCTTCAGTTTGTTGAAGATCCTAAGGCACAAGAAATGTAAAATACCCATCGTAACATAGTCCTAGCTATGGAATCCTGCTTCCACATGTCCCAGTCCCATGTTCTCTTCCTTCAATCCTTGGCAACCATATAATACAACAGTTTCAGTTAACAAGGAGATCTACGATTTAAGAATCCTTTACAAGAAAAACACTTTGCTACCCTTTCCTGCATTTCATTTGCTGTCTCCCCAACAGTCAACGTTCAGATTGTAAGCTCTATGGAGCAGGAGTCTAGCGTTTTTCATTTATGACTCTGTTTAGTGCTGTCACAAAATGCATCTGCTCCTGGTGAGTGTTCTCTCTCCTCAACAAAGATGAAGTGCGTGTGATCATTTACTGTACATAGGCCAAGAAACCGAGAATAAGGCATCCCATAAAATGGGGAACAGCTGCCTCCTCTGCCTCCTTGTCTATTTTCCAGTTGCGATTCTGCGAAGAGCACAGAGAGATGAGCAAGAAGGCTGCACAGATAAGCTATTTGATAATAATCTCAGCCACAATATTTACATTTTTTTAAAAGAGTTTAATGAAGAGGCTAACTATTACAATGCTGACAGAGAAAGATGAAGAAAAGTTTAAACATATCTCTAACTCATTATGGAGCTGCAGGAATAGTGCAGACATTAAGAGGTACGGAAGCTGAGGAGTAACCTGCCACTGTGCACACTCACCAGGCATAATGGAAAATGTGCACCAAATTCTTCTACAAAGAGGGACTTGTGCAAATTTCCCAGTCGGTATACAGAATCCAGGGGCAAAACTAGGCTTTATTTCACCTGGGTTAAAGATCTGGCACCCTCCCACATGCAATTGAGTCCACACACATACAGGCTGGGAAGCCTCTGGAGGCTTCGCCTGGGGCAAAGAACCTGGCGAGCACCCCCGTAGTTACAGCACTGCATAATCTCCAATAGGCTTTGGAAAATGTGCACATGCTGACTGAATTTTGTACATTTCCTGACCATTCTGATCCCCAGCAGGCTTTGGGGAATGTGCATTTCCTTCACTTTGGCCCTGCCAAGGACACATAATGAGGCTTGTCATACCTTACAGTGGCAAACTCGCTGTCCTTCCCACAGCAGGAACGCAGAGCAAAAGAGGCACATGAACTGCCACCTGAGACTCCTGTATATCTTGGAACATAACATTTCCAGAGAGATATCAAAGCAAGTATTGTGTCACCTTGAAGACTAAGCAATTCATTATGGCCATAGCTTTCCTGGATTCAATCCCATGTCATCAGCAGTTGAGAGGTATATAAAGAAGTCGAGAGAAAACATTTAAGTGATAATCAGAGCTTAAATATATGCTAAAAAGGCACATCTTTCACTGTACCAGATTGGTGATAATTTACTCAGCATTACTAAAATGATTATATTAACAGAGAACCATTCAAAAGGAACATTGACAGCAGATTTATCCTGGAATTGGTCAGCTCATTAACATGTGCAGTGTGGTGAAAATGATGGAAAGGCTTTGTCTCTATTTAACTCTTGTCAGGCAGGGGTGGCAACTTGAATAAAATATGAGGGGGGGCAGGTAAGCTCCACCCTGCAGAATTGGTGACATGACATGGCAGACACACACCATTTTTATGGCAACGCACATCACCTTGGGGGGGGGGGCTGGCTCCCTCAATATTAGCTCCTATGGGGACAGCACTGAACTTTTTGGTGAATTGAAATTCAGCTGTTTCATGTTGTAATCTTCCTTTGAATGGTCACCTTAAGGTCAGTTACGGAATATCCCAATAGGTTGAATTGTTCTCCCACTGATTTATGGTTACTGCCATTTTTTATTTCACATTTGTTCATTTATTCTTTTGTACGGAAACTGACCAGTTGCCCTGAGTACAATTGTAGAACGCAGTAGAATGCATTGTACATTGAATCTGTGTAGAATGCAGAAGGGAATTGGCGGCAGATGATGGGATAAATGATACTGGAAGATGAGCAGGTGATTTCGATTGGTTTTATACCATGGCCTTCCCCCCAAATAACTAGTTTAGTGAGGGTGCTGAGAACGTTCACCTTGAGATTCTTTGCTCTCTTTCCCAAGTCTCCCTGGGAAGATGGAGTGTCTGGAATACACCAGTTTAAGTCTATGCTGAATGTGACCAAATAACTCAGAGCTCCTCAGGCGGATGTTCCCTATGCTATGCTGCCATTGAGATGGGAAAAATCACATTTGCCCCTGGAGAAGATGCCAGGGATTTGCTTGCCTTTATCCTTCCTAAGGGCTCCTTTTCCTTCTGTCTGCAGCTGTGTTCTATTCCATTGTGTGCTTTGATGTTTCCAAGCTGGCTTCCTGGCTCACACATGCGTGATAAATTCCCACAGCAACTAGTTGTGATGTCATGTGCCAGGAACTGTGACTTCAGGCAAAGTTTGAAGGTGAGGGTAGCATATAGAAGGAAATTAAGAAAACATCCCAGGCTCTTGATGAACAGCTTCTGCTTCTGAATGAATGGCTTGGTGATCCTAAAATCCTTATAGGAATTGTTGAGAACAATCCATAGGAAGGAAAATCAATCTCTAAGAATAGAGGAATGGGGACACCAATTCACAAAGGCTAATGCTGGCCCCTTGCAGACTCATGAAAGATGCTGAGGAAACACACTGCTCAGAATCACACTTTCTACTCTGGCTTTATTGCATAGGTTGTTAGAAGAAACACAAACACAGACTGTGGCTGAAGTACTTCTATGCAGGGGTTATTGATTCATTTATTTTTTTAAGGCCAGACTATTCAGTGCATAAGACAAATCACATTTCACACAATTGCTTTCTTTTCTTTTCACCCATATGATATAAGAGAAGGGAAACAAGGTTTTAAAATGTGTATTTGAAGTTTGATCTCCTGCTTAAAAGTGCTCCCTTTCCCCAAATGAAGATTACGGGATCAATTTTTGAAGCTCTTCCCCATTTCTCTAATTGCTGAAGGTTACATCAAGTGCTCAAGTTGGGAAGCTAAGTGGTGCCTGCGTTGGATCTGGTTTGGCTCTCCAGATGTTGCTGGACCCCCCATCACCCCTCACTTTTGGCCCTGCTGGGGCTGATGAAAGCTGGGTCCAACAACAGTCAGAGAGCCCCACTTTAGCCAACCATTCTAAAACTTTGAACAGCATGTCCCCATAAAGGAAGCAGCATCTGACCTGGTTTGACTACAGTGGCAGGCATTCCTACATGGTAGTGGCCATGTTTTTTCCAACCCTGCTTGCACGAATCACTACTCGAAAGTGGTACCTGTCAGTGTGGCTGTGCTAAGTTAGAAGTTACTTTTGCCCTACTGGGAGGATTTTAGAGCATCTAAGCCGTGCAACTGCTCTGCTGGGCATTTAAGCACCAGGTGTTTCAGGAAAAGTGACATCAGCAGTGACAGTGAGATTTAAAACCCAGCAGCTCCAAATCCCACCCGAGCATATTTATAAGTTGTCTCTATGGCAATCAAAATCTCCCTTTTCTGATTGATTGGAGACATTTAAGTCTGCTGGTGTATGAATTCTGAATATGGTTGCCAATGTATTTTTTTCCTGGCCCTACTCCTGGTCCTTTAACAGGAGCCTGGAATAAAAAGTTGCACAGCTAAAGCTTTCTCTTCACATGGACATAGAAATGGGAAATGCTTTGGCTGCTAAATTCCTTCATGCTAGGTCCCTATTAAAGGCACAAAACAAAGAATAGTTATTTGTTATAGTTATTTCCATAAGTGGAAATAAGTGACCAAAGGCCACATAGGATTGCATTTAATGTGTAGTGTAACAGAAAACTTTTGGCAGATGCATCTCTTTTATTTACAAACAGAACCAGCTGATGTTCCCTCTGCAGTTATTAAACATATTAAACATACAAGAATCTCATCTTCTTTTGCATTTAGTCACCATCTTTATACTTTAAAAGGCACTAAAATATACAAATATATACAAAGGCCAACATATGTACATTAGATGCTCTATCAAATGGGAGGGCTATTAAAAGGGATTTTCACTATGTTTTGTAAGTAACAGACTTAGATGTCATTGATTGTCCAGTGGATTGGCTCTGTCCAATCAATAGCAATATCCATTAGGACTCCAAGCAGCTTCTGGATCATTCTATGACCAGCTATATGATAGGATCATCCTAATGTGATAACAGCTTGGGAGTCAGTTAAAAAACAACCCACCAACTGCGTCCCTTGGTGGTTTGCACTAAACCAGAATCTATAAACAAAATGTGGTCATTTCAGTTCAGGAATTAACTGTGACCAACTGAGATCAGTACCCAAGTTGTCATCCTCAAGGCCAGGAAAACTGACATCTAGTAGGATTTTGCTCAAACTGTCGTTCATGGTGTCCAGGACTAGGCCTTCCAAGAATGAATGGTTTTCAGGAAGAGCAGAGGCCTGAAGCTCTGGGGACGACTGTTTGCTGGTTGCAGGAGAGCTGGTCAAGGGCCCAGAGACCATGTCATTGGTTTCTGCATTTAGGAGTGGCAGCTGTGGAGAATCGCATAACGATGGCCTTAAGGGAGTGCTGCCAAGTCCCAGGATGTCCAAGTTCCCCTGAAGGGATATTAATGAGGTTGGAGAGGTTCTCACAGGACTGCAAAGCAGATCACTAGTTTCCTTGACAAAAGGTGCCAATCTCCAGGGGTCAGTAGTTGCCAGGAATGGTGCTGGGGTGGTTATGGGGGCTTTACTAGGTACGGAAGAAATGGGCAGCTTGCAGAACATCTCTTTTATTGCAGATTTAAAAGGAATGACTTCTCCCTGAGAGCAACTAAACTGAGATGTACTTTCCAGAGGATGAGTATCCGTTGCAAAGGGAGGGTCATTTCCCACCGTGCATGACTCTGACCTACTGGTGGGTTGCAGGAGGAGGACTGGTTCTTCAGAGGAAGGCAGGGCTAAGTGCTGTTTCCTTCTGGATCTGCCCATTTCTTGCCTCTCTTGTCTCTTTATAACCAGTGTGTCCAACTTGCTCCGGGATGGTGACTTGAGAGCTGTAAATGGTCTCTTCTGCTTTGCAGGTGGGGCTGGAAGAACTATGTCTGGTGGTTCACCCAGTTGCTCTGGCTCTACCTTTGTAGACACTGTGGGGAGGAACTGAGGGGCCCATGTGTTGGAATGAAAGTTGTCACTCTCCTCTTTTATATGCAGGGCTGCGGCGAATGATTCTTTGCTGATCCAACAGGCGTCCTGCTTTATGGACTGCTGGGATGTAAATGGAGATAACTCTCCATCACAAGTCTCCTCCTTGATGGGGATGGGAGCTGGGAGCAGGGTTGGCTCTTCACTGGACGGCAACACCTGCGATAGGAAGACAGAATGAGAGACAGTAAAGTATATTTGACAGCAAGATATTGATTAAAAAACCCCTCACAAAACAAGGAAGTAACAGAAAAGTTAAGGACATTACAATAAGATACAGATGTGCGTGTATGTGTGTCTTGATGGGTGCTCCGCTTAATATCATTTAACCATTTGTAACGAGCTTTCCACAAATGTTCACTGTGAGGAGAAATCTCTTCCTGGCAATTGACATATGAAGATGAGGGCAAAGCAAGAGGTTGCTCTGTCTCTCTTAGTATTGGGGAGCAGTGTCACTCTCATCCCCTGAAACACTCCAGTACTTGGGGGACCACATGCCAGAAGCACGTATAGCCAAAAGGTTCAACAACATCTGGAGGGTCAAATCTTCCCTGTCCCTCGGTTACACAAGCAGCACACGTTCAACAGGATCAGCTGTGAAAGAAATGCTGCCTTTTACCCCCAAGTCCAATCAGCCCTCGTGGGCAGCTGGTAACTGGAAGCTAGTCAGCTCCTTATTTAAAGCTCTCTGAATCCTGTAGGACTTGTTCAGAGCACTGTGGAACTCCCTCCTCAGACAGGTTCCATTTTAATCCTTTAGGCCCCAAAATTCATCCTTTTCTTTCAAGCTTTTAATTGTATTTGGGATCCCTATATGCTGGCTTTAGGTTTTCAATCCTATCTGGGAGTAAGTCCCCTGAACCCAATGGGACTGCCTTTTGAGTAGATAATGCATACGGTTGTGCAGTAAATGTATTTTATTTTTTATTCGTTACTAATTAAATTTGTATATCACCCTTCATCCAAAGATCCCAGGGTGGTTCACAACAGAAAAATACAAAATGGGAATGCAAAATACAACTGTTTTTTGCTCCTCTTCTTCTACTGGTGTATACTGGTAATTAATTTGTTTTGTAAGCTGCTTTGAGAGCTTTTAAAACCATTTAAATAATTTCATAATTTTGGAGGGCTTCTTTATGGGTCATTGAAGCGGTTTTAATGTATTGCTTTTATTTTCTGCTATGCCTTTTTGGTTCTCAATCTTTTTTAGGTTGCTTAAAGATGTGATGTATAGTATACAATAAGTGACGCATACATCTGATGATGATAGTTACAGGTAGGTAGCCGTGTTGGTCTGCCATAGACTACGGCAGACCAACACGGCTATCTACCTGCAACTAGAACTATGGAAGGCACCACATTGAGCCGCATGAAATGGAAGTCCATCAACAAGCTATCTGAAGAAGTGTGCATGCACACAAAAGCTCATACCAATAACAAACTTAATTGGTCTCTAAGTTGCTACTGGAAGGAATTTTTTTATTTTATCTGATGATGATAATAATGTCTCGGGTGATTGTGGCGATTATACCCAATGAGTGCAATATCCTTTACAAAGCAGCACTATCAAATCAAGGCCTCAGTACAAATGTGGAATGAGGGGAACCACTCTGGAAGTGGGAAATGCCTGCCCTGACAGCCAGGCTGCAAATTTATTCTCATTCTCAGGCACAAGCATGGAGTTGGGTACTGACATACAGTCTGACCTTTGGAGCAATGCACACGGGTTTGCTGCTCTGCATGGTCTCTGAGGCACCCTGAGATGCAGGAAGAGGCATCTTTGAAGAAGGTTGAAGGATGACGGACTGACTCAAAGGAAAGTGAATTGGAACTAGGTAGGAGTTGACACGTGGCAGCAAGGGCTTCATTTTTCGGCCTAGGAAGGAAAAAGAGGTCTTAGCCCAGTATCTATAAAAGGTACTTCCTCAATTTTAATTGATCAGCCACCAGAGCCTTCCCAGTTTTGTACTGGGAAATCTCTGCTTTCATCTCAGTTGCATCAGTGTCCTCCTTCGATTCAAAACTGCACACAAGAGTAATTCCTTGCTGCTTTTCTGGGAATGGAAGCACTAGACTGACTATTGTGAGTATTCTACTGACAGCTTGTTGTGGCTTGTGAAGTACCGTATTTTTCGCTCTATAGGACGCACCTTGTTTTAGAGGGGGAGAACAAGGGGGAAAATTCTCCCCTCTCTGCGCAGCGCCCCTTCAGCGAAGCGGCAGGAGAAACGGAGCCCCTTCCATTTCTCCTCCTGGAGGAGTGCTCCGGAGGCTTCAGGCGGCTATCTGGAGAGCGAGAGGGGTCGGTGTGCACCGACCCCTCTCCCTCTCCAGATAGCCTCGGGTTCCTTTCGCTTGTGGGGCTGGCAGTGGGGAAAGCCGAGCTTCCCTCACCGACAGTCTGGGGAGCAGCGGGAAGGCTACGCGCAGCCTTTCTGATGCTCCCTGGAGCTTGTGGGGCTGGCGGTGGGGAAAGCCGAGCTGCGTGCAGCCTTCCCGCTGCTCCCCGACCTGCTACCTTCAGAGCGCAGTGCAAGTTCCCGCTGCACTCTGCAGGCTTCGGGTTCCTTTAGCTGAAGCCCGGAGAGCAAGACTCTCCTGGCTTCAGCGAAAGGAACCTGAAGCCTCCGGAGCGTGGAGGGAGCGCTCCCTCTGCGCTTCGGAGGCTTCGCGTTGCTATCACTGAAGCCAAGGAGCCTGCATTCGCTCCATAGGACGCACACACATTTCCCCTTAATTTTGGGAGGGGGAAAAGTGCGTCCTATAAAGCGAAAAATACAGTAGATCACTAGCACCATGCTTTATGGTTGTACATAGACCTTTTATTTCAAACCTGGGAATTTTTCAGTGTCTCCACATACATGGAAAGTCCCAGTCCTTAGCCAGTTAGTGGAGTTTGTATTATACCCAGACAGACGCAGGGGAAGAAGCTTGGAAAGATCTTGAATAATGAAGCTGCCTTCTGTAGAGTTAACCCAGGATCCTGCCAGATCAGTGCTACTCTGACGGGCAACAGAGGCCTTTCCCTGTACTTCTTTAAGTGGAGAAGTAAGCATTGAACCTGGGACTGTCTGCAAGTAAGCGTACGTGCTCTCAGGTAGCAGGTACTGCCAGGTATTGCTGAGTGCCTGGAGGCTCTTCTGCGGGGCTGCAGTTTCATACAGGGGTTCACCCCCAGGCTAAGAATTCTGCCTGTCCCTTACGGAGGACTGACATTTACCCCCTGAACTTTGCTTTGCTGGTCTCTGCTTCCTGCCTTGCTTTGTCTTTTCCGTTACAGCCCTCCAGCCCTCACATGCACACCAGGTGAATACCTCCAACATGTGCAGAAAACACCCTTGTCACAGTTCCCATTAAATCCACTGTTGGGGTTTCGTTAGGGAGAAGAATTTTGCCACTTTCTTTGAGATTGGTAGAGATGTAGAGTATACACTCACGTGCAGCCTGTGGCTCATTTTTACGACCACTAGTGCCTCTCATACTCTTCTGTAGATCGGGAATGTGCCGTTTTTGCTGCTACATTAGTTTTAGATTAAGAGAGACAAGAAAACAAAAGTTAGAGAAGCTGCAATTGCCCAACTGCTTTGTATGGATCCGGAGGGCAGTGCTGAACTAATATAAGAAATTTAACTGCCACAGAGCTATGGGGCAATATGTGTCACCTCCTGCTGCAAGCAGACACCCTTGTCTTTGCTGACTGTCACCCCACAAACCCCATAGAGCCTGACAGAGGTGGCACAACAGAACTCCTTCCACAGCTGTCCTTCAGGCAGGAAGGGGGGTGGAGAGAAAAAGGAGCTGAGTTTGATAACTCTCACTGCCTGAAGAAATAAAGATAAAAAGATTAATTGTGCAGTGTGTTTCGTTCTACCCAAGTTCAACATGCTTGAACACAATGGCAGAAGAAAAGGAGCAGCAGCAAGCAGAGACAGCGCCACTCGATACACGGAGTCAGTCAAACTAGCTATTTGCAAGTTTATCATCACATGGAGAAGAGTTTTTAGTTTCAGTCCTATCAGCATTGTTGGCTGCTGTCAGGATGCAAGCGATGATGCCATGAGCCTGCCCTCCACTCACCCCCCCATTGTGCTCTCTCTCACCGTGTTCTAGAAAGATATATTAAGAGGCTTCATTTGCTCCTTTAAACCAAGCATTACAACAGAAATAATCTAAAAATGCACTTGCAGGTTTTTGGGTTTTTTTGAATGTACTGAAAACCCACCATTTGACCAAATATTTGCTTGTTCCCCCAAATTAATAGGCGGTGAATAAACTTAAGTATCCACTCATCGGTCCGAGTAGCATGACTGTAGGTAGCCAAGGCGGCCCCTGCATTTTCCACACACTTGAAGGAGGCACAGAAGGGGAAGCTGCAGGAGGATCTCAGCTCTGACTAGTAAAGCAACCTCTATACATCTGCAGGCACCGAAAGAGGGAAGAAAGAAACCCAAGCCCAACCAGGAGGGAAGGTCTTACTGATTCCAAGAGCCCGGGTGATGCTGGTGACTGCACATCCAGTGGCTGGTGGTGGCCAAGTATACAAAAGGAATGAAAAGGAAATTGTCAGCTAAACCGGAGAACAAAGGAACATTTGGGCACAGCAGACAGTACAGAACAATCTGTGAGTCCTCAGTGAGAAAGTATGCTGAAAGTTTTGTACAATACCAAACGCTTCCAGAGCTTCCAATGATCAGAAGGTTAGCCCTGGTTTGAGGCTAGATTGGGGGAGAACAAGGAGCAGGCACTTTTCAACAAAAACTTTTAAAATAACCAGGCCAAACCACAAAGTGGGTTTCCAGGTTCATGCAACCCTCCGCCCCCAAATACAACTTTCTCTTAGCAAGGAAAGAAGTGTGGGTTGTCCATAGCAATCCATGGAGACATGGCAAAAATTAGCCCCTTTTCTTCCTTACTTAGGGTCTGGGGGGTGTGTTGTTTTTAAAATTTTGCCAACCTTTATACACACAACCCATTTGCATCTACAAGGCACTGGAGTGCAAGGCTTTGATATGCAAATAAGCTGTGGATTTGGCTTAGAAAAAACCTGAGACATATTTTGTACAGAGGAATTGTATGGAGGGAATCCAAATCTCTGCCTAACCTCCAGCCTGAAGCATTAACAGGCTGCCATAAGACACACTCTGTCAGCCAAGCCCATTACAAACTGCAATGGTGGGTAACGATCTGGATTTGACATTTTTTAAACATTTGTGAAAAACAAATTTTTCAGATGAACGCCTTTTGCTTGAGGGTAGATATACTGCTACCCATTGACTACTATGTTAATATTTCGGATTTCTCCATTAATTCCTAGGAGCAGTTTTCATCCCAATGTTTAAAAATGACTTCTCAATGGCGACCAGGAATTCATGTGTCTAGACTAGAGGTGGGGACCATAGAATCATGGCAGAGTTGGAAGGGACCCAAAGGATCACCTGGTCCTATCCTGCAATGCAGGAATCACAGCTAAAGAATTCCAGACAGATGGCCATCCAAGCTGTTTAAAAACCTTCAATAAAGGAGTCCACTACCTTCCAAGGTAGTCAGTTCCACTGTCAAACAGCTCTGTCAGATAGTTCTCCTGCACACATTCTACCTTGTCATTATCCTTCTTAAATTGTGGTGCCCAGAACTGGTTGAAGTATTCCAGGTGGGGTCTGACCAAGGCAGAATAGAGTGGGACTCTTCCTTCCCTTGATCTGGACACTAGACTTCTGTTGATACAGCCTAGAACAGCATTAGCTCTTTGCTGCTGCATCATGCTGTTGAGTCATGTTAAGCTTGTGGATCCTTTTCACATGTACCACTGCAAACCAGTTGTCCCTGATCTTATACTTGTGCATCTGGTTCTTCCTGCCTAAGTGCAGAACCTTTCATTTGTCCTATTGAAATTCATGTTGTTACTTTTGGCTCAGCTCTCCAATCTGTTATCCTGATTCTGTCTTCCGCAGCATTAGCTACCCCTCCCAGTTTGGTGTCATCTGCTAATTTGATAAACATCCCTTCAATTCCTTAATCCAACTTGTATATAAAGACAGAGAACAACAACGGGCCCAGGACGGAACCCTGTGGCACCCCATTTGTCACTTTTTTCCACTTTTTTCCAACATTAGTGAGCACTCTTGGGGTTCGGTCAGTCAACCAGCTACAAATCCACCAAACAATAATCTTCTGCAGCCCAAATTTTACCAGCTTCTCTGCAAGAATTTCATGGAGGACTTGTGTCAAAAGGCTTACTGAAATCAAAGTATGTTAGTTCCACATCCTGTGGCCCTCTGGATACTCCTGGACTACAGTTCCCATCATCCCTAACCATTGGCTATGGGAGTTGAAGTCCAGCAACATTTGGAGGGCCACATGTTCCCCACACTTATCTAGACAATGAGATAGCATTCTTTAACCCTTTTAATAGGTTTATAGCCACACCAGTACTTAAGACTTTCCTTTCTGTGAATTCAAGTGATCCATTTCCCTTCTAATACCAAACCTAGGTGATCGAATGCTCACCAGCATGTCTTCACCTGCCTCCTCAGAATGGAAATAGCCAGGTGCTTGAGAAATCAGGAATTGGTAGGGCAATCTCCTTTTCTGCATGAAAGGTACTCACTTTGAACACTTGGTCCAGTGTCAAATAGCGGTTGGCTTCAGGGTGAATGGTCCAGAATGAGATTTTGCCATTGGCAGATGTCTCTCGAACAAACATGTCATGAAGAGAAAGATTGTGCCTTATAGAGTTCTGGATGGGAAAGGAGAAATGCTTGCTGTTTTTTGTTATGAGTGGATTCTTCAGATAAAATCTTGATAATTCACAAAGACCTTGGGCTTTGAATCCTCTGTATGCCCCTGCCATATTCCCCACTTTAACCCCCTAGGGCTTCCTCTTCCCACCCCATGCAACTGCTGAGATCACTTTTCACCTTTCCAACCCGATTTTGCAAGCCGCTTCTCTTCTGTAGCCCTACTTTGCACCCATTTTTACCTTTACCCCCATGTCCATGACTCCTCCTCCCTTTGTGCAAGCTCCTTTGTACACAAACCAGCCCTATGGTAACCTGATGCATCTTGCTCCTCCCACACATTGTAACTACTAAGCACCCTTTTTGCCTTCTGCTCAATTTTGAAGTGACCAGCCCATTATTCTTCAGACCATTTCATGCCCCTGCTTCCATCTTCACTCCCATTCCTCCCTCTTTGCTCCCATATTTTCATCTTCACTCCCCTTTTCCATTCACCCTCCTTACTTTTCTCAACTCTCCCTTGCACCGATCACCCCCCATTTCCATGCCTTATCCTCTCCCCTCTGGCGCAGCCCCATCTGCCCACACTCCCCAGTGCTGATAATCTGTTACTGTACCTTTAAGACGAATGGCTTCTTAAGAGCAAGCCTCTGAGTTGGCTTGTTCAGTGAGAGAAGATTAAATTCAGTTGGTGGATGTTGTGTTTATATGGAACTTTGCTCGTTAATAAAGTATCTCTTCTAAATTACTGTATTGGATCTGGAACTGGTACCAGGAGTGAAATACATTATGTGAAGGTACTGTGAAATATTTGAGGGCTCTGCATCTTTTATCTCTCTTGCACAAGGCAGTTGAGCAGCAGGGCAAAGTTTAAAAGAGCCCTCGTTTTCCGTTCAGTGCTTCTCCCTCCTTGCTTTATTCAGACAAGAAGTCTGAGTAAAGTTGAGAACTATTTCATTTAAGGTAGCACCTGGTGATACGGGGGTTCTGTTTGTGGTGATTATTATGTGGCGACTTCTTTGTATATGCAAACAGACGCTTGGTTTTGGAGTCAGGAACTGATGAGCATGCATGTCTGAACCAGGAGATTTTGCTTGCCAATTTAAGTAAACTGTTTTGTGGTTCACTTCATATTCTGAATTCACTTCCATGGCCCCAAGGCCAGTTAATACTTATAGTCATCACTTCACGGCTGCAGTACAAATGGATGTTTTCCATATAAATGTGAACAATCCATCAGAAGTCAAGCAGCACATATAATATGCTTCAGTAAAGTCGCTTCACACAAACCACTGGACCCACAAATGCTAAATGATCAAGTGATGCACACTGATGTGTGCCTTTCTTACATGCAATTGCATGGAGTTGCTTCCACAATAATTTAGAACAGTGTAACACAGATGGCAGGTATATACACTCTCTCCCCCAGGAATTTGTGGGCAAGGCATTGTAAATATACAGTATGGCAAGAGACCATAAATGAGTGACTATAACCTCACATGCATACTAAAAACACCAGGCTCATCAAGATTGTTAATTTCTGCAATAATGCAACTCCACAAAGGGTTCACATCAATGCCTGTTCATATCAAACTGCTTTTCATCCTCGTTTTATTAGCTATATGCATATGCATATGTTTGTGTGTGTGTGTGTGCTGCAATTCTGCACAGGTATCAAGAAAGCACAGAAAGTGAAATAAATTGTACAGCAAAACTTCCTGAGAACCTCAATTTTCTTAAAAACGAAACAAGAAAAAATACACAACCACAGGTTTGTAGCATTTCTGGCTGAAAAGATGTTCACCCACTTTGAAGGATAATACCTGCAGAAATCTCAGAAGCACAGGTGTGGAATAGGAGTGCATAGCTCCTTACCCCTCCTTGTGAAAGTAAACTCAAGGAATTATTCACAATATGGACCTATAACAAAACACTGCAGTGCAGGCTGCTCCTTTTCAATGCTTCCATTAGTTGGCAAGTTCCCCCTTCTGTTCTACCTGCCTTTGTCTTCCCCTTGACCTCACAGTCAGCATTACATGGCTACTGAGAAACTCTCCCCCCCCCCCCCGCCACCTGTAGTCCTCCCCCAATGTTTTTTGTACAGTGGTACCTCTACTTACGGATGCGATCCGTTCCGGGGTGCCTTTCGCACCCCGAAAAGTCCATAAGTAGAGCGCCGCTTCTGCGTGTGATGCAATTGAGCGCTCCTGCGCATGTGCGAAGCGCGCAGAACACTTCTGCGTGTGTGGCGAAACCTGGAAGTATACACTTCCGGGTTTGCCGCATTTGCAACCTGAAAATCCGCAACATGAACCTAACACAACTAGAGGTATGACTGCACTTCTCCAAACCTTGGGGTGCCCCCAAGCCTGCTACAGACTGAACATAAGAAACAGGGGGAATCCTATTCAAAACAAGAAAAACAGAATTATGCAAAAGCAGATGAATTATGTTAATGTGCTTAATTTCTATGGTTAATGTAAGTTGCAGGATTCTGCTTTTCTTGGAACAGCATTTTAATTTTTTTCCTGCAGAATACACATAGCCCTGGTAACATTTGCACCTGAAGGGAGAAAACTGACAGTTGTTTGCGTAATGCACTTTCTCCCCTCGCTTTTCCTCATGCAAGCTTTACAGGTCACAGTGTTTGTTACCTTCCAGCCGGGCTTGGCTACATGCTTGAAATAAGGGAAATGATCCTCAATCCAGGTGTAGATATCTTTCAGCATCATGCGCTTCTTCTCAGTGCTGTTGATGGCAAACTGGATCATGGCCATATAGGAGTAGGGGGGACGTTCAGAGAAGGACTCCTGCCATGAGGTCGTAGAGGAAGACGCTGCAGAACCTTCCTCGGCCTGACAAGAAGACAATATGAAGGGTGCAGGGCCTGTAGAATGTTAGTTATATGAAGAGCGTCTGGATTTTGATGTACCAAACAGTGAACCTCTGAATAGGATAGGGTTAGCCATTTTAATGGGCAAATATTTAAAGTCCACAGGGCTGCTTCCCTGCTTGCCAACCCCCACTCGTGAAGCCCTCACCTGCTCCTCAGAGAAAGGAAACCTTTTTGGCTCCATGAGTGAGATCTTTACTTTGATCGGCCCTCTTGGCCAAATCTGACAGCTGGGTGGGGCTAAAACAATGGGAAGAAGAAGAAGAAGAAGAGTTTGGACTTGATATCCCGCCTTTCACTCCCCTTCAGGAGTCTCAAAGCGGCTAACATTCTCCTTTCCCTTCCTCCCCCACAACAAACACTCTGTGAGGTGAGTGGGGCTGAGAGACTTCAAAGAAGTGTGACTGGCCCAAGGTCACCCAGCAGCTGCATGTGGAGGAGCGGAGACGCGAACCCGGTTCCCCAGATTAAGAGACTACCGCTCTTAACCACTACACCACACTGGCTCTCTCTGGGAGTGGGCAGGGGATACCAACCCTGCTTGAATCAGGAGCGGGCTTGGATGGAATCCTAGCAAACTGAGCAGGATTAAACCTCCATTCATCAAAGGATAAGCAGGGGTGAAATCCTGCTCAGTCTGACTGTGAACCCATGTTCTTCCTGTGCATCTCGCCCAGACAACGCTTCTGCCTCAGGAGCAGGGAGGTGCAGAGTGGTGGCAGAACAGGACGCTGCCCTTAGGGAAGCTGCCCCAGCCTGCTCTAATAGTTCTTCTGCAAATTGTCTGGGCTGCCCACCTGCATGCATCTCCCTAGGCCTCTTCTCTTCTCAAGGTCCATTAGCAAAGCATTTCACAGAAGTCTGTTGCAATACTGTAATTCGCGGCCTACCTGTGACCGCCAGCCAAACTGCAGCATGGCAACGGTCTTCCCTTCTTATGCTATGTACGGTTAATTTAGCAGAAACATAACATTGAGACTTACATTAGGAAAACCCAGGTTTCCTTACTGTGTTTGTGAAACCACATAGTCTGTGTGCTGCAGTGAGCAGAATGTGGGACATGAGTCAGGTTTAAATTCCTCCCAAGCAACAAAGCTGCTCACCGCATGACCCTGCACCAGCTGTTCTCTCCCTGGTGAACGTCAAGGTGGGATTGCAATGTAATAACTGCAATCCATTATTATTTATAGCATTATGCAAATATGAATTAAAGCAACCCATACGCTGGGAACAAGTAGCCTGCCATTGCTATCAGGTGAAAGAAAGGTGCACTTAAGAATGAAGGTTCCCATCTAAGCAAGGACATTTCATGGAACATTTGGCACCATAAATATAAATATCTGCAGTGTTAAGCCAGTTTGCAGTGAGCCTCCTTGCCCATACAGGGTTGCAGTTACCAATCCAGAGATCTCCTCTGCACATTAAATTGTGAAGTGCCTGAAGATAAAAAGTCAACAGCAGCCTATCCCACACTAGAGCACTGCTGGTCCTTCTGTCTACCTCCTTCCCTCCCTCTCCTGCTCACTACAGTGGGTAGAAGGGGGCAGACCAACACTGGGAAATCAAGAGATGAGAGGAGCCTCTGCAGCCTGGTCTCACGAGAGTGCAGGTACAAGAGTCTCTGAATTGCATTCTGGCCCTATGCACAGACACCTGGCTCGGCTTCTCTTTCCTTGGCTGTTATTTGGCTGCACACCTTGCTTACCTTAATAGCTTTCTGCTTGGGGGTCTGGTTCTCCTTCTCTGTTTCCTTTTTCACACTGCAAGGGCTCAGTCCACTAGAGCTCATATTGCCCAGCCACTGAATGTTAGTCAGACTGTTGTCCAAGACACTGCTTGTTGTCTCCGCACTGCCTAGATAAATACAAACTCTTAAGTTCTCATTCTGTAGTCCTAGATTCCCAAAAGAAGGCTTCCAGCTTGTGCCTTAAGCAGACAGAGTTCAGAGTTTTAAGTAGAGAGAGAGGCCCACAATGGAGTTTGGGCAGCAGCACTTGAAATAAACTGAACTTCACATACTGTCGCTGCTCAATCCCATGCACAGTTATGGTTGCCAACATGTTATTGGTCCTGCTTCTGTGCCTTGAAGTACAGTCTGACAGACAGAAATTTAAGAATGTAGATATTATCGTTGAAGGAGAACAGTCAATCTCGGTTGTCGAACACAATCCGTACTGGAAGACCATTCAACTTCTGAAACTTTCAGCAACTGAAGCGCAGCTTCCGACTGGTTGCAAGAGCTTCTTGCACTCAAGCAGAAGCTGCGTTGGACATTTGGGTTCTGAAAAACGTTCGAAAACCAGAACATTTACTTCCGGGTTTTCAGTGTTTGAGAGCCGAAACATTCGAAAATGGAGCCGTTTGAGAACCATGGTTTGACTATACTAGATTCTATTCCCATTATTATACAGTGGTGCCTCGCAAGACGAAAAGAATCCGTTCCGCGAGTCTCTTCGTCTTGCGGGTTTTTTCGTCTTGCGAAGCAAGCCCATTAGCGGTTTAGCGCTACAGTATTAGCGGCTTAGCGGGCTTAGTGGATCAGCTGATAAGCGGCTTAAGGATCAGCTGATAAGCGGCTTAACGATCAGCTGATAAGCGGTTTAGCGGCTTGGGAAAAAGGGGGGGGGGAGGAAAAAAACCCCGCAGGAACTCGCAAGACATTTTCGTCTTGCGAAGCAAGCACATAGGAAATTCGTTTTGCGAAGCACCTCCAAAATGGAAAACCCTTTCGTCTAGCGGGTTTTCCGTCTTGCGAGGCACCACTGTATGTTGTAATTCCTGGAATGCAAGGGGTTGGACTAGATGAGCCTTGGGGTCCCCTCCAACTCTATAATTCTATGGTGCTATGATTTTACCAGTCTTTTATGAATCTTTAGTAAAAGACAATATATAATTTAAAGATTGGAAACTGACATCCACAAATTTAAACCATAAGCTCTCCCACTTTTGCTATGTTATCCTTAAGGCTGCCTCGTCCCTTGCCTGGAAAGATTTGTTCTAGTTCCACCACAATTTTTCCTGCCTACCACATTCAAAGTAGCAGAATTGTGACCTCCTCCATTTCCTATACTCATTCCATAGACATGCCCCTGTCTTTGCTCTGAACCCGATGCAAAGAAATCCATTTCCCCAGCAGGGGAAATGTAACAAACACCTTCCCCTGTACCTCTGCCTTTCCTACCCAGGCTGTCACAGCAGATTATATAGTACATTGTGCAAAGCACCATTCGGTCACAGCCTGCTGTCATTTTCATATTAAAAGGTAAAGGGACCCCTGACCATTAGGTCCAGTCGTGGCCGACTCTGGGGTTGCGGCGCTCATCTCACTTTACTGGCCGAGGGAGCCAGCGTACAGTCATGTGGCCAGCATGACTAAGCCGCTTCTGGCAAACCAGAGCAGCGCATGGAAACGCTGTTTACCTTCCCGCCGGAGTGGTACCTATTTATCTACTTGCACTTTGACATGCTTTCGAACTGCTAGGTTGGCAGGAGCAGGGACCGAGCAACGGGAGCTCACCCCGTCACCGGGATTCAAACTGCCGACCTTCTGATCAGCAAGTCCTAGGCTCTGTGGTTTAACCCACAGCGCCACCCGCGTCCCTTACCCTAACCCTAACCCTTATTACTCACACATAAAGACACTTCCACTTTAATTGCCAATTACAGGGTACATTGAATGGGGCTATATATCTCTGGCCTCATGCTCTGCACACTTGCCACTCTCAAGCGGCAACTTGAGATGGGAGACTATGAGGAAAGTGCACTTTGCACACAAAAAGAGAACTTTGTACAGAATAGCAATCTGTTGTGAGGACAGGCTAACGCCTCTCTGCTTAGAACAGGTTCCCTGCTTCAAGACTCCAGGGCACAAGCACCCAACAGCACCCTCCATTCCCACCAACCTGGGGCTACAGGACGGAGCACTGCACACAGGTAAGTAAGGGAACAGATAATACCTGGCGCACTTTCCGCCACCACCCTCTTTGCCATTTTGGAATACTGTATTTTGCACCAACTCCTCTCTCCTGAAAGCAGTGCTTTTGGGGTTAAAAAAAGAGGTGCTAGTACTCGCATCTTGATATATGCGTTGTTGGTGCCAGCACAAAAGAGGTGATGGTACTCCATACTGGTGAGTAGACCCAAAATGCACTGCCTAAAAGCCACCCTTCCCCCACCCCCCGAATAGGCCCTGTCCCTCCCCCCACCAACTAGCAGCAGTCAATCAAAGAGAGGGCTGCCCCATGTGTCATAAGAAAAAGAACTACATACTGTTTTCTTCCGGTTCTCGTCCATCCATAGACAGCAACTCTTCCATTAACGCAGAGCTTTGCCCAATGTACTTTTCATCCTCTCCTGCCTTGTCGTGGGCAGTGCTGTGCTCCTCATCAGATTTGAAAAGATTCTTGAACTCTCTTCTCTCCATTCTAGGAGAGCCGCTACTGATGAGAATAAATTTGCTAGGCCCATTACTGCCAGATTCTTTCCCCTTGGCTGTTAGAGCATCAATGATACTTTGGACATCTGTGTTAGCAGGAATAGCTACCACCTGGGCATCTGACAAGGTTGGGTGGTCTATTATCTTAATCCCCCCCACAGGGACTTCTCGATTTCCGGGTTCCGTTTTGTTTGTGCCGTGCTCCTTAGGCTTTGCTTCTTCCTGCTTAGGAGACCCAACATTCTGGCCACTTGGCTCATCTCCTGCTAAGGTGCTCGCCGCATCGCTATGTGGGAAAGACAGCTTCCGTCTCTTGAGAATCAGGGGCCTGTGAGGGCTGCTCTTCATCCTTGACCTGTGCAGTCAATCTCCATTGAGGACAGAATGAAGGAACCTGAAAAACACAAAGAACAACATTTCTGTCCAGTTATGAGAACATGTGACAAATTGCGAGGGAGTGTCTTGAAATCAGCTGCTAGGTTTCCTGCAATATGCTTTTTTAATGAATGAATGGTGTTCTACAGTAGGAATCTTCAACCTTTTCAAACCTTGGGTCCACATTTAACCCAAACATGTTTTTGAGGATCCATTTCTTGATATTGTGCCCCACCTTGAACCAGTGGGTCCCGCTCCGCTACTCTACCTCAGGATCAAATAGTAAATGCAGTAAACACAGTAAATGCAGGTATGCAAAATAAGAGCTGATTAATGATACATATGCAACATCAAAGTTTCAGAAACAGTACATCTCTGAATATCATTTTATGGGGAGCAACACAAAGGCTACTGCCTCCCAGGCCCTGTTGGTGGCTTCCTAAAAGCATATGGTTTGCCACTGTTGTTATGCATGGACTGGGTTGCCTATGGTCTGTTAGCTAGATCAGGCAAGGAAAGTTTTCTAAACTGGAGTTTAGAACTGGATTCCCCTCTCCCTTTGGGAACATTAATGTGCTAGAAATGACCAGCCCAGATATGAACAGTCAGGCAGCTACTAACTTTTCATTTGGGCCAGTAACTTTTGTGGTTTGTGTGCAAGGCTTAGCAAAATTAAGGAAATAAAGAAATTAAAGCTCAGAATAAGACTTTAATTTCCTTATTCTTGGAGGGAATGTGCTATCAGGCTTTCTCATTACCATAAAAAATATGCTGCTAGCTATAAAAGTTTGGATGGGATGTGAGCAAATAAACTGCAGCTGAATTCAGAAAAGATGGAGGTACAGTTAGTGGATAGTTCAAAGGACTAGGCAGGGTCACATTCTGTTCTGGATGGAGTGGCACTCAAAGCTTGAAGGTGCTGTTTGATCTGGCATGAATTGCTTTCCACCCTGTCAGACTAGTACATCAAGTGCAATTCCTCCTGGACAGCCTAGAGGGCCCCGTCTGCCTGCCCTCCTGAGGTCCCAGACCTAAGGAAAAGCAAGCGGCAAAGAGCAGGAGATGGGCCTTGGAAGCGCTGGTTCAGTTACACCCAAGTGCCTGACACTTTTGTCTTTGAGCACTAAGATTTTAATCCTATTGCCAATGTGTTTTTACTGCTCTACTACAGTGGTGCCTCGCAAGACGAAAAGAATTCGTTCCGCGAGTCTTTTCGTCTTGCGATGTTTTTCGTCTTGCGAAGCATGGTCTGTCGCAACCGCGCCTCTTCAAGCGGCTTTTAAAAAAAAGCGCAAGACGTTTTCGTCTTGCGAAGCAAGCCCATAGGGAAATTCGTCTAGCGAAGCAACGCAAAAACGGAAAACCCTTTCGTCTAGCGAGTTTTTCGTCTTGCGAGGCATTTGTCTTGCGGGGCACCTGTATTTTAAACTGTTTCTGAATTGTTTAATTTTGATTTTTAAAAAAAAAAATCTTCAAGCTGCTCTACGTCTGCGAGCACTAATACTGAGGGGTAGGATATCAATCTCATATCTAACTTATTAACTAACTAAGAGAAGATTCCCTGGAAAAGACCCTGATGTTGGGAAAGATGGAGGGCACAAGGAGAAGGGGACAACAGATGACGAGATGGTTGGATAGTGTTCTCGAAGCTACCAGCATGAGTTGGACCAAACTGCGGGAGGCAGTGGAAGACAGGAGTGCCTGGCGTGCTCTGGTCCAGGGGGTCACGAAGAGTCGGACACGACTAAACAACTAAACAACAAGATATTTTCATGATGAACTCCCAGTGTGCAGTGTTAGAAATCGGGATAGAAAAGCTAGGAGCCAAATGGCTCCTGGGACCTGGGTTGTGGGCACCAAAACAGAAAGTCTGGTTGCCATTTCTGGGGAGGGTCAGCAACACTTTTTATTTATTATTTTGTTAAGCATGAACTAATATGCAATTCACAAAAGTGACACATTGTTAATATCACACAAATTAAACAAGTATGAACGGAAATTGTTAATACTTGTTTAATTTGGTGTTTACAATAAAAGTACTGGTACCATACTTCAGTTTTCAAAACACTCTACTCTTTATTGTTAAACTCCTTAACATATTGCCTATCCTTAACATATGTTTGAGGCTTCAAAGCACATACATTTCAGTAATCCTTGAGTGTCAGCCAGGCGCAGAAAATGTCACCCAGACCTTTTGAGGTGCTCACAAATGGATAATTTTTAGGCGCGAAAGTACCTGGCGCCCTGCTAATTTCAAACCCTGCCAGTGTGGTAGGCTCTCACCATTGAGAAGAGGCAAGCACAGAAGCTGGCAAACCTTGATTTTTGCACCATGGGGAGAGAAGGCTCCAGCCTCTTTCCAGATTCAGAAGCTGAAGTCATTCTTGCCTTCATAATTTTGAGTCTAGATTACTGAAGTGTTCTCAGCGTAGGGCTACCCTTAATGATAGCTCAGAAGCTTCAACTAGTACAAATGGAGCAGCCCGCCTTCTGATGGGAATGGGTTAGCAAGTGTCTGTTAAACCGGGGGCTCCTGCTTGTATTCTGGGCACAATGTAAGGCACTGGTTATTATTACCTTTAAAGCCATAAATAGACGGGACTAAGAGTTTCACTGATTTTTACTAGTGTATTATCTGAGGTATTCCCCATTTCCTCCCGTAAGTACTGGAAACAGCTGGCAATGTCCTGGCAACTACTTTTTCCCTGGAAAAAAGCTGATCCTGCAAGGAAACGAGATAAAATCCTTCACAATCCCGGTATTTATTTATTTAAAAATAAATTTCTTAATTTCATTTTGCAGTATATAATAAACAAGAACTGTTACAAGCGTCTTGAATGTCTTTGCATTATTCACCCATAAGAGCATTCAGAATATAATGAATGAAAGGAAAATACTTTGTCACACCATACAAATTACAACACCAGAATATACTCTAATCAAGAAATCCTTCTCTGTTCTTCCTGCCTCATGTAAGATAAAAACTCTTGCTATGCCATGTAAAAAGAATTCGAGTTGTCCCCATTTCATCCCGTAAGTACTGGAAACAGCTGGCAATGGCTTTGCCACTACTTTTTCCCCTGGAAAAAAGCAGATCCTGCAAGGAAATGAGATAAAAACCTTCATAATCCCAGTATCACCCAAAGAAAACTGTATTGGCTGCCTCCATAATCTTTGCACCTCAGAACATGGCCAGCTCTTGGTTCATGTAAGGCTTTGGCCAAGCTCATCCTGCTTTGCCAAAATTCACTTCAGAACGCATCCCAAACACTCCTGCAACCATACATACAAAACAAGGGATGAGCAGCAGTGATGAGCAAACTCTGCCATTACGGTTTCTCCCAAGTTCAGTTTTGAAAACCTCTGCCCCAGAAGAACTGGCGGGGAAAGTCCCACATTGAAATAACAAATAGAAGAAGAGGGAAAACATGTTCCTGAGCTGAATGACAACCATTTGAGAAAGCACAGGCCATTCTTCAAAAATCTATCCAACTGTCATTTCTTGAAATCAGAAATCTTTGCTCCTGTGGCTATTCTGGTGAACATATAAAACAACTGATCAGATTTAATGGAGGACAAGAGGGACGTATACATTTGTCTTATCTCCATGGTAAAGTTAAAGGGACCCCTGACCATTAGGTCCAGTCGTGGCCGACTCTGGGGTTGCGGCGCTCATCTCGCTTTACAGCTTCTGGGTCATGTGGCCAGCATGACTAAGCCGCTTCTGGCGAAACCAGAGCAGCGCACGAAACACCGTTTACCTTCCTGCCGGAGCAGTACCTATTTATCTACTTGCACTTTTGACATGCTCTCGAACTGCTAGGTGGGCAGGAGCAGGGACCGAGCAACGGGAGCTCACCCTGTCTCAGGCATTCGAACTGCCGACCTTCTGATCGGCAAGTCCTAGGCACTGTGGTTTAACCCACAGCACCACCCGCGTCCCTATCCCCATGGTAACGAGGCTCAAATGTTCAGGAATAACTAAACTGGAAGGTATTTCCCAAGGGAGCTAGCTCAGCAAGCTGCTAATGATAGAGTAATTAATAACAACATTCCCTCACCAAATGGAGCACAAAAATAAGATGAACTCATCTCATCAAGGTCCTATGTGACAGACCTGCCCCTCCACAGTCTCCATGTAGCCGTTAACAGAGGCCAACCAGTAGGAATGCCCAACATTCCATGGAGGTTATTATTACTCTCCCTCCGGCATCAAGCACATAGGAGCTACACAAGCTTTTCCCAGCATCACAATGAGCAGTCTTCAAAATATGGCTAACATTCATCCCCTTAAAAATCTTAGCTATTATAATCACCCCATGTGAAGGACTTCGTAACTTTGTAAACTCTTGTTGCAATTGACATTGATTGAGCAAAAGGACTGGGTAGTAATGACCTTCTTTGCCCATCTATTTGTTTACACATGAACAGTTTATTCAAAGTTGCCTATTCATGTAGCTGATCATACAGTCATACCTCGGGTTACAGACGCTTCAGGTTGCGTTTTTTTGGGTTATGGACCCGCCGAAACCCGGAAGTACTGAAACGGGTTACTTCTGGGTTTCGGCGGCCGTGCATGCACAGAAGCGCTAAATCGTGCTTTGCGCATGCGCATAAGTGCCAATTCGCAACCTGCACGTGCGCAGACGCGGCGCTGCAGGTTGCGAACGTGCCTCCCGCACGGATCACGTTCGCAGCCTGAGCGTCCACTGTATACATCATTGTCTGAAGTTCATTAGAACATACTTCCAGGTAAGTGTATGTAGAATTGCAAACCCAAAGTGGTGCATTTATTTATTATTTAGTACTAACTCCAGAACTACTCAAGACTTAGCACTTCTCCCCAGAAGTTCAGCATGGCTGATCAGCCAGAAGGAAAAGGAAAATACTTTTAATATTTATTCTACTTATTATACAAGTGATGCTGATTCTTTCTTTTTTTGGCCAGTTTAAGAGAATGTTAGTTGGTATCCATTTGAGACAATGGAAGCCTGTGCTTTTGGAGGTGAAGTCAAACCGTCGGAGAGTTATGGCACATGGTGTGTCTCTAGAGACCAGTATGGGAAAGACTTGTTTTGGATGCAGTTAGGGCAGATGAAGGTATCTGGTTGTGCTGGTGCATGTGTACCATGTAGTCTCTGCCGTAGTGTTTTTTGGACAAATTGCTGTCATTTCCTGCCTTCATGAATACTGGTCCATAAGAAGCACCTCAATCTTGCTTTGCAGAATGGTTGCATTCTTTTATAAGAAAACTGTGGGATAACTAGCCTCATATAACCAACATGCTTAAGTCTAATCAATGCACTAAAGTATTAAAACCACAGAATAAGCTGTCACCGCTAGGCTTTTCTCACCTTGGAAGGGACTAAGTAATCAAGCCTTTATTCACCTTCAGGCTACCAGAGAAGTTCAAAGTGTGCAAAGGTTTTGAGCTGGTTGCTACAGCTCAGACTGCATGGCTCTTACAAGCCATTATTGTGTTCCTATACCAATAATTTAGGAACTTCCACTATTGCAACTAAATCAGGTTTTACTGCCTGTGCAACATTTTCTGACTGCTGTATGGAAAAGCATATGAACTTGGCCTTTGGAGTTTAGAAATAAAACATTATTATCTTACTTTTTTTTCTATGCTAGGGGAAAAGGGGAACTTTAGAAGGAATTTAGAAGGGCATATTTTAAAGGTTTAACAGCTTATACTTCCTTGCTTTGCTGCACATTCTGTGATTTAAAATCTGTGCTGGTGTTCTTGCACCAAAGAGTACTGTACTTGCCCAAACTGGATCTTGACATCTAGGAATTCTCCTGCTTACATACCATTTTTTTCCTTGCCACCAACAAAAACAATAATAAGCAATAATTGCACCTCACTGCTGCTGCCCATAAAACACCCTCATATTCCCAGCCTTGCCCAAGGTGGGGGGGAAATGAAGCAAGGGACAGAGTCAGGCAAAGGCTGGAGATTCAATAGCAATTACTGTACTGTTAAGCTTTTCTCTCTCTTTGTTGTTGTAGGAAAACCATATACTTATATGAAAGGGCTGGTGCTGTGCAGTTTTTATTGTAGTTACTGGTATGTTTTAAACAGATTTTATACGTGTATCTGGTTTTAATTCTATCAGTGTTTAGGGTTTTTTATGATTGGTTTTTCTACGTTTTTAGCAGCTCTTTAGCAGAGAAAAAGCTGGGGTATGAATATACTAATAGTAGTAGTAGTAGTAATAGTAACAGTAGCACCACCACCAGCAGCAGCAGCTGCGCCTTTCTGGGGCTCCTTGGCCCCGCGGCCTTCCGGCCGAGCCCCTCCTGGCCGCGGGGCGAGTTCGCGCAGGACTAGCGCCTTAACTGAAAGCGCCGTTGAGACGCCGAGCTTACGTCACCTTCGGCAGCGCCGCCTCGCTCGCTCGCTCGCTCGCTCCCGGCCGGGAATCTCCTCCTCGGGCTTCGCCGCTCGGCTCCGGGGCGGGAGGGGGACCCGCGCTTGGCTCCTGCCGGGGCGGGCGCGCGCGCGTGTCTTTGGCAAGCGCCGCCTGCCTCTTCGGGCCGCGGCCTCTTCGCCCTTCGCCCGGCTCCGCCGCCGCCGCCTTTTCCTTCGTCCCTCCCGGTTGTTTGAATTTGGCGCCCGGAGAGCTCGGTCCGCGTCACGTGACGCGCCGGGACCAATCGGCATCGGGGCAGAAGAAGAGCGGAGGACGTCAGGGTGCCTTGGAACGGGGGCGGGGCTTCGGCGGGCTGTGGGCGGAGACAAGGCCGCGCTCCGGAGCGGGGGCTTCGAGGGATCCCTCCGAGATCGCGGTGCGTCTGGGGGGACCCTCGGGGAGGGGGCCGCGGCAGGAGCCTCTAAGGAGGCTGCGGGCCACATGCTCAGCCGAAACAAGGAGGGAGAGAGCATCAGGGGGTTGGGGCTGGGTGGCCATCAATATGCAGATGACACCCAGCTCTACCTCTCTTTTAAATCAGAACCAGTGAAGGTCCTGTGTGAGTGCCTGGAGGTGGCTAACAGATTGAGGTTGAATCCTGACAAGACAGAAGTACTGTTCTTGGGGGACAGGGGGCGGGCAGGTGGGGAGGACTCCCTGGTCCTGAATGGGGTAACTGTGCCCCTGAAGGACCAGGTGCGCAGCCTGGGAGTCATTCTGGTCTCACAGCTGTCCATGGAGGCACAGGTTAAATCCATGTCCAGGGCAGCTGTGTATCAGCTCCATCTGGTACGTAGGCTGAGACCCTATCTGCCTGCGGACTGCCTCGCCAGAGTGGTGCATGCTCTGGTTATCTCCCACTTGGACTACTGCAATGCGCTCTGTGTGGGGCTACCTTTGAAGGTGACACGGAAACTGCAGTTAATCCAGAATGCGGCAGCTAGACTGGTGACTGGGAGCGGGCGCCGAGACCACATAACACCAGTCCTGAGAGATCTGCATTGGTTCCCAGTACGTTTCCGAGCACAATTCAAAGTGTTGGTGCTGACCTTTAAAGCCCTAAATGGCCTCGGTCCATTATACCTGAAGGAGCGTCTCCACCCCCATTGTTCTACCCGGACACTGAGGTCCAGCACCGAGGGCCTTCTGGTTGTTCCCTCACTGAGAGAAGCAAAGCTACAGGGAACCAGGCAGAGGGCCTTCTCGGTAGTGGCGCCCGCCCTGTGGAACGCCCTCCCACCAGATGTCAAAGAGAAAAACAGCTACCAGACTTTTAGAAGACATCTGAAGGCAGCCCTGTTTAGGGAAGCTTTTAATGTTTAATAGGTTATGGTATTTTAGTGTTTTGTTGGAAGCCGCCCAGAGTGGCTGGGGAAACCCAGCCAGATGGGTGGGGTATAAATAATATATTATTATTATTATTATTATTATCATCATCATCAGGGCTGCCAGGGAACCAAGGGGGGCAGATGGGTTGGAGAGGGGCCCCCCTCAGTTTCTTAAAAGAAAGTTAAGAATCAGGAGCATAGCTGTCAACTTTTCCCTTTTTTTAAGGGAAATTCCCTTATTCCGAATAGGATTCCTCGCAAGAAAAGGGAAAAGTTGACAGCTATGATCAGGAGCGTCAGAAGGCACCCAAGGGAGCGGGGTCCACCGTATTAAAAATAAATTCATTTTTGTGGAGATTGTTGTGGTTGAGCTAGAACACAAAAAGATCTCAAGCAAACAATTGATGGCAGAAGCGCACTGTTTTTCTCTCTGCAGGTCTAGAAGCAGATTGTCCTACTCTAAGGAGCGCCATTCGGTTTTTCCCCGCTGACATCGGGGGACACCATGAAGCTGAACATTTTATTCGAAGCTGTTGATGCCTCCAAAGAGGAGGCGTGTAAGCAAAGGATGGAAAGGAGAGCTCTTGTTCACTGAGGCCCCCAAAGAGGGCCTTGTGTACCCCTATGGGACGCCACTTCATCCAGGGGGCAGTCCAAGATGTGTACCCACCAAACCAGTAAATCAGATTGGGAGTACTTGGGTATGGTCTTCTTGTCTTTTTCTTTATATTGTGGGGATGTACTGTTAATGCACAATTGCAGCGCTTGCTTGGTGTCCTCACTGTTTTCTGTGCTCTGTGTTCAAAAGCTCACTATCCTGCCCTTGCCTTGCAAAATAAGACCACAAGTTATTATTATCATTTTTTTAAAGCTTGCCTGCCCATATTTCCTTGGAAAACCCAGCTCTTGTTAATTATTCTTATCTCTCTTTACCTGTACAACTATTGCTTTAGATTATTTTGGCCTACAAAATAGTTTAAAACTGTTTCATACCCCCAAATTCTCTTTCAGCCCTGGAGGCAGTTATTTCAGTGGAATTCTGTCCATAAAACATTTCAAACTTGACTCTGTTTCAACATTTGTATCAGAAGTAGGTTCTTGACCACTAAGCAGATGCCAAGTATTTTATGGTGCTGTGCGACGCTGATTTTGTTGCAACAGACTTAACATAACTGTCTGTCTGGAAATTGCCAACAGAAGACAAGGCAGAGCTCGGCTTGCAGCTATGAAACCATTACGGTGCTTATTTTGCTCATAATTCTGGCAGTTTGGTGCCTTACTTCTCTTCATCAGAGGGAAATAATAAATAAAATAATAAGGTAACAATTGCATGCACATTTACTTGGATGTAGCCTCTTGAACCCAGTGAATCTTACTTTTGAGAAAATATGCATAGGATTACTGTAAATCACATGCATGAGATTTGGTTTTTTTTAAAAAAATCTGGATATTTAGAAAATGAATATAAATACAATATAATGTTTGCACAACCCTTTCTAGCAATTTCCAAAGAGGGATTGGATATCAATGAGAAAATGGTATCAGTAATCGGAGCTGATAAGCCAATCCCTACCTCTGCCCATTTATTAATGGCTCCACTTTTGTACTTCCATTTTGTGACTGAGTAATTACATGGGCCCTGGGGGTAGAAAGTTTGGGAACCCTTGATTTAGAATATGCATAGCAAAGGGATAAATGAAGCATTTATCCATCATTTCCTAATTTCTTACACTGCCTTCAACTGTAATATGGAGATAATACAGACTTATGTTTCAGAACTATTGCAAATATTACTAAGAGTGTACATTAAGGTATTTGAAATAGGGATGCTTGTGTTAGCTTATTATTATTGCTTATTTTTCTCAGATAATTCCACAGTTTGAGAGTGCCAGATCACTGGGTCTCCAGAGGTGGTGCCACGGTTCCCCAAACGTGAAAATAAAGGATACCAACCATGCCATCCCTGTGGTGGCAGGAAGGCATTGGAGGCCTGCAGCCTACAAGTTTTCTCCACTAATGTTTGAGAATGCAAAAACAGAATCCTGTGCTGTGGGGACTTCAGAACACCCTTTGGACTTTGGTGGACAAGCAGGAAACTTTGAGACATGCTGTAACCAGCCAAGACCTCTTCCTACTGCAGCTTCCATCAGGCCTACAAGCAATTCTAGGGCTGGGATGGAAAATCCTTGTCCCTGCCCCTTATCTCCTTATGCTGACCCAGTTGCATTCAGCCCACCAGAGAGATGCACTCCAGAACAGCCTTCCATTGAGGCCCATAATTATTGTCTGCCCCAGATGGATAGCTTTACTCCTGGCCCATTTAGTAATCATGTTGGTGAGGATATTTCTAATGACTTTGAGGCTACATCTGTGCTGGTCGAGGACACTCCTGAGGACGAATATGGAGTTAAGGTAACATGGCGGAGTCGATCTCTCTTAATGAAATACCTCAGAGAAAAGGGAATGCTGAGCACCAGCGACGTCTTAGTGAAGACACAAATGAGTGCAGTGCTTACTGAGGCCAAAGATAGCTAATGGTTTTGAAAGAGCAATCTCTGTTTGTGGTGTGTTCATCCAGTCCAAACAGATTTTGCAGGTTTTTATAGTTTAAAAAATGCAAACGTGTTTGCCTAGAAGTGACAGCTGGATACCAAAAGCAGCAAGGCCTCTGTCAAAAACTGCTTTCAGTACTTCTAAACCTGGAGTGGAAAAATAGATTGAACAAAAGGTTTTTGTGTATGATAAGCTGTCTAAATAATTTTAGAAGGTGGTATACTTGCAAGATAACGCACAGGAGCATTTTATAAATCAATCAAAGCAAAAAGCTCTGGTGTTTCTGGAAAGACATTCCTTATTGTACCTCCCCTAGTTTAAATGAATACAGTACCGAGTTATTTCTGTATTCAGTGACTTCACTACTGATTTCTGCCATGACTTCAGTATGGAGACAGACAGCAGTGTTGTATAGTTTTTACTGCCTCTGTTATGCTTCATGTAGGAAATTACCCTGATTTACTTAGAGCAGTGCTGGAAGGAATTACTTGTTCATGCTTTTGTGCCTTTGCTGCTCTTGGAAAGAGGGAGGGCATGGGGGAATGCCTGTTTATATTTTTCATTAGACCAGTCAACACAGGCATGTTTTGGGTTATCTCATTCTTTGTATATATTCATGGAGGATGCTTAATGCAGATTTTCTATATTAAGCTATTTTATGATTAATTGCTTCATCCTTCAGCAAAATTAGTCTGTGGGACAGTATGGCGTAAAACAACATAGCTTTTGATTCTGGAGGACATGAGTTTGCACAGCTGGGGGAGCCCAAGCACCTTTTATTTATTCAGTCGGGGGGCGGGCGGGCAAAGAGTCAATATGAACTTAAAACATGGAACCCCATCCCACATATTTACCACTCCCTATAACATCATACAAAGCTTAGTGATTATTTTGTGTTTTTTAAAAAATACCCTAATAAAAGCATTGTCCTGTCAGTGTGGTTATTAAAAAATGCAGTGACAAACATTTTATTAATAAAGCAGTTTGCTTTACAACTTAATTTTTGCGGCCCTTTAAATCACAAAATCCTAAATTATTTCCTCAGGCCAAGTGTTTGGCATGCTGCTTTATGGTGGTGAGTCATCGATAACTTACATCCACCAGAAGCAACAGCTCATTGCCTTCCACATGCACTGCATCAGGAAGCACCGTAGAGACCAACTAAGTTTCTCATTGGTATGAGCTTTCGTATCTGAAGAAGTGTGCATGCACACGAAAGCTCATACCAATAACAAACTTAGTTGGTCTCTAAGGTGCGGGTGCTAGGACTTGCCGATCAGAAGGTCGGCGGTTCAAATCCCCGCGACGGGGTGAGCTCCCGTTGCTTGGTCCCTGCTCCTGCCAACCTAGCAGTTCAAAAGCGCGTCAAAATGCAAGTAGATAAATAGGTACAGCTCTGGCGGGAAGGTAAACGGAGTTTCCGTGTGCTGCTCTGGTTCGCCAGAAGCGGCTTAGTCCTGCTAGCCACATGACCCGGAAGCTGTACGCCGGCTCCCTCGGCCAATAAAGCGAGATGAGCACCGCAACCCCAGAGTCGGCCACGACTGGACCTAATGGTCAGGGGTCCCTTTACCTTTTTAAGGTGCTACTGGAAGGAATTTTTTTATTTTGTTTCGACTACGGCAGACCAACACGGCTACATACCTGCATCAGGAAGATTTGGGGCACCACGTGGTAGGATAGAGTCTCAAAGAAAGATGTGCTCTTCTGAGCCCACATTCCCAGCATGTTCGCACTCCTGTCTCAGTGATGTCTGTGCTGGCTGGGTCATGTCCACAGAATAGAAGATGGCAGGATCCTGAAGGATGTGCTCTATGGGGAGCTGCTTCATGCACCAAGCCTGTTGGCAGATCAACTCGATGTTACAAAGATGTCTGCAAATGTGACATGAAGGCTGGCAACGTTCACCTTGCCATGTGGGAATCCCTTGCAGACAATTGTAGTTCCTGGAGGCAGCCAGCTAAGGTTATTGGCAGAATTAAGAAGACATCTACTGAATCCTCAAACTTGCCTTTAGCAATAGAAGGTTGCCCCACATTAGTTTGAAGGAGTGGCTTTAAGGAGGTGTAGTTTGAGGAAATGGAGGCGCCCAAGGGCCCCCAGAAACCAAGAGCTGGCCACAAATTTTGTGTAAATCAAATTTGACGTATGCGGGTTCATATTTTGTAAATAATTAACTTGGGGAGGGTCATGTAGAAAATCCTAGGTACAATCCCTGACGTTGCCAGTTAGAGTTGGGGGTGAATCCTGCTTGAAAACCCCAGGGAACCACTGCCTTTTAGTGTCAATTACAGTTGTGCCTTTGTTTTCGAACAGCTTAGTTGATGAACAACATGGAATTTGAACACTGCAAACCTGGAAGGAGGTGTTCCAGTTTGCAAATTTTGTCTCGGAAGCTCCTGCAGCCAATTGGAAGCCATGCCTTGGTTTCCGAACATTTCTGAATGCATTCTGTTAGAAAACCAAGGTATGACTGTATACTGAATTAGACAGGCCAGGAAGATCCTGCCTTGGGACTATGTTGAAGGGTGGGTAAGAAATTGAATTCATGATGTTGGCAGCTATAGCTGGTGTCTGGTGGACCTGGCAGGGGGGCTTATGGGTCACAGGGATGGGGTCAGTTCTGGTTTTCTCCCTTGCAGAGGAAAGAAGAGCAAGGCATAAGGCACCAGCTGGGCTGCAGGAGTTGCCAGAAGGAGGCCTACAAAATGCCGCCCAACCGTCTTAGGGACTCTGCTCTGCATCTGTGTTACTCGGGAGCCTTTTCTTCTCCCGAAGCCATCCCACAAGGCAGCGGAGGTTTAGAATCAGAGTTCTCCTCGATGGGCTCCCTCCCAGGGGGATGAGCCCCATCGGCCCCTCACTTCCCAATACAGCATGTGCACAAACAGTTCCATCTGGATCTCGTCCGCTCCATCTGCCGGAGCCTGTCTTCTGACACAGGGGAAAGTCCCTCACTCACCGAGGGTTTGAGACCCATTGGCTCTCCTCCCCTGGTTCCCCGGCCTCTTCTCCCTCTGACTGCTTCTCCTTGTCCCCCCTCCACTCCCTGGGCTCTGAGACGTCTTCCCTTTCTGGTTGTCCAGCTGCTTCCTCCCACCATTCTTCTGTGCCCAACCAGTCCATGAGATCGTTCCACCCCTTGGCCTCTGTCCCCACAAGGCAGCTTCCCCCTACCTGATCTGGTCCCACAGCCACTGCTTCCCTTCTGCCCCCATGAAAAGATGGAGAAGGAGGTCTTGTCGGCATCATTCTGTCACCTGCAAGAGAAAAAAGGTAAGCAGGATGCCAGGAGTGCCTGCTTCTCTCACAGATGAAACAGGGCATCTCTAACTACAGATGGGCTTCTGAGAAAGTCTTACCTGCTGAGTGCATTTGGATATTGGCCTCTCTCTGGCGTCCAGTGGAGCCCGAGGTCCGCACTACCTATAAATCTTCAATGATGATGTCATCTAGATGGAAGAGAATGAGAATGAAAATGAGATTTTCCGACAGGCCTTTAGTCAAAGGGTGCTGTCTCCAAGGTGTGGGGCTTACCTTCTTTCGGCTTCAGGCAGAAGCAAGCCAGGTCCGGCCGAACTACTGTCATCTGCAGAGGAAAGAAAAATCGGGGTCAGATGGGGGCAAGAGAGCACAGAAGCAGCGCCAAGCCAGGAAGGACGGGTCTCCCTCTGTCTTGGGCCCAATCCCTTGTTCCAGAGGACCTCCCTGGGCCCTGCAGCCTCCTGGGCTGGGCAGCAGCAGGAAAGGAGGCAGGAAAAGCCTCTGGCCTCATCCTGGCCCCCAGGGACACACACCACATCTGTGTTAAAGATCACTTGGGGATGTGATCTGGGGGGGGGGGGGGTTGGAAGTAACCAAAGAAATGAATAGAAGAAGGCAAGGTAATTACTCTGAGGTTGGGGGATTTCCGGGCAATGGCCAGCAGCAAGGAAATGCTGCTGGCCACTAGTTCTTGAGCCTCCCCACTTCCCCCCAGGGCATATCCTCAGAGGTCCTGCAGGAGGAAAGAGCGTTTCAGAGTCAGGGGCCAGTCTGGGCCAAAGCGGGCCCCCCACTGCCCCCACCACGGAGTCCCTGGCACTTCTGGACCCTGAGGGTTTGCCAGCTTTGGTCTTGGACCAAATTGGGGGCCAAACAGGCTCTGTGCCCCAGAAATGGGGCAGACCGTTGGGTAAGGGATGGGAGGGACAACCCTAAAACCACCCCGATGCCATCAGGGCACTCACACTGAGAAGCTGGAGGAGGGTGCCAGGGTTTGGGGCTTCCATAAGGAGACTCCCCAGCAGGAGCTAGAAGTGCCTTTTCAGTTCCTGTGGGAAAAGAGAGAAGAGAGTTTGAATGCTGGGTTGGATTCTGCAAGTGTGTGACGAAGAAGAAGAAAGAGCCTGTGAAGGGAAGTCAAAACAAAGGACATACTTCTCTCTCCTCCTTGGCCCCTTTCAGCACGGCCTCCAAGGTCCTCTGCAGGATTGCACTGATCATATTGCAGCTGAATTTGGGCCTCATCCTGCTGCAGAGATGAAAGGGAGAGGGTTAGAGTCTCCTTTGCCCCCTTCTCCCTCCCGCCTGCTCTTTCCCCCTGGAGTTCTGCCCCCCACCCACAACCCCATCCACGCCAAAGACCCCACTCACCTTAGCTGGAGGAGGGCCTCCAAGGCAAGGGCCAGGGTCAGGGGGCGATGCCTGAAGTGCTCCAAGGGCCCCAGGATGTCCTGGAAGAGAACAGAGGAGGAAAATCAGCTCCCACTCCAAACTCCAGGCTTGGCTTTGCAGGGAAATGGCAACCCCATGGCCTAAGCCGGCAGGCTCCTCCTCTCCGCAGATGCACAACCCTTTCCACCCACACCCCCCATCACTCACCAGAATGGCTTGGGCCGTCTCCTGCTTGGAGCACTTCAGGGATCGGAGCCCCCTGAGCTCAGCTGCCTGGCAGCTCTGGATGACCCCCAGGAGGTAGCGCTGTTCATCCTCCAGCAGCTGAAATGCAAAAGTCAGGCTTTCAGTTCCTCGTGAGGGGAGGGCTTCTCCGCATTTGAGAGTGCAGAGTGGGGGGCAAAGAGCCCAGGGGGTAGGTCTGAGGAATCCAACCCTGCTCTTGTTTTCTCCAATATTCACCCCTGGGGCTGGGATACGGAACCGCAGCAGAACTGCAAACAGAAGGACATGGGGACAGGTGAGTCCGTCCCTGAGCACCTGGCAAAGCTATTCCAAGAGTTCTCTCCTGGATTCCAAGCGTAGTTCTGTGCAATGTCTCTACACATTAGGGATTGAATAACCCTTTTTTGAGTTTTGGCACAAGTGTATTTGAGACCCCGACACCAACGGAATGAGAAAGTGTTAAGTTGTGAGTTGACATAGCAGACGACACAGCAATTTCTCCAAAGCAGCTCTTTATTTTGTAAGCTGGAACAGAACTAAGCTGAGGAGCTCAGTCAGCCTGCTTATATAGAGCTACAGAACAATCGTAACTGTTGCAACGTTCTAAAACTATCCAATCACTGAACGTCACTTTTCGATCCTTCATTTGCATACAAAACTATCCAATCACTGAACGTCACTTTTCGATCCTTCATTTGCATAACTATCTACAGTATCCCCCTGCTGGCCCAGGGTGAGAACTTCAGTACATAACACCCCTCCCCACCGAGATAAGGCGTTACAGTGGTGCCTCGCAAGACGAAATTAATCCGTTCCGCGAGTCTCTTCGTCTTGCGGTTTTTTCGTCTTGCGAAGCACGGCTATTAGTGGCTTAGCGGCTATTAGCGGCTTAGCGGCTATTAGCGGCTTAGCGGCTATTAACGGCTTAGCGGCTTTAAGAAAAAGGAAACAAACTCGCAAGAACTCGCAAGACGTTTCGTCTTGCGAAGCAAGCCCATAGGGAAATTCGTCTTGCGGAACGACTCAAAAAACGGAAAACTCTTTCGTCTTGCGCGTTTTTCGTCTTGCGAGGCATTCGTCTTGCAAGGTACCACTGTAGTTACAATCGTAATGGTTTCCTTATATACAGCACTACACGTAATGGTTCAATTAGGCACAAAAGCATATCGGTTACATTTCCCATACTTAGACCAACAGTGATACATGTCCAACAACATAGTCCTTTAAATAAGTTGGGCGCTTGGAAACTCTGCCAGACCGCCGGGGACTGGAAGCCAAGTCCGGGGGGCCACACAATTCTTGCTGAGGCTGTGGTGCGACCCTAGGTGGCGTTGAAACCAAATCCCCTGGATCCGCTGCTGTGGGTGGAACCTCCGCAAGTGGAGTTGGCGGAATGTCAGGCACGGCAGTGGTCTGAGTCTGTGGTAAGTCTGGCAGACCCTCTGAAGTGGCTTGGTTCGGCTCCACGCTGGCAGTTTGCGAGGGAGGTGTAGGTGGAGCCTCACCATCTGTAAGTGTCTCTTCTGGAGCCACGAGCGCAGTTGGGGGCACCACGGTAGTGTCCAAGTCCCCAACCCTGCGCCTAAGCTGGTCTATGTGCCGGCGCCATAAGCGTCCGTCTTTGAGTGCCACCTGGTAAGAGCGAGGTCCAGTGACTCCCACTACTGTGGCTGGCACCCAAGGAATGTCCCCCACATAGTTCCGGGCAAAGACCTGGTTTCCTGGAACAAATGACCGTGGCACGTTGGCACAGCCTGGGGGTTCGGCCACGGCAAAGTCCGGGTGCAGCTGGTCGAGTGGTGACCTGAGGCGGCGGCCCATAAGCAGTTCAGCAGGACTCCGCCCTGTGGCACGAACAAGTATTCGGCGACCCGCTCGTGCCAGTCTCCCCGGTTCAGGCGCGCCAGTGCCTCTTTTGCCGAGCGCACCATTCTCTCCGTGGGCTGCTGGACATGCGGATCTCCTGGCGGAGCGTTCAGCAGCTTTTCAGTCTGCACAGGAGACAGCTTTACTTTAAAAGATTTAGAGAATAAGGCACTCATTTCAGTCTGCACAGGAGACAACTTTACTTTAAAAGATTTAGAAAACAAGGCACTCATTTCAGTCTGCACATCCGCTCTTGTATAGTAAAAGTATCTCTTTCCCATCCAACCCAAAATTGTTTTAATGCATTTCACTTTATAATTGCACTACATAAATGGCTTTCATCTTCTTATTTTCTCTATACAGGGAGGTTTTAAAAAAATATTTGAACATTGATGTTACTCATAATGCATGTTCTCATGTCATCTAAGGACATTGATGTATCGGAAAAGGAAGTATTTTAGGAGTAGCTTAAGTTGTGTGGTTGCTTTATGTATTGACCTGCTTTTATGGCACATTTCTGTCCTTAAAGACACCGTTTGGTTTTAAGCTACATCTTACCAATAACATCCCTGAATGAGGGTTCATGTGCATCATTATAGTCTAGTTTCAAAGAGAGCCTTGGCTCCTTCATGAGAAGGAAAAGATGTATTTGGTCTTTTTTTCTCTTTCCTTGTTATATTTATTGTTAAGAACAATTCAAATTGTATTAATTAATGAGGTTACTCGGGTTGGAGATGAAATGACAAGAGACCAACCAGATAGAATTCAAAACACAGCAGTGGTTACACCTGATCCTTTATTGCAAAATACAGAGTGCAGTTGCAACAGGGGTTGCATTGTATACAGCCAGCCCTCTAGGTAAGTTTCCCTTTCCACTCACCTACGTTCCCAACGTCCCAAATGCAACCAAAGCAATGAACACAAACACCTTGGAGGACGGAATCAGTGTCGGAGCAGATGCATGTGAAGCCGTACGTCCAATGTTCAAGATTCATAGCTTTGGTGGAACCCTCCCACAATCCCATACCTACTTCAGCACTATCCAAATGTCTCACAGTCTTTCCCCATTGAGACAAAATGTAAGTTCTGTTATGGCAAGTGAGGCGGTTCCACTGAAGAAAGCCCGTCCCATGGTGAGATAGGTGTCAGTTTGTATTAACAGTTCCCATACTTGAGTATTCTGTCACTTGGGTCGAAAGGGATGGCGAAGAAGGGACCAGTTACGCCTGATCCTTTATTGCAAAATATAGAGCGCAGTTGCAACAGGGGTTCTCGCTCCTAATCATCCAATGTGGTATGGAGAAAGAACCCTGAACAAAAGGAAGGCACGGCATTTTATACTTTTCTTACAGCACCATATGTTTTTTATAATTCTCATTACTACAGGATTTTTTATAATGATGGGGGGGGGGGTTGCCCCTCCAGCACGCAGTATGCATCCCCCCTTTGTTCACACACGCAATGTCTCCTCAGAGCACCACATAACACACGACACCACCAATTTTCAACGTTGTTCTGTTCAGGAAGGAAATGGCTACCAAGGGGGGAGCTTGGGACATGAGTGAGGGCAGCTATAATCCCTAAATCTGCTGAGCTCAGGTACTCAGCAGCCCCTCTGCCTGAGTGATAATCTCTGGCATCCTAATACCTGAGTCCAGACAGGTAGCAATTCCAGAAGCAATAGCAAACCCAGATCAAGACAAAAGGGTGTGATCAACTTGGTTGGGAAACAAGGACATGTAAATATCTCTTCTGTATCACTTGATGGGTGTATGTTGGAGGTCAAGAGAAGGAACCTGATGCTCAGGTTTCTGTCGCCAGACCCTCCCAATGTGTGATGTATTTGTGATGTATGGATGATGTAATTTTAGGGGTGTTGTGGGTATCTTTGTAAAACTGATAAAAGTGGGAGCCATCCTTTGTTGTGGGCTTCTTCCTGCTGCTTCTGTGGGGTGGGTGGAAGTCCTGTTGCAACAAGTCATTTGAATAAAGACCAGGCCTACTGGCTGCTGTTTTGGTCCTATATTCCTGGCTGGTGTCTTTGCTTGGTAATCCAAGTGAGCCCAAGGATTTTCCTATAACAGGTAACATGTAGTGATAATGATGGTAATAATAGGATTATTAGACTTCATGCATCTGATGAGATAGTGGTCTGTGAAAGTTTCTCCCAAGTTAAAGGAGAGTGGAAATAACTTGAGAAGTCCCTCACTCACCTGGTTGCTCTTGCTGACAATGGAGGCAGCAGAATAATGCACTGCAGGGATGGGAGCATTCCTAGGGTTGGCGTCCTGCAGGGTGGGCTGAGGGGGCAGAGGAGTGGGTCAAGTTCGGGGGAGAACTCCGTGAGGAGGGGGATGCCTTCTGGGCCAGGGAGCCTATTCTGGGCTGCAAAGGGGCACGTCCCAGGGCAGGAGCAGCAGGCGGGGTGGGGTGGGGGTCAATTAATTGGTGTGTGCTCACTAAGAGACTTCTGCTGAAGAGGGGCATCACCAGGAGAAGATTCAATGGTCATCATGTGGAAAGAATGCATGGGAGATGACAGACATCCTGGTTCAAGCTCAAAGGGGAGTGTTATAAGAAAATTGTATTAATAAAGGTCAATCCCTTCCTTTTTTTATGTCTTCCCCCTTGTGCTGAACTATATCCTGTATTAAACTATACAATGTTGATCTTTTCCAAACTTGAATAATGTTTGTTCTGATGTACTTTGTACCAACTTGTTCTATATATATACAGTATACACACACACACACACACACACACACAGTGGTACCTCGAATTACAGACGCTTCAGGTTACAGACTCCGCTAACCCAGAAATAGTACCTCGGATTAAGAACTTTGCTTCAGGATGAGAACAGAAATTGTGCTCCAGCAGCGCGGCAGCAGCGAGAGGCCCCATTAGCTAAAGTGGTGCTTCAGGTTAAGAACAGTTTCAGGTTAAGAACGGACCTCCAGAACGAATTAAGTACGTAACCCGAGGTACCACTGTACTGACACCAGTGTCTGTTGACCCTGAGCGGTGGATTCCAGATTTTTGCAGGAATGGGTAACTTAGAAGCATTTTAAATAAGCACATACAGCCTGAATCAGTCTTAAAAGTGTCACAGAGGGCCATTGGGATGGGTGCCGATAAATTATCCTCCTCCAGCTTATTCACCGCTACGTCTTTCCAGAATGTGGAATAAGGTGTAGGGATATCCGGCATCCTAGGACCTCTCGGCTTATCGCGAAGGAAAATGCCATCAGAATTAGGAATAATGAACTCCAAAGATACAGCGAATGGTCGGAGCGTGCACGAAGTCCCGCTTTCTAGCTTGGCCCTGGCTGGCTTCACGCGGGGAGACGGGTGTGGGGAAATGGTCTGCGCTACAGCAGCCCTGCAGCGGAGTCCACCATTCGCGCTGAAGCTTCGGACGGCCAATACGGAATGCTCCCCGGGGCCACCACGGAGGCGCCTCCGAACCTGGCAAGCGAAGGGCGTTTTGCAGGCGACGGCAGGATTTTGCCCGGAAGAAGCAGCAGCGCCACCGCGGACGCCCCACTCCAGGCTGCCTGTCACGAAACCCCGCAACGCCCCCCTCCCCGCATCCCGCCCCCGCTCCCACCACAGCGGCCCCTCAAAAGAAAAGAGGCGCCTGCGCGGCCTCAGCGCCCGCCTCCCCTCGCGCGGCTGCCAATGAGAGCGCGGGGTACTCGGGGTCCTCGCCCAATGGCGCGAAGCTTCAGTGCCGCGCTCGGTTGCTAAGGAAGGAGGGCGGTTGCTGGGGAGCTGCGGCCTCACCTCTTGGGGTTCCCATGGTGATGACAGGATGGCGAGCGGCAGCGGGCTGATTTGCCCCAGCGCTGGGGCCAGGTAAGGCGGCCGCCCTTGCTGCCACCCTCCGCCCTCCTCGCCACGTATCCCGGAGGGGAGGCGGCCGGCTCAGGCGTCGGCCTCGCTCCCCCCCCCGTCCCCCTGGGTCGGGCTTGACCCCCCGGCTGCTTCAGCGCCGCCCGCCCTGACTGCGCCCCGTCCGCTTTTTGGCTGTTGCACCTATTTGTTAGATTTAAGGGGAAGTCTCTGAATGGATGGGGTGGTTGTTCCCCGTAAGGATTTGGGGAGGGTATGTAAACATCACGAGGCGTTATTTTATTTTCCAGCCTCTCTTAAGGGCCAAAGTAAGTAAGCCTCGAAAATGAAAACGTGCGCCACTAACTCAGCGCGCAACTGGTCGCTCGGGAAGTTAAAAGCGTCCCCCCTCCGCGCAGCCTCCGATTCCCCCCCTTTCAGCGAAACGCGGAGATCCCCCGTGCTTTGAAAATCCGAACAGGGGAGCTGCATCAATTGCACGGGGAATTTCCAGATTCAGGGAGTGGGAAGTGTGCGGCAAGAGAAGGAGAAGGGGCGAGGACGAGGGGGAGTTAGGGGAGGCGCAAGCAGGGTTCACAGCCCCCCTTAGTCCGAGGGGGTGGACACATGGGGGTAGCCAGGATTAATTTTAGGGGGGGCAGGCATTGTGGGGGGGGGGCAGAACCCAGTTATCTGTGACACATTTGGTCAGTTAACTATTTTTATTTATTTGCTTGACTTAGGGGGGGATAACTGCCCCCCTGCCCCCTCCTGGCTACACCCATGTGTAGACAAGCCCTTGCTTGCAGCCCTAACCAGGGCTGGCCCAACACATTTTGGCATTTGAGGTGAAACACAAAATGGTGCTCCCCTACTAATTCACATTAGAAACACGAAGGAATAAAGATCTACATTGTGATCTGCTGCCCTGAAGGTCTTGCTGCCAGAGGCCTCACTTTGCCTCATGGGTAGCCTGGCCCTGGCCCTAATTTTCTCTTTGTATAATCCCAGTTTCCAACATTCTGCTGTGCCTGGATGCGACCAAACACCAGAATTCAGGATAGAAATATAAATGTGGGATCAGGCTAGATTATTTTTGGTTGTTGCTGCCTGGGAGCAGCTTTAACCATTGACCTAACAGTGTACCTCTTTTTGGCTCGTTTTCTCCCATCCATGTGGTGATAGCAATGCTGTTTTCTGTAGTGAATGGGCTTTTGCACTCTCAAAGGCATGCTGTGAGTTTTGCCAGGCATTTCAAGGCTAGAGTCCCACAGATCAGACAGACTTTAGATGCCACAGTTAGACTTGTTCTAATAAGAGATGCCTAGAGTAATTTCTAGTGCAGCTGTAATGGATCTGTTTCGGTTGTTATGATCTCAGAATGTGCATAAGCTGCTTGAAGGAGTTTGACTGATCGCTTGCTCACTGGACCACTGTCCTCCTTTGGATCTAGCTGAGAGGGAATGGCTGGATGGATCCAGGAAGTGATTAATGTATCATTGTGGAAGAGTGGGGGGAGGTGCCTTGAAGGAGGCAGGGATGTGCCTTCTCCTCAAGCAGCCCTCCCTAGACCCAGAAGTGCTGAACAACTGTCACCAAGTTGCAAATATCATTTTCTTGGGAAAGGTGCTGACAAGGCTGGTGGCATGCAGGCTACAAGGATGCTTATATGCAAGTGATTAGAGAAGTTTCAGTCTGTCTTCAGGTGTGATCATGGCACTGAAACTTTTGTTGGGAATGGTATGGGGGAGTGTGACAATTTTGCATGCTTTCCTGTGGCTTTTGAAACCATTTTCCTGGGGCAGCTCTGTGACTTAGGGTTTGGGGGCACTACTTTTTGTTGACAGAAATTGAGTGCTTAGGGGTTTGCTGAAATGAGTAAATTTGATATAATTTGGATGCTTTCTTATGTAAACACAGGTGGTAATTTGATGCAACCTCTATTGGTTGCATCAAATCACTCAGTTCTAGAATTTAAACAACTCACCAGAGATAGTATTATTTGGCTGTAGTATATTTATTTGCCATGCAAGTATGGTATTGCTGTATCCTGTTTGTATTGTTTGTTCTGTTCTATGTGTTATGTAAAAGATTCAATAAAAATAAGAATTTCAAAAGTTGTGCATAATGGTGAAAACTTTAGGTCTTAGATACTAGAACAAAAACTTGGGTTGTTCATCCTACACTTGCATTAGTATGTTTGTGCTTGTTTCTGGAGAAACTTCAAAAGAATAAGAATAATTCTTATCATTTTTAAGCACGTGCTTTGCAATCTTATAGGGTAGGTTAGTGTCATCTCCATATTGAATGTGGCGTTGGGTGAGCAGAAGGAAAGTGGCTTAAGTAAGGTCGTGGCTAAGATGAAATTTGATCTAATAGTGTTGAGGTTTGCACACTAATTACAGTACTGTATTTTATTTTTACTGCTGGTGCTCAAACGCTGATGAAGGGTGGACTTAGAAATATAATTAATCAGTCAAAAATCTGATATATATGCTGCATATGTTGACAGATTTTGACTCTCTTTCCTGAACTATTTGTTACAACCACATTACTGCATGAACAGAAATGCTAATACTTCATTTCTCATCTTTCTCAGTGGCTTTGAGGATGAAGCTTTGAAACTTCGTCAGCTGAAACTGGAGAACCAGGTAATCAAAACCACAAGGCAGTGCCTGACAGGTATTGTAGTAGTGAAAATGAGTAATTGATTATCTCATGAATTTGGATCTTGCAACAAGCTCATCTAGTTACACCATGTTCTTTATTTTTGTAAATTCAGATAATTTGAGCAGGGTAAGGTAGAGTAAAATGTTTGTTTAAACTTGCATCATTAGTCAAAAGACTTTATTATATGGCTCTTTGTAAATTAAATAATTTATAGCCCCAGATGAAATTTGTTTGTTTAAACTTGCATGATTAGTCAAAAGTACTTGAAAGTACTGCATTGGGCATTACATATAACATTGCAGGAATTCCTAAGATCTATTGCTGAGGCTAATAAATGAGCGTATTCCTTGACAGAGAGCTCTTCTGGAAAAGAAACAGAGGAAGAAGCGTCTTGAACCCTTGATGGTGCAGCCAAATCCAGAAGCAAAGTTGCATAAGGTGAAGCTCAAAGGGTCTGAGGAGCAGAGCCCTTTAGTAGGACCCCATGTGCCTGTTTGCAGTGATGTTCACCTCCATGGTGAGTGAAGTCTTTGTAATTGTTAAACGTTCTTTTACTTTCAGTAATCCCCTGAAATAAGCACTATCAAATTCATGAGAAGTTGGCACTCTAAAATATTAAGTACTGTATTTACAGATGTGCTTGTCAATCCTGTAGCAAAATGTATAGCTAACTATTTGTCGCGGTTGAAACAGACATGTTGAAACAAACTAAGCTGCTATGCAAAATGCAGCTCTCCCTGGAGTTTACAGCAGGTGTTATGTGAGGAATTCCAATTGTATACAGTGGTACCTTGGTTTACGAACTTAATCCGTTCTGAAAGTCCGTTCTTAAACCAAGGTGCGCTTTCCCATAGCAGCAGGGGACTCAATTTACAAATGGAACATACTCATCAGGAAGCAGAACATGTTCTTATTACAAAGCAAAGTTCACAAACCAAAACACCTACTTCTGGGTTTGCAGTGTTCTTAATCCAAGTTGTTCATAAACTAAGCTGTTCTTAAACCAAGGTACCACTGTATTCTGTTTAAAAAGCATTCAAAATGGTGCATCATCGTTAGTGTTCTGTGTCAATTTTTTTTTTTTACTTCAGACAGTATGGCTGAAATTAGGTTATACAAACACCAGCCATTATTTGCTGTTGTGTCCATGTTTTCTATAGAATAATTGAATGTAGAATCAATAATTTTTGTAATCAAAGTATACAAATGTGATAACAGTTGATGAATGATTCTTCTTCCCCTTACTACTTATATGCTATAGATAATGCTTCTCTGTTGACAGACAAGACAACAGAAGGGGGTAGAGGAACATATAGTAGATCGTACCAGTGTGCATCATGGACATCACACTGGACACATGGTTATGAGTGTAGTCAGGTAAGAGACATATATAGGCAAGTTATCTACACTGTAGGGCAAGGTGATATTTAGGGAGGGGAAAATAATAATAATAATAATAATAATAATAATAATGTATTTATAACCCACCCATCTGGCTGGGTTCCCCAGCCACTCAGGGCGGGTCCCAACAGAATGTTAAACAGAATAAAACTTAAAACATTAAAAACTTAAAACATTAAAAACTTCCCTAAAGGGCTGCCTTCAGATGTCTGCTAAAAGTTGTATAGTTATTTATCTCCTTGACATCTGATGGGAGGGTGTTCCACAGGGCGGGCACCACCACCTAGAAGGCCCTCTGCCTGGTTCTCTGTAACCTCACTTCTTGCAGTGAGGGAACTGCCAGAAGACCCTTGGAGCTGGACCTCAGTGTCCAGGCTGAATGATGGGGGTGGAGACGCTCCTTCAGGTATATTGGGCCGAGGCTATTAAATATAGTTTATATTTCTATATCACAGCATATGGATTGCTCTTATCCAGTCATTGCTTGAGAAGTCATTGGTTCACAAATGTTGGTGGTTGTGTACTTTGGATAGCTTGAGTTCTGTTTGTTAGAGGACTATCTGGGCAAGATCAGTTGCTGTAACTTTAGGCAATTATGCATTCTAACAACATGGTTTCCTTATGGAGATTCCAGTGCTCCAACAGGGAAGGTATGACAGGATGCAGTAACCTCTGAAAAGCATGGCAAGTAAGAAATATTTATGTTGTTGGTGGGCAGGGTTCAGTGAAGTTGAAGGGACTTAAAACATTTGTAATTGTATTCTTCTTTTGTCACCATGGTGGTAGAGCCAAGTGGCCATCTGGACTAGGGGAAACAAAGAGTGATGTATATTTAGTACAGTCAATAGACCAACAATAAAAAAGCATACAGTACACAAGAATCTTAGAGCAAAACCGTGCAGTGTAAAAACAATAATATAAAACTGCAGTACTCTTGAGTGCAAGCTCAGAGAACAATATTATGGGGTGATAGTATATAGTAAATCTAACTGAGGAACCATTGTGTGCTTTTGAATAACCTCCAAGTTTCCCAGAGAGATTTGACCCACTTTATTTTCCCTTTCAACTTTTTTTATACCACCCCCCCGCAGTTACTGGAAGTTTCCACTTTTGAAGTAAGATGTGACTGTGTTAGATTTTCATTGCCTGTCCACGTATATTTCAGATTTGATGGTTTTATCAATGTGCATGATTTTTGAAGAGAGACAAATAGCTCAATGTAAACATTACAGAATAGATGATATCCTCTTAAAATAAATTTACATTTAAAAAAAACAACAACCATGAATAGAACAGCACTTCTGAAACCTGTTTGAGACAACAAACTCAGAATCACAGAATTGTAGAGTTGGAAGGGACCCGCAAGAGTCATCTACTCCAATCCTCCACAATGCAGGAATCACAGCTAAAGAATCCCTGGCAGATGGCGAGCCAAGCTCTATTTAAAAACTTCTAGTGAAATGAAATTACTGTGAAATAAACCAGAGAAGGAGGTTGAGGGAAGTCCGGGGGAATGGGGGAATTTTGAAATTGTGAATAATAATAATTGTTATGATGTAATTTTGGAAAAAATGGAAAATTGAATAAAATTTATATTTTTAAAAAAACTTCCAGTAGAGTCCACCGCCTTCCAAGATAGTCTATTGGACAGTTCTTACTGTCAGAAAGTTCTTCCTAATGTTTAGTCAGAATCTCCCTTTTTGTAACATGAATCCATTGGTTTGGGTCCTACCCTCCGGAGCAAGCTTTATCTCTCTTTCATATGACAGGCCTTGAGATATTTGAAGATGGCTAACATATCTCCTCTCAGTCTCCTCTGTTCCAGACTAAATATACCCAGCTTCTTCAACTGTTCCTCATAAGGCTTGGTTTCCAGACCCTTGATCATCTTCCAACTTGTCAATATCTTTCTTAGATGCTGGTGCCCAGAACTAGACACAGTTCTCTAGGTGTGGTCTGATCCAGGCAGAATAGGGCTAGACTATTGCTGCCCTTCATCACGACACTATACTTCTTTTGATGCAACCTACAATTGAATTAGGGACGTGGGTGGTGCTGTGGGTTAAACCACAGAGCCTAGGACTTGCCGATCAGAAGGTTGGCGGTTTGAATCCCCGCGACGGGGTGAGCTCCCGTTGCTCGGTCCCTGCTCCTGCCAACCTAGCAGTTCGAAAGCATGTCAAAGTGCAAGTAGATAAATAGGTACTGCTCCGGCGGGAAGGTAAACGGCGTTTCCATGTGCTGCTCTGGTTCGCCAGAAGCGGCTTAGTCATGCTGGCCACATGACCCGGAAGCTGTACGCCGGGTCCCACGGCCAATAAAGCAAGACGAGCGCCACAGCCCCAGAGTTTGCCACACCTGGACCGAACGGTCAGGGGTCCCTTTACCTTTAACTTTTTACAATTGAATTAGCCCTTTTTGTTGCTGCATCACAATGTTGTCTCACATTAAGTTCATCTGCTCAATGACATTGAAGACTTTCAAGCATTTTGAGTTCTCTTTCACGGTCAGGCTGTTCAGGTGGTCACCAACAATATGGGTACCCTTTGTCTTCATCTATATAGAAGATAGTACAAGGTTGCGGACCTTGCAGCCCTCACACTGCATTTGTGAAATGGGTGCATGCTCGGATGCATAGTTCTGACGGTGGTGCATCTTGCTAGCATCAATTCTGTGACAGACGTTATTGCCCAGTTGCTTGTTCTCACAAGTGGGTACCTGCCCCCGGGTGGTCTGCGTCATGCTTCACCCTTGGGATACACAATGTTTGGCAACCTCCAGGAACAGGCGCTGCTTGTTGATGAGATGTTTTCTGAAGCATTTTTTTAAACTTCTACACACCCACCCCGTTTCTTTATGATCCCCTGAAAATCTGAAGCCTGTTGGGAGGCCTTGCTCTCTTAATGGCTCAACCCCTATTTGCCAACTTATAAGGTAGCTTTCCTTATTGCCATCACCCCTGTAAGAAGGACGAGTGAACTTTGTGTGCTACAGTTGAACTGCTGTTGGAGATGTCCTTGGATATCTGGCAAACCCTTGCCTTCTGTGTGGGCAGGACTGCAAACTGTAAGAAAAATCATGGCTATTTCTCTGCTATGAAGGTCCTAGGAATTGGTTTCCAGTCTCCCTCCAGATCCTTCCCTGCTAGATTTCATCAACCATGAGCTCTACTCTGAACTGACTCAACTCCTAGTGCCTTTGGTTGTGCGCACATGCTCAAGGGAAGTCATGTTTTCCACAGCTTTTTCTCAGGGAATTCTCTGGGCAGAACTCTTGCTGCGTCACTGTCTGATTGCAGGCCTCAGCACTACAGGGTTGATGTTTAAGCATAGGTGGAGACCTGTTTCAGACAGGTTGCAATGAGCTTGGGAGCCAGGGTGGTGTAGTGGTTAAGAGCGATAGACTCATAATCTGGGGAACCGGGTTCGCGTCTCTTCTCCTCCACATGCAGCTGCTGGGTGACCTTGGGCCAGTCACACTTCTTTGAAGTCTCTCAGCCCCACTCACCTCACAGAGTATTTGTTGTGGGGGAGGAAGGGAAAGGAGATTGTTAGCCGCTTTGAGACTCCTTAAAGGGAGTGAAAGGCGGGATATCAAATCCAAACTCTTCTTCTTCTTCTTCTCTGTGGCCTTTTGGAGCACCTTTCTCACTTCCCTGGTTACTCAGCCTGTCATATGTAGGGTTGTGCAGAGGCCACACATACACAAAAGGCTGCTTACACATCACTGTGGTTCTTTAAAGTGATAGTGCGTGCAGTTGCCCAACCCACCTTCCTTGCCCGCTGCAGGTCCTGTCATCCTGCTCTTGCTCTACTGCTGCTTCCTCTTGCTGCTGTCCTTCAGAAATGGTTGGCAAGATAGGAGCCACATCCTTTTGAGTGTGCCCTTTAGGCGTGGGCTGCCCAACTAAACTCTTGTCTTCCTCTGGAAAAATTCTGAGTTTAGCTGCAGAACTAAACAAATGACCACTTGGCAAACCACAATTTTTCTAGAATACTCCAGTATGCTTCCATAATGGCATCTAGACTACTTGTGTAATTAGAAAATAACTGTACACCATATGCTTGAACCATTTCACTCTGGTTTGTAGGCTTTGATGGTCCAGCTATCTTCCTGAAACCAGAGATTCAGGAGTTGGGGCCTAAACTCCAGATAATTTCACTTGGATCATCCTCAACAGAAGATGACAGTGAGCCAAAAAAGACTGAGGAAAGTACAATAGATAAAGCTTCCAATGTGAATCTGCAAGACATTCTGCAGAAACGAGGTAAGAAATTGATCTAAAGAGCTGGTTCATGAACACTAAGCCCAAGGTATGGCTTAGCACAAATTACTTTTCCCCCCAGAGAGGTGAGAGTTTATTATTTATGTTGTGAAGCACCCTGTGATCTTTGGGTGAAGAGTGGTGTACAAATTTAATAAATAGCAAATAAATAATTATATTGTATCAAGCAAATACCGTATTTTTCGCCCTATAGGACGCACTTTTCCCCCTCCAAAAATGAAGGGGAAATCTGGGTGCGTCCTATGGGGCGAATGCAAGCTTCGCTGAAGCTTGGAGAGCGAGAGGGGTCGGTGCGCACCGGCCCTCTCGCTCTCCAGGCTCAGGAAGACATCCGCAGCCTAGGCAGCCCTGTGGGAGGTCCCGCAGGGCTGTCTAGGCTGCGGATAGCAGCCTGCTTCCTGGAGCACCAGGCGTGCTGAAAGCAGAGCGCCCGGCGCTTCGGGAACACATCTGCAGCCTAGGCAGCCCTTCAGGAGGTCCCCGCAGGGCTCCCCACGCTGTGGATAGCAGGCTGCTGCCCGGCGGGCAGGGCGCCCTGAAGCAGAGCGCCCCGCGCGCCGGGCAGACATCTGCAGCGTGGGGAGCCCTGCAGGAGGTCCCCGCAGGGCTCCCCACGCTGCGGATAGCAGCCTGCTGCCCGGCAGGCGGGGCGCCCTGAAGCAGAGCGCCCCTTGCGCCGGGCAGACATCGGCCAGCCCCACAAGCTCGGGGGACAGCAGGGAGGCGCAGTGCCGCCATCCTGCTGTTCCTTGACCTGGTTCAGTTTCCCCGACCTGCTTTTGGGGGGGAAATAAAGAAAAAAAAAATTTCCTTTATTCCCCCCCAAAAAACTAGGTGCGTCCTATGGGACGAAAAATACGGTACATAAATCCATGCACATCTAAGATGTTTTAAGGAGCAAGGCAAAAGGTTTTTTTAAATTACACACAAAATGCAATGGGTACTTACAGTGTAAGGAACAGTCGTGCAATGACGGGTTGCTTCTCTCCCCACAGCATCTCCTTCAGGCTGCTCTTCTGCTGCTGATGCCTATATCTGCTGCATGCTTAGGTTCCTTCCATACCCTAACTTCCAGAATTACCAAAACTTCCTTAAAAAATTGCATGAACCATGATGGAAATGGAAGGGTTAAACAATTCATTGACAATGAAAGTGTATTAGAATGTTGGGCAGGGAGAAGATGAATGTGTGACTACTGTATTTACTTTCAGTTTATGGCTCCAGCAGAGTACTTCCCATTTTGTATTCAAATTCTGAGAATTTATTCTAAAACGCTCCCCAGCCCACTTCTCCACTTTCTCACACTTATTTTACTTTCTCATTATGGAAAAGATTGGTAGTAAGTGGGTTTGTTTGCCTCATAATGTAATATTTTTTACTGTCGATTTTTTAAAATGCCAATTTAGTAAAAGGGGTTTTACCAACAGTAAGTTCTTTCTGAGGCATATGTAAAAACCTCTTATTTGTAATTTGAACATTCTGGAACAGCAAAATTTGTTTCATCTACTGTATGTGACAGCCTTTCAAGTATTTGAAGATGACTATCACATTGCCTCTTAATTGTCTCTTTTCCAGACTTAACATACTTGACTCCTTCAGCCTCCCCACCCCCACACAACTTGGTCTCCAGGCCTCTCAGAACTGGATATGGTATTCTGAGGCCAGGACTGACCAAAGCAGAAGAAAGATTCTGTCTTGTGATCTGTTGAGACATCCTGAAATTGCATTCATCTTTTTAGTTGCCACGTTATGCTGTTGACTCATGTTTCACTTGTGGTCTGCTAAAACCCCTAAGATCATTCTCATATTTTATGGAGGAAGTGGACTGTGTAGCAAATAAAAATATTGCATATAGATGATTAGAGAATTATGGAGTTAAATTGTTACTGACTCATAGCCTGTCTGGAAAAATAAGTTGGAAGGTGTTACAAATTAATTAGAGAAGTTTGGGATGGATTAGTCATGTTGCTATTTCATATATGATGAACCTATTACAATTTAAATTTAGGGACAATAGTGGGAGAGATATCTGCTATATGGTTCCTTCTACATTAACATAAAATAACCTCCTTGTTCTGGCATTTCGATAGGTATTTCTGGCAGTATGAATTTTGATGAGGAAGACACTGAGGAAGAAGAAACCAAGGAACAGTCAGGATCTCCTTCGCCCTGTTTAGAATCTCAGAGGCCTGCTTCTGCAAACAGCCAGAAGTCTGCTATGGTATGCAGTCTATTCTCCCAGTGAAAAATGTAAAAAAGAAAGCTTGTGACTGCTAGAGTCTGCATCAGCACCAACATTGCCAGATTCAACCTGTGAAGTCTTCCCAGACTCCTTACCTCATGTTTTAAAATGGGACTTAACTGGAGACTTTACTTTATCTTGAATGCCATTATCATTATTGCTCTTATGTTTACTCCTGAAGTTGTTATTATTGCAAGTCTTGCACTTTCCTCCTCTGCTCCTGTTCCCATGTTGAACCATTATAAATTCTGGAAGGTGCCTTGTTGACTGTCCCAGTACTAGACAATATACCTTTATTCTCCTTAAATTTGTGTGTTGTGGGAGCACTCTGACCTGACCTTGTTTTATCTTACAGGAAATGGGTGCTTCCTGCGTGGCACTTTCTCAGACAGATGCAGAGCTGGGAGAAGTGGGAAACCTGGAGGAGTTTGTACTACGCCCAGCTCCTCGTGGTATTACCGTGAAATGTCGAATTACTAGAGATAAGAAGGGAATGGATCGAGGCCTCTTTCCTACTTACTACATGCACCTAGAGCGGGATGACAACAGAAAGGTACTGTGTTTAACCAAATAATGTTGTAATGAATGTATTGGATGTATTGTAAAACCAAAAAAGTTCAACCTCCCCCCTGCCCCCGTAAGAATTAAAGCCATACAGAGTGTACTGTATATTTATTTTTACTTTTTTGTTTTCTGTAATGCTTACAAAGGACCTAAATTGTTCTCAACACTTATGCATTAGAAAGTTAAGAGAGTCCCTGCATGAAGGCTCACAATTTAATAGACACAATTTTTAAAAGGGGCAAAGGGAATGAGAGGGAAGTGGGCAGCAAACATGGGAGCAAATGCTCCTTCAGTAGCCAGCTGATAGGGCCAAGCTGGTCTCCATGCCCTCATGATCTCCCTGCAAGACTGAGGGCACAGCTCCCCAGTGGCTCGCAGTGCCTTGTCTAGTGGCAGTGTGTGCCTCCATCTGTTTCTGCAGTCCTAGGGCAACCATCCAAATACTATTTATAAATGCTATTTAAATGATCAACAAAAGTGATAAAACATTACAAAAAAGCACACACCTTTGTATTTAAGTACACACACACATGAAACATACTGAAAGAAATCAAGGTCCAGAGAGCTTATTTCCTAGTTGAAATAAATTCATCAACTGAACATGATACTTGTCAACACTTCTCAGAATCTCAGTAGCAAGCTTGTCTGTTAGCATGATTTTCACTGGACAGGTACCACTGTATATCCTTCAAGAAACAAATAACAAATTCCCTGTTAATAAATAGCAATCAACAATGCTAACACAGACCTATCGTAACAATGAAAAATAATAAATAGATTTCTAGTTAGCAGCAGTAACAAGTTTTCAAAGTTCTGCTGCTGGCATACATTGCACACCTCTCATAACTTATTATGTTAGTTTGGTTTGCATTAAACTCAGTCTTTGTACCTCCAGGGTCCACTGGAGAGGGCTGTTACAAAAAGGCAGCTGGTGGAGACAGAGCCAATCACAAAATGGTGGTGTGAGTTTTATGATCCCCAGATTCTGTGTTCTTTACAGAACCTGTTTCTCTCTCCCTGGCAGTAAAAGTACACGAAAAATGAATTCAACCAACCATATGCTACCTTCTATGACACCCCAGATCAGCCGCCTCACCCTACCTAATGGTGGACCCCTTGCATCAGTTCGTTTTAACACAACACTGGAAATTCCACCACAGTTCTTTTCCATTGTGTGGCTTGGTTCTTTAGGTAGTTTCAGGTTTGTTTTTTTTAAAAAGTCCAGTGAATAGTGTATTGTGCTGACAACTTCAGGAAGTGGGTGGGTGGTGTTTTTTAGAAACAAAACCCAAAGGACTTAAGCTGCTGCTTTGCATCGACATTGACACTACAACCAGCCAAGTGAAGAGAGGAAGAAGACAGCCCAAGCTATTCTTTTATGTGGAAGCCCTTCCTGCTGTCAGAGCACTCCAGGCTAGGTTACCAGCGGCTGCTATCATCCCCCCCCCTCCAGGTAGACAGGCCAAGGCCTCCACCAGTTCCTGGACTCCGTGACTGAGTCACTTCCCTTGTTGATCCAAATCCTAGTCCAAATCCTAGCTTAGCTGCCTTTGCTTGTGTAGTTCCTTGAGCCGAAGAACAAGAAGGATTTTCATCAACAGGGTAGCTGCAACCTGCCTGACATCAGCATGGAGCAGGACAATCCATGATCCCTCACTATCTTCTCTTCATTGTCCTCTTCACCATTTCCCTCAGCCGCTGCTGGAACAGCCCTCCTGAAGGTTTTTCAACAGCAGCTGGCTTAAGGAACCACTAGAAACAGCATGTTCCCCAACATCAGTATTACTAACATTTCCATCACCAGTGGCACCAGTCATGTGATTCAGCAGATGCGAACATCTACTTCCGTTCCTCCGTAGCACAAATTTTCAGTAATGGTGAATTCTGCAGGAGCAGCAGGCAATATGAAGAGGAGATGACAAGGGATTGTGGCTTGTCCTCCTCCATAATGACCTCAGGGCTGGGCTAACAGAAGCAAGCAGCAGCTGTGGCTGGCGGGGGCTGTGTGATTGGTAAGGATGCTTGATGAGTCTAATCTGGCCACTTGCTGTCCTTTGCCTCCATTGTCTCCTTTCCCCCTTCCACTCATTTCAGCTTCTCCCTCTTCAGCTGCCTCCTCCTCCTCTTCATTTAGTTCAGCTGCAGTGGCAAGAGGACAGAGGAGAAAGCCAGCTTGTATGAGGGGACATGCCCAGCCTTCCTGAAGGAAGGAGTGGGTAGGTAGACGGAGGCTGGGGACTGCCAAGCCCATCTCAAACTAGGGCATGGCCCACCACGTGAGAAGTGGTGCTCTAGAGAAATTGCTTTAAAATGCATAATTACTATGCTCTCTTGAAATATTCTCTCTCCCTTCACACCTTACCTTCTTTAAAATGTTTATATGTCTAGATATTCCTTCTTGCGGGGAGAAAAAGGAAAAAGAGCAAAACATCGAATTACCTCATTTCAATTGATCCAACAGATCTGTCCAGGGAAGGAGAAAGCTTTATTGGAAAACTCAGGTGAGACTCTCAAAGTGATGTGACTTATACTGTGTTCATCTCGCCCCGTACTGTCGATAACTAGTAGCAGCTGTCCAAGGTCAGGCCTTTGTCATCCTTGCTACTTAAGATCTGTTTGAACTTGAGATGCCTGGGATTTAACCTAGAATCTTCCATACGAAAAGCTTTGTCACTGAGAGCTATGGCCCCTTCCCCGATGTTCAGTGAGGTAGTGGGGGCTTGCTATGACATGTTTTGTATCTTGCTTCCACAACAAAAAACCTCAGCTGATCCCAATGTAGGCTGGATACTTTTGTGCTTTTCCTGTGTTGTGTGACTTTCTCTGTTATGGCTTTTTGTGGCATAATTCCTTGTATAGTGAGAATCATAACCTGGTGCTTAGGCAATACTGGGCTAGATGGATCAATTACGTATGTTCATGTATGTCAGGGGTGGGTAATGTGCAACCCTTCAGTCATTGCCGGGCCTTAAATCCCATCACCCTTGAACGTTGGGAGTCCAGGTTGATGTGACCCTGCAGATGTTGTAGTCAAGGATGATGGGAGTTGTAGTCCAACAGCAACATCCAGAGGGCCAAAAGATCCCCCAGTGGTGGCTGGTTCCCATGGGGGCCAGACACCACTGGTCTTGGAGGCTAGGACCCAAACCAATGGCTTCAAGTTGCAAGAAAGGAGATTCTGACTAAGCACTAGGAATAACTTTATGATGGTAAGAGCTGTTAAACAGTGAACTGGCCCAACTCGGGAGGTTGTGGACTCTCCTTCCTTGGAGGTTTTTAAGCAGAGGTTGGATGGCCAGGAATGCTTTGGTTAAGATTCATGCATTGCAGCAGGTTGGACTAGATCACCTTTGGAGTCCTTTCCAACTCTACAGTTCTATGATATAGCTGAAGAAGGGCACCGAAGACCAAAGCGCTCAGAATCCAGAAAAATGTGGTGGTGGATTTTTTTCATTTCCTGGGCAAACTAAGGCAAGCTTTGGGGAAAGAGGATGATAAAATGTCAGATGTGTTTTAAGGAGAAAGGAAATTTTCCAACTCACTTGTATTCTCTAATCCTAGATCTAATCTTATGGGGACTAAATTTACTGTTTACGATCATGGGGTTAGTCCAGTCAAAGCACAGGGACTGGTGGAAAAAGCTCACACCCGGCATGAGCTGGCTGCAATCTGTTACGTAAGTAACTTACTACTGGGGGCAGAGTGAGGGAGAAGAATTGTCTTTGTTCATGCTAACCTGTATTGGAAGGACAAAAGAGAACCTGCAAGGTGCAGCCTTGACTTACTCTAGGCTTTAATCCTGACTGGTTTGAAAATTGAAGCATTCTAAAATGTATTTCACCCACAGATAATCTAGGAAACATTTATTGCTTTGTTCATAAATCTTCGTTGCAACAATTTTATCTGTCTTTCTACATGCAAGATGGCTATATGGCATAACTATTATAGAATGGTTGGATGTAGAGGAATGATGGGAGGAAGCAGCTGGGGAATGGTGGTAGGATGACAATGAGTGGTCATAGGGAGAACTGGGTGGAGGTGTTGGAAGCTGAAGAGGTAACAGGGCTTTGTGGGCAGGGGGAGTCTGTGGCAGAGAGAAGTCCAGAACTGGACAGAAGCTGAAGCAGAAGAGAAGGGAGGCCAAGAGGCAGAGGTGAGTCTGGCTGCTGAAGAGACATGAGTGTCTCTCCCTCCTTCTGCAACGAGCTCCCCTCCCCTCCTCGATCTCCCAGAACTAGGAGAGGCATGAAGAGGGAGGGCGGAGGAGAAGTTAGCTTCACACAGGCACAATCTCAAGATTGCTTGGGGAAAACCCTGAAGAGGTGAGAACTTAGGCAGCTGTGGGGAGATGAGGACCTTCAGTCTCAGCAGCTGCCTCTTGGGGGCAAGACCTGCTGGAGATGAGTTGCTGTGCTTATGAGGCCTGACGCTCATGTGCAGATTGTGTTTTTGCTAATAAAGAGTTAACTCCAACTTGCTCAGTGGGGTTTACCGCTGGCTCACTCCTGTCACAAAATTAGTTAAGAAAAAGATGCATAATTATTTATTATAATAAAGTAATTTTCATAGTTACAATTACTGTAATAATACATCTCTAGTAGGATTTATGCAGTATATTTCAACATGTGCTAAGCCTACCGTATTTTTCGCTCTATAACACGCACCCGACCATAACACGCACATAGTTTTTAGAGGAGGAAAACAAGAAAAAAATATTCTAAACGAAACAGTGGATGTATGATTTTTGTGGTTCATGCTGTGGCCACAGACATGTGATCTGACGGTGAGTTTGGGGTAGCCCAATGCAAAAATCCTGAGGATCCATGTGGATCCATGCTTTGTAACCACGTTTTTGCACCACTGCGGCCCCAGGCAACAGTGGGTGCGTGATTTTTTTGGTGCAAGCTGTAGCCATGGACATGCTATGTGACCTGATGGTGAATTTGGGGTGACCCAGTGCAAAAATCCTGAGGATCCATGTGGATCCGTGCTTTGTAACCAGGCTCTCTGTCCCTCTCTTCTTCCCACTCAGCGGCTCTTCTCCCGCTTTGCTGTTTCAAAGTGAGCAAAGCGAGCCACGGAGGAGGGAAGGAAGGGGAACCATGGATCCTCTGCTCACGACTGCAGCAGATCCCTCCGCCATCCGTAGGCATTCGCTCCATAACACGCACAGACATTTCCCCTTACTTTCTAGGAGGAAAAAAGTGAGTGTTATGGTGCAAAAAATACGGTATTTCATTTCCCCCCCAAATTTTTTTATTAAGTTTCACAAAATTATATACACACAAAGCACACAAACAAACATAAATCATATCCTTATTAAAATTACACTTATTGACATTGTTAAGTGACTTCCTCGCTTCCCCTTGGTTGAATTTCCATGCATATCCTTATAATGGCTTTCCAAACGTGCTAAGCCTATTTCAACACAAAGGTCACCAGTGGCCTAATCAGAAAAAATAATATGACAAATCTGTTAAAAAATAATAAAATTAAACATTAACAGGGTCGGCACTTCTGTAATAAAAAGCCGCTATACATTTAAGAAACCAAGTTAATACTCACCAATAAGCTTTGACTCCAGCATATAAAACTTCAGAGGAGGAAGAGGGCCAAACTTGCCAAATCTACATTGTTAACAACTGTTCTGAATAAATGGACTATTTTTCAATCGTCACTAAGGAAAATTATATGAACTTCTACCTTCACAAATCCCAGACCTCAAAATTTACCTGCTCAAGATAAAGAAAAAAAAAAGCTTTGCTACAAAGTTGACCATGCACTTGCAATTAACTCATCCATGGGGTGATGAGAGCTCATGAAGGAAATTAGCCCATTCTCAGGTCCAGTTACTAAAGCAAGGTAGATAAGATCACACAGAAGACAGAGGTGAGTAATGGGAGTGAGACACACTAGCTACTTGCTGTGGAGTATAAGGAACTGGAGCAAACCTTTGGACTAGTTGCTGTGTTGAGATTCACTGCTAGGCTTGGATACTTCAATGGGAAAGAGGTAAGGTTAAAATAGTACTTTTGCCTGCCAAAATGGTGGCAGAATCCTGGCTTTTAACTAGAACAGCTGGTTTTCTGACCCCAAGGCAACACAAAATTCCACAGCTGTAGGTTCCCTGCATTTTTGTGAACCCACTAAATCTTGGTTCAGAAATAGAAATAGGCAAGCTATTTTCACTCATGTGGGTAAAAATAATGGTGTGCACTTGGGGACACTGTTAGGAGTGAGGACTGAGCCTACCCCTTCATCTCCATCACTCCATCCTGCTTTGTTTCTTTCGGGGCAGTGCTAGAGTGAAGTGGAATGTTGGGAACTGGTTTGCCTTTTCCAAGCAAGCATGGCCAGTGTATTTGTCACACACCATTCTAATCCAATAAAATTTGTATGTTTAAGGTCAGTCTTCTTCTCCTAAAATTTCTACCTTTTTTCAACAGGAAACCAACGTGCTCGGATTCAAGGGACCCAGGAAAATGTCAGTCATTATTCCAGGAATGAATCTCAATCATCAACGGATTCCAATCAGGCCACGAAATGCAAGTTTCTAATTGGGTCATATTCACACTACAGTGAGAAAATGGAGTTTCAGATTTTAGTGATGATAGGAGCAGTCAACAGGCATGCCTTTGAATAACTGAATATGATGCACTTCAGGACACTTTTCATTTAAAAGAATTCTACTGTTCCCCTTAAGAGTTCTGACAGTGTAGTAGAGACGTGTATGTAGCTTATTCTTGAATCCATAATATTCAGCTAGGTTGTCATAGCCTCTGTTGAATCTTGAGTGTTGTTGACCATCTGCGGAAGAGCACTTAGCTGAAAGAGGGAGAGTAGCCACAGTATATAAGAGCATGTTCGCAAGTTATATGTTCTGTTTACATGATGCAAGAAAGAGTGATCTTCAGATTTTCTAAACATAAGCTCATTTGGAGTGGAAGGGTAACAGCCTTGGGAACGGGAAGGAATAAGAAGTCTTCTAGAAGACAGCTACACATTTTGCTTTGTAACTTTTTTCTAGGAGAGCTTAGAGACTTGTTTTGAAAAGCTATTTAAATTTATTGAAAATAGAGTTTGTTCTATATTTGAATGAGAAATAGAATGAAAATGTTGCCATTTTCATTTGCATGTGTGCCTGCGATGGTGAGTAGGAATAAAAAAAAAATGAAGTCAGGACTGTGAAGTTGAAGAGCTATCAGCAGTTTTGCAGACCTGGTCTGATGGAAAGGGGATGGGAAAGGAAACCTGAGGTCTTGTTTTCTTGCTTATTCTGTTGCACAGGAGCATGAGAGTTTGCTGTCAAAATGGCAAAATAAAAACATGGAGAACCTAATTGAATTGCACAACAAAGCTCCAGTATGGAATGATGACACCCAGTCATATGTCTTGAACTTCCATGGGAGAGTCACCCAGGCCTCCGTGAAGAACTTCCAGATCGTCCATGAAAATGACCGTAAGTCTTATGACATTAATAGCTACAGCAGAAGTTGGAGGGCTAGACTCTCAGTTCAGAATGTTAGAAGGTTCTGGGCTGCAAATGCATCCAGAATCTTTCACTAATGATTGCTGGGTTTGATGGAGAGAAGACAAATCCTAGAAGTCACATGTTGCTTTCAAAAATCCTTTTGCTAGCACCACTGCCATGCTGAATAGGTAGATCTCTGCACCTGCGCCCCTCCCGTCCCTCTAAGCCCTTTCTCTTGTGCCAATGTTTTTCTTCCAGAAGCCTTACATGCCAAAACAGATGTTGCTTACCCAACTTAAACACTCCTTTCATCAAAGTCTTTCATTTTTAATTGGCTGCAAGCCATTGTTACCATCATCTGTTGCTGTTTGAATACATTTGAACAGAATGGGGAGATGCTGGAATATTAATGGCCCCAATTTTACAGTGGTACCTCTGGTTGTTAACTTAATTCGTTCCGGAGGTCCGTTCTTAACCTGAAAGTGTTCTTATCCTGAGGCACGGTTTCGCTAATGGGGCCTCCCGCTGTGCGTGCACCTCCAGCACACTATTTCCGTTTTCATTCTGGGGCAAAATTCGCAACCAGGAGCAGCTACTTGTGAGTTAGCGGAGCTCGTAAACCTGAAGCATTCGTAACCAGAAGTGTTCATAACCAGAGGTACCACTGTAGTTGTTTTCAATAGAAATCTTTAAAATATATTTTTATATCAACCTGTATTTTATTAAATTTAGCCTCACAAAGGAGCTGAGGGTGGCAAATACAAAGGTAGGGAAACAATACAATTAAAAATAAAGTTTATTTATTTAAAAAACCATGTAAAACAGTCACATACCTTCAGTGCTTTTCAGTATTCAAATGCCATGGTATAGTGTGTTGCTGTCCATTTAAAAAGGGTAGAGTGGGATTAATTTGATGTTTTATATTTTAGGATTTCTATTGAGGAGTTTTATTCACTAAAGAAGGGAGTACCAATGATCCATGTTGGAGTTATCAGAAATTAGGCTGGGAATATCCTAGTCTTCCTGCCTTCCAGGCAATAAGACTAGGAATACTGTCCACCTATTTACCCTGGTCCTGCCAAGTCTGCAAAGAAAACAGTGAGGCTACTTTCTGCCTCTTTTCTGACTGAGGGCCCACCCATTCTGGCCTTGAGGCCTAGCAACTGGCTTCACCAGCCCAATATTAGGCTAACTAACCTAGGCAGCACTGGCTTTCTGCAGAGGTACACTGGGGGCAATTCACCCTGTCTTCTCCAGATCTCTCATAGATAATGGCCAGCTCCATGAGGTCATCATGAGGTGATGGGCACCAAATTGAAGCATGCAATACCAGTCATTTGTGTACCATCTACCTGCCCTGCTCCATTGTCTAGCCCTCAGGATGCCTGATGTTTTGTCAGCTTTGATATAATGGCCAGGAAGAGAAGGACAGTCATTCTGCTATGAGACAAAAAGGTTCCTTTTGGGCTTAAAAAATATAGGAATGGTGTCTTGAAAATAAGGAAGCGTGGGCCCTAGCCAATTGTGAGAAACAATATCTGCCTCAGGGTTTGATATGTGCAGATTGGGCAAATAGCAGGTAGGGAATTGCTACGGATAAATGTGATGATTCCATTCATATGATGCAGCTAGATTATGATTTCTTTCCCTTTCTCCCTTTCTCTAGTTGACTACATTGTAATGCAATTTGGCCGTGTGGCAGAAGATGTGTTCACCTTGGACTTTAACTACCCCCTGTGCGCCCTTCAGGCATTTGCCGTTGGACTCTCCAGTTTTGATAGCAAACTTGCATGTGAATGACAGATGTAGTACAACAAGACCGCTTCTTGTTTTTCTTCCTGTGCTAACATCTGAGAAGAAAATTGTACTTGATAATCCTGGGGTGTGTGGGGCAGAAACTAACAGCTAAAATGTCCCCTGTGCTTACCTAGAAGGAAAATGGAGCCCTGATGGCTGACTACATAGAATGCTGTCTTTCTAAGATGTGTTCATTCTTGGAGAAGAATAAGGAAAACGTAATCCTGAGAGGGAGGCTTTTTAGAAAAGAGCCCTGCTCCCCCCTGAGCAGCTGAGCACCAGTGTCTAGGAATTCCTGTTGTTAGAATCACATTAATGAAACTTTGCTGCCTGTTTTCCTCATGAAATTACTCGTGTCCTTGATGCTAATGCCACTGATACATCTGTGTTCCTGTAACAAGAGATGTCTTGGATGTCTTGCTGCTCTTGCTATTTGACAGTCCTGTTTTCCAGTAAAGTTGGTTGGTTTCCATGTGTTGCTCTGCCGCTTTGCATCTGCTGAAGAGTACTTGTTGTAGAGGTATGTTCTCCAATAAGGTGAAGTTTATTGATCAGCTTGAATAAGGCAAAATTCACCTTGTCAGTTTCTTTCCACAAGGTAATTTTTCATGAAAAGTGAAGAGATGACATCCTTGACATGTCATGCTGATACCAGTAATTGACCGATTGACATGCCATGCTAGTTTCAAGAGCCATATAAGGATTTCTAATTTTCTTGTTTCATTCAGTGATAAGCCTTCTTTCTTTTTTTCATCATTAATTGATCTGTTTGTTTTTGCGAAATTATTTAAAAAACACAGCACTCCTGTTGGTAGGCAAGGAAAGCATTTTTTGTGTTAAAGGCAATCTTCCTTGTTTCATATGTAACTGTACATTCTAAATGTTCAGTTGGGTAAGATGTTTTTTGCTTTTTGGACATATTTGCTTGAATATGATCATTAAAAACTGATTAAGTGCATGTATATTCTAAGGCAGAAGGAAAGCTGCTATCTCTGCTAGATTAAGCCAAATCTTTATATTCCATGGTTGCCTACAGATGATTGGAACAGGTAAGGCATTAGTGCTTCTTGACCCAAGGGACCTTGATTGCATCTTGGCTCTCAGGGGATCCTGACTACATAGAATCATAGAACTGTAGAGTTGGAAGGGGCCCTGAGGGTCATCTAGTCAAACCCTCTGCAATGCAGTTCATTGTGTATCTTGTAGAATTTCTTCTGTAAATTGCCTTCGGGTGTTATGCCCTGTATTTCCAAAGAACACTGACAGCTGAATAACCCCTGCTGTCTGAAGCTGCTCCTTCCCTTTCTGGTCACCAATTCTGGACTTTCATAGAATCGTAGAGTTGGAAGGGACCCTGAGGGTCATCTAGTCCAACCCCCTGCAATGCAGGAATCTCAGCTAAAGCATCCATGACAGATGGCCATCCAACCTCTGCTTGAAAACCTCCAAGGAAGGAGAGTCCACAACCTCCCGAGGGAGACCTTTTCATTAAAATGCAGTTGTGTCTGGTTTGTGTGCCATTAAAATCCCTGTATTAGTAAATACCGTGTTGTCTTCTTTCAAAGCAATGCAGGTTTGCTGAAATGTTTTCTTATAGGTGGAATAAAAACCATCATTATCAATTGTAAATTCTGCACTTTACTGTAAGTGAACGATTACTCATCACTTTTAGAAAAAGCTGGTGAGTTGCAATTGCCTTCAAGGAAATGTTGCCACTAATAGCATTGTGCACTTGTGTAGAACTCAAGGAAGGGATGAGAGAGCCATTTCCCAAGAGATCAAGGGCCATGCTCCTCTTTTCCATCTTTATGCATCTTGTTTGTCCTTGGAAGCACAAGACCCTGCAAGATGGCATTGGCTGCATTCTGAGCTGGTGAGTCTAGATTGTTACGTTTCCTCAGATGTTTGACTAAAAGACAGGTCCCTTGGTTGTTTCCCCAACTGTGTCAGCTGTTAAAGAACATCACCTTTTTTAAGGTTTTCACCTTTGTCCATACCACAGCTCAATAATGTTCTTCTGGTGCCAGAAATATTTTTTGTCTAGATGCACATGATCTTGCTACTTGCCTTTAGCCATTTGAATCTTTGGAATACAAACACTACAGACTTAAACTGGCTTAAACAGTCACTTCGTCTCCTCATGAATTAGTTCTGTGGGTGAAATAGGAAGAATTATTATACAATCACTAAATAACAAAATTCTTCCTATAATGCATGACAATTAACTAGTATAAAAGTGATACAGGTATGTAGTTTCTGCTGTTTAATTTGGAGCACTTTAAAGTAAGGGACTGTCCCTACCACCACATAAAATGGGGCTGGCTTCATGTGGCCAAACTTGGCTCCGGTTTCTAGCAGTCAGACTTCTCTGACTTAACCCTGTTGCGATTTCATGCTGTAGTTTGCCTATGGAATTAGGCTACAATCCTAATTTTAAACAAAAATTCTGTGTACTTCCTTGCTTGGAAATCTCGTATGCTGGAATTGGCTGACTCGGATTTTAACCCAGCTGTGGATTTTTATTACATTTCTGTTTGAACAAGCAAAAGAATGCAAAGGGTAGGAATTTACACCTTGGTTGCTGTTGCAAATGTAGTGTTATGCTGCACTTTCAGTCCTCCTCTGCCTACATATACTGTAAATGCTTCTCTGCAAAATCAGTGCAGACTATCAAGAAATAAGGGATCTCTTATTGCTTTGGAACTGTATTTGTTTTGTAGAAGCCTCCAGTGGCGTAGCGTGGGTTGTCAGTACCCGGGGCAAGGCAAGTAATTTGTGCCCCCTAACCCGTGGATTTGTGCCCCCTAACCAGTGGATGTGCCCCCTAACCCTCAGATGTTGCGCCCGGTGCGGCCGGCCCCCCCTGCACCCCCCACGCTACGCCACTGGAAGCATCCACTATGCCTAATCCAAAACTGTATGGTATTGATTATATTTATATTTTTTGTATTCCAATAAAATAATTTATATATTTAAAAATGTGATACTGCTACCAGTATGTTTCTTTTGAATGTTTTGCCCTGAGTTTTGTACTCTGATTACCACTGCAAGCACCTATGACACTTGATCACCCTGTGATCTTGTTTTCGAAGCCTTCTCGGCCTTCCTAAACAGTTTCTAGCAACATCGAATGGGAGCCCAGTCACTACACAGACTTCTCTAGCAGCTTCCAGGTTTGGAATTCCTCTCTTGTCTCCTATAAAGATGCCCCCTATTATATCCAGCTTTTTATGCTCCCGATGACCCTCAACACCATCATTTTATAGGACTGCCTGACTTACAAGAGGCTGCTTTAGGCCGTGTAGCCCCATTAGTGGGCAGTGTTCTAATAACTGATTTAAAAGACCCTCTTGCATACAATCAGTCCAGGATACCTGGGGACCACCTGACTCCATATAGGAACCCTGCTTGTGGTGCAGCAGCGATGAAAACGCTAGCACATTTGCAAAGCTAAGCGGGGTCTGGTCTGGTTTCAAGTTGATCCTCGCGGGCCGCGCACAACCGCGCTGCCCTTGTTCTGGCATGGGACCGTCCCCAGCTCAGCTTCCAGCAGAGATCCCTCTGCCAGCATCGGGAAAGAGGAGGCCGGAGTAGCCGCTCGCAGGAGCGCCGTGGCCTCGCTCGCCCGGCGATCGCGGGGCGAGGGGCTCGAAGCAGCGGCCGCCTCTTGGCCCCTCCGGGCGCCCTCCGTCCCCGGCCAGTTCCCTCTCCCGGAGCCCCAGGGCGCCGCGCTTGGGGAGCGGGCGAAGCCTGTCAGGCGGGCGACGCGGGGCGGAGGGCGGCCTCGACCGGCTCCTCCCCGCTCCCTCCCCTGGTTTCCGCTGGCAGCCGAGGAGAGGCGAGGCGGAGCCGCCGCGAGCGGAGCGCAGCCCTTCCCCGCCGCTGCCCGGGTTCGCTTCCGACGGCGCAGCCAAGACGGTGAGTGCGGCGCGGCGTGGCGCGGGTCCCGCCGCCGCTTCCCGGGGGTCGGCGGGCCAGGCTGGGCCGGACGAGGGCCGGGCAGGCCTGCCTGCCTGCCTGCCTGCCGGGGAAGCCGGACTCGGCGCAGGAGCCGGACAAAGGGGAGGCGGCCCCGCGCCCTCGAGTCGGGCTGCGGGTCCCGGCGCGGCTGGGAAGGAGGGTCGCCCCGGCTGCTCCGGGAGGGCGGCGAGGCGCCAGGATGCGCGCAGCCGAGGAAGCGGAGGGGCGGAGCGGACCGCCCTCGAGGGGGCGCGCCGGGGAAGGAATGCGCTGCGCGGCTTCGGCGCCCAGATGGGGCGCAGCGACTACAAGGCCCACCATCCCCGGCCCTCGGGACCAGCGGCGAGGGATGACGGGAGTTGTAGTCGCCGCGCATCTGGGGCCGGAGGGGGAGAAGCGCGGGGCGGAGTTGCATCCGAGGGAGCGAGAGAGCGCCCGTGGCCCGGAGCGAGGCGGCTGGCGAGGGATGGAGAGAGCGCCCGAGGGAAAGTCCGAGCAGACGGGCGAGGGAGACGGCGCTCCTGGAGCACAACGGCGCCCAAGTTGGAGGTAGGAGGCTGGGCGTCGAGGCGGCTCGCGCGGGCGGAGCCTTCAGGGAAGCCTCTCGCCCCCTTTGCACTTGGGCCACAGCTCCGAAACGGAGCGGACAAAGTGGGGAGCAGGCAGGGAGAGAAGCGGACAAGGGGCGTGGAAACCAGCCCGATAGAGGACCCTGGAAGGCAAGAGAAAAGTTTGCTCTTTGAGATCAAAGAAAAGCGTGCGGATAGGGGCTGTCAAACCTTGAAAATGTGCCCTTGCAATGAATCCCAAAATGTCCTCTTTGAAAAGCTCTTTCCCAAACCATCCCACTTCCCTAGCACAGAGAGAGACCACACATTTGAGAAGTCATAAAATGGCTTACCTACACAGAACTCTTCCAAGTTCAGATTCATGTGCTTTTCCGTGCAGAAGTCAGAAAAGATGCACAGGCAGTCAAAACTTTGCTTAGTTACAAAAGGTGCAAGTTTCTGAACTATTGGTACAGAAGAACACTTGTTTCAGACTCCGTTCTGGACTGAAACAAAAGCGGCTGGTTAAAGCCATTCTCAGATCTCCTTGCATACCAAAATTCACTTGAAGAGTGAGAGATAACAAAGGCTTGGTGAGCTGGTGGCAAGTGATGGCACAGGCTAAGCCTGGCGGGACAGCTTACTCCGTGGTTTAAACACCTTCATACACTAATTAGATTCAAACCTGCTTGGTTTATATGAGGCTGGAACCCTACGCCTGATATACATAGGGTGCTTCTTGGCTAATGCTTCCTGGTTGTTTTGTTCATTTTAATCCCTGTTTACTGCGCTTCACAGGAAGTGCATATTTGAAGGGAAGTCCTTTGGCCTCATAAAGAAAGGGAATGCAAGCAGCAACTGATTTAGCCTTGCCAAGTGCTATTTTTCTAGAAAAAGAGGTGCCAGAACTCACCATGAATGCCTCCCTCGTTCTCTTAGAATGGCAATGGCGCCCACCTGAGAGGTGCCGGAACTGAGTTCTGCTGAATTCTGGCTGGGGAAAAGCGCTGTGCTTGTCCATGTATGTGCGTAACCACACATGAGCACATCTGCCTGAACCTGGAAGTTACCTGAAAAGTCACAGAAAGGGGCAGAACAGGGTGGGGCAGCCTTACACGTGCCCCACCGATGCTCACGGGGGTCTGGAACGTAACCCCGATGCAAATTGGTTGCTGCCTGTATGGACTTCTTGTTCCTCTCCTGCAGGAGTTCAGAGAAGTGTATGAACCTCAATAACATGTTGGTTATGGAAAGCGGCATAAAATCAAGTGTATTCTTTTAATGCTTGTTGAATTCAGGTGAACGATAGAAATGCGCAGTCAACCATTCTGTATCAGAATGTAGCTTTGCAACACCTGGGAGAAATTTGTGAGTAAAATAGCAGAACTAGTGACATAGATGAGGGCTCACCACACAGTTACAATGAGTTATCTTTGTCTACAAACAAACAGTGTTTGGTCAATGTTAATAATAGGCTCCTAAACATGCAAGGATATTTTCTGCCTTAAAAGTTAGAAAGGTAGATTGCCAAGGGACATTCATTTTCAAGCAATTTGCCCAGGAGAATGAAGAAATTATTGATAAAAAGGCATGGGACAGAAATGTAATAAATAGACTATTCACAGGTCTTCATTTTTAAATAAATGTACCACATATATTCTAATAATGCCCAGCATATATTCTACCTAGAAAAGTGTGGCTGTATTTATAAAGAAATTTTCCTCATGGGTGTTTGTACTAACTAATTGTCTCAGGGAAAAAGAAATATGTGCAAATTATGAGTGATCTCGTTCTTAGTGCTTTAAATGCTGCAAACTTTTTGCCCCATTGTCCACCTAGGAAAATGGCTGAATTCATTCCATATATACTGTTGGGATAGAGACTCTCACAACTTGTAACTCTTCCTATGACCCCAATTCACCCTGTGTTGTTTTCAAATCCTTCCAGGGTCTGAGATAAGTCTCATAGTATTAATTAAATACTAAACAGTCTTGGAAACGTTAAGAAATGTTTCCAGTCAGCAAACATGTCCTAGTCTCCCTCTTGATTCATATATGAACTTGGAAAACCCACTTGCTCAGCTGGACTTTTCTTCTGTGTAGACATGCATGTGATGGCGCTGTTAGCTGTTCTAAACAGTTAGAAGTAACCCCAAAGTGGAAAATATTGGGGGATTAAATGAGGAGCAGGAGAACTATGTAAACCACCTTGAGCTCCATGGAGAAAAATGTGAGATATAATGCCATGGTACAATTTTAATTGGGTTTCCCCCCCAACTGTGATACACAAAGGCACATAAAGAAATTCATAACCATGGTTGAGAGAAGAGCCTTTAATTGCTAGCCCTTCACTGATTTTAATTGGTCAAAAGCCAAATGAAAACAATATTTCCCCCCCATGTTGAGACCTCTTTACAAGAGAACCATACAAGGGTTTGCAGGTGAACAGTCCTATCTCTCAGCCCTCCCACTTGAAGCAGCAGGGGTTGCTAGAACTTGGACTATAACTGTATTGGAGCATGTGAAGGAATAGATGGGTCCTCCTTTATTCACCAAGTAACTCTAAGAAGTCTTGCATAGCTCTCCAACTATGCAAAATTGTTTTTCTCAACTGTTTTGCTTTAAGGCAGCTGCATATTCTGCAACCAGGGCTGTCTTAAGCATATGCGGCACCGGGGTGCAAAGATTCGCCCAGCGCCTCCCGGTTGCCCAGTCCCTGGCGTGCAGGAGCTAGCCTGCCACCTCAGCGTCTCGCTGGCTCGGTTGCCCCCGAACTCGCTGCGCAGAGTCGCCTGCAGCAGAAGAGCCTGCCGTGGCGCTCCGACCAATGGGCGGGCTCTTCCCCAGACTCAACTCTTGGGCCCCAGACTCTCAGCCTGGCGCCCCTGAGAGCCCAGCACCCGGATGCCCTGCACCCCTAGTGCCTATGGATAAGATGGCCCTGTCTGCAACCAATACACACAGCCAGTTCAAGTTAATTTCACAACTTTATCCAGTCTCAGGACAAGGAAAAAAATTTGAGGGAGAAATGAGGTGCTTCCAAACATAGATTACATTCACACAATGCTGATAACCTGAAGATGCAGAGTTTTCTCACGATATTAAATGCATAGTTTGCCATCACATGTTATCTTTTTACAATTGCATACCCTCCAATATCCCAGTGATAAACTGCAGGGCGCGAGCCCAACATCTCCCCCATCAAATTTTCCCCTTGAAGGGGCAGATTTGTGTTTTTCTCTCTGACACACACATACACGCTCCGCCAGCCCATTTTCTCCCTTTCCCTCTACACCTACATTTGCAAGATTGCTAACCCCTGCGCCAAGTCCCCTTTGCCAGCACTACCCGCCTTATCACCCACTCCCCTTTGCCAGCTGCCAGGGACCCCCTTGGCTCCAGCCCTGTCTACCTCCTACATTCCTTTTTAAAAAGGATTTTTTTAAAAAAGGGGGGAAAAGGTGCTTTGAGCTACTA